TTCCTCAGGAATGGATCAATGGGCTTATTGAGCAGCAGGACTTCTGGGTACACGACTTAATTAAGCGATGTGGCTGGTCTACAGCTAATTAATTAATAAAATTCATGATTCTGATGCCCTGAACGCACGGACTTTTGTCCCCATGTTCGTAACGTGGAGCAACTGTTCAAAAAAGCAAGCATTTCGACATACTATCATAGTATTCAGTAATCCTGAGATACTTGGTCCTATCCAAGATTGCTCTTCGGCTAGGGAACAGAGAAATGGGTACGTTTCATCTGCAACAAAACATGGACAGCAACTCAAGACAGGCGTTTCGAAACAACCTCAGCTGAAAACAGCAGGCTCTCTATTTACCTTTCCCGATTGGCAGATCATTTCCCTCCCCGCCAGCCTCGTCAGCGACGCAAGACGGCCAGAAACAATGAAGCCTATTACAAGCTTCCATTCCAAGAGCAGTCCATGGAGAAAGATTTGATAGGAGGGACACAACACTCACAAGCGAAGTGGACGTACATTGATTATCGTTACACAGATGAGGAGTCACTCAAGACATGACGGGAAGACGACACCGGTGAGAATGGACATTGGCCTAGAACGTCCCCATTCTTCAGGTCGCCGACGATTATTATCCGCGTTTTGCCTTTTGCGCCATTCTTGTCCTTAAGTTGCGCCACTGGCTGAGGCAAAGACCACGAGGAAGCCACTAAAAGCCACGAACGACGACGACATCAGATGTTTCTTGCTGAGGGGATCATGTGGCCGAGCCTGGAACTGGATCGAAAAACAGGGCTCTGGTATCTTGGTACTGGTGTTACTTGTTTGTGACGGAGAGAACTGATATGGCCGTCTCTGGTAAATTCGGAGTTTAGGTGGTGGAGGCTAGGTCCTTTTGGATGGGGGAGCTGGGAACTTGATCCGCTTCCTAAACATCCACGCTCACGGGGTGAACACAGGCCAATTTCAGTTTCTATACGCCCGTGTAAGGTTGTAATGCGCGCTCGCTAAGCAATAATCTCTCTGAGAACCGAAGCTTGTGGGAATCTCTTACGCGGCTTTGGAGGGGAACTGGCGGGGTAACGGGCTTAGGGTATACTTATCTAAAGGCACAATCTCTACTATTTTCTTGAACGAAATAAGATTGGTTTGATTAGGTTGACAAAGTGATTTCCAGTGTCAGACTGCAGGAACTGGAACAGGAGTTAGCATCAAAATTTCCTCACTTCCAATGTCCATGGCGAAATCAAGAAGTATCCAAAATAGGCAATGAGGTCATTCCCATATCAGCCTTGTACTTGGGATCCGTATCCCCGGCTTCCTCGTTTCAGAATATCCAAGTCGAGCATTTACAATCCGCCAGGAGCGAAAAGGGGGACAACGGATTCTAAGCGAGGCTGATGACTGCGCCTCAGTGGCTGCATAAGCGAATCCCTTTTACGGTGCAAAGACGCTCACTCGCTCGCTCAACCTGCACGGAATTCAAATACTGGTACGCTTCCCGGTTAGCTCGACGATCCGAACCAAGTAGGTGGAAGCGTCTGTGCCAGATGATGGCAGCCTTGCATGGAAGAGGAACGACGCGGCCATTGAGGATTTAAGAGGACAGGTTTTGTGCTTCCCAAGGAGCTATGGGAGCCATGGGAATATTCACAGGGCTGAATGTAATAGGTCTCCTCGCTAGTTCAATCGTAGGCCGAACCTCTTGGTGCCTGCAATAGAGTGGCGAAAGGAATGACGACAGAAATCCGAGGAGGATGTAATCAGAATTACTCCGCGAGTCCATGGCTGTCGGATGCGAGATGCACAAGGACTACGCACGTTTCTGCGAATGTGTGTTGTTGCATTGCATGGGCACTTCTGCATCGCGTGATGTTGGGGTAGTGGGTCACTTTGGTGTTGTTGTCGCGTGAGCTCCCTTGGACGTTCTCCAAGTCACTTGGCAGTACCTTTGTAGTAGAGAATGGAATTGTGTTGGATTGTGTTGAATTTGCAGCCATGTGTCGATCTGGGTATTTGATAACAAAGTCCGCCGTACAAAGGAAACAAAAGCCAGTCGCCCATATTGGGGAGGTCCAAAGAATATAATATCCGTGAAAGTTCAATCTCATCAAAGCAACAAAAGAAAATGTCTCTGTACGAGATCCGCTCAAGCTCAAGCGCTCACTGGGTATCTGTTCGACACTCCAAAACTCCAATTCGAGAAATCAAACGCTAACTTCCAAGAAAACGGGCCTTCTGATCCCGGCAGGACTTCCATCGTCCATGCCAACTGCTATTCTTTCTGTTCTTTCTGCCATCGGAGGCTCGTATCTGCCGTAATAATAATCGCCTTGAATATTTGGCGAGGTGATGGGGCTGTTTGTAAGCTCTTTGAACTCGGATTGCATGTTGGTGAAGTTTCTGCTTCGATTCCACGCTGCTGCAGCTTTCGATCCTGGTATAATGGTGCCACTGATGGTTTTGCTGCCATACGAGGAACGGGAAGTCCTGCATAGAAGAGGGCGAAGAGTAGGGATACTGGCGGTGATGATGAGAAACCACATTTCAAGACTGTTCTAGTTAGCAGATATTCGAAAAAAAGCTCGAGGACAATCTCGAACTTACGAGAACCAAATGATGAGATACGATGTTTCGTCTGTGTTTGGTCAGTTCTGAAATCGCAAGAGATGGGAGCTTATCATACATGAAAAGTCTGTTAAATGTGCGATACTGTTGAGGTGTACGGTCTTGACAATTGCAGCGATCATAGTACTAGATTTCCATCAGCAAGTTCTTCATTTGATTGTGACAGAGGATTACTGACAAGAAACCAAGACCCATGGTGATAATCAACGAAATCTTGATCGCAAGCTTCAATTTTAGGTTCCAGATGATGGTGGCGGGGAAAATAGCCAATGCAAGATCTGTCGCAGAGTTGACAGCTATCATGGTGTCAGCAATATCCTCAATATATTAGATCAAACTTACAGCCTTGGACGAATGCAAAATGCTCTTGATTATCTAGAGGAAGACAGGTTCCGCTGACTGTGCGGTCCCATAATTTCTTGAGCGGGTCGCATTGAGTAAGAAGAAATATCACAAGCCCAACATTGACTAGCAGCTGAACCAAAGCGACGGACCAAAGCAAGATTCGTGATATGCGTTGCTGTCTCGTCTGTTTCGTGACTGATGTGACAACAAAGAGCATCATGCAGAAAGATAATCTCGAGCACGTGGCGCTCACGATGCCAATGATTTGGCCTATAAAATTCCACTTAACAGCCTCAACCGACCCTGCGGGAGTCAGAAGTTCCTCGTGTTTCCCTAAGCCGAAGTGTACAGAGATGGTGAAGCAGATGGTAGCTATTATTGTTAGAATCTAAGTCTCGGTAAGCAATTGCCTGCGGGTTTTCCATGTTCAAGAAACATACATAGCTGAATAACATTAGCCAGTCATCAATTGATATTCTCTTGACCAGTCGTGCTCGTACATAGAATCTTGCAGCCATCACAATTGTTGCAATACCCATCAAGATCCATGATGCCTCAACGATCGACGGGCCATGGTCTTGTGTGGAGTACGATGAAGTCGCATTCGCATCTCGGGCGAGGAACATCGTTAATGCCTGTTGAAGTTCTGTTCGAATATACTCTTTGCTTGCTTGTGTCGGTGATTTGGAATGAATTCATGTAGACAAAACAACATGAGAGGTGCCAAGCTCAAGCTAAAAATTGAAGGAACTACATTGTCTTATATCATTTGAGATAACGCACTTAAACGCACATACGAAAGCGATGCCAGAGGAATATCTTGGAGAGCCTCCTCGCCGTAGAGGAGGGGCTTGTAGCGTCACAAGTCACTGTTTCGAAACAAAGTTTCAATCAGGATCTGCGGCCGTACGGCACTAACAGTACGACGACTCCCGCGTGGCGATTGGTGGCAATTGACGAATCCCAGAGCGCAAGGCTGTCCAGGTATGGCTCCCGACTGTCTGTTTTCAGTTTCCCGGTCTGCATTCTTTTGGACGCAGGCACACACCCACTCGCTCACCTGCCCAAACACACATGTATATTTTTACGCTGCATTCGTGCATCGTGTTCAACTTGGCTGCTACGCGGACTGGAGAATCGAAATGTCTAGATTTCCAACCTCACCGAGTGCTTATCTCTTCAGTATATGTTACGAGAATGGCTGAATAAATTGCGCACACTTTGCTGTGCCTCATCCACCACTGTGAATTGTCGGGCAAGTAGGACGGCCACATGGGGGGGGGGGGCACCCAAACTTTTGGCTGCAAACTTTCAAAAAAACTCATGATCTTCCACTTCAAGAACATAATTGCCACTATCTGATTCTTAGCGTCTTTATATATAGCATCTTAGCGGAAGCTCCTGTAGGAACAAGCTTTATCACGCAGGAAATAGAGATCTCCACTCTCACATAAAGTTTAGACAGGGCTACAACGTGCGAACGGAACGGGACGTAGCCCTAATAGTTCAAGTGCCATTATGCAAGCAATATGTAGTGGAAGGTAAACCATGTGGGCGTCTGGGAATGTCTTCTGCGGTGGCGTGGGGACCCTTACCAGTGGGGTCGTGTGTGACTGACTGTATTGCCCCACGATTAAGCGAGATCCCAAAAGGGGAGCGGGCAAACGTAAATACGTGGGATCTGCGCCGCATGGGTCAACTCGGCCGAGAAAACACTTTGTCTCACCCATGTGTGCGTTCATGTGCGATTGCCGTGGGGGTGCATACTTGGGACGATCAAGTGAAACCTTACTTTTATTTTGAACATGGGTCCGAATTCTTATTCAGCTGTTGGAGAATTGGATTACTCGACCCCTTGATTTTAGTGTAAGCGTGTCAGAAACATCTCGAGTCGTTCAAGAAGAAACCGCGAGTGAACGAATGAACCACCATGCCGTTTTGTTCAGTTAGTGCTCGGTTTCGGTCCGTGAGCGTATGATACCTCTCGTAGATTTCTGCGCTTTCTTCCCGCAATCCCGGAAAGTTTCCCCATGTATGAAGTGTTGCCGGAAGTCTGGACTTCAGATACCGTCCACAAGTCCACCGTACTCGTTTGCGAGATCCAATAGTTCTTGGCAATGAACATGCAGCTTTGAGCAAAGAAGGCAGTTCGTTCAACTATAGTTTATGATTCGCTACTTAGATCAAGAGTTATGTGACTTTGTACTACCTTCCCGATATAACCCCCTTCAAATCTTGTGTGTCAGGTTGGCAAATAACCTGAAACTGTTCAAGACGGTCACAAAACATGGCTGACCCCTCACAGTGAGAGAGTGCTCTCCTGACTTTCCTGAAGAGTGAGCTTGCTCATTTGTGATTACTGTGCCTTCCCGCCCTTATGAACGAAAACCATAAAAGCACAAATAATACTCTAATTGGTTTTCTGGAAGAAGCTGGAGTCGCACCCGGAACTGATCCGAAAAATCTAAAACGTATGCATAAGTGTGGCTACAAGTCACCCACCAGTCTCCATGAAAGTCCATTGAAACACTTTTTTGAAACTTATCCCACCTACTCTGAGTATGGTAGCCCAGGACCCTCACACTGAAACCCAACGTTAGTGGTCAAGATCCCGAGATGGCCCAAATGGTTTCCGGAATACGAGCAAGGGTACATGGAACACAAAGATAATACTTCACTTCCAAATCGATATGCTGTCGTTCCCCAATACTTATTACTTCGTATCTCGGGTGGGATCATGGCCAAGATGGCTGGCGGTAACGACACGAACGGCCTTTGGACCGTAGAGGACGCAGAATATGACAATGCCTGTACCATCCGAAAATCAGAATTGCTGTTCCGAACGTGAGTGGAATGGGCATGTTGAGTGAACGGGCTTTATCAGCGACAAAGTTTGGAAATAAACGGCCGGCTTTGGAAGCAGCGTTAATTACTGACAAATGGTAAGCAGACAGCTTCGGGTCTGTCGAGGTCTGTTCTAGCAAATAGAGATGCACCTGAAAAAGAGTGATGTAGATAGCAATGAGCCAGGAGAATGGGCTATCACTGCCACACGGCAGCAAGAGATAACCAAGATCAAGTCCAACGGCGACGCCTTGCGCGAAGATAATTTGCCAGTACTGAGTACACAAGCTTAACATCATTGTTCCAATCACAGCCAGGAAGCTATCCAAGCCGAATCAAGATCTTCGAACAACCACGATCGAAGAGTGGGCCAACGATCGCTGCACCCACGAGAATGGGGAAGCTCTGAAAGGAGCGAATTCACGATATACCGGAATGTGAGTATGAATTGAGAAAATTGGTTAGACACAACGTTCAGAAGACGCCTTATGAGTTGATGATGTCCCTAGCAGAAGATATGTCAGTTGATGAGACTTCTCGGAGATGAGGACGGGATTTACCAGGCATTGAACAAGATGCAGAATGAACTTATGACTCCAAAGCATACGTTAAAACTACCATCATGTTTGAGTGTGGTTTGAAGCTGGATGGCAGACTCAGCAATGCCGGTCTTCGTGATTTGAATGGTAATACTGGAGAAAGTTAAATGGGATGGAAGCCATGGGAAACATTGAGTTCTTACTAAGAAGCTTTGTTTTGCGTGCTCTACGTTGCTCTGTCGATTGACTCGATTCGTGGTACCGTGTACAAATGGAAAGCAACTCCTTGAGGATTTGTGGTAAATGGTAAAGTTGAGATGAATGAGGGTGTGGTATCTGGTGCAACCTTTGATATGCACGACCGTTCGCCGTCGTTACACTACCTACAACTAATCTTGGCGATCACTGGAGACGAGGTGCAGAAACTGGGGTAAAGACTGCATGTGGTGAGATGACCAAAGTCAACGTATTCTTGTTCAACATTAAATCAACCACTGGGCCTGCTTATCACGGCAAGACTTGTTTCTCGTTAAGAAACTGCATTTTCAAATTGTCTCCACGACTTTTCTCAATATGTTTAGAGGAAGGCGCAAACAACACAAAAGCCTTTGGAAACACCGGTGTGATTTTATCAAAATCAAAGGCAGCGAATAAAACAAACCCCTTTCTCAACATCGTCTTTCATTGACAACTCAAGACAATGTGTTATGGTATTCTTGTAATCGGTGATTCGGTTTATACTTTAGGTCAAGTGATCAATGACTTCCGGTAATTGTCCCACCTGCACTCGAATCATCTTCCCAGACTCCTGGCCTCTCATAAAAAAAAGGGATTTCTCCAGCAGTACCTTATCACTCTTTCCTCTCAGAAATATGTCCATAATGAATCAGAACACTCACTTGCAAAGTTTCCAGCCCATTTCATCACGTCTCATCCGGTGTTCTGGGTCCGACCGTTCAACTATTCAAGAATCAAACGAGTCTCCTCGAATCCCTTCCCTCAGACGCTTTATGGTTATGGAAAATTTTGTAATCTCGTCTCTATCCACGCACATCTTTGTCAAGTTCGTTACAACTCTACTTGATCAAGAATTGCACGAAACCTTCGCAAGTTTGCCTTCAGGATGTGGTGTCACCTGACTTGTTTGAAATTTTCTCCCTTCTCTTCTTTTCGACGGATGCATCATCAAGAGCATTGCTTCAATAACCTGTGCTGTGGAATCTCAAGTCGAAAAATAGCAAAAGTAGAAGATTGCGAAGGCTGGGAAATATTGTCGATGATATGACATAAAAGAGAGCCGAGTGACTTCTTAAAATAGAACGCGCTTGAGGTGAGCGGCTAACTCAGCCGCCTTGCTTATTATTACCCGAAATTTCTCTCTTGGTGAAATTGCTCCAGATGTACGAGAAAGGGATGGAATTTTCGTGATTCTCACTCTAAGCTGAACTCGATCTTTTGAATCTCCGGCGTGGATAGAGGCAAGTGCATCGTCAAAGGCATTTTGAAAGCGCGAGGTTCGAGTATTGATGTCCCGCAAAAGCTACAAGTGTTTTTTTATCTATATTGGACACTGGTTGATGGGCCCTAAGGCTGCTGCTCATTTATGGCCTCACTTAAAGTCTATCTCAATTTTGAGCCTGAGAGAGTGTTTTAGGGTTCGAGAGAAGTGCTCTCAGGTTATCAAGCCTTCAATTTACAGCTCGGCGATTCGGGGGCTACTCTCGCTAAGGCGTAAATGGAGTTCCTCAGCCGTGCTGACAGGCTTCCAAAGGCTTGCTTCCGAGACGTCCAATCATGATTGTGGCTTCGGACTCGCATGGGGAGGCTTGTAGATCCTTGGGTGTTCATTTGGGAGAGGCTGTGCCTGGCTTCAAAAGTAGTTTCAAAGGCCTGACAGATCTAGACTCCTATTTCCCCTCGATCCCAAACCCCGAACTTCTCTTTTCACTATTCTTGTATTTGCTTCCTTTCCTATGTCTGTTTGATCTTTCTTCAATTTTCGAAATTCAAATGTCGAAAATGTATTTTCAAATCCCCATAATCCTCTGGGGTCTCTCTCGTTTAGTATCCGGCGTTGCATTCATTAATCCCCCCGACGGAGCAACACAACAAGCACAAGACTACAGCTCAAACGCTGCTCACAAAGTCGGCTCTTCACTGAAGATAGAATGGTCTCTGCAGTCAGCAGAACAAGATAAACCATTGACCTTGGTAATGTGGGAAGATGTCGCAAACACCTACCCCGAATATATTTCTCGTATGATTCCATCCCCATTTCGTTCATGAAGATCCTAACAATATGGTGCACAGAGGACATAGCAGCGAACACCACAACCTTTGACTGGACCGTAGCAACAAACAAAACTTTCTCCACGACACAAGCCTTTTTCTTCGATCTTTATTTCTCACCAGCAACTATCTCGAGCGGAGTCAATAACGAAGTAGCTATAAGCCATTACTTCAACATCACAACTTCCGCTTCTTCTACATCTTCCTCCACCTCCTCTACATCCACTCCCACATCAACCTCTACACCATCATCATCCTCTTCATCATCCTCCTCCTCGAGCCTAAGCACTGGCGCAAAAATTGGTATCGGAGCCGGTATCGGCGTTGTTGCGATAGCAGCCCTAGCTGTAGCCTTCCTCATCTTCAGACATCGAAGACAAAAGAAGAATGCGAACCTTGGAATCGCAACAGATGCTTTCCCAGCAGCCGAGAAAGCCCCGCCGGGGTACAAAGAGCATCACGATGAAGAAACCGGCTTTGTTGTGCCAGGAGGGGTATCGGAATTAGCGGGCGGTGGATACAAACCTGTTGGTGTGGCGCCGGAAGGAGGAGCCTCGGAGTTGGATGGGGAAGCGAATGCGGGGCTTGATAGGAGGGAGGGGATTGAGGGGCGGTATGAGATGGGAGGTTGATTTCTGGGATTTGATGATAGTTTTTGGTTTTGATTGTATATACGAAGCGGGCGTATTGGGAATGTTTATATATAATCGGTGTTTGGTGAAGATATTTTGCTCGTGGCATCTCACTAGAGCTAGGTGTATCAAGATTAGACATTGTTGCAAATAAGGAAAGACAATTTTGCATACCCCAGGCGGTTGAATTTGACTCATGCCAGTGATCGTTGGACGAATGCTCTGAGGCCACAAGGTGTGCTTAGCAATCTACATTTGGCAACATTGATACCTCTTCGTTATATGCGATATTTTTTGCCATTGATATTATGTACCGCCTTTGCACTATTTGAGATTCCATTCAACTTTAAACCATGTTTTTGCCAAGATATCAGGTGGAAGAGCCAGCGGCTGGGCAAGTTCTGTTAAAAATGTAGTGCAGAGCATCTGTGTTTTAACTTCGCGTAACTATTATTACGATAAGAACCCTCAAGATATAACTTTCAAGTTTGGAGTTTGGTTTGATTGTTTTGTGGGACAAGTTCCAAGTGGGTATCTGTCACACAAGCGGCCTGACACACTTTGACAGTGTAAGGAGGCTCCTTCTCGTGTCATGTTTCGAGCTCGCTTCCTAAATATATATGTATGTCATGGGATTCTGTAGGACTTCCATTTGTGTTCATCTTGCTGTTACACAGCTATGTAGAAATCGTAAAATGAGCTGCGAGAGGGACCAAGACTTCTCAAGACCATGTCATTCTCTTTCTTTTCTTTCAACAATAACCTCGACCTTGACTGCCAGATCTCTTGCCCCTCATCGATTTGATTTAAAATCGAAATCCATAGTCCACCAGGTCCGAGCACGAGAATCAATACTCACCTGACCACAATTCCACCACGAGACATACAACCCCGCACCCAGATTCAGAACTTCCAAGTGGGACAAAAGCGCAACCATTATATTGACCACGTCTCCTCCAACATCATGAAACAGCAATTACATGCTCTTGATCATCACATCTTCCAATAATATACCTCGACCACTTCTCTACCAACATGGCAAGATCGCCACAGGAAACTCCCTTCCTCCCCCGAACATTCGACGAGAACGACCCAAACAGATCCGTATCCAGGATAGCATCACACTTATTCACAAACTGGAACCCAGGCCACGGCCACCTCGAAGTAGTCCCCTTACCCTCCACCTCACACAAACAGGTAACCCCTTCTTCTTCCCGCGCCGTCGATTGCCAATTCCTTATACCCTGCATATAGTTATACCAACTCACTTACCGCCGCCACATCGCCTTCGACCAAAGAACCCACCACGAAACAGCCCTGGTGAAGGTTCACAAACTTCCACTGTCCAACTCCCAAAAACAAGTTTTCAACATTCATAAAGTCCTCGCTCTACACTCCCTGGCTTCGCCTCTTCTCCTCACTTTCCTGAATGGGTATGCGTATGGGTTTGTTCACGGCCATGCATGCTCCTCTTCTATCATGTCCAAGGAAAGCATCTGGAGAGCAATCGCGTGGGAGATGGCGCATTGGCATGTGATTCTCCCTGTTTCGGATGCAGAGAGTGGAAGAGAAGTACCGGATGTTTGGTCCAAGGCCAGGGAATGGCTTGATATTCTGAGTGCCGAGGGAGAGAAGGCGAAGTTGGAGAAAGAGTTTGAGTTTTTGATTGAGAGATTAAGGGGTAGGAACACGAATAAAGAGCAGGTGATGTTTATCTCTCTTCACACTCTGATCGAGATACTGATATCCTAGTTTGTATTCGGACATGGCAACTTGCGCCCAGAAAACATCGTATGGAAAGGGACGCACGACGAGTACTCAGATGAATATCAAATCGACGCAATTAAATTCATCGATTACGAGTAAATCTCCCTCTTCAATCTAATCAAATACTCAAGCTGACCACAGAATAGACATTGTACCTATTGCCCCGTAGCGTTCGAGCTCGCAACCTATTTTTCAACATGGGCTGGATCGGAATGTGATTACGAGCTCTTACCAGCTGAGAAAACACGAAGAGCTTTCATTCGAGAATATGTTGATGCTTGCGCGCTTTATTCAAACTCTGATAGCGAGGATGAGATCGAGGTTGAGGGACAAGAAGATGCGGTTGAGAAGCTCGTGCAGGAGGTGGACGAGTGGCGAGGCTTTGTGGGGTTTTATTGGTGGGTCAGATCTACGTCCTCCTAGATTTTCTGTCTTGGGTGGGCGATAATGTGCTGATATGCTTAATGAAGGGGTTTATTTGCTTTACTCAAAGCAACAGATACAGAAGTAGACTCGGCAATTAGGCATGAACATGCGAAATATTCCAAGCTGAAATTTGCTGAATACTATGCCTGGAAAGAAGACGATGTAACGATTGCGAGAGAAGGAGGGCAAGTACATGTCGTGGAAAGAGAAAGGATGGGTAACTGATGACGAGGGTGAAAATGAGGTAACAAAGGTTGTCATAGAGGATATTGAGCATGAGCCGTGTGGAACGTGAAACCCCCGCCCTCACAAAAATATCTAAAACAATCAACAAATAAAAAGTGTATAACATCTCATTCGTCATAGACCCAAAAGAGAATGCCAGGGTTCCAAAAGCCAGCTTGACCATCAAACAAAAACCGAGCCGTTCCAAACCAGTGAGAAGCCCAGAGCCAGCGCCAAAACATGTGTCCAAAGAACACTAGAGACTACTATCACATAATAGCCAAAATCCTCTTCAACGCCAAGATATCCCCATCAAACCTCTTAACAGCCTCCACTTTCTCGTTCTCCAATTCCTTCAACTTCGTCATCAAAGACGTCTTCTCAGATGGACTTGAAATTACGTCTTCCACCTGATCTGTCGATTCCGTGCCGCGAAAGGCCTCCTCACTCACTACAGATAATTCGGTCTGAATTGATCCCGCTGAGTCCCCCAAAACCAGGTCATGAGTCCGCCTCAAATGCTGAACCAAATTATCCTTGCGGCTGAAACCCCTTCGATGTCTCTTGCACGAGATTATGGGATAGATGTAAGCTGGCGCTGCATGAACTTCGCGTTCATGGCGCTTTAGATCGCCGGGTGTGGCGAAGCTGTTGACTGTGCAGGTTGGAACTGGACATTTGAAGGGGCGAAGGTGTTTGTCTGTGTGTTTTCTAGGGTGTGGGTTAGTGGTAGGGATAGGGAGGGTTGGGGGGAGTTGGTGGGGTGGTGGTGTACTTGTATGCGGAGGGTTGAGTGAAGAGTCGTTGGTCTTTGCATCCGGGGTGTTGGCATTTCCTTGCTTGGAAAGGGATATCGTGCCTAAGGCTCTCTGCTGATGGAGAGAGAGGACGGTCGGGATGGTCGATATTCGAGCTGTTCATCAATTGTCAGCAATTTATCCTTAGATATGAGTCTTTGGAGACATCTGGAACGCTGAGTAGATCTGGACGGTAAGAATCAGGATCATTGGCAGCATACCGCTCTGGAGAAGATACAAGGGTTGGAAAGTTAGGCGTGGGGCGCATCTGGATGTACGGGTCCCCTAAGGAGTTCAACGACTGATATATAATATATGTAGTCCCCGCATACCGAAGGTTAAGTATTCTTGCTGTCCTTCGGGATGCATTCGCCAAGAGATTCCAGAATTGGTCTGGTCTTGGGCTATACTGGGTTAGGCTTAAAGACAGCTCCAGCGAAATTCACTAGGCACGTACAGCATGGGGTCTGGGGAAGGAACCAAGATAGCCTATCAATACAAAGAGCATCAGCTGAGGTCCATGATTACGGTAAAATGAAGGCCTTCCTGGTTCCTGGGCGAAGCCTTCCATCATCTGTGGTTAGGAAGTGTGACTGGAGCACGATAGAAATCAAGAAAGAGGGGAAAGAGCAAAGGGAAAGGGTCGAGAGGGAAAGTGCTCGACCCTTTCCCTTTGCTCGAGAACATACATGCACATACCATTTGATCCTGGAATTGATCGATTCCACGTCCCAGCATGGCCACCGAGCCGGACGGCTGCCGTTGTTCTGTCACGTCTGTGTCATGGGGTAGGTAGTGTCGGATCCAGCGCTAGGCATATGGTCCAGATCCACGCAGCGTCCGATGGAGGTAATATCAACATACTCAGGCTCTATCCCATTGAAGCCATCCAGCTGAGCAGGATTTCCCAGCATATCAAGTACATCGGGGCTGCATCAGCACCGTAAGCAAAAGTTCCATCAATCGGAATCTACTCACCTCGCCATCCCGAATATAACTTCAAGCAGGGGGCTATATGTGAACGTAACGACCAAGAAAATTTGGTAGAAGGTATTTTCCGAGCAGCGACTGTCGAACCTCGATTGTCGTGAGGGAAAACTGTACGATATAAATATGTAGTGACAAGGCACAGGGCGTTTTGTCGCCTCGTTGCCTCGGCTGCAGGGCGAAGAGCTTGTGCGGAAGCGAAGCCTATGAACGGTGTTGCATGAAGCCAGTGCACACATCAGATCTTCGAATGCCTAGTTTATGAGAAATTAATATGTCGCCCACCATTTGCCCAGGATAAGAGGTGCGTTTGATGCTATGATCGCCCTCAATATGTGGAGTAGAAACAGCTAAGGAGATTATCTTATTTCAACGCCTTACTAGCAAGGAATTGACACTTGAAAACGTGGTCAGCTTTCATACCACACAGCCTCGCTCTTCAAATGCGGAAGTAGCTGGAAAGCTACCGAGTGCTCGCAATCTTCTTCTCTTCTTTTTGTTGAAAGCGCACCAATTATGGGATTTGAGGTACGTGAAGGAAAATAAGAGCTTGGTGGCAGAGAGATAATGCTTAGAGCGTAAGGTAGAAATACTTAGATTTAGTGCCTCTTAGCTGATAGAGGTAGCTCAACAACACTTCTGTATAGTAATCAAGTCAGATCTACCAAGCTGCTCATGACCGAGAAGTGAGTCTGAGACGCAAGGTCAAGATATAGAATAAAAACAAAAGTTAAGAGGGCACCACAACCCACAACACGTGCTATCCGCGTGACTCCGCACACTTGTCGGAATTTCCCCAGTTTCGTCACGAGCTAGACTTCTCACTCGTGCAAGTGCATCTTCGGGTCACACGACAGGAATGCAGATAACTTTATCATTCGATGGAAACGCAATCCATCCACTCCCCAGAGTCCACACTCTCGTGAGAAAAGAAGGTTGAGGCTTGACAGCGTTCAAGCCGAAAGACAGAAACCCACAAACAAGCTTTTCTTTTGGCCCGTCTCCTGCCATATCCAGATGGTGCATCCGAAGAACTCGAAAGCTTCTTCTGCCGTACACCGTGATTCTGCTTACAAACTCATCCACTTTTCGTGCTCTTTCTTTGAGTTTCGTGACGCCCGAAAGTCTGGACAGCTAGTAGATGTCCGCGGAGGATCCCGGGCCACCTTGTTGAGGAAGAAGAAAATATAGCATTTCGTCTCCCAGACACGAGCAGATTTCGAATGGTCGAAGAATGGTGCAATATGCAGTGCAGTGTAGCGTTGCAGACGCAGATGCAACACAGACCTGTTGGACGGATGTCGTTGAAGAAACGAGGACGGGAAACGAGAACGAGGCATCGGGCTTTTCCAGGTATACGGTAACGAACGCTCATTCGAGATACCCGTAAACCTTACCCTTCCCTTACCCCTCCATCCAGATACCCCTCATTGTTCTGGCTCTGCAGATGGCTTCATCCTCCCCGGACTGACATTGAGCCGGCCAATGATGGAAGCCAGATTCCAGGCCTGAACGTACGATCGTCGGACCCTGGTGAAAGTGCTCGAGGTGGTATTTGATGCAGATAATTGTACTTGTGTCTGGTGCGTTGGCAGCGACCGTCGAGGTACCAGATACATGAGGAAGAGGTCTAGATTGCTCTGGAATACGGTCGGTTGATCAATCTAACGACCTAATTATTCCGTGCTCGCACAGCAGGACTGCGGTGTGAGTGACTCGCGAATAGCGTCTTGTTCGGCATGTTTCTGGTACGATTCAGATGAGTTCGACGGTGAAGCAGAATGTGTTGTTGTGGTGGAGGCAAGGACCGAAGAAAAGCGTGGGTTCTGAGTTGACAGCGGTGATCTTCGGGATCTGATGCAGGTCAGCGCAGACGGTGACGTAGGGCAGGAGGTAGGAGGTATGAGGTATTTGTGGAAAACGCTGTGGGTTTGATAGGCAAAACTTATTTGCATTGATAGGAGTTTTCATCTATCGTGCATCCACATGGATTACCAATGTGTCTGATATCAAATGTTACACATTGTACCCTCTACAGTTTTTCAGGGTCTCCTGCCAGTAGCACGACGGCGGGAATTCATATTTACGGTGAGCCATTGTCTTGCATCACCATATCGGAATAGGTAATTGGGTTGGCTCTGCCTCCCAATGGCTGCTCCGAAACTACAAAACACATTGGATCCGGGAATTATCTGCGAAACCCTCCAGTCGGAATAGCTCTGGACAACTCAGAATGGTGGTACTGCATTTTCTGGCTGCAGAAAGTGATGTCGACGTTGACTGCCAAGGAACATTTGAGATCCGAGTCAAGGCCATGATGCCAAGCCAAGATATCAAAAAAGTTGCCGAAAGTTTGCCCCTGACAAGACGGTACTTACTGTAGACGAGAGTGTAAATCTTAACTGCACTCGCAACAACTGCGCCTCGTCTTACGAAGCACCAGAGACAACCTTCATCTTCCCGAGCTGAGGTTGGTGGTGTCCGAGATGCACTAGAAGAAGAAGTGGTGGTGGAAGGGAGAATCTGCTCTGCTGACTGGACATCACGAGTGATTCCCGAGTGATATGACAAAGGAAGAGGAGGATATGCGAGTTGCCCTCTGGCCACTACGGTCCGTCGGAAATTCCAAGGCGATCACGGTGGAGAGAATTTTCGACGTTGGGCGATGATTTGATTCGATTGTAGGTTGTCTGGTTTGTGTAGTCATAATGGCAACACCTCTAGTCAAAGTCATGCCCTGGTATATAGGCATCATGACACAGCAGACCAGTTTTCCTTTTGAAGTATGAATTCGAATGATATCAGTTGTCCACTTGTTTCCCACCTTCCCTCACTTGCTGAAAATACGATTTGCCTTTCTAAAGCTTACCTGGCATATCCATAGCCATATCTCACCCTCTTACCTCCTTCACCTCCTTCATCTGCAGCCAGCTGCACGCACTTCCCTTACTTATTACAGCCTTTAGTCCTGATTTGCATCTGGACTTGCGTCCGCACCAACCAAGTCACTCCCGTTGTTTGCTGTTGCTGCTCTTTGACTCTCTCGAGTGCCAGCAGGAGCATTTGGCAGCATAAAATAAATCCCTCACCCACCGCAACCCAGGCCATTTCGGGGCACCGTCAAAAGCGCCAGGGCAACAACCTTTTTTTCTCGCCTCGGAGCTCGTTCTAGCGCTCTAGCAGCAGTGTGCATCACCTAAGCTGTGCGCCTACGGTGCGGTGCAGTGCAGGGAAATTCCAATTCAAAATTCCCATTCCACCCACCCCGTTCAGTCCACTCCAAAACACCTCCTCTGGTCTGCGGCGCACTTTCATCTTCTTCTTCCAACAGACAATTCACCATCGGGAGTCCCATCGTGTGAACATAGATTCACGCAAAGTACGGGCTCTGCCCGCTAGGCGGCCTCGACCGACTCCCACATTCCGCACACCATCATCCCTCCGAGCGCAGCAGCACCACACATCTCCAAAATCATGGCGACCGTCAGCGCTCCCAGAGACTCCCTCATGGCCGATCGATCACAGGCCTCACCCGCAGCTTCGCAGACGTCGTCAGTAGTCGGATCCCCGGAATCGTACCCAGTCAAGCAGAATGGAATCGCGGTGCCCAGCACCGAGAGTCTCAATGGGAATGGTAATGGGCACGCTGCGCCACCTTCCGAGCCACAGAAATCGACCCTTGTATCACAACCTCCTCCAGAGAAACCGTCGATGACAAAGCGGCTCACTCGAATGTTCTCCACGAAAGATGCTATGAGATCGGAAAATAGTATAAATTCGATGTCGACGGCGAATAGCCAGGCTCCTCTCCAACCACAAGAACCGAAAGCCGCAGCACGACGACCCAGTCCTCCGGCGCGCAAATTCTCCTCGACAGACAAAGCAACCGCAAAGGCGGAGAAGGTCGAAAAGACAATCACGACGCCCGCCAAAGATAAGAAATCTGCGGGGCAGGTTGCGATCCATCAGCGATTCATCCTAAACCCCGACATTCAAGGCGGCCATGAACATCACCTCAAGAGCGCAAAGAGGCAGGAGAAGCTGTCGGACATGCTTAGGAACGTCATCAGTGGCAAGACAAAGAATCCAGATCATGCACACGAGGGCGAACAACAGTTGTCGTTGATGTCGAGCTGGGTCGATCAATTGAAGAGTGAACGAGACAGTTTGGCTTCCGACAAGAAGGGAGGACCCAATGCTACAGCGACGCTTGTCGAGAAATATGGCAAATGTCAAGAGATCGTCGGACGTGGTGCTTTCGGAATCGTGAGAATATCCCACAAGCGGACAGAGAATGGCACTGGAGAGCAATTGTACGCTGTCAAGGAATTCCGCCGTCGCCCGGAGGAAAACGAGAAGAAGTACAGCAAGAGACTCACTTCGGAGTTCTGCATATCTTCATCGTTACGACACCCCAACGTGATTCACACTCTCGACCTCCTACAGGACTCGAAAGGCGACTACTGCGAAGTCATGGAATTCTGTGCTGGTGGTGATCTGTATACGTTGGTTCTGGCAGCTGGCAAGCTGGAAGTCGCCGAAGCAGACTGCTACTTCAAGCAAATGATGCGAGGTGTGGAATACATGCACGAGATGGGAGTTGCACACCGAGATCTGAAGCCAGAGAATCTGCTTCTCACGACCCGCGGCTCATTGAAAATCACCGACTTTGGAAATGGCGAATGTTTCCGTATGGCTTGGGAGCAAGATGCACACATGGTCACTGGTCTTTGCGGTTCGGCTCCCTACATCGCACCAGAAGAATACATCGACAAAGAGTTCGATGCTCGGGCCGTCGATGTCTGGGCTACTGGTGTGATTTATATGGCCATGCGAACTGGTCGTCACCTCTGGCGTGTTGCCAAGAAGGAAGAAGATGAGTTTTATGAACGGTATTTGGAGGGTCGACGAGACGAGGAAGGATATGCTCCTATCGAGTCGTTGCATCGGGTAAGCTTCTTCCTATCAGAGATTTAAACCACAACTAACAAAAGTTCCAGGCTCGCTGCCGCAACGTCATCTACAGCATCCTCGATCCCAACCCCACCCGTCGTATCACCGCCTCCCAAATCCTGAAGTCAGAATGGGGCAGAGAGATAAAGCTCTGCAAAGCCGGCGAGGAAGGTCTCTGACGTTAGTAGTACGAGCACGAAAGTTACGTCTACCATCTCCAGGACAATCCAAACAGCTTTCACCTTGCTCGAGAACCCACACCCACATTTTTCCGCACTTGAGAATCTCCCAGACCTTTTCATGACTTCACGACAACAGGGGCACAAAATCAGTGTGAGCACTTTAGCATGGCTTGTGGATGGGCCGCCGGACGGGAATTATTGAAGCACAGGTGTTACAGGCGTTTTCCCTTCTTTTCCACTCTCTTGCTTGCTTTGTTTAATAGGTGTTGTGGCGAATTAAATCAGGGCAATTATCGAAACAGGGGAAGTCAAACTCAGTACCCTCGATTGGGCAAACGGTCGCTTGGGTTTGGGTGGTTCTTTTTTAGCTTCAGATTCGATTCTTTCTTTAGCGGATTAGCATCTACTCAGCCATAAACCGTGCCTCTGCGTCGTCTCCCTCTGCCTCGCAACAGTGCTTTTCTTTTGTTGTTGCTGGGGTAGGGTGAGGTGAGGGAAGTAGTGTATGGGAAGATTGAGTCTTGAAAGAAGCAGAGAAAGGCAATTGTAGATAGCATGTCATAGCTCTTGTAGAGAGTATTGGAAAGGAGAGTTGTTGACTAGTGATTCTCTTTCCATGGAGTCTCAATTTAGTACCTGTGTCTATCTGTCATGGAAGTAGGTAATCAAAAAATCCCCAAGATTTGTCATCGAAGAAGGAAGAAGAAGAGATATGGACTAAGGGAGTTGAGTTGCTCCACATCCTGCAGAGGACACAAAGACAGGGAATGGGATGGGAAGGCAAGGGAAGGCCCGATATGGGGAAGGTGGGGTCATATGCGGGGTACGTATACTTTCACCATTTATTTCACTTTTCTTTTGAGATAGACAGGGCTTGCAGCTGAGTACACTCCATCGTATCGGTAAGCACGAAGCTGATCTCTAGGAAAGGATCATTCAACTCTTGGACGAGGAACAGAAACAAAAACAAAAACAACAGGAAAGAGGTACGTTCAACAGCCGACTTTCGGAGGATATGTATTTGCTTTTTCCTATCCCTTTCTATCCCCTCCTACCCTATCATCTGGTACACAAACCAGAGATTAACCCACTAATACCCTCTGTTCTTCATCCCTCTCATTCATCTACAAGAAGGAAAGCACAACCCCATGGAATGTTGAGCCCTCCGAGACATTTCATTGCCAAGTCATAATATCCAAGACATGCATGCATGCCGAGGTGGGTGGGACATCCCGATGGATGTTTGAGACTCGAGATTTCACCTAACTCTTGATCCACACAAGTGTTGATCCTGCTTTTAGAGATTCTTGGTAGATTATTGTTCGGGCTTGGGTTGGGGATATTTGGGGTATTGGGTTACTGTGATATTTCTGTATAGGTTTGGACATTGAGAGGAGCAGAATGTACGTGAATCTTTGGTAGCTTGACACTTGGTCACTGTTCCTCCTTTGGTTGGGAAATCAAAGAATGCTATTGTCTGTATACTTTTCAAGACTTTTCCATACTCGATTTACGGTGGACAGTACGGAAATTCAACGCTTCACTTTCTCTCAACGGTCATTCAGTGCTTGGAAATTGAATCAATTCCTAAAGACAAAACTCAAAAAAAGCACTCACAACCCAATCCCATCACTAGAGTACAGCAACACCAATCACTCCATACAACGCCACTTCATAGACATCCACTTATATCAGAAACAAGGACATGTATATCGAGCCGGCCGAATCTTGTAATCCAGCAACAAACTCAAAAACAAAGATTATAATCCGGTGTCTTTCTGTGCTTTCATCCCACCTTTCCATCCATCTCATGCCGTCATCTCATTCATCTCTTCCCACCCCAACCCTTATATGAACCATATCCACTGTCCGTAATCCCTTGTCCCATATCCACAGCAGGATACTCAACTCCAACCCCCCTCCCCACTTTATTAACGCCAGTCCAGAACCAGCAGACGCAAGTATAGTTGTGATATTGATGTTGCAATATCAACGACTGAGAAACGTAACCTTGGTATCGACATATATAAAATTCCGGAATCCATATCGAATAACGGACAGAGCGAAGAAAGTATACTAATTCCAAATCGAAGACGTGGCAAACGAAACACACTAAGAATGGAACAAATCCCAAGCTCGAGCGCACAATTGAATGAATTCGTCCTTCTTTCGCTGTTGACTCACTGGGCTGTCTCGTCCTTCGCCAAAGGGCCTTCTTCTTTGTGCTGATGGTCCGGTGCCGAGTGGTGGACTGCCACCTTCTTCGTACTCAGCTCGAGGTCTTCTCCTGCCTCCTCCACTACGGCTTGCTTCGCCTTGTCTCATGGCATTTCCGGTAAGAGGTGAAGGCGGCGTGGGAGGTTGGTGACCACCATAGTGGACGAGCTTAGGCAGTAACTCAGGTCGACCACCTGCAAGTTCCACCTGAGCATCCTCTGCCGATCGGTACTCTCGTGGTCGAGCTGATTGTGGAGGTGGGTTATTATTGTGCCCTGGTGAAGGAAATGTCGGTCTGGAGTTGGAATGCGAGGAATTTGACGCCGATCCCGAGTTGTTCTGCTGAAAGAAAGATGCACGGCTGCTATTAGCTGCTTCTCGATGAGCACCAAGTCCTTCGGCGGCGAAGACGTCTGTGATGGGTGGAAGACGATTCGCTGTCTGTGTGGCAGGAACATGATGGATATGCGAGGTGTTGGAAAGATTAGAAGGCTGGTTTGCAATGTGCCTTGTGAGAGGATGTGGTTGATGTCGTCCTGTAAACGATTGATTAAGTGGTGCAGATTGAATTACTCTCTCATGGGCAAATTGTTCGTGGGATGGAGCCACAATGCTGAGTCCTGGAGGTGCCTTTCTCTTGGTTGTCCCGGGTGTCTTGGCCCCAAAACCTCCACCCAACTCCCGCTCCTTTGCACTTTCCATGGGTGCATCTCCGGGTTTGGCTGTTTGTTGTAACCGTGACTCGATGATATGTCTCTGCTGCTCTCGGACTGATATACTTCGTTGCAGCTGTTCCCTCATCGTAGGGTCTTGGGTGACAAACCCAGGCGATAGACACGCCAATCCGACGTCCTGAATTCCGAGCCCGCCACTTTCACCTCTCGATGTTAATTGACCTGCAGATGGTCTAGCTGTGCCGGGGTTGACGCTCGAGGTGTTCTTGGACAGATCGAGCTTTCGTGGGCGGTGTCGAGAGGTTGGCAAGTCTGGCGAGCTTGGAGGTTCCTTTTTCACGATTATTTTTGGCGGAACCCCGTTTCGAGACCTGCAGAAATTGCGATGTTAGTGTCCAGACCTACCGAGTATATACAATGACATTCAGGGATGAACGTACGCATTTGGAGAGCTTTTTGCTGCAGCAGGAGCCTTGGGACTACCGCTTCCTGTGCGTTGTGCAGGTTGGTTCGGCGTCGCCGAGGCAGAAGTGCGCTGTGCTGGAGGGGAATTCGAGGGCTTTGAAGGAGCAATGTCGACATACGACGACCTGTCGTGGGGAGCAGGCGACGGAGCCATTGCGATGGCAGTACTCATGATGTCTGAATGTTGAGTGAAAGCTGGGATGGGAGTTTACGCTCGTCGGGCTAAGATGCTACTACTGTTCGCGCGACTTCCTCCACGAATTGAGCCTGATGTACCCTTCCTGGCCGGCTGCAATATCGGGTTCGTGCGTCCTGTATTTTCTTCTTCTTGTTGAGACTTGGTGCCACCAAAATCAGAGTGAACTGCTGCTGGCGAGTCGACTATTCTTGCGGGTCGCGCTGTTAAGAGAGATGAAGGAATGAGGATCGAAGCCCAAGGATCTAGCAGAGTACAGTACAGTAGTTGGTTGGTGGCTCTTTCCTGTGACTTCCCGTGCAGAGCAAACAAACAATCAACAACCAACGACAGTATGAAGTGAGTGTTGTGCTGTGTTGTGCTGGAAAGAAGGTGCGACGAGGACGAGCGAGAGAGAGGGGTGAGCGGTGGTAAATACAGTAGACGACAAGTTTTCTATGCGCGGTGAGGGTCTCGTTGTTTCATAATCAAGGAGGAGCAAGATGGTCTGAGCCCGTCGCACGATCACAGGCCAATCACTTCCCAGCGCGACCCTTTAGAGCAGATCCTCACAGTCAAATGCGACAGTCAGTGCAATGGCGAATATTGAATGATGGAATGAGGGCCGCACGATGTGTGTTCGTCTGGCTGGAGATGTTTTACGCCCCGAGGATGCTGAGTAAGGACGATGGCGGTTTTGTTTTGGACCCGGTACTTCGCAAGAAGAAAAGACGAAGAAATAAAATCGTAGCCTGCGGCAACGAAACAGTGCCAGTCAAGGGTCAAGGGATGTGCATCTGAAAGTCTGAAAGTATTTTGGTCGTCAAAGCCCCGATGTTTCTTGTAGATATTAATATGAGTAGGCCCCATCTATATAAGACCCCCCTAATTCTCCTCCAAGGCTCAAATGAGGACCCGGAGGATACCCATGAGGGGCAACAGCGAGTCTCTGTTTCTTGTCTCGTGTACTGAAAACATCCACCAACTTATGCTCGAAGCTGACCCATATGACTCTGTCTACTTGGAGAAAGTGATTGGATCTGGAGGGTTTTGGCTTCACTGGTCTGGCAGACGGGTGTCTGAAGGCTCCGAGTGGTTTGCCCTCGTTCGTTGACCTCTTTTCCGCCGCAGCTGGCAATCAATCGAGAGCGCGCCCAATGGTAACACAGGGTCAGATACCACGCAGTTGGGTTTCGCGTCGAGCTCACAAGGCCGAGTCGAGTCTAAAATCAATAGTCTGGATCATGGATCCTGCATATCCTATATTAACGGTATTATGAAAGAAGTTCTCGGCAGGCGTTTCTAATATATATCGCACGGGAACATGCAAACAGACCTGAGCGCATCAACTCTATTCGCGGACTGGACAATCTGGTCTTCAGCCAAAGGAGGATTATACAGTACGGTACTGTAAACATCTGTGAAGTTGCGACGATATCTGCCCGATCTCAGAAACGGCCGTCCCCCCCAGAGTGGCGAGCATTCTCCTGAGCTATCGAGGGAAAAGGGGGGCCCCTCGTATCTTCCTGAAGCTGTTCCCAAACCTTACCGACCAAGAAAAGGAGCAGGCTCGTCATTTTCCAGATTTTGACATGAATCTTCAAGATCTTGTGGCCAGTGAAGAACCCACCCATCACCAAGTGATTGGTATGCCAGCAAACCCTGAAACTCTGAGCTGGGGATTCACACACCATGCTCGACACAACTGCCCAACCAGCATCTGCAGAAAAAAGGGCGGTTTCATCGCGGCTCAGCCTCGTCCAGAGTCCTCCTCCAATCAAACCCACTTTGTTTCGCAGTCCCCGGACAGGAAAGGAGTCACGGCGGCCACTACTTGCGAAAAGCTTCGCTCTGATCACTGCTGCATCTTGCGTCCTGCCTGTCTCAAACCCAAACTCACAGGACCACTCGTAAAATTGTCTGCGCATTTACTTGTCGGAGGCTTGTGCCATCATGACGCTCTGTCTGCGCCACCGTCTCTGCGAATCTCAATATCGGAAGACCCATCGTCATATCGTCCATCTTCAGACGAACAAGAGAGATTGCGACAGGCACAGATAATGCAAACGATGTTGCAACTGTGCTCCCTCGATCCAACTTTGCGAGGCACGGCAGCCGTTTGTTGACTTGTTCATGTAGGTTGCCGCGCGGTAGGAAATATTGAATCGTGAAAGATGACTGCTTTGGGAATGTGAGAAAAGCAGACTTCTGCAACCATGACGTCCAGTTATGGACGCCCCTAATCGATAGAGATTTGATCCCCCGCGTTGGTGTTTGGGCAGTGGACGAATGAAAGGTTAGAGAAGCTTCGATTGCCGCCGTTTGGCACACCTTCTTTCCATGTTCTTTGAGGCGTGATAACGGCAGAGAAGCCATCGGCCAGTATCTGCGTATACCAACAAATCAAAGTATATTTGCTTGTTCTGAATTAATGTTTGGTGGGATGTGGGGAAATCTGAGCTGCAGTTAATCGCAGTTTCGGTGATAATCTTGGAGGCCTGAGGCAGTAGTTTCTGCCTGATAATTTTCTTATCGAAATTTATCGCAATCGGAGCTGTACAATTCTAGTGACAATTTCGCAACTACAAAACATATTGCGGAGAACGACATTTGCAGAAGAAATGGCTGCAGTATCGGAAGATGTGTCTATGAGCGAGGCTCTAGGTGCTGTTAGAGATAGCCCAGCTCCAATGGCAGACGCAACAAGCCAGGAGCAACGTATTCGAATTGTAAGCTGCGGCGAGGAATTCTGTCGGAGGACCTAGCTGAAAGATGATAGCTCCCAGGTTCTACGGAGACGGCGGCCTCTTTTGAGTTCAAGAACGAAGACCACACCTTGGGAAATGCCTTGAGGTTTATAATCATGAAGAAGTAAGTTAGAAAGACCCCGCATACGGCCTTATATTGCCTAGTAAACGTTCATATATTGTTAGAAATGTCAGCTAATAGGTCAATTCTGAAATAGTCCTGATGTCGAGTTCTGCGGTTACTCCATTCCTCATCCCTCCGAAGCAGTCATGAACATCCGGATCCAAACATATGGTCAGTGGAAATGGTATGTGGTAGCAAGTCAATAGCTGATGGAACCACAGATAATACAAGTGCTGTGCAAGCACTGGAGAAGGGCCTCGATGACTTGATAGACCTTTGCGACATCGTCGATGACAAGTTCAAGCAAGCAAGGCAAGATTTCGTGAATAGAATGGATTGAAAATTGGGAGACAAGGAAAAGCATAGCATAGCATTGCATGGCGCATGGGCATGGAAAACTTCAGAGTTCGACTCGTTTATTGGGATATGTACAAAGCTATGGAACGACAATGAAGCTCAGTTACGACCCTAGAGAGAGGTTAGCTTTTGCAAGTATTTGCAGAACATGATAGAACATGCCTCCAAGAAACCACTCATGAAATTCTGTGGTCGTCGTGCATTTGGGTCCTCGTCTGCTCTGAAGTACTTGAGGATGTGTGGTAACTGCTTCCAGTAGTTCAATGTTTCCTGCAGATCTCTGGTTAGCAAAGTTTCCTGGACCGCTCAATCCCTCTTCTCTTCTAGCCTAGCCAAATACTGGAGAATTGACCCCTCCATGAACATATTCATTCATAATTCTGTCCACTCCATGCATCAACTAACGACCCCAAGCCATTTCAAGCCCAAGCCCTTCTTCGTTCGCTCCCAAAATGAAATGGTTCACAAACCTGATATTCCGCATGGCTCTGAAATAGCAACATATCCACGACCCCGATTTGATTAACAAATCTATGTCTTTCGAATTCCTGCCGCATCTTCGTCCTCAATTGTGCAACAGGGATGTTGAGCGAATACATCGTCTGAATCTCCGGGGCCTTCATCTGATCAGCTACTGGTTTCTTCACGCTATGGCCCCTCCCTAGAGCTTTTCTCTTTGTTTTTGTCTCTCCAGAGTATCGTGGGATAGCAATGTAATGCGAGTAGACGTACAGATCTGATCCATTCTCGATAGCTCCTCAAAACCCTCCGCTGTGCATCAGACCAATTGACCGCTACACCATATTGTCAGCTTATTTCCACAAGTTAAGACCTCAATTGGATCACATAACGTACATTGGCGCGTCCGCTGCGCGAGATAGGTAGGATTGATGACCATCGTGCCTTTGGTATGCTTCTGTCTAGGAGCTGTCGTTGCTTGAAGCTCGGATGAGGTTGATGAATCGAGATCACGTGAAAGCTTTAACCTTAAATCGACGAGGCGAGGAGGCTGAGAAATTATTTCTAGATCCTGCCTTGGAACCCGCCACCAAAACAACAACCTGCGAGTACAGTTCACAGATACCTATGCACTATCTGCAGACATCATAAGCGTCTAGTACTTATTCTGCCTCTTTAAGAGAAGGTCTCCAGACCAAGAAACGATGCCAGCCATCCGCCATGCCTCAAAGCGCAAAGCTCCCCCAGCTGGATTCAGCGATATCGAAGATGACCTTCTTATCTTCTCCAACAAGATGAAGGATGCCGAGAATGCTCCTACGACCAGTGTTCCCAGGCACCAAGTACATTGGCCCATCTTCCAGATCTCGCATCAAAGGAGTAGATATGTGTATGAGCTCTACTACGAGAAGGAGGCCATATCGAAGGAGCTCTATGAATGGTTACTCAAGAACGGTTATGCAGACAAGATGCTGATTGCGAAGTGGAAGAAGACTGGATATGAGAAGGTCAGTTTGTCTCTGTTCTATTCAGAAGATGAAAGGCTAATTAATCCTAGCTATGCTGCCTGCGATGCGTGCAAACAAAAGAGACGAATTTCAACTCTACATGTATATGCCGGGTCCCGAAGGCGCAAATGAAGGAAGACCAGGCAGTCGAATGTGTGAGCTGCGGATGCAGAGGCTGTGCTTCTAGTGACTAGGGAATACAAGGGCGGAGGAGAGGTTACGAAGAACATGATAGCCTAACAATAGGGCACTCTCCTGCAGACATTTACAGGGAAAGTTGCAGGTTTTGATGATACCAAGATAGGCGTTTGGGCATGGAAGAAGACGTAAAAGCTTGGTTCATTCAAGACCTAGCAGGACTTGTCACTTTTCTGGCGTTCCAGGTATCTCTTCTACGGAGTAGCATCTTTTGCAGTCCTCTTCTGACAAGACAGTAGATATCATAAAGCAACTGGGCAGTATAGCCTTCCATTCACGTACCACATCTCAAGATCAATACTTGTGCCACTTCATGTGCGATGAAGATCAATTACAGAGAGCTTCATTTGTTACATACAATTTAACATTGACTGAGTGGTCAAGGTGTGGTGTTATTCTTGTTTTGTCATGTTTAATCTTGAGGATGTGTCCTTATCCATGCATCGTAATTCAGCCTTGACGCTCGAGGAGCATTCCCGCGTATTTGATACGATTCAAGACAGATTGTCGGCCTGCCCGCAAGACTGGAACTTCGTGTAACATCATCTCCTTTCCGCGGGAAGACTTAATTAGCTTGAGTACCTGTCTTGCTTACAGCACTGTTCTTGACAACTATGCAGCTCAGTATTGAAGTTTCTACACTGATACGTCTCAATGAGTTTGAAAGTTGATCTGATGCTGCTGTCAAATTATACGTTACTATTACACAACACAAAAGTACTCTACCAACTCTTAGGATGATACCATATGCCAAGACTTCCACCAGAGGGACCCAACTTACGAAGCAATATGTTTTCTTCTTTTCTAATACTGTTAAGACATGAGAAGTCTAGAACACGGGTATTCGGCAGTGGCATTTTCGAGACTCGCACCACTATCTGATGATGCTAAAACCATCGTTATCTTAACATCCATCTTCATATTTCTGCAAGCCACGGCGCAGTGAAGATGAAATGAGGCTTGTCTAGAGGTATGAATCCAGAAATCAGATTGCGAAAAGCAGATTTAGCGCATGTGACCAATTAGAAAGTTAAGAATGGTAAGGCATATATTTTGCTATCGAAAAGCAGAACTGCTATCTTTCAGAAAGACCGTCGAAAGGCACCACAGAAACAAACTTGTCATCAGAGCCTCGCGGGAACACTATCTGGTGAAAAGATCTCGAGGATGATCTTAAACACATCGAAAATTGGTGTATCTTCTGAAGCCTCAAATTGTGCTCAGCCGATATAGCTTCCGCAAATGGACAAAGATATGCAACAGCTACTTGTTCTTGGTCCGGCCCCCACGGACGGCACCAAAGACGTTCTAGATTGGACTAGACTTTTCCACCGTCTCCTAGGATTAGGAACTGGTGAACCTTCCGGAAGACTCAAATGCGCCCCGACCTGCAAGTCGACCAGGTTTCTCGGTTGCTGGAGCCGGACTGCCGGTATGATTGGTCAATGCTTGAACGGCGGTGAGTTGAGGGATTCGAGAAAGGTCATACCGCATCGCCAGATCCCCCTTTTTTTTCAAATCATCCCACGTGCTCAACCGAAAACGTGGGGGATCAGAAACCTTGAGCCTTTGTGGTGGCGGTGTACAGTTGCAATCAGACTATCAGACAGATCTGAGAGAGCTTTGCCCCACCTCATTGGTACTCATCGGGAGGCTCAAGCGGAAAGTCGATCACAAGGTCGAGTTTGAGATTGAGTCCCCGGAATGGCGTTCGAATTAAGCCCAAAGGAGTGAGACATTGGCTCACGTGCACATGTACCATTTCCGGCAGAGGTCAAACATATTTCTAAAGGGTACAAATAATGTCAAAAGTCGACCCAGAAGCCAGGACTGCGGGTACGTAATGCGATACCAGGTTCAATATCAAACAAAGGAAATGGGGGCGTGAAGCCTCGACCCACGTCGTACTGCAGGGCGGAAAACAGGGCTTGCATGTTGCACCGTACATCTCACGCGGACAGTTTCTCAGACTACTCATTTCCCTTGAGGATATAATGCTTTGTTGGGACCGCCCAGTTTCTTTTCCTTTCCTCTTATACATTTCATTTCATGCGTTTGCTAGTAAGGAGCACTATTGAAACATACGACGTACAGGTAGCCAGCAGACAAGGGAGAGCATATATACTCTCCATAGAACCTCCATAGATCTATACCCATCCGCCTTCGAGCACCCGGTTCCCATTCACTTCAGCTTTCCAATCTCTCCAAGGTCGACAAGCCTTTGCCGACAGCAAAGTTTGCAGACTATTACCAACAATGCCCACCGCTTGTCCAGCAACAACCACCAAGATGCCATCTCTCGAGCTGATCCATGATCACATGGCAGTCACTCATGCCAAAAAGGCCAGTGTCACAGTTACCATCGCTCCAGCACCAGACTCAGGCATCGAACCAACTCTCTTGACCCTCCGACCCGAACTAACCTACCCACCACCCCTCCGTTTCTACTTCGCCTACGGCTCCAACCTCTCTCTAACCCAAATGTCCCGCCGCTGCCCAACAGCAACCTACCACTCCTTCGGCATCCTGCGCAACCACACCTGGAAGATCGGTCCCCGGGGCTACGCCAACGTCGTCCCCACCAGCGCCTCCTGTTCACCCTCCAGCACTCTCCAAAAGTCCAGCGGTGCCCACAAACCCGTCGTCTACGGTGCTCTCTACACCCTAGAGGCTAGCGACGAAGAAGCGCTCGACTACGCCGAAGGCGTCCCGTTCGCGTACGAGAAGCGGGATCTGTTCATCGAGGTCCTGTCTGTGGCGGATTCGAGCTCGTGTGAGGTGAGAGTGGGGCAGATGGTTAAGGCGTTGGTGTATGTTGATGTGAAGCGGACGGGAGAGGGGGTTTGTAGGGAAGAGTATTGCGGGAGGATGAATAGGAGTATTAGGGATGCGAGGAAGATGGGGATGCCGGAGTGGTATATTCGGGATGTGATGAGGAAGGGGGTTAGGGAGGAGGAGATTTGTGAGGATATGCCTGAGTAAGTGAATTTTCTTGTTGGTTCTGTTGATTTTGGAGTTTGGTATCTCGCAGAGGAAATGATTTTGGACTTTGTTTCTTCATAACCAGTTTCGAGCTGTGCGTGGTTGGATGAATTTGCTGCATTACATGCTCTCTTCTCTTTTTTCTGCATATATACAATTCTCACTAACATCTCAAAGTCCATTCCACCCAGGAATCCTGTATTAAACACATCCACGTGGACTGTCAAGAGACTAGTATGGTTATGAAAGCCACTACGTGGGAGAGAGATGGGCAGAAGACCTTGTCAGTCAGCAATTGAAGATAAGGTCAGACGAAGTTGTGGACAAGACGGTTTCAAGTTCGGAGGGCTATGCGCTTTGCGTAATTGTACGGTAGTTCTTACTTACTGAAAATCATTAGGAGTTTGGGAGGCTAGAATAAAATCTTAGATTCAACAACTCGAACCCCCTACATCACATAAGATCTATACAAGCCATATCTAAGGAACGCCCAAAAAATCACTCCAAGATACAACAAAACTTCAGCCCAATATCCCGTACCTCACCTCCTCAACCTCCTCCAAACCACCAGCCCTACAATCACTGCACTCCCAACCCCACCAACCCAGCCCGCCGCCCTCTTAACCCCCTCCCACCTCCTCCCCGGAACCCCAAACATCTCCCTCCAAGCCCTCGCATCATTAACCCTCGGAAACTCCCTCTCCTCACCCTTCACCACCACCGTCCCATCATCCCCCACCTCATCCGGGATTTCCCTCCCCAAAAACCCACAAAGCTCCCCCCACCCATCCCTCCCCGGCACGAACTCCAAGAACCCCTCTTCCCCCTTCCCTCTCCCCAACATCCTCACCCGCTCATTATGCTCCTCGAAAACCCTAGCTCCGAAGCGCGGGAAATCGCCATAGAAATAGGTATCGAAGAACGTTTCCATCATCCGCGCTACGGATGAGAAATGTTTGTTGTAGAATAGTTTGTCGATTGGTCTTAGCGGATCGCTATTGTCCATCAATATAAATACCTAGGAAGGGAAGGGAAGAGAGAGGTGGAAAAGAGGGGAAGGGAAAGGGAAAGGGAACAAACGCCTGACTCCCCCAAATAGTGCCCCTCATACTCCTTACCCAGCCTTCCGTTTCCCTAGTCGTCAGTATAATCTTCGCATCTGGATACGCAGCTATAAGTTCCGGACCGAAGCACGCGGCTGGGATATCAGTTACTACCTATCCTGCATCAGCTATCCGTCCTTCTCCTCGTTCAAGAAAGAAAACTAACATCCCAGCCTTTTAAAATCCTTTCAAAATCCTCTTTCCCAACAACATCTTTGTCAAGCACTTCTCCTTTCTCCCCGAATTTCCGCTCAAAAGCCTCAGTCCACAAATCCGCGTGTCCGGGCGATCTCCACACGCTGGCCATGTGGTAGACATTATAGCCCAATTCCGATAGGGCGGCTTTGAGGGCTATTCTTGCTTGATCAGCTTTATATCCCCTACGAGCAAGAAGTGGAGGGGGAAAGGGGAATGAATGTACAATAAGTGCCCGTCCTACATAATCCCAAAACGAGGATCTGTAGTTCCTTTTCGGTTGATTTCTCCATTCCTCTCTCTATCTCTCTTTTCTCTTGCTCTTTTGCTTATAATCACGAAATCCTTATCAATCTTATCAATCTAAACCCGTCTCTGCTCCCTCGTCCTAACCCCCGTTCGCGCAAAGCCGAGGACGTAGATGCCTTTCACAGCAACAGCTAGCACAGCTAATAGGAGTGTGGTGTAGATGTATGATAACGTTGCTTTGAACATATCTCTTTCCTGACCTTTGTGCCACTTATATATGTGGATGAGCTTGAGTAGGTGTGACGTGAAGTCAGGTGCCGTCGGGTAAAATGGAGTTTTGATAGGGATGTGGATGTGGATCTACCTACCTGCCTTTCTTGGCGGACAAGATCGCCAATGACGGTGGGGATACCCTTGGTCTTTTTAATCCAGACTTTGCACTTCATTTTTTGGGGGGTTTTTGGCAAGGCTATCTTGTACATGTGAATGCGTTTTAGTGGCTACTCAGACATGTAATTGTGTTTCTTCCGGCATGTCAAAGCCTGAAAACGAGTTGCCCGTTTCCAGTGAACTCCAAGGCTAGCCTTCACACCACAATGTTCCCATCTAGCATGCATTCAAGATCAATATCGAATCTGATTTCTATATGGTAGTGGTAGCTGTTCTTTCCAATGCCATTTATCTCGTCAACCAAAAAATAACTTGGAATATCAGTTGCCTGTTAAGAAAGTGTTCCCTGCATCACTCTCATATCCAACGTGCTGCTGCGATCAAGTCAAAAGTCGACAGCTAGATTCTTTTCTGCTATATTATATCTTGCTTGTCCTTTCTGGCTGATATTTGATTTCGGGCTGAGAAGTAACAAAGACTGGGTTTTGGAGCAGACTTACATGCAGGTTAGAAAGTCCACAGCCAAGTGATGATTATAGTTAACCCATGTTTCTACATAACAGTATTAGCGGGCGCTGAGGTAGACAATATCTGAGAATTTAGCCGACATCTTGACACTGATGCTGGTATCGAGAGGTGAGAAGAACAATTTAATAGAGCTCTAGTTTTTTGTTCTGTTCATTGCTCAAAAGCTAGGTATAGCATTGGATATCATTCAACTACACAATCATACACCTCCATCCATCTCCCATCCACCACGTCCAACCCATCACCACCACCAAATTCATATCAAACAATCCATCAAACATTATCCATCTTATCTGCGTGCTGTATGTCCGCCCGCTCGTTGAAAATCAACCCCTCCCACCATCGACCATCCATACGCCATGCTATGCATCAAAACTCCCCCCATGAAATGCAAATCATCCACCCAAACTCCCCCAATCCACCATCTATCCAACCCAACCCTCTAATGCAAGCAAGCAAGCAAACGCCTTCTCAAATGCACCCACACACAATAAGATCCAAACAAAAGAGACTGCAACGCTCAAGACTCCAACCCCGCAAAAATAGCCCTCTCATCCTCGCTCAGCTCGAAGATCTTCTCATCGGTCGGTAATCTTAGTTCCGGCACGCCCGAGGAAGAAGAGTTTGACGGGACAGAGAAATCCGTACCATCTGATCGCGAGCGGCGGATATCTAGACCTACCTCCATGCCTGGGTAGAGAGTTTTCTCATCATCGACTTCCTTGAAGGAGAATTCGTCTAGCTTTTTTCCTAATTCTTCGCTTTTTGTTCCCAGATTTGGGCGGATGGAAAGTCGGGTTTCGGGACTACCTTCCGTTTCCTCGAAAGATAGCTTCTTGGTGCCCACATCCAAGTAGCGAACGTTGTTTCCATCCAACTCCTGGGGAGGAGGAATGGGTGTTCCATCCAATTCCTGGTAATGAACCATGGTTTTCTCATCCTTTCCTTTCAGAGTCCATTCCGAGGGCTCTGGATTCCTAACTCTGATTTTCCGGGCATGCTTCCCAATCGTGAGCATTTCGTCCTCCTCAGAACTAGTCTTCGTGTCCTCCGAGGATCTCACATTGTTTGCAAGAGTAGTCGAAGGACTAATCGCACTCGTCGTGACATCATATGGATCCTTCAGTTCGACCCTAGGAGTCGTGTTATTCTTCGCTTGATCGAGAATCGTGCCTTCGCTGATCGCAGTATTTGGCCTCAAATCCTTTTCATCCATTCTAGCATTTGCTTCGTCCACAGTGTCATAACCTTCATCACCTGATTGGATTTTAGCATTCCGTTGCAATAGCTTCACCGCACGTTGCATCTGGAGATCCCATTCGACTCCTAAGAGCCGAGCGGCATCGATAACATCCTGGGGCGTCGTATCTTTCTTCACTTTCTGAGCACCGAGACCCATGATTTGAAGCTTTTGGCGGAGAGTCGGCGGCTTGGTTGGATCAGGCTTGACCGGCGTGTTCCAGGAGTGTTCCCCCTCATAATCTGTAGATGTGAGGTGTAGTTGTTTCAATGCGTTGAAACCATCGGATTTCATGAACGGAAGTACCAATAGTGTGTAGTTCTTAGTGAGAGCATTGACGATAGACGTGTATCCTTGGAGCGTAATCTCGTTATGATCACAGTAGATAGATTGAAGGCCAGTATTTTGCTCGATTACAGAAGCAAGCGTATCAGCGCCTCTAGCACCTAGATTCTGGAACTCGATTCGCAGAGTCCGAAGAGTGGTATTGCCAATCAGTCCAGTCAAAGCATATGTGAGGCCAATGCCGAAACGTGTAGTTTCTAAATGAGATTGTTCTCCAGAGATATCGAAATAATCCAATGTCTTGTTGTCATGGAACAGCAACCGCAACTCCTCACAAGTCTCTTCATTCGCATCCTGTGGCAAGGAAGCCGTAGAGATGTCCAATCTACGGATCGTATGGTTGAATCGTAATGCTCTCAATAGCTGCCTAAAGTGGTCCTCCTTCGCGAACTCGATCATCCGCATAGAAAATTTGGAGGGTGTGTGCTGCATCATGATGGCTTTGATGATCTCGGAGATGCCTCTCTCAAGCTTGTTAGAATCAACGTGAAGCTCGAAATCGCGCACTTCTCCTGGGTACCTGCACATGGCATGCATGAGAAATGCAACATCACTGCCAGTCAGATTGCACTGATTCAAGTGAAGGATCTGAAGATTGTTGGAAGCTTCGCTGGCTAGATAAGTCGAGATGGCATCGAGGGTATTAGCGTTGAGCTAGATGTGTTAGCGAAGTTCTGAGTCGCTCTGTTATAAACTTACCGAGATCCCATCAAGATGCAACTGCTCGAGTTTCCATGTCAGCATTACCTTCGGGATGAGTATAGATTCTGTGCTTGTTGTCCAGAACGTTTTCGAGAAATTGATTACTCGCAAATTCGTATATCGACTCATAGATCTCTGAAAGCTTTCAAGATTGATCCGTCCGGGATTGTTCGAAAGGTCGATACATTCCATGCTGGTATATTGTCGTTCAAGATGTGAGATCATCTGATTGATAAGTCTATCGTCCAGTTTGCACTGAGACATCTCGATTGCTCTAATTCTCGACTGAGGCTTGTGTAATGACGCGCGCATGAATTCAATGTCGCCTTCGCCAAGCCCAATACCACTCAAGACGAGCCAGGTGACGCTTGGAAGTTCAGCAATGCCAATTGGCATCAGTGCCTCAACAATCTCGCACCCTGGATCATGATCTCCTGTCGTCTCTTCTTCAATGTCGAAGACCTCCTGAGGCGCTCTTTTCGGTAGGCAGTTGGCAAAGTCCAGTCTCTGTAACTTGTAGGATTTGAGGATCAAGGCTTGAATTTCCATGTAAAGTAATGTCTTCCTCGTGGGGTCAATATTCATATACTTCTTGATGTTGAGTCCACCACGTGTTGTGATCGCCACATGTTCATAACCCACGTCATAAACGCCATGCAAATCGTGCAAATTGATACCTCGAAACGAGATGGCTCGAAACGTCTCGTTGTACCTCAGGGATCGGAAGACACACAATAGCTCCAAAGCTGTGTATCTCTGCGAGTATCGTGGAGGACAAAGGTGGAACTCTGGACTGAAATCAGCTTCAGTATCAACTGCGTATTGTAGATTGCTAGGATCGCAGCCGTAAGCAATCATGTATGCTGTGACAGTACGATCGAAGCATCCATAGTCGTAGTTTGGCGAAACGTCCAGGTCAGAAACTTCTGCAATAGGCCGAGGTCCCCGATAGTTATAAGTAGTATCAAGCCATTGAGGTTTCAGGTAATGAAACACCTTCAAGATCGAGTACCCAATGTCCGGATTTCCAGAACTAGCCAGTTCCAGGATCTCGGCAGGCATCAGAGGTTTTCTCCACTCGAGCTGAAATCGGTCATCATCGTAATTAACCCATACTCTGACCAATGACACAATCCCAAATGAGGTCCGACTCTTCTTCCCTTTAAGTTCCAATTCTTTTGGCGAATGAAAGTCGGGCAGGGGAATGAGATGAACTAGATGCATGCCGACTACCAGATAATAGACCGCATTTCCGATTTTCTGCACGTCATCCTGTGAAGCCCTAAGACCTTTATATGCCGATAGTCTTCGTACCACGCGGAAGATGTGGAAGCAATTAGGACTATAATCGTCCACAGCCTCAACCGCAGCCACCAGATAACGAATCACTCTTTCGGGATAAGGCTCAGTCATGAGCAGCCTCGCCTTTATCGCAGCACCTCGAATTGAAGTATGCCAAAGATCAGCTTCTTTGGGATCTTGAAGTATAAGTTGCAGAGAGCCTGCCCCATGGACTTCCTCATCCAGATACACTACATCCATCGTGAAGTATGGTCTGCCATCCTCAACCTTGTAAATCGTCACAACCTGCTGCAGAGGAATTCGATTGTCAAGCTCGGCCGAGTGGTGAGAGGTCGCAGACTGAACTTCTTGCAAGGATCCTATCGACGTCGACGAAGGGTGGCGCGCATTATGACTTCGACCAAACTGATTCGGAATCTGGGGAAATGTCTCAGACGCGCGATTTTGGCTCTTGAATCGCAGGATATGCGTATCTGTCAGCACCAAATATTCCTTCTTCTTCCTAAACATGGTGGTCGCAGTTTGGACTTCTCCGTGGTACAGGACATTCCGGCTGAACGAGGAGTTCCCTGACATCTCGCCACTTCCTGCTGGCGAGATCGGTGATCCAGCAGCAAAGGTAATTTCGTCTTCCATGTGGTTGACAGATTTCCTTCCGAGCGACCCGAAGATGGATGATGGTCTTCCCTTTTGTAGTGTTCGAGGCCGGGTTTTTGGTGAATCAAGAGTAGAACTGCTCCTCACAGGACTCATTCCCCCTTCCAATACATCTGGGCTGGAGATCTGACCCAGACCAAAGATCGAAGTCCTCTTTCCCAGTTTCTTCTTGTCTTTCTTTTCTCCTTCATCTGCGTTCATGTTTCCAACATCGGTATTGATCTGAGGAAGGTGATTCGGCGAAGCTCGAGAGAGAGGATTGAAGCTCTTGCGTCGAGCGTTGCCGCCTCCATTTTCTTTGGCCGAGGGCGCCATTGCGTCTTTCGAGGTTGTTGTCCGCAAGTTCGTGGTCCCAATCTGCGAAGCAAATGGAGGCGATTATAGGAGTGAGGTCATTGGCAGCTAATCCCTCTGGAGTATGGATGCCGTGTTGCAATCCGGAACGCTAGAAGAGGCTTCGAAGTTTTCGACGTTAGCAGTGTTCTACGCTCAGGTCTGGTCTGTCCGACGGAAGGTGAACGCGTACGCAAAGGATTCGGATAGAAGCTTCACCACAGTTGTAGTGCTGTGTGCTCGTTGTTTGTTCAATTGGTGGTGGTATTCGAGGTTTCGTCGGGTATTACGAGGAGGTAGAATGGTAAGGAGCGTAGTTGTACAAGAAAGGAAGCGCGCAGGTCAAAGGAAGTTGAAGCAGGATGGAGATGGAGATCAGAAGCAGATCTCACAAATTATTGGTCGGACGTGCGTCGTTATGATGTCGTCGAGCTAAACCAGCGAGGGTGGGAAAACAAATGCAAGGCACATTGAGGTCACCAGAAGACCGAAACAAACAGGGAAACGAGAGACAGAAAGGAAGCAATTCAGAGAAGATGGAGAGGGAGAGGAAGAGGACGAGGGAGGCGAATTTTGAGTATATGTGGTATGGTGGTTATCTTTTTCTAAGTTTCCGTGGTTCCCTCAAGTCCCTTGTGCATCCGGGAGGAGGTGGTACAGCCAGCAGGGTTCGTGGCCAAGGATATGGCAGCACAGACACTCACATTTGCCCCACTTGAATCGCTCCGGTCGTCGAAGACCACCCGTGATTGGTGACGACGTGCTGTTCTATCATTAGAATCCTGGCATCGCTCACATGCGACCACTCACCATCGGCGGCGATGGCATGATCCCAACCTTCTTCAGAGCACATCCACGCCGTGACATCCTTCACCAATACGAGCCCTCTTCCAAATAGCCTCACATCGGTCCCAAGTGGGTATATCCCTCGTATCGCCCCCGGGTGCAGAGGAATACTACTTCTACTGTCGTACGCATCATGAGCATGAGCTTGGAGCAGCTGGTGGTCCTGTGCTTTGTTTCGTCGGGGTGGGTAAGAGAGATCTTCTCTTTTGTAGATCAGAATGTCATCTCATCAAAGATCAAACCCAAGAAATTTCCGTCTTGCTTATCACTGCGGGTTGGAGATTAATCAGATGTCATTCATCTTGAAGAGGACCCCGAATTCGAATTGCTTCCCTGCTCTACACATTTCTGAGTGAGTGGTGGGACAGCTCGTCATCAAAGTTTCGATTGCAAGACATGTCTCAAGCCGCTGTTTAGAATTGGACTTGTGTTGAAAACTATCTCACATCTTCACCACTTGACACTACTGACACCAGGATCTGCTTGCTATCTGATTATCTTCGGTGCTAATCAGGATGTTTCATGTTGAGATCTGATAGGCACCATCTTATCTATCAGACCTGGGGAGCGACCAGGTTCGCTTGCTTCCCAGGCGGAAAATAGCTTTGATCTCAAAGGTGGAAGTTCAGTCATAGAGTATCCGAGATGAAGACTGTCTTCAATCTGCCTATTTCACAGCTACAATAGATAGTACACACTTAGTTATGAACGACTGCCTTCTACTCAGCTAAGTAAAATTTAAGCGAAGGGGTAACCACCTCTCACGTGCTACTAGCTATCTCCTCACCTTCACGATCATCATCTCAATTTACAAAGAAGATAACTCTTAAGCAGGTTAGTGTGGATGTTCATATCTTCATTTCATAATGGTATCTATTCTACAACCTTTCTTTCATCCACCCCCCCAAACCGGTTCCATTAATCTCATTCATTACCAGCCAGTGATAACACCATCCCATGCATACATTTCATGTCCATCCTATCTCTTCACACCTCCCACCTAACCACCCTATAATCCAGCAAAGAATTGGACATCGATTGCTGGACAGAATTGCAAAAAGAAGAAGTGTATACAAGAAAATTGTGGGAAATAGCGGTGTCCTCCTCATTCATGTTGAAAGAAGTAGTAGAGAGATTTTTTCCTTCCCGTAGTGCTATGCGATGCAATGTCCAGCGCTTGCAAATGCAATATTTTTCATGTCAAAGAAAAAGTCCAACGATTTGTTTCGACAAATCTTCAAGTCATGGGATTCAAGAACGGGCTGAGGAGTAGCTCCTCAGCACTCGGTCGTTTCGTATGTTCAACCTCGAAAGCGGTCTTGAGGAAAGTCTTGGCTTCCTCACTAGCGTGGTCAGGGATCGTTGGACTGATCTTAGCTCCACCGATTTTGAAAATGGCTTGTAGTTGAGAGCAGTCAGGGAAAGGATGTGTACCCGTCATCATCTCAACGACTAGACAGCCGAGGGACCAAATATCAGCCTTGCGAGTGTATGAAGTCTGTTTGACGACTTCAGGAGCCATCCAGAAGACTGAACCTTGTAGTGAAGGGCGGTTCTTGTTGTTGCCTGCGCCGTTCAGAAGATTGGAAGCCTCGATCTTCTTGGAGATACCGAAATCCGATATCTTGATGCCACCCTTGTTGTCGACGAGAATATTGGCACCTTTGATGTCGCGATGGATGATTTCCCGACCATGAAGGTATGCAAGACCAGTGACGATTTGGCGTACGAAGTTCCGGATAAGTGGTTCTCGGAGTGCTCCATATGAGTTTAACATAGTTTGAACCGAACCACCAGGCACGTATTCGAGGAAAATGTTGAGATGTTCGGCTGAAGAGCTGGCTCCAAGGTACTGCACAATGTTGGGATGCTGAAGGTCTCTGAGTAGACTGATTTCTCGTTTCAGAGCATCGATCATGCTCTTCTTCCTAGCATCGTTGGCACTAGTGGCTCCGGGGGATGGCGCTTCAACTTGCTTCACTGCCAAAAGCTCGCCAGTGACAGCATGTAGTGCTAGATACACACTTCCGAAAGAGCCTTGACCGATGAGAGCTCCTTTCATCCATTTGCTGTCGTCCCAAGAATCTCCAGCCAAGAAACTTTGAAGCTCCTCGTCCTCATCCTCTCCATCATCATTCAGGGCTTGGGTGATGTCCCTCAAAGAACCATTTTCGGTGCTCCCGTCTTCGAAGTAGCTATTTTGGATTATGTTTCCATCCGGGTCGGTAACATTGACATTGGTCGCCGTGTCAGATCCACTGTCAAAAGAGACGTAAGATTTCCTGTTCGGCTCTGTTGGAGATTCCTCTTGGACACGTTCAAGCATGGATGATGCAACAGAATCCCGATAACGGTTACTGTTGCCTCGTGATAGATCCAGAGGTCTAACCTTCGCAAGTTGACTGTTACCACTAAGCCATGTGTCTGCGATGGTGGGCATTGGTGGGGCATCAGCAACGCTAGAGGCAAAGCTCAAGTTGCTGGCGACGCTGAGGCGGCTGTTGACCTTACTGAGTCGAGTTGATCTCCGTAAAGATAATCGTGCAGTACGGTCGATCTCTTCCCGAGGATGATCTGGGAAATATGTTGTCAAGTCTGAAGTAATCAATTCACTCGGAGGCCTTTGGCCAAAGAATTGTCGAAGAACCCCATTCTTTCCTGCCTTATGTCTGGCAGTATCCCTCGGTCGTTCAACCGAAGGGGGTCGTTCAAGGTCTCTTGCGGCGTTGTTGACATTTGCTGCACGCTCTCCAGCGGACACAGCTGAGCTCGTTGATACGAAGGAGGCCGGCGATAAAGGATGCTGTAGTCCATCGTTCCAGCTCTCTCCGAGAACCTTCTGAACCTTCAACTGACTCCGCTTGTCAACATTTTCAAGAGCTCGATGATGGTTCGCAGCGGCTTCTTCCATGGCGATACCTGCAGCACGTTGTAGTTCGGCCTCGCCTGGCTCGCCTTGGTGGATCTTCCGCAATATCAATCGATTGCGTTCCGGTCTCTTCTGGTCTTTGATAATACGCCATAGCTCATTCTCAGGCAACCGCCGACATAGACTGGGGTCGGCATCAACACCAGCCAGAACCCAGAAGCAGTAATTCCTGTCATGGTCCTCTCTGTACCCAAACTTCCTCAGTGTTACTCGCATCACCTCATCACAAGAATTGCAGTCGGCAACGCGGACAACTTTTGTGACCCCTCCTGATGATATCACTCTGATGATATCCTGATTCTGTGGTAGCTGTGCCATAAGAGAGCCATCGATACTCCCATTCCCACGAATATGGTGCATGGGACGGGCCGTCTGGGGAGTTTGGCTCCCGCTGGGTGTACCAGGTCTTCTACCGCTGACAGTAGCAGCACTCGATGGAATGCTCATACCATTGAAATATCCTTGTCCAGCTTCACGTCTCGATATTTCAGCTGGACTCATAACACCATGTCTCTGTCTTAAGCCTCGAGGTTCTGATGATGCTAGGGGAGAACTTGGTCGTGAAGGAGGTTTACTAAGATTTTCGGGAATGGCTGTAGGGGGATTGAAACTTTCGAATTGTCGAGAGAATCTTTTATTGGTGGGCATGGCTCGAGTGCCATTGGGAGGTCGTGGGGAGCCTGACGACGATGGAGTATAGGCATCGAGACCAGCAAAGGAGTCCTGCTATTGTTAGTATCTACAGAGCAGGAAGGGTGTCATGGCCACATACCCTATTCCGCTTCTTTTGGTTCGCGTACGCCTTTGTCCTGAGCTTTTTGATATTCAGGAATAGGCGCACGCGATCTCCAATCTTGTCGATGCCCATCTCCTGCAATACAGCCTTGTCCATCTCCAACAAATTCTCTCCATTGATGTTGTTCTTTCGAAATAGTTTCTCGTACTCTCCGCAGTTGACACTATTTAACCAATCACATACACGTTCCTCATCCCAATTCTTTGCTGACTCTGGGCCCTCGACGTCGGAGAATTCGGACTCTGTCGGGCTGGCGAAGGATTGATTCGCATTCATCATGGCGGGTACTCGTCGACTCGACTGGATAGCAGTTTGTGCGGATGATGCGGAGAGATTCGACGAATTCGACACCATGGGCGCCGGGAAGGGCGACTTGGAAGCTAACATGGCCATCGTAAGGAATGCTAGTTACGCATGGAGGTTGATAAAAAGGTGAGATGATTGGTGATATGCAATGGACCAAGTTGGGACGACAATCAAACTGGGGATGCAGCAAGAAAGGCAGCGAGGCTCTGAACGATATAAAGTGTCCCGGTGAGATGGGATCGAGGGTGTTCTAGGGATGGTTCCAGGATAGTCGTTGAGAGTGGTGTTTTTCTTAGATCTCAGCAGTGGGGTGATGTCCTCGTGGTTTCGAGGTGCTGAGCAAGCTGGAGAAAATAGACGCGGTGTTGTGTTTCGGGATGGGGATGGTTTGAAGATGAGGGAGGGAGTGGATCGTGAGGTGAGCGAGCGAATGTCGGCTGGGTGGATCTTTGGACGAGGAGAAAGCGTGGGCTTAGTGTATGCTACCGGAGCACGAAGATAATGAATCAACGGCAGCCCCTCGACCAAATTAATGTCCGACAGGTCGCACGATATCAACAACAAAGGAGGAGAAGGGAGAAGGGAGAAGGGGGAGGAGGAGGAGGTATGAGATGATAAATCACGAATAGATTGAGAAGAAAAGTGAGTTGAGGATGAGGATGAGGAGTGCAGGCGGCGCGTGTGGCATGTGAGTGAGGAGGGTGGCCGTAGCGAAGCGGAGGAGGAGTGAGGTGAGGTGAGGTTTGGTGAGTTGGGAGTCGAATGAAGTGAGTGAGTAAATCCCTCCCGTCGAGTGGAGTGCAGTGCGCGCTCGCTGTCTGTTGTTGGCGGACCGGAGGACTGGCTGGCTGGCTCACTGGACTGGAGTGGAATTTTCTGCTTTGCTGCTGCTCTTTTGCCTCTTTGCTTCAGGTGAAGGGTCTCTCAGGCCAGCAATGATTGGGCCTTGGTCGCGGTCCAAGAATCGCGCTCTCCTTCTGAAACAGCGACCGAGAGCACGAGCACCCAGAGAACCCAGACGACCGTGGGACTAGAGGATGATGGATGATGGATGATGGGCAGCGCCACCCCTGCCGGCGAGCGATACGACCGTCAAATGATTTACAGTGCAGCCCAGCAGGGTAAAGAAGACATGGCATGGACCAAGACAGCCGTGACAGACAGGACAGGATGGAGGGATGCGAGGGAGTTTAACGGAACAAGAAAATATCGAGAGTTTGGGCTTCACGATGCGCGCTGGGCTGGCCGTGTATCCTCGAGAGACACCGCTGGCGAGGACGTTTATTCGAGGCGTCTTGTCTGGTCTAGTCTTGGCCCCTACAGTCGGATGGATTACTTTGGCTGGGTACAGCATGCATGCGCAGAGAGAAGGACATGCAGAGGCTGAAGCTGAAGCTGCAGCAGTGGATCGTGGATGGTGGATCTAAGTGGAAGGACATCGCTGGCCCCATTGCTCTGGTTTGGTCCTTCAACGCCGCCGCCGTACCGTACCGTGTACTACAGCAGTACAGTACTACCATGTCAACTACTGTACTGTACTGAGCTGTAGGTATGAGATGAGCCTCCGACACGCTGCCTCCTCCGATCATCCAACCAACCAGTTTCGAACCGGGTCCGTCGGCGGTCATTCTCCTCTGACCTGCCCTCTCTGGCTTTGGCTCTGCTCTGCCTCTTCCATCGTCGCCGCTTTCGTTGCTGGATGCGATGGATCATGGATCTCGAAAATGCACCAGATGCTTGGCTTCCGTCCAGGGCGACCTTTTGTTTCGAGCTTCCCGCCAATGGCAGACTACCACCCGTCAGAGCCTAAGTGGCGCTTCCGAATAAACTCGAAACACCTGGTGCACCTGCTAAGTATCCAATGATGCCCACCGCCCGCCAGACCCTAGCATGTCCTGGAACCCCCCGGCATGACGAGGTGTGTAACAGGAGCCGTTTGAAGATGCGAAAATCGACCGAAAAGGAAACATTCCTAGGATCATCTGAGAATGTCCTGCACCGAAAGCAGAAACGCAGGCAATATCCGCATCTTCAGATTGCCAGATCTTCCAGCATATTGGGACGATCTGAATGGGGTCATGGAACATGATCTTCACTCTACGTGAGGTCACTAGAAGGGCTGTGTTCGTCTGAACAATGTCTAAGCTGTCCTAAACAGATTGAGATCAGAACGATCCTCATTTCCCCTCCTCAATGCCATCATGAGTGAGGGGTCTCGGAAGCCCCTGAATTGCTTCCTGTCAACCTGTCCGCTGGCTGCTGCTGCTGCTGCTGATCATGATGATGCTGCTGTCAGCAAATCAACAATATGTTTCTAGCTTATTGGAATCTCACGATAGGGACCATGTGAGTCGCGTCAGCCCCACAGCCGAAGCTGTCCCTGCGATCCTCTCTCAGGGGCAGTAGCAAAAAAGTGTTGTCAAGTGCTTCCTGCTTCCTGATTCCTTCGACAATAGGATCCCTCCTATCTGATAACAAACATCGAAACATCTAGGCACGTCAAAGTCCAACACCAAGAAAAAAGCCACGCAACCTGACCACACGTTCTGAATGTTTCCCAAAGCACGGATATCAGACTTGAAACAATGCGGCAACTTGATGACGCCCTCCCTCGGCCTAGAAGTGCGGGCACTTTTCCCGCATTTCAAAAAAAGTTTATCGAGGAACATCCCAGCTTTGAGCTCGGGAACGAGCTTGCTTCCAAGGCACTTTTTTCCTCCCTTCAACTAAAGCTTTCTCCAGGATGCAGGAGTTCCCAAGCTTGTGCTGGATGCAGGAACCGAGCTTCACATTTCTTGAAAGGGGTCAAAACATCATCATCTCACAAATCAGTCCATCCAGCAGCACACATGCCATCGATCCGTCTTCGTACAACTACCTGATCTTGTGCGTGCTCCTTGCTGATAATATCATGCTGACGGCAACCACCATCGGCGACTATTCCTTTCCATTGCCGTGCCGTATGCACGACATGGAACGCATGCCGAGATGAGTTGAATCACTGGCCGACGACGTTTCACACGCAATATGCTGACCGCCCCAAAAATAGGCCCCTCGTCAAAAAATTTGATAAAGTAGTTGATATGCCTCGTCCTGGTCCTCCATCCGAGAACCACCTCCTAATCTGAAGACATTTCACGTGTTGTTTCTATTTCCGTTTCTCATTTCATTTGGCAGATGTCTCCTATCGTAGTACCCAGTATCGAGATCTGCTTTATCAAGGTTTGATGCATATCTCAGGCTGAACGCGCTCGGTTTTGTTGGGACGAATCATCAGTGTCCTGACCTCTTAGCCGCCAGCGCGTGGAAAGGATCAGGTTTCGGTCATGCACAAGTCTCAGGTTTGTTTACTTCTCGTATTTCTCTCATTTCGTTGTTTCTGCTTGAGTTGGATGGATGAGTGGTTGTTCATGCTGTTTGATGTGAGTTGGGTTTTGGCATGATGTGGTTGTTCGTCAAGGGTTGTTGGTTTGATGCTGTGCAATGCTATGCTCATCTGGAGATGTGTGTGCTTTTCGGGGATTTGGGGCTGTTGGATTTTAGGTTGAGATTATGACCGTCTGATCTTCCTACTGAGCTTGAGCTAGAGATGTTCATCTGCACTCGTCAAGGGTATAAGTCCATATACGTAGGATACTTGGTTTCTTCGGTCAACTTTGGAGCCCATAAAGGCTTCATGAATGGAGACTTCAACTTGGAATTACGCAAAGTTGAAAATCTCGAGCATCTCAAATGAGGATATATTGAAATTTCTCACTACCCTCAATTCTAAATAATGGAATTTCACAGCGCGTCTCGTGATGGTTGGTGCTTAACTTACACGTCGAAAATATATTCCGTAGATCAACCAATATCCACAACGAAACCCTCTGCTGAAAACTAGCATGATTACATCTGAAAACCATTGAGGTGAGGAACCTCGTCTTCCATTCATTAACGCTCTAAATGTAATTTATGCTGTCGAATTCGACATCACGTGAATCTCGAAGTACAAGGTTCTTCTCGGCTACCACAGAGCTTCCAAGCTCTCAACTTCCAGCCTTTCGCAGCCTCGAGCTCTCACCAAGAACAATGAGGTAGCTCACCCACCCAACGGATGGCTCTCGACCCCTCGAACGGCTACGTCGCCGCACGAAGCCTGCAAGACCTGACCGAAAATGCCCTCCCAATATTCAACGTCGAGCGAGTGCAGCTCCAGTTCTCGATAGCATCCGACTTTGTGGCCGCGCAAGTCGCGAACAACGTCTTAGTGCTAGCCCTCTCAAATGGCAGAATCCTGAGGATTGATTTGGATAACCCTGCTGATATTGACGGTATGGGAGCCGCAGATTCTGGCCTCGTTCGTGTGCTGAATTGTGAATAGACATTGATCTGCCGAAGAAGACGTCGGAAGTTGGGGTCATACGGCGCATGTTCCTTGACCCCACCGCCTCGCATCTTATTATATGTACAGCTCTGGGAGAAAATTACTACCTGCATACACAATCGCGGCAGCCGAGACCTCTGTCCCGACTGCGTGGAGTCTCGATAGAATCGATAGCGTGGAATCCTGCTTTACCTACGACTTCTACTCGAGAGATACTCATAGGGGCATCGGATGGCAATATCTACGAAGCATACATCGAGCAATCTACAGAATTCTACAGAAAGGAAGAGAAGTACCTCAAGACTCTGCAGAAACTTCAAGATGGTCCCGTTGCGGGAATATGGGTGGATACAGTGGCAGACCCACGGAAGCAGGACGTTCGAAGAGTCTTAATTGCTACACAAGGCAGACTGTTACACCTGGTGGGCAAGATAGGGCGAGGAGGACATGATGGCGGTGGTTCAATATTCACACGACTTTTCGAGACGGAACAACCTACTGTACATGAGATCTCAAGAGTTTCGAGCACGGCGAACTCATCATTGGTCGTTTCTCCAGATGCTCCAGATTCGAACTCGCTCGAAAGCATAGCTACGGACCGGATATTTGCATGGCTATCTTCTCAGGGAGTTTTCTATGGCCGTTTACTTACTGCGCCGGCGTCTGAGGAGTTAGGCACGAAGGTATTCTCTGAGGGAAAGTTGTTGCCTAGATCTCAACTACCAGCTGCTGAAGCGCCAGGGAGTCGTAAGAAGACCGCAATCGATTCGATCGAGTCGATTGCCTTGACGCAATGGCATATTGTGTGCTTAGTTGGCTCACGCGTCATTGCTGTTAATCGCTTGGACGACACGGTGGTATTTGACCAAGTCGTCTTGGACCCTGGACAGCAAGCCTTAGGACTCTTTGCAGATCAGCAGAAGAACACTTTCTGGCTATTTACTGCCCAGGAGATTTACGAAATTGTGGCTACAGACGAGGACAGAGACGTCTGGAAAGTGATGTTGAAGACAGAGCATTTCGACGCAGCATTGAAATATGCCAGGGGTCCAACCCAAAAAGATGCCGTTGCAACAGCCTCTGGTGACTATCTCATCAGCAAGGGATCATACCTTGAAGCTGCAGGTGTATATGGCAAGAGCAGCAAGCCATTCGAAACGGTGGCTCTGATCTTCGTCGACAATGACCAACAGGATGCGCTTCGGAAATACTTACTCACCAAGATCACTATGTACAAGAAATCGTCTACCATGCAACGTATCATGATTGCCAGCTGGCTGGTGGAGATATTCATGTCTAAATTAAACTCCCTTGACGATACCATCATCACAAACGCTGAGTTATCTGAAACCCTCAATCCTGCTCAAACGCAAGACCAGCTAGAAACCATTCGAGCAGAGTTTCAAGAATTTGTCAAGAAGTACAAATCGGATTTGGACAAGAAGACGACTTACGACATCATAAGTAGCCATGGAAGGGAAGACGAACTGCTCTTCTACGCAAGTGCTATCAACGACTATAATTATGTCCTCGGATATTGGATGCAAAGAGAACGGTGGAAGGAAGTGCTCGATGTTCTCAAGAAGCAAACAGAGCCGGAGATATTCTACCGGTACAGCAGTGGGCTCATCACCCATGTTGCGACTGACCTTGTCGACATCTTGATGAGACATCCTGATCTCAAGCCACGAAACCTCATTCCTGCCCTGCTCGCCTACGATCGAAACTTCAAAGGACCTCTTTCACAAAACCAAGCTGTCCGCTACCTCCTTCATGTCATTAATCAACTTCATTCCACCGATGCAGCTGTTCATAATACTCTAATCTCTATCTACGCCTCTCACCCATCGAAAGACGAGAAAGCTCTACTCTCATACCTCGAAACCCAAGGTGACGAACCAAGTTTTGACTCCGACTTCGCTCTTCGTCTCTGCATCCAACACTCCCGGGTCCAATCATGCGTCCACATCTACAGCACGATGGGCCAATACCTTCAAGCTGTCGAACTCGCCCTCGCACACTCTGAAATCGACCTCGCGTCCCTTGTTGCCGATCGCCCAGTTTCCAATCCGGCTTTAAGGAAGAAACTCTGGCTAGCAGTAGCCAAGAAAGTGATATCCCAATCAAACGGTATCAAGACCGCCATCGAGTTCTTAAAACGATGTGATCTTCTCAAGATAGAAGATCTAATCCCGTTCTTCCCCGACTTCGTAGTCATCGACGATTTCAAAGAGGAAATCTGCGCTGCTTTGGAAGACTACAGTCGCAACATCGACGTCCTCAAGAAAGAAATGGACGAATCCTCTCAAACGGCAACTAATATCAAAATCGACATCACAGCTCTAGACCACCGCTACGCAATCGTAGAACCGGGCGAAAAATGCTATATCTGCGGCCTACCATTACTAAGTAGACAATTCTTCGTGTTTCCCTGCCAGCACGCCTTCCACAGCGACTGTCTAGGCAGAAAAGTCATGGAGCAAGTAGGTATTGGGAAGGGGAAACGGATCCGCGAATTGCAGGGATTGATCAGTAAGGGTATGTTGGCTGGGGCGAAGAGGGAGAGGGCTATTGCGGAGTTGGATGGGTTGGTGGCTGGTGCTTGGTAAGTTCTCTCTTCCTCTTTCCTGCAATGATTTGGGCTGAGCTAATGGAATGGGATTGCAGTATTCTCTGCAGCGACTTTGCGATTAAGCGCATTGATGAGCCGTTTGTGCTCCCGACGGATGATAGGAACGAGTGGGCTTTATAATAAGAATGGATGCTGTGTAATATGACTTGTTGACTTACTACTCTGCTTTCCGTGCGTGAATTTTGATGTTGGATTTGCTTTAGTTGACGGCTTTCTCCCTTTCTTACCATCTCTTCTGGCTCAGCCCTTCTCTCCTGCTCAAGGAACCATCAACCTCTCCTCCCATATAAGCATGCATTCGCACCTAAAGAACTCCTTCCTTACCAGAGCTCTTTCTCCTCCTTGCGCCCCATTATATACGTACCCTCTCTTCCGCGAGAAAACTTCATATTTCCTTTCCCTAGCCTCTCACAGTATCTCGTCTTCAGCGAGTATCCGAAAATATTAACTCATCTAGTATCTTATCCACCCATTGTTGCACATCGCCATCCTCTTGACCTAGGTTTACGGAGAAATGATTTTTTATATCAGGTGGTGGGCAATAAAGATGCGCGAATCGTCAGCTCCTCGACCTAAGTCAACAAACAGAGAGATGATTTTCATTTTAAGCGATGCGTAACACAAAAAGGGGAAGGATATCTCTCAACTTCTCGACCTAGGTCAATTGAAAGGGGATCACTATCTGAGGCGGTGTGCAACAAAAGGACGGATGGATACGGTGGCTCTTTTAACCTAGGTTTTCAGAGAGAGAGGATTTCGGTCTTGTGCGCTGTGCAATAGAAGTACGAAAACCATCTGAAAGCGTTCACACACGAAAAAGAGTCACCAAAGATCATCAGAAGAAAATCACAAGCTCAAATGCTTTTAATTCCCGCTCGAAATCGCCCACCTGTCCACCGGAAATGCTCTTTACAATACCACCCACCCACCTCGATACGCCAGCCCCCCATTTCCACGCCCTAATATACAACTGGAAAAAAACGCCCCCAGTGCCTTAAATACGCCCATTGCTTTCTTTCATAGTCATACAATAATACCCTATCCCAGAACTCCATTCTTGATCCCAAGTTCAGAAGGGTCGCTGATGCTTCTCTGTCGTTCGGTTCTGCCTTCACTCGCATCATCGTTATCGCTCACCATATCCTCGTCGCTACTTTCTTCTTCGAAGACGATTCGTCTTAGGAGACTGCGGTCGAAGAGCTCGGCTACGAAATGCCGGACGCCGAGACGGAAATGGTGGGATTCGAGCAGGATCATGATCTTCCGGAATAGAGCTGGTTGTTTGAAGCCTGGTGCTTTCTTGCCTTTGATGTGCATCAGTTCTGTCATTGCTTTCTTTTGCAACACTGTGTTGCCGAGGTCGGTGATGAGTTCAAGTATCCGTTGGTTGACGGGGTCGTCATCTCGCCTGGCCTCTGAGGAGGCTTTTCGCTGCTGGTCCGTCATGACGATGTCTATGACTTTCTCGTGCTTCCAAGGTTGGTAGGAGAAGAACTTGCTCAGATCCTGTGGTATGCAGAGGCCAAGTGATACGCCCATTGTAGTTGTATTGCTGTCCCAATTGTACTCGGATAAGATCTCAAGCCCATGTACGCTTCGTGAAATGAGACCTAGTACGAAGAATGCAGTTCCCCGCAGACTCATAATCTCGTGGGATTCGGCGATCTTCACGATGTTCTCAATTACATCTGATTCTTCGAGGAAAGGTGCTCCTAGCTCCATCGATCCAACATTGCCCACAGCCCATAGACATCCTTTGACTTTGAGAATCAGTTCTGCATCGTTGGACAGCATTCCGTAGTCACGAATTGTGGCAGCGAACTCTTCGAAGTGACCTTTATCACGCAAAAGCTTACAGCCTTCTTTTGTCCTGGTCAGCTCTCGATAGAAGTGCGGAGGTACGTGAGCATCGTTATCGCCTTCCATGAAGAAATTATCCTCGTCCATGCTCATTCGATTTGACGTGTCCTCCTGGATCTCAACAAACGAACGTGCTAAGCTGGCTTCGATGACACCAACATAAGTATCATTTCGTCCCAGGAACCAGTCGTCCATCTCATTGCTAATGTAGTCTAGACCGTCAAGATAGTGATACCCAATTGAGGTGGAGAGAAATCGCAGAAGTAAAGGCGCGCCAATCTCCCCAAGGTGGTCTAGAGCCGGACGGCACTGAACAATGTATTCCAGATAGTCTTTCCGATTGCAGGCTTCTTCGAGGATCTTAATAGCGGTTGCGCAAACTTCCACTTCTGGATCATACAACTGGGTAACCAGAAGCTGAATAGCCCATTTCGAATCGCCTACACCTTGGTTTCCTGGGCCACTGGGTCTTGATCGGCTTGAGTATCTTCTTAAAACATTGGTAGCATATATTCGTATTTCTTTCGAACCTGCAGTTAGAGCCTTCGAAAGAAGCACTCTTGGATGGCCTTGTAGAGTGTAATTGAAATTTGAAAGCAGAAGCTTGATGAGATCGGGTCTTTGTTTTAGGTCAATGATGTGATACATCATATTGATCATCCGCCATCTGTCAAGCATGGCAAGACCTTTCACATCACCAGTCAAAGTACCAATCATTGCAAAGTAACCAGAGCATAAGGTCTCGGAAAGACGTTCCCTGGAAAACATCGGTGATGATGCTGTCAAGCCGCTTGTCTGCGAATGTCTTAGCTTTATTCAGAAATAAAATAGAATCACTTACCGGATCACACTGTGCTAAGCACTCTGCAATTTGCCTTAGCAGCTTGTTATCGACCAGATACTTGACACCCTCCGTGGTTTGAAGAAGTGTATGCATGAGGGCGCATCCAACCCTGACATACTTGGAATGAATTCGTGTGTTTCGAACTTCAGCGAATTTGTATTTGAATGGTCTGTAGAAACTCATGATTCTTTTAATGAATTTTGATGCTTTGATGGCTTCATCAAGGCGCTTCCCATTGAGTAGGGGGCCTTCGATGACCTTTAAGATGATATCCCATTTCCACTTTAATGAATTTGAGCTTGTAAGGACTTGCGTCTCTACCAGCAGTTGCCGAAATGTCGTCTCGTCAAGTGAGAGATTTGGATTGAGTTTGGGCTGATCCTCCAAAATTGTCAAGTTGTCGCTACTGTGGTTGATAGCCAGAGCTCCAGCAGCAGAAGGAGTCGTCCGATAGAGTGTTCGACTTATACTACTAATTTGGTAGACAGTCCCCGTTGCATCAAATCTGTCCTCTTTTCCGAAATGGGAGGCTGCGGTGAAAAGCTCAGGAAGCAGTTGAAGCTGACTACTCCAGGATGACGGTAGCAGATTGCTAGCAAGTTTGAGGACTTCGCCAATCAGCAGAGTAGTTTTTCTCTTGAGCATGGAGTTGTCGGCTTCTCTCGTTACTTGTAATAACGCATGAAGTAGATCACATGAGATCAAGACTGCAAGAATGAGTGCTGTATAGTGGTCGACGAAGCTCTTATCTCCAGATTCATCATCAACAGGTTGAGTAATCTTCTGTGGAGCCGCCTTTAGATTTGCTACCCGTCCATACGTAGTGAGTCGCCTGCCCGCCAAGAACGAAGTTGCCCAGAAAGGTGATTTAATTCGAAGGAGCAAATAAAGCAAATCGATGACCGTTTCACGTATTGACGGGTTTGGTAGCATCAAGCAATGAACCAACGACCGAATTGCTCTGAAATTGTACATAGACAAAGTCATAAGACCAGACCATGATTTTAGTGCATATGCGATCGATTTCGAATTTTGCTTCAAAATGCTCTCCTTTGCAAACAGAGAGTCAGTGAAAGCTGTGAAGAGAACCTCGAGCTCGTAACCAGAACGGAGGTACTTTCGACGCTCTGGGGCGTCTAGTAGGTACAAGAATGCCGCTGTAAGACTTTCTGAACCTTCGTAAGTCCCTTCACCTAAGGCATCGGCCAATGGTCTCAGTCCACCAGAGGCCATGAGAAGCTCTGGATCACGGACCATGATTTCAGCTAAGGTTTCGATGCATATTGATCTCAGTCGGTCTTCGGTGTGTTCAGCAACAGATGCTATCGTCCTTACAACGCCCCTGGAAAGCTCTTTCACGCCGTCTTTAATGTCTAGAAAAGCACGCACGAACTTCAGTGCTTGTTCACGTTCGACGTCCGCTTTTCTTTCTTTGATAAGGGAGCTACGCAGCCGTTAGCAAGCTTCACATAGAGACAGCCCTTGTTGCTTACAGAATAACCAAATAGTCCGTGTTTAAAGCTCTGATTTTCTGCAGCGACGCAACATCTGACATAGCGTATCGCGTCATTCTGTATCCAGCTGCCACGACATCTCGACTATCACTAAGGAGCATCACTTGCATCCTTAGCCCGAATATGGACCACACAAGGTCATACTTCAGCATTGGGTATCTTTTGAATAGCTCGACGAGGTTGTTCGCATGTCCGACGTAGTAGTCCGGAGTCAATCCCTCAGTCTCCAAAGCCTGTAAGATCTCTGCAAGAGCATATGTGGGCGATTCTGCTGGCTCATCCAACTCAGAACCGCCAGCGCTTCTCGTTGCGCTGGGAGGCGAACGCAATCCACTACTGCTCTGAAACATAACTTCCATTCGCGACCTTGTTGGAGTTGTAGGTATCTTCGGTCTCTGTAGTTCTGAGATCTGGTTCCTTAGCTCCTTGATCTTCTGGTTGGAAGAATTGAGCTCTGCTTCGACGCGCTGCCGTTGTTCCTTGGTCTGCTTAGCCTTCTTCGTATTCAATGCCTCCAGCATATTCTCGCTCCCTTCTTTGATCTTCATTTCTCTATTCAAGGATTCGCGCAAGCTCGCCAGTATCTGCTCGGGTATTACTCCATCATCCTCGTTCAGACGCTCCAAGTTGACCATAGAGGCATTCACATCCAAACCAGAACCGGCTCTAGAGGGCGCAAGTTGACTGCGCATATTTGAGCTGAAGCTTCCTGGGGCAGGAGATGGAGCCAAAGAAGAGCCTCGGGGGCCGTAGGACGCGGACGAGTTGGACATGGCGCGAGTGCCATTGCCCATAGGCCCAGGTTGTAACCCATCTCGATCGGAGCTCGTCCTCCCATTGAGCGTGCTATAAGATGGCTGATTGTACAAGGACTTCTGAGTTGGCGTCGCTGACGTGCTCAGAATGCTCGGTGGGCCAACCATCTGTCCATCGAGGGGGGAGGTCAAGGTGCTTGAACTGGTGGTGGCATGTGTGTCTAAATAGCGGGATGGACCTTAAAAAGACCCAGCCTATCCACACGTTTTCTTCCAACTCATTCGGGGGTGGTCTTGCGCGCAATGTGGATTTCGATATTTTGAAGTCGTTGTCTCGTTGGAGATGGGAGGCTGAGAGATATCGCGAGGTGGGCGTAAAGCAATCAGATGCGAGCGCAGCAGATATTCGTTGCAATGGAGTTCGTAAACGTTCTGGGAGGTTTGGGTGATCTTTCTTTTCGTTAATTTCGTGGTTGCGACAGATTCTTCGGTATGTACATGATCCTGTTTCAAGCAACGTCTTCAGCATAGGATAGGGAAGCTTAAGGATTACGAAGCACGGACCTTGCGTAGCCTGTCCTGTAGCCAGTCCTGTAACCAGTGCGAGTTCTCTACAGTTTCGAAGTGACTTGTCTTGTTGAAACAATTTGTATTCTACCAAAAAGTCTGATCCGCTATCCAGCAAGTTCCTCCGGCTGAAAGTCTTGCTTCTTCTAAAGATAGATGAAAGGTTGTGGTTTTACGGTTGAGCACAGAAGCACGTTGGATGAACCTCTACCCGAGAACCAACTCTTTGCATTGGCAGCACGACAGGCCATTTGCTATCTTGAGACAGCCTCACTCATATCTCAAGGACATATCGTCACAAAGCTTGAATGCCACCGGATGCATAAATTCCGGAGAATTCCCACGATAACAACTCGTCCCATCTTCCGCCATCATATGCACGGCCTGCGAGCAACCCAGAGTGCAAAAGCAAGATTTCCCAACAGCTTGAGTGGGATGGACGTTTGCGACCGCAAGAAGACCTTTTACTTAATTGCATAGGTTTTGCGATAGTTCACCAAGGTTCGTAGATGTTTTAATGCGCTGATATCAGAGCCTCTTCTCACGCAACAATAATCATCACAGCCGCACAATAGGACAAGGAGCTTCACATCCCAACCTCCAATGAGAAAATGTGGTGGGGATCAGCCTTCCGCTACTAGGGTACATCACACCACCGCGGAGCACTCGGTAGCATCCGGGAATCAGCCTTGTATGGTTGTGATGTTCTCAACAGCAAATTCAATAATCAGAAATTGGTTCAAATCCGTCTTATCCAGAAGAAGTCTCTGCATCGATGCGGACCAGACCAAAAAAATCAATCTGCCGACATGATTGAAAGATCCATGGAAAGAAATCACAGCAAAATACTTGCGAGGCTGAAGTGTCGGCCGTCTCCGAAGTGAAGCTAACCCTGCCATCAAGCTCTGAACGCCTCGACTTGGATCTACGGGTCGTGATTCTCCTCCTTCGCAGCTTGCCGTGCCGTTAGCCACCCTCCGAGAGATAAGCAAGATAGTCATATAAAGGTGTCCAAGCTCCCCACGATAGTCCATATTCTCATCCTCACTTCAATCAAGGTACTTCATCAATTTACCAGATACAGGTCATTGCTACAAGCTTTCAAACATTTAAGCACATATCGAACATCCTACTACTCGATACAATTGTCAATTGACTTTATTTAAACTTATCACACATCTCAGCAATGGCCTCAATCGTCTCAGCACGTTATGGAAAGGACAATGTCCGCGTCTACAAGGTCGAGCGGGATGAGAAGTTGGGTACGCAGACTGTCACTGAGATGACTGTCTGCGTTCTTCTCGAGGGTGCTATTCAGACATCGTATGCTTCCAGAACCTTTAATCATCATATATCATTTCTAACCAATTCCAGATATACCAAAGCCGACAACAGTGTCGTTGTCGCCACCGATTCCATGAAGAACACCGTCTACATCAAGGCCAAGGAGAACCCAGTCACCCCTCCTGAGCTATTTGCCAGCATTCTCGGCACCCACTTCGTCGAAACCTACCCTCACATTACCACTGCCAACATCAAGGTCGTCACACACCGTTGGACAAGAATGACCATTGATGGCAAGCCACACCCACACTCCTTCTACCGTGATGGAAATGAGACCCGCAACGTCGAGGCCGTGGTCCGAAAGGGTCAGGGCATCGATATCCGCAGTGGCATCGTCGGTTTGCTAGTGTTGAAGAGCACTGGCTCCCAATTCCACGGCTTCGTCCGAGACGAATACACTACACTTCCCGAGGTCTGGGACAGAATCCTTTCAACAGATGTGGACTGTGGATGGCAATGGAAGACATTCTCAGGATTGACTGCTGTCAGATCAGCTATCCCCAAGTTTGACCAAGCGTGGAACGGCGCTAGATCCATCACCATGAAGACTTTTGCAGAGGAGAACAGCCCATCGGTTCAAAACACCATGTACAAGATGTGCAACTCCATCTTGGAGGCAGTACCAGAAGTCGAGACAGTCGATTATGCTCTCCCCAACAAGCACTATTTCGAGATTGACCTTAGCTGGCACAAAGGCACCAAGAATACCGGCAAAGATGCCGAAGTCTACGCTCCTCAATCAGGACCCAATGGTCTTATCGAGGTCAAGGTCGCCAGATCTCAAAAGTCATCCAAGCTATAGATGGATTTGCTGGATGTGGATAGATGGATAGATCGTTTAAGCAATATCACGGCCGTTTCATGATATATGTTGGAATTAGGCGTTCCGTTTGAAGAAAGAGCTTTCTAGGGCCGCATCACAGATAGGAGTTCCCAGATACCAAATTGAAATATCAATTACTACATCAAGTTCCTCTTGCATTTTCGAATTGTGGTTTCTCATAACCTTACATGTTGATAAGTGTCACACCTCGTCTCTAACTCATTGTCCCAACATCAAGTCCTAGCTTAGTCACAAGCATTTCAAATGATTGTCTTTTTTATTCGAAGAAAGAGTGAGAACTGCGTACCCTCAACAACTCAAATCATCCAGCTCAACTTTCCCCTTATCTCCCTTCTCAAACCTCTCCGTCATAACATGCACCTGAGCAACCATCTTCCTAAACCACACATCAACCCTAATCCCACACCCAAACTCACTAACCAACATACCTCAACAGCAAATCCATCTCCCCAACACTAACCTCCATCTTCAACCACACAATCCGCTCCATCCTCCTCCTCATCTCCTTCCGCCTCCCCACCCACCTAACCCTCCTCCACACCTGTCTCCATCCCATATATCGTCCCTTCTTCTTCCCTCCCCTACCTCCACCCATACCCTCTTCCTCATCCTCATCCTCCTCCAACTCCCCCACAAGCCTCTCCAGCACCTCAATCTCCCTCATCAGCCCGCCGTCTCTTTCCACAGGCGCAAGACAGCTCTCACTCCCACAGCATTCTAACACGCTCTTTAGCGTCGCTTTCGTGGCTTCGAGGTCCGATTTGAAGGCTAGGATCTCGGAGGAGGCGGAGAGGGTGAGGGTATAGAATGTTAGGTAGGAGGCGAGGAGGCCGAGGAGGAAGGTTAGGATAGAGAGGACGTTGGATGTTGTTGTTAGGGGGGTGTCCATTTTTTGGGTATGCTTAGATGAGAAGGATCAGGGAAGAGCTGAAGATGCAGAGAGGAGAGTGGGTTGAAAAATAGGAAGGGAGAGAGGTGTTAGTGTCTAAAGTGCTAGAATGTTCGAGGTTCGGTGGGACATTTTGAGACGGGAGGCTTCTCTTTGTCGTTGTGGTGTGAGAACGCATGATAGGATGTTTACAGAATAGGATGTAGTCAAGTCTGACACTAAGTATTTAAGTATAACTTACTAAGAAATACACTACCACTCAAGCATTTGAAACGGAAAGATTCCCAAGTAACAGATCACTTGCAGAAAACGCAAAAGTCACTATGTAGCAAGAAATGTATGTAAAGTTAAATTCCACAAACGCAATGAGAGCGGCTTTTCGAAAGCTCTAAGGAACGCCTAAAGAGCATACAAAGCCCAATATAACCATTCCCAATGCATAAACCAACAACCGACATTCTAAGCTCGGACCGCAGCACCCAAAGCACCACCAGTAAACTGAGTACCACCAGCCTGTCTCGGCGCACTAGAGCCACCACGACCACCACGACCACCTCCACGTTGACCGCCTCTGTTGCCGCCACGGCCACCTCTGCCGCCTTGTCGCTCAAACGCGTTGGCTGTGCCTTGTGTTCTCGTCTCCAGTGTTCGCTCGTTGCTCTCGATGAGACCGCTTGCTTTGTCGCTGAGAGTCAGGGCCAAGCTCTGCAGTCTGCTTAACTCGACACCCTTTCTGAAGATGATGGATGAGTTGACTTGGTCGAGAGCAGCGGCAAGCTCCTCGTGGCTGATCATCTTGCTGACGATAGCAGCAACCTTACGTTTGCTAAGCTCGAACATCGAAGAAAGGGTAGTGACAGAAAGTGTGTCATAGAAGGGAGCGTAAGTGAAGAGGTATGTTCGAAGACCTTCCTCTTGGATTTGTTCCGAGAGCATGGTCTTGATAGATTCGGGCTTTGCCATCAGTTCCCAGATCTTGATCGAGTGGATGAACTCGGTTGCCTTCTTCCATTCGCCAGCTGCCAATGCCTTCGAAGCTTGCATGACGTGATCTCGAGTGTTTTCTGGAGGACCTGTGAAGATTTGGCGTTCATGATACTCGAGCATTCTTCGGTAGGTCTTGCTGATGACTCGCTTCTTGATATCAGGCGATGAGCCGGTCTGTGCAAGGAGGGGAATCTCGAGCAGCATACTGCATGTGAGGTAGACACACTCGAGAAGCTCGAGGTTGATGTGCATGTGGAAAGGCAGTTGACGTTGTCGCTCAAGTCGCTCTTGTTCTGGTGAAACCTGGTTATATCGTTGGATCATCACACCCTGGGCAAGGAGTTCCTTTTGACGACCACTTCCGCAAATCTCTTGGAGTGTAGTCTGAGCTTCATAGACAAGACCGGCACGGAATGCGCAAAGTCCAACTTGAACGAGAGTTCTGTTGAAAAGGATTTGGCTGTGGACATCGAAGGCGTTAATGGTTTCTTGTAAATGAGACATGAGCATCATATCACGAGCCTTGTAGTAGTTGTCGTGCAGCGCGAGGAAGTAGATCTGGCAAAGCATAGCGCGGGCACGGATGATACCATCACTGTTGATGAAGAGATATGTGCAAAGCACGTTAACCAGTTCTGTGGCGTCGGTAGTCTTGTTGCGAGGGGTAATGGAGGAGTCGAGTGACTTGGGGATTGCAGTCCAGCAGTTCTCCTCGAGGATCTTAACGACGGCAGCGGGCTAAGAAGATTGTTAGCATACTCAGTAGGCCCGAGAAATGAAAACTAACCTTAAAGTAAACATGTTCCAGTCTTCTCATGACGATTCGGTTGAGGCTATCTTGCTGAACTTGAAGACTGTCGTCCTTCTTCAAAGTTTCGGTGAAGAGCAAAGTTCGGACGATATTGTTGTATAAAGCTCCTTCATCAGACAGACGGTCGATGTATTCGGCAGTGTGGGGGTCGATGTGTTGAAGGGACCGAGTAAGTTCATCATCGAGTCTTTCAACATACGAGACAATGCTGCCTGGAATCTTGAATTTCTGGCCTGGAGTGATTGTTGGCTGCTTATCATCATCCTCCCATTCCTCAGCGCTCTCAACGACCACCAAATCTCGGTTTGATTCGAGAACCTCCAGAAGATTTGCAAATTCCTTCTCGGCTGCCTTCCATTGGTCCTGGGACATGAATGTCTGAACACCAGTACTCAGGTCAAATCTGGTGGAGATGATAGTCAAAAGCACCCGGACTCGTTGGTATGGTGTTTGGGCAACCTCGTAGAGCTTCTCCATGATCTTGATTTGCTCGGTTCGGTCGGTGTTCTTCTTACCGCGGGATTCCATGATGGTTCTGAGATGCTTCAGGATGCTTTCTGGTGTGAACTGCAATGTTCGTCCGCCCTTGCCAACAGTCGAGAATCCCTCATCGTCGTCGTCCAGAGCAAGTTGAGGAACTCCTGAAACAGGTTTGACCTTCTTAGGCTTCGGAGCAGGCTCTTCCTCCTCCTCTGACTCCATAAACGCATCTTTATCTGCTCTGTATGCATCAATGTCCTTCTGGTAATCCTTATTGTTCTTCTTGATGCGTTGTTTGACAGCATTGAGACCACGAGCATTGGTCGCATTCATCTTCTTCGTCGAGACCTTTTGCTTCGCGATCGTCTCATTCATGAATTCCTCCAACTCTGCCACAACTCTGATATACATTTTGGGCGTGTTGCCAGCCTGGACCAGCTTGGCCACCTGTCGATTGAGTTTGTCATACTCTATGAACAATATATTAGCCAAGTCACACCCCTCATCAGTTTATGACCTACCATTCGAAATAACACCCCAATCATTAATCTTTTCTCCATTTTCGATGGCCTTGACAGTACCCTCCAATTCCTCTAATCGTTTGTCCTTGGCACTCTTCACAACCTTCCCTCTATCCTCGTCACTGCTCTCCTCGCTTTCAGAGTCTGCGTCTCGCAAGAACTTGTTGATACCGCTCTTCTTATTGCCATCCTCGTCTTCGCTGGATGAGTCCTCTTCGTCTTCGTCCTCCTCGTCGGAATCTTCAGCGTCGGATGCCGCCTTTTCTTCTTCTTCCTCTTCAGAGTAGAGCTCTTCCTCGTCGGAGGAGCTGCTCTCGCTCGAGCTGTCGCCAGCGGCACGGAAGAATCGAGACATCTTGATAGATGGTTTGCGATTTATCGAGAGTGGCACGCGTTGCGATCCAGGAGACGTATTTGTGGGGTTATTCTGTGAATTTTTAATATTATCGCGGGCTGCGCGATTGAGGGGCAAATTAAGCGAACTTTTCATGAACTTTTAGGGCTCGAGCTATCTTAGGCAGAACAAGAAAACAGAGAATACATATAACTGTAGCAACAGATATGAGTACAAATTCTACCCCAATTTTCAGATTAGATGACCTCGACTACTGTGCCGCGCAGACTTCTTATGACTCATTTGTTCCTAGCTAATTTTTTTGAGAGTCACGATTTTCAAGGTATCGACCAACATTGAGAAGCCAAGACAAGTCGAGGAGGGAAAATGATGGACGGACCTGTGACAGATTGTCTGTAATGAGATGAAGACCAATGCACCATTTCTGAAATAATGAGTCAAGGTCATGCCCTCCTCATATCGAAACTTTCCCAGCACCACCTGCTCGCCATAAGGCTGCCCGTTCAAAGTCCCGCAGATGAATGGATCTCTAGTGAAACACATATTCTAAACTCATATCCGGAAGATGTAGTGACAGAGCCCAGCTAGTAAACTCCATGTCCTCCCATGTGCGCCTGCACCACCCAATGCTGATGAGAATGAAGCCTTTTTCACGTGTCCCTGTCAAGCCAATCCGGATGATCTGTAACTCTCCAAGCCTTGATTCCAGTGGGTCTCTCTGCACGACTTTTCCTGGCTTGCTCGAGAACCTGGAGGGTATCTTGATCGCCCATCAGCTTTCGAAATCGTTGTATTTCTTTATTTGCCGTTTCAGCCGACTTTGAGAATTCTTGGAACAACACCTCAGCTGCAAGTACAGTCAGCGATCATATAAATGAGCCAATCAATAGTCGAGGGCACAAGGAGCAAGAAATGGAGAGAATCTTGCATACGTGAAGGTTGTTTAGTAGCCAGAGGTGAGATCAGCCTGGGAACTGTAGTTCGTAGACCTCGCAGCTACAATAGAGTGTCAGCGAGCGCTCCTAGTATATTCAGGTCGAGTTTCCTCACTTGGATATGCATTTCCTTGAGTGTCTTCATCGCCTTCTCGAGTCTTTCCTCATCCCAGACATCTTCCACTGCTGGATTTGAAGCTCCTTGCTGTCCTTCGCTTGCAGCCGTAGGGTCCTCAGACTTCTGTTGCGCTTCGGCCATTTCTGTCTACATTCGCGATGTTTGCGGCGTTTCTTTGGAGGTGTATTGAAACTCAAGAGAAAGTCGACCTTTTGGTTGAGAGCTTAGACACATGGTGTGTGGGGTAAATTCAGCCGCAAAACGTGGTGGCCGTCGCACTAAGCTACAATAGGCGGGAGCCAACTTCTAGAAACGACAGAATAAGGAAATAACCACAAAAATGTGTCCGGGTGATGAATTGTTCGTATACCCTCTAATTATTTTTAAGAAGGTTTTGAATATCTTTGAGTTGTAGGATTGTTTAGTTGATTAATGGTAGGCTGGCCATCAAAGCAAGGCCTGTTTGAGCGAAGCGAGCAGCAGTCTCTTAGAGGAGGTCGGCAACTTCTTTGAAGAAGACAGCAACATTGACAAAATTCTCAAGTTTCGCGACACATTGTAGTTCCCAAGCTCTTCAAGCCCTTCGTACGTCCTAGCAAATTTTGGTCCTTCCAGGACTTACACAGCCCAGCGCTACCATCTCATGATCTCCAATATGGACACACACGAAGCGTCAGAGTCGAATGATGTTATCGTCATTCAAGACATCCCCGCTGGAATCATCTTCGGTTATGATGCTAGAAGCTATCCAATACTCAAAAAGGCCATATACGGAGGTATCAGACAGGTTCCCAAGGGTGTACACTTCGTCTGGGCTGGCTCTAGCCACAATTCTTTGAGAACTGGATTCTGGTTAATGACTTCTGAAGAACGTAATTGGCTTTTCGCCAAGAGATGGGACCCTGAGCAAGAAGTCCTAATTAAGTGCGTAGATCCTCTTCTTTTCCTTGTCCATCCTTTTTCTAAATTTTCTTATTTTTCTACTTATTTGCAAGCTTCTGTTTCTCATTGATCAAATACGACAAGTCTTCTTCTTATTTCACATATTAATCAACTTCTTCGACATTTACGATTGCTGACAGAATGTGAACAAAGTAACGATAAATTGAAACAAAGTAGTCTTGTTGTCCCAGAATTCTTTCTTGGGCTTCACCCTTACCACGAAACGCCTACTGGAGCCAGTGGCGGTTCGGATATTTTATCTAGACTGCCAAATATATGGTACAATCTTACATCTTCGATCAACGGCGTTATGCTGTCGAGAATCACTAGCAACTCGGTACAAAATACTCGGCGCTATCCTTACATAATATGTGCTAACCCAAAACTTAGACAGTAAACAATTGGTATGTGTCAACTACACATGAGTATACGGAGAAGCGCGAGACACAACAAGCCGGATTCTCCATTTCTGAAAAAGATGAAGTCCTTAGCTTCATCTTTCCAAAAGAAACCAGGACATACACTCAGGATGCTATCGGCCGAGAACGAACAAAGCAAGCCATGGACACCAGCAACCATGTCACAACTATCATCAATGATGTTTGTGACTCTGGAGACTACACAGAGATTGTTGGTGAATTACAGTTCTGTTACATCACGGGCATGATCTTAGGCAACGTTGCTTGCATGGAGCATTGGATTCACGTCGTCAAGATCGTGTTTAGGGCTTTCAAACTAACCTTGGACTCACCCATCTTCTTCAAGAAGTTCATTGAAGCCATACATACCCAATTTCTTTTTGATGATGTTGGAATCGATGGCAGCATCTTCGACTTCGACAACAGCCTCGCTCAAGATTTGAAAATCATTCTCATCAAGTTCAAGTCCGAGTTTGACCAACTGGTTGCATTGCAACAGAATCTCACTGATGACCAGAAGGCCGTTTGCAAAGGTTTCGAGGAGTTCGAGCAATCTCTCTTGACTTTCCATAATGGATGGAATTTACAAGCAAACTACGTCCGGTCCGGAAGAATTCAAATGGAAGACGGAGAGTATGTCGACGCAGAAATGACAGATTTTCAAGCGGAAGATGAGAGAGGCGAATTCGCACCGGCCGTTGTGGAGTTGGATGATGATGGCCGTGAGAAAGGGCTCATCAGCTTCTAGCATACTTGAGAAATCTCGGGGTGTTCTTGATTGTGGTTGAGCAGGGTTAGATCTACAACCTGAGTAGACAGGTCAGATTGGAATTGGGTCCATAACAGCAAGATCGTTCCCGACTCATGATACCCATGAAGACAGACATAATGAGTCAATATGAAGCATATTTTCTGAGGTTTGGCTAGGTAGTGTTTTCACTAAGAAGCGAAGCATGTACGGCGTTTTCGAGTCAAAAAATTGGGAATGGCGTCACAGATGTACTTCTTTAACCTTGTCACGGAAATGAAGCATGGCAGAAAGTCAAAAACAGGGCTTGCTTGAGAATTCGAGGATCATGTATTCTCTACTGCTGCGCTAAAAGCGACCATGTGACAAGTAAAGCAAATTGGGGGCCAGGCAAATCATGCCGTCCTCCCTCGTTATTGTCATCTCCACAGCGAAAACCAAGTCCAGAGAGTATGAAAGGCCAATAATTTAGAGACGACGACCACGGCGACCTCCCTTGCGACGAGTGGAGTCGGATGGGGTTGGGGTGACATCCTCGATTCTGCCAATCTTCATTCCTGAACGAGCGAGAGCGCGAAGAGCTGATTGAGCACCTGGACCTGGGGTCTTGGTTCCGTTACCTGTATCAAATGTAGTTAGCAACCATTCCTTCTTATTCCTTCTCCCCAGAGAAACGTACCTCCAGTGGCACGGATCTTGATGTGCAGAGCGTTGATACCCAACTCCTTGCAACGGGTAGCGACATCCTGAGCAGCCAACATAGCAGCGTATGGGGAAGACTCGTCACGATCGGCCTTGACCTTCATCCCTCCAGTAACACGGCAAATGGTTTCGCGGCCGGAAAGATCAGTAACCTGTTCGCCAATTTCAGCACATTTCTTCAGTAGGCTCGAGAGAGGATTCCCTTACGTGGACGAAGGTATCGTTGAATGATGCGAAAATACGGGCAACACCGAAAACGAGTTCTGCAGACGGTCAGCGAGGTCTGCGACAACGAATTTTGCAACCATGCCTCCATCTCTAACTTGGGGGCCGAGGGAGATGTTCTCCTGGGCGGGACGAACGACTTTCTTTGGGGGCATGATGTCGGTTGTCTTGGTGTTGACCTTCGTGAAGTTTGACGTTGGAAAAGTTCGAGGATATTCAGAATTGGCGGTTTGTGGTGGGCTGTGATTAAGCGTTTAGGCACAGGCGAGCTGGATTGAACTTGAACCAATTAAATCATATTACGCTAACGGACTTTCTTTAATCCGTTCGGGAGAAAAAGTCAAAACCCAGCAGTCAGAGCTCTAAATTTTCTTCTTTTTCCAACAGTCATAAATCTCTTTTGCGCAACAACCACGGTTTTTGGTGGCTAGGGATGAAAATTCTCCAATGCCATAATCTCCTTTCATTTCTCGTTGCAGTGTCGAAGACTCGGTTATAATGGCAGCACGCACGGATTCGAACATGAACGGATTGACCATTGCACAGAAGAAAGTCCCGAACATGGATGGATTCGTTATTGGCATTATAGGAATGGGAGATATGGGGAAGATGTATGCCCGGCGACTCAGTGCCGCTGGCTGGAGGTAATTCACCTCCCTAGCTGCTGTCGCTGGGCTTCAGCCATTGTGGTAAGTCCATTCCGGAGCTTAAAACTGCTCTTCTTCTTCGCCCTATTATGATGACTTGAGTGCATTTGGCTCGAGTATTGGCTTCAGCTTCCCTGACTACCTTTCTGGTATCAGGACTGGCGGTTGACTTTCTCTGATGAAACATCTCAGCTACCTTATTTTATTTTGTCTGAAATTATGTTACCCCCTCAAAAATATTCAACGATGTTACCAAAGGAGCATTGGCTAACAGGATCATCCAGGTCATCAATTGCGATTTCTATGAGTAACGGCTGATGAATGGGCTCAGGGTCAATGCCTGCGATAAGGAAGAGAAATACAAGGCGCTGTGTGAAGAGTTTGCGGACAATGTAAACATCGTATATAGAATATCCCTCAACAAGTGCTGAGACCTGTATAGAAACTACTCAAGATTTTTCCAAACGGCCATCTCGTCTCTCGATCGTCCGACTACATAATCTACAATGTTGAAGCTGCATCGATCGACAAGGTTGTCGCGGGGTACGGGCCATGTACGACCTTGTGATACCCCTCCACGATGTTTGTGTTACTGATATATTGAAGCTACGAAGCAAGGTGCAATTGTTGGCGGTCAGACTTCTTGCAAGGCCCCTGAGATCGCTGCTTTTGAGAAGCATCTTCCAGAAGATGTCGACATCGTCTGCTGCCACTCTCTCCACGGTCCAAATATCGATCCTCGTGGACAGCCTCTGGTATGACCAACAGCTGCTTCGTATGGCTGAACTAACAACTGAAGGTCTTAATCAAGCACCGTGCCTCCCAAGAGAATTTCGATAAGGTCGAGCATGTCATATCTTGTTTAGGCTCAACCCACGTCTACCTCTCAGCAGCCCAGCATGATCGTATCACTGCAGATACCCAAGCTGTTACCCACGCCGCTTTCCTCAGCATGGGCAAAGCTTGGCATGCAAATTCCCAGTTTCCATGGGAAATTGCTCGCTATGTTGGTGGCATCGAGAACGTCAAGATCAACCTGACTTTGCGAATCTACTCCCAGAAATGGCACGTCTACGCCGGCCTCGCTATCTTGAATCCCTTTGCTAGGGAACAGATCAAGCAGTACGCACAGTCTGTCACGGATCTTTATAAGCTTATGCTTGGAGGACACCGTGATGAGTTCGAATTCCGTATTAAGAAAGCTGGTTTGGCCGTATTCGGTACAATGGAGTCAACTGAAGAGTTACTTCTCAAGGATGAGGTGTTGGACCGTTTCTCTCTTGGCAAGAAGCCGGAAACACCACTGCCAAACAATCACTTGAGTCTTCTTGCCATGGTAGACTGCTGGTCTCAGCTGGGTATCGTGCCATATGACCATATGATTTGCTCTACTCCACTCTTCCGTCTCTGGCTTGGTGTCACAGAGTACCTGTTCCGTAAGCCTGCGCTATTGGATGAGGTGATCCGTATTGCCATTGAGGACAACACTTTCAGGTCTGATGATCTAGAATTTACCTTTGCTGCGAGGGGTTGGTCTGATTGTGTCACATTTGGAGATTTCGAGTCGTACAAAGATAGATTTGTGAGCACGCAGAAGTTCTTCGAGCCTCGCTTTAAGGACGCCACGAAGGTAGGGAATGAGATGATGAAGACAATTTTAGACAACACGAGTAGGTAGTAGAAGGAAGGATTAGACATCTGGAAGCGCAAGCACAAGGAGACTTGGGTGGAGTTGTGGCTGTCTGGCTGCTAGGCAAGGGCGTTGTGGTTGTATGAAACTCTTTCGATGCTTTACTGTGGTGCTCTGGCAAATATTCAACAGTAAATGCCAAGATTTGACAGAAATTGAATCTCCAACATGGAATGTGCTGTGCAGAGGTTGGGAACAGGACGGTTTGCATGAGTATTGAAATGAAATAGCAACACACGAATCTCCACAAGAGAAAGCACTGGGTTTCAATGGCGCAATTCCATATCACATCGAGGTCGAGTGGCTCGTACATGTTCAATCAGAACGCCTTGCTTGTGCCGGAAGTTTTGCATTCATTTGCTTAGATTCCTACAACCAGCAAAAATCGCAGCCCATCCATTGCAAATGCAGTAGAAACCATTCTCCAGACCCAGCCCCCAAACATTGAATCTTTAACGGTACGACTTTTGGTATCTGGCTCTTGCACCGGGACCTGTCACTTTCATTAGCACCAATCCATCTTCGTTGATTCCAGCAGAACCCACCTCCAAACTTCTTAGGCTCGCAACGTCTGTTATCGGCAACCAGCAGCGTTCGGTCGTATGTAGTGAGGGCTTGCTTCAGGGTGTTCTTGGAGTGCTCATCGACGAACTTTTGGTAGTAGGCAACGATGGACTTGGAGATGGCTTGACGGATGGCGTAGATCTGGGATGTGTGTCCACCGCCGGTGACCCGGACGCGGATATCGACGTTGGCGAACTTGTCGAGGCCAACGATGAGGAGGGGCTCGTAGACCTTGAATCGCAAGATCTCGGGTTGGACCAAGTTCAGAGGCTTTCCGTTGACCTTGACGAGTCCTTTACCAGCCTAATTCCTTCGTGTCAGTCTAATGTCCTGTTTTTTCTCTTTTATCCTCCTCGTCGGGTCCTCCTGTCGTGCTCGAGTAATTCGTACCTTGCAGTGGGCGACGGCCGTAGCTATTCAAAATTTCGTCAGCATCTCTGTCGCATTCAAGATCAGTCATTCCTCCTACCTGTCTTCTTCTTGCCGAAGCATTGTACACTCTGGGAAGTGGAAGCCATGATTGTGGCGTTCGAGAGTGTAGTCGATGTGTTGGAAATAAAAGAATGGTCGTCGTCGCGGGAAGTCAGTTTTCGATGTTCGCTTAGCAGATTTTCGTGAATGCGACTTTCTGTGTGTGCGCTAGTCCCGAAACTGCTAACTTCAAATTGACAGGCTTATCTGATTATCACCACGTGCTTCAACATCAACAGTTCCCTAAATCATCTTGAAAGTCTGAAGCAAGCATCTCTTCCTGTCCTTTTTCCTTCATAGACTTCAGCGATGTCTAGAAAAGGAGTGGGGCTTGCTGCCTTCGACAGGTCTCGTCTCACTTCAGCTCAATATGCCACCCATGGGAACAACCTACGGACATCTCATTCAACATCACTTGCAACGCAACTTTCAGTCTTCCGCTCTCTCTTACAACAGTTCGCTCAAACTCATGCCAAAGACATACGCTCTAATCCCACCTTCCGAGCCGAATTTGCTCGCATGTGCTCAGCTATCGGGGTGGATCCTTTAGCAAGCAGTAGCGGGGCTGGTGGTAAAGATGGAGGGGGGAGTTTCTGGGCACAGTTGCTTGGTGGAAGTGTGAATGACTTCTATTTTGAACTTGCCGTAAGAGTTGTTGAAGTGTGTGGAGCAACGAGAGAAGAGAATGGAGGCCTTATTGGAGTCAAAGAAGTCAGAGACCGAATAATGAGCACCAGGCCCGAAGGCAGTGCAGAGATTACGGAGTACGTATGATCATCTAAGACCCAGAATAGAGCTAATGAGGATATAGTGATGATATTCTTCGTGCTGTTGAAACTCTCAAGCCATTAGGGTCTTCCTACTCAACACTGAAAGTCGGTCACAAGACCTACATTCGCTCTGTACCCAAAGAGTTGAACACTGATCAAAGTGCTGTATTGGAAGCTGCTCAAGTGCTAGGCTACGTTAGTGTTTCGATGCTGATGGTAAACCTACGCTGGCCGAGAGCAAGAGCAGCAACTGCTATCGATGATCTTGTGTCAGAAAGTATGCTTTGGGTCGATAAGCAGTGCGATGAATACGAGTATTGGAGTCCTGGCTTTATGCTTGAAGTCCAGGATGAAGGCAGTCTTGGCTGAGATCTGTGCAGAAGTTATCCCAGGTCAAAGGCTCAAAATGAGTGTGAAAAAAGCGTCTAAGGTTTCCCGTTGGCACTTTACGGCGGGACTTCCTCTACGCATTATGGAGCTGACTCCTCGACTCGGAAGATTCGAAGCTCGTCGGAACAGGACGATAAAGACTTCCCATAGTCTTCGGACGGAATATAACCTGAAGCCATGTCCGGTCATGGTGAGATGGGTTCGTGAGAGGGAGTCGAGTTGCACTGATGATAATGAACGCTTGATCAAAGCACAGACCGGATCATGGCAAGGCACAAACGCAAGTTGATCCTCGAAGAGTATAAATTTTATTCAACACATGTACTTTCCCAGCATCATTATGCACATGCAGACCCCAACACAGAAGAATGGAAGAAGACGGCCACATTCTCGATGTGGTGCTTTCATCGGTATATACCAGACAGCAGATCCCAAGTACTTGTTTTCAGTGATTCAAATCAAGGTCGACATGTTCGAAGGGGATTTTTTTGGAGTCTTTGAGATCAAGATCGGCTTTTGAGTAGCGAATATGCAGTCGGAAGTTTCTGGCCATGCCAGTCAGTCATCAAAGAGGTCGGCCATACGCCATGGAATGCCGTGCTTGTAACGCCGTCAACCGTTGCTTGAACATAAAGCTACATGGACTTGAATGTCCTTTGAAAAGCAGAGACCTTGAAGATCACGAAGATCATTTTCCCACCCACTTTGCTCCGATCATTGCTTCGTTTCTTAATCCTAAAGTAATTTTGAATTCTGTTTACCTTGCCTTATTTCTAGAAAGATGTCTAACATGTAATAAAGAGCATCTCTTCATGTTCTAGGCCAGAAACCTGACTTTAAACTTGGTCGAGTACTGGCAAAAATATTTTACCTTTGACGACAATGCCATGTGCAATGAAATGTACTATCTGCTGATCTCCTTACTTGAAACCTTATCAACTACAGTACTTGCATAGAGCTGTTTTGCCATTAACCTCTTAGAAGAATTTAACCGGGAGTGCGATGTGCAACGCAACAACTTCACTGTCGGACACCTTGTCCGTCCTTGGGAACCGACTTCAAAGCTTCCAGAGTATGCTTCCTATCTTGTGTCCAAAAGTGCCTGCTTGCTTCAAATTGCGGCAGATATGACATTACATTGTCATAGTCGCGAGTGGAACATAAGCCCTTTTCTGGTCCTTCGATCCAGTGTTCTTCAGTGGTTCTATTCTAAATATGACAAAAATCGACGTCATGCCTTAATTGCACTTGCTTTTGGCTACCTAGAAACGGCTGTTCAGACAAATGATCCACATAATGACCAGAATTCAATTTTGTCACCAAGTCTTCAGATGGCACTCGATTATTCATCGTCGAGCACAACGAATGGGCAGTCAGCCTGAGCTCAGGACGATTAAGACGAACCGAAACAGTGCTTGGTCTAACATTTTTATACATGGTACCACCGAATATCTATGTACCCATCAGAAACAGCAAATCCAGAAATGTTGCATGTCCCAAACATCGCAGTCTCTTGCCACTTACGACCCTCACCAAGATATTGACTCCCACAAGGAAAGTGGCTCATATCTTCAAATCTCCAACACGAAAGGAGACAGATTCAAGAACAGACAACCTAGCAAATCGGCTCGAGCATTTTCGATTCCTAGCTCTCCTGACGTTCCATCTCATGTGCTTCGGGATTGGATCTGCCGATGAGGGGTAAGTAATACAAGATAGAACCGCAAAAGAAGAGGATGATGCCGCCAACGAAAATAACCGTGAGTACGGCTACAACTTTAAAAGGGTCTAACATTCTTGTTGATCTAGAGTTGAAGCCTGTGTAGATAAGTGCGCGATGTACCAGAGATTCTATGAGATAGTGTTGAATTTAATCTTCCTCGCTGGTTACATTTTTGACGTTTTCCTGGAATGATGTGAGTGTCAAGTTGTTATTGCTGTTGCACTTTTTTCTATTCACTATTCATCATAAGTTGTCAGAATTGGTATTATCGCAACGGTACGACTACCCTCTCCCTCGGTTGTCTCCTCTAACCAGGATACTCGAGAATCATGAATGATGGAAAATTATTCATCAATGGTCGGACATTGCCATGGACTCATCTTCATTCAGAATATACTCCAGCAGACAATGTCATGCTTGAATGCAACGCAGAATGATCCTCGAAATATCCATGTTCTGAGCTGTCCGCAATATGCGCAGTCATCGCCATATGCGCAAATTGCGCTGATGATAGAAGTGATCAAAACCACCATGTTCAAGGATTTCCTCGAAATCTCTGGCTGTTTAATTTCGCCAAGGGATCAGCAGTAGGATCAAATATACATAAACTCTTCGCATATCTCTCCATTTCCTCCCTCAAACAAACTCTGTTCGTCTTCTCATTGAATCAAAATCCATACAGTCCAGCTTCTATCTCCTTGCCACTTTGCCTAGTAATCCATCTTCTCACTCTTACTCGCATCTCCCATTTCCTTGCTCCTCTCCTGCAAGCAATCCGTAACCTCACTTCGAACAACCTCCCCATAAACCCCATCTCAACCATTCATCCTCCATCCTCACACCCAACCCAACCTCCCAACCTCCCCTCACTAAAGCTTCCATACTCACAACAAACCCCTCCTCCAACCCCCGACTCCACCTCCTCACCTCCGCCCCATTTGCCTCAAAATCCTCCGTCTCTCCCTCCTCTCCTCCCTCTGCCTCTCCCGCTTCTTCTCATAATGAACACACCCCCACACAAGAAGGCCGAGTAGCAGCACAGCTGAAATGATAAAGATCGCTAAGAACGGGACTAAGTTTTGCATTTTGAGGTTTGGGATTGTGGATCTAACCTAACGGAAACTGGGACTAATGTATAAATTGGGATGGATGTTGTTTGCTACGTAGGACAAAGGGATTCGTCATTACTGGCTGGCGGGCTGGGTTTGAGTCTTGATGTGTTGTTTGATTGCTTCTAGTTCTTTTTTAACTCCTTTTGGTAGACTCATACTATCCGTTTGCTTGGTGATGTGTTTTCATTGCCTTTGCTATCAAACCCATTCATCCATCCTCCAACCCATGCTCTTGGACATCATCTCCCTCAACCTATCCCAATCCCCGTCCAACTAAATCCCACACCTCAGCACGACTCATCCATCTCACCCCTCTTCTCTTCCTTCACCCTCCTCTCCCTTCTCCGCTCTATTAGAACCCCGCTAATAAGTAACAAAGCGATGGCTGCTAGTAATGGGATGTATTTTGGTTGGATTGGCATTTCTCCCTCCTTTAGAGTCGGTCTATGTAGATATCACGATCATATAAAAAAGAAAGAAAAATCAAAGAATGGAATAGAAAACGAATTAATAGCAACAAAAAAAAAAAGAAAGAAGGAAAGAAAGAAATGATTCCAACATAAAAGTGTGATTCAACACCAAGTAGTATCTAGATGCTCCACGAACAACCTGCTCTACAAGCAAACCTTTCTATACAGTAGTTCGAAAGAATAACCCACTCCACTCCTCCAACATCTGCCCTAACTAACCAACGGCGCGCTCCGCATGCCAAGACAATCTAAACCACAGCAAGACAGCACCTCCGAGTCTAAAGAAAGAAGCAGTCTCACCATCAACCCACCAACCTAGGAAGATAGAACTAGATGGAACCGGCTCACCTGCTTACAGAACCGGGATAAACGAGACCGTCTTTCTGCTTGTTCATAGTTTGAGTGTTGGTTAAGTAGGCGGTATTCGAAGTGGAGAGCAGCTAAACAACATTCTTAATCACGATCATCGTCTCACCACGAACATCACATCACAGCGAAGTTGCCCAAAAAAGTTGAAGACGCACTATTTGTATGATTCTTCTGCTCTCTGCTTACACGGAGCCTTGTAAAGACAAAGCCAACGCTGCCAATACCAGTCCACGCACACCCGAGAATTCTCCATTTCTTTCCCGTTCATGAGTAATGTGACCCTCGTGTATGCAGCCAGATGAATTTTGCACGCGAAAAAGAAACACAACCACAAGGAAAAAACGAAAGACCAGTCCACTAATGTATTCTGGGCGAAAACACAAACTTTCTCGGTTTGTCGGAAAAGAAAGAAGCCCGATCTTATGCACACAAAAAGATTTTCGAAGAAGACCTGAAAGCCCTCTGAAACCCAAATGCTATGCATCCCCAAGCCCAAACACAGTCGACACCCCAGCTCGTCAATCGTGAAGACAGACCCGAGTAGAGAAAAAGTCCTGAGCGACGCCGTAGAAAAGCCACATAATGCAACCAACCACCTCCCATTGACCGTGGACAAAAGAGAGAAAGCGGAAAGTTTCATTAAGCCATGCAAATCGTTTTCGTTGCCGAACCGGATCGAAAGGACGTCTAAGAATCGAGGAAATTCATGTGAGAAGACACCGAATCAATGCAGTCAACAGCCCATATGATACAAGTGTGTGCGATCCGAGAGAATTATTAGGTAATCAGGCTATCCTCCGCAGGGTCCGAGGTGACCAAAGGCTTTTGACAATTCGCGAGAGGTGTCGACAACGGAGAGGAGCTCCAGATCTAATGCTGCTCATACTTTTGAGGGGGACCACCGTTATCTGTTCACCATGTTAGCAGAAAGTCAATGAAGGGACGGAGGCGAGGGTGTAATGACGTTGGCTATACATGTGTTGTTGGTTCGGTGCACCGTATGGCGAAGCTGGGTAGCCTCCGTACTGCAAGTGATTGCTGCCATACTCCTGGAGCTGTTGAACACTACCAGCAGGAGGAGCTTGGTATTGACCAGGGACTTGGGCGCCGGGTTGGTAGCCGATCGGTGGCAATTGGACAGAGCGACCGGGCTGTGGATAACCACCAGGTGGAGCATTCTCTCCTTGACCATCGGCAGGGACAGCAGCAGCACGCGCACGCTCTTCATCTGCCTTGCGTTGGTTCTCCTCCTCCTTCTTGCGAGCCTTCCACTCCTTTCGGATTTCCTTGAATTCTATGCACGATATTGTGTTAGCGTGGCTCGCGTTACACAAAGATTCCCGAAAGTTTGGTAGACCCATGCTAGCCCCAGATTCGATGAGGTTATCCCCAGTCCGAGATAGATCTAGCTTGACGCCAACGAAAATCATCCCGCATTTCGCAGCTAATCAACCAGGATCACCGGGCAATTTGCAAGTGCAATTGAGAACAAAGAAAATAATGCAACCCCACTACGATTCAATTCTTACGACCTGCGCGCACGATGTGTCGCGAGTTATTCCATTTAATATGAAAGTTGCGATTGAAATAATGAAAAGAGAACGGAAAGCTTACCCTCGGGAGTACGCTTTGAGCCGTGAGACTGCATAGTAACGTGGGCGTTCAGGTGGTTAAGGGTACCATAAGCCTTCTCACAGCCTTGCCATCCGCACTTGTACATACGCTCGATTTCTTCATATCGTCGGCGGGGTCGCTTGTGTTGTTGAGCACCAGGGATTGGGACGAAGGAGTAGACCTGCGAAAGAGGATGCTGTTAACAATTAGCTGCTCCTCGAAAGAGACAAAATTTTGCTTGCTTCCTCGAGATCGGTGCCCGAAACTTCTCGAGACGATCTCTGGAATTGACGCGCTTCCTACCAAAGACCCATCAGGCAATCTCATGGCAAGATTCAGATGCTGGGGATCAGCCCATTGATACTGGGGAGCCCCATAGTGTGGATGAACCCCTAGGTATGTGGGATGCTGCAGATTTGGCGGATCGTGTGAAAAAGGCGCATAGGGATGAGGAATTGGGCCTAGTGGTGGAGCGGGGTGAGGATTCGCGCTCGAAAGCGCGTCAGAACTCTCCGCATCCTCCCCTGAGGTCGAATTTATAGCAGGTGAATGGACTGGGGGAAAGCTTACTTGACCTGGACGCGCGCCAGCAGGAGCTGCAGAAGTTGGGGTTTGTGCGCCGGTGACTGGGTATCCGTGCTGCATGGCATGTTGAGGTTGACCGGCGTAGCCAGACCAGTCGGGTCGAGGTTGGGCATACATGGCGCCGCCGGCATGGGAAGGATAGCCGTGTTGCATGTCCTGTTGAGGAGGGTAGGGCGAGTATTGACCGCCGCCGTGGGCAGGATAGGTCGGGCTGGAGGTAGCAATTGAGGGATCTATAGGTACATCCTGGTCAGACTTGATGTTTGATGGATGGTTTGGGCGACCATCTTGCAAAGGCATTGACGGACTTGTTGGTTGAGCCATACCTCCGCTGCTACCACTATGGTTGCTGGCTGGATGGTACTGGCGTTGAATATGTTCTGGGAAAGAACCTGAGCGCGCCGAAGCAGGATAAACACCGTACTCGGAAGTCGGGGTGGCAGAAGTCGAGTAGTTGTTGTTTCGCACGTCCTGTTGAGGAGTGTATTGCGCAGCAGACGCGTGATCTGCGGTGGTTTCTTCAGATTGAGCGTCGTTGAACGCGTGAGAATATGGTGAATGAATACCTGACTGCGTGTACTCGGTGACACTCCTGTCCATAGAAGGATGCTGAGTATCTGCGAAGGCCCCGAGAAGCGTACTCAATGTAGCTTCAGTATTGTCGGGGGTGTTGTCGTGGAGTTCGACTTCGGTGCTTGAAAGTAATGAGTTGGAGTTGAAGAGATGATGCTGGGATGAGACCAAGGACATACTACGGCTCCGGAGTTTGGAGGAAGCAGGTGGCTAGCCTACTTGAGTATACCGCGCTACTACTGTCGCGGCACCGAGGGAGATGGGAAATGGGTGTGGGTTGCGCTCGTGCAGAGGTACTTCTGGAGGTATTGGTATGTGGGAGGAGGTGGATTGGGGTGACAGGTACCGTTGCGCTTGGGATCGAGTTGTTGCGTGCCGATACAAAAACTTATGCTATTCGGGGCTGGCGTCTCTTCTCGACGTGTGCGTGCGCAAGGCGATCGAAGCTTGCGGCGTGAAGACGAGAAGAATAGCACGCTTCTTCTCAAACTCGATCGGGTGATTGCAACGAAGCCACCGGCGCTGGAGATGGGAAATTTTTAGAGTCGCAAGGATATTTGTCTTAGTTTGCGGCAACCAGATGAAGGGACCCGCGGCGTGGTTTTCGAAGGCAGGTGCGCTGCAGGTCAGGTCCAAGTCCAAGTCCAAGTTCGATGTAGTCCAAGGAAGGTGCAGATGTGCGAGGCAGGTAGGAGACGGAAACAAAAGGCGAACGAACTGTCAGAATGGTGACCGCGAATGGGAAAATAAAAGTCGAAGTCGAAAGTCTGAAATTTCTGAGCGGTGGGGGACGTTTTTGAGAGGCGACTTTCCACACCTGCACACACACACAACCCGATTCCGCACAATACTGGTCAATGACCGCACAACACACAGAAAATTCGAGGGATTACGAAATGGAGTGATCGCAGGGCCGTTTGCAATGACACTTCCACTCTGCTCGCAACCACAGCTGCAATTGTCTGTGTCGTCTGTACCGTACGCTGAGGATGACCGGCGCGTCCAAACCAAACCTCTTTCGAACAGCGCAGGCTAAGCAATAAAGCTACGCCCACAAAAGTCAGAAAGTGTTTGGAGGAAGGAGGAGAGTGTGACCGAGAGGGGATTAACCTGAAGGGCCGTGGGGACTTTTGAGACGGAAATCTTCAGCGCTTGTCTGGAAGCGTCGAAGCAGCTTGCAGCAAACGTTAGTCGACTTGAGGTGTAGTGTGGCGTGGCGTTCTGGCTGATGCAAGAACAGCGTAATGGGGCTAACTGGCTCGGGGCTGGGCTCAAAGAAATACTAGAACGGCGGGCCACCGAATTTCCAGCTCGTGCCAAGACCCGCGCCCAAAGACGGATAGCGGCAAATACGCGATGACGGGCTAAGGACTCGAGGGAGGCCAGATGCTAGTCGATGGAGCAATGGAATCACGAGAGTGGGGACGCTGAGAAGGCGGTCGGTGGGAGTGGGTGCAGCAGGGCAGGGCACAGAGCAGGGCAGGGTAGGGCAGAGAGAGGAGAAGAGCAGGGACAGGCCACGCTGATGGAGGGCTAGAAAGTCTGCTGCTGATGCTTGGCTCTCTCTGGTGCTGCTGCTGCTGGGGTGAAGGGACGATGATGTGGGTACCGATGATATGCACTGCTATGCAGGGGATGGATATGGAAGATGGAAAGTCCGATCCTTCTTCTCCTGCTGCTGGGATGGGGGATCTGTGTTGCCGTCCTTCTCTGCGAACCACACAAGTTACGCTCAACGTTGAAGAAGCAGCTGTGCTTCGGTCAATCTGCAACAATCCACAATGATGTGGTGGAGACCTCAATCTGAGTCTACCGGAAAATCTGGGGACTGCTGTACCAGGTCGTTGAAGCTTCTGGTCGGCGACACACGCTTGATGCCACCACACAAACTACTCACTCACTCACTACGCACAACACCTGGGCTGCCGCTGCTGGAGATGAGATGTTCTTGCCCTGCCAGAAGACCAGGAGCTGCCGATCCAGTGATGCGTGAGGATCTTCCAGTAGTGCGTGGCCAGCGAGTGTCTAACAGGGTCCCAGCGAGTCCGGTGGAAGATCTACGTCAAGATGATGCCGGCCAGTCCCAATGCGGTCCAGGCGATGTGATGCACAGTTGCTGCTAGAGAGTAGAGATAATCGAGCCACACGAGACTAGCGAGGTAGCTCGAGATGTCTCCAACCAACGGTGTTACACGCCTCAAGTGAAGTATCTTGGGCCGATGAAATAAGCCAGTGAGAACTCGACGTCACGTTCTGCTTGGCTTTCTAACCTTTCCCCCAATAGCTGATCTTGCCCAAACCCAGCAAATATCTCGACTGCCTTCGAGATGAAAGGCCAGGTTTATCGCCTAGCGTTCTTTAGGAGATGCAGATGTTGCTGGTACGCGATTTCGGCACAAAGGGACCTTGTATGAACTGCACTCTGCAGATATCGATGATGAGGTAAGATGAGGGTCTAGAACCTGGTGACCGAACACGATGTGGAAAACGGATAGTTCCAAACTCAAAATTATCTCAAATACTCGGAAGCTGTTGCTGTCGAGGCAAATCGTGGCGAAGGAGGGATTTATTCCGCACTGATCGATTGGGAAGGTGTGTAAAGATGCTCGCAGATCTATCCTCTGGCCAGAGGATGCTGGAAATTCTTGGGAAAAGGGGGGTTTGTTGATGTTTGTGTATGATGGTGGGAGAGGAGCTTCGACGCGACTAACGTGGAACCGTTCGAAACTACCGTCTGATGTTGCCTCCTTCTCGATATAAGCGCTGCAGGTGTTGCCTTTGTCTGCTGTCCGTCTAATGTTTATTTGGAACGTGTGCTCCGAGATGCACGGTCGGTGGTGTGGTGTCGGCGCGGGTTTCGTTCTGGCTCGTCGTTGTAGTGGGAGTTCGCGTGACGGGAGATCTGTCTCGACGTCTCTTTCGACTGCAAGAAGCTGTCTAGTCGAAGATCTGATAACTACTTTTCTCGACTCGCGCGATCAGATAGCCACTAGATCGGCCACTGGCTGTCTAGACTACACTTCGACGACAAGGAGTGTTGGACCTCAGGATGGAACAAGCGTCAGTCACGCTGCAATCTTTCTTGGATGTACCAGCGTCGAGTTGCTTTTTTTCTAGCAGACGCCGTAATCTCATATGGTGCCGTCGGGCCACAAAACCTGAATTTCGGGCGAATTCAGTGCAAGTCGAGCGTGGGGAATGCAGTCAAGGCGAGGGGGTCCCAATTTCCTCTAGATGAAAGGGTCAAGGACGCAGATGGACCAGACGTCGACGTCGCGTGGAGTCGTGGTGACAATGATGATGGTATCGAAGACGAAAAGTAATTGAAAAGGGAGGCTAACTGAATTGCTGACTAGTGCTGTTGGCTGCACTGAGCGTCCGAGAGACCGGAAGAGATCCTTGGCAAGCCCTAAGACTAAGACCAACGCAAATCACGACCACACCAAAACTTCACTGCCGACGCTGGCACTGGGGCGACGGCGAGGTCTTGCTGTATGCTGTGCCGTGTCTCTGCGTGTGTACTGTGTGAGTATCTTGACGCCCCAAAGATTCCAGGTCACATAAATTCAATTCAATATCAACAACGGAGATGTGCCCCGGAGCAGAGGTGCAGGCCAGGTCCAAGGACGTTGGGCGCGATCGCGTTGATGGACCTGGAGAGGGGACGCTTGTGTAGGCGACCCAGATGGGCGGGAAGGCTAAGATTTGGTGGGAGACAGGTGAGTGAGTACGAGTACAGTAGTCCAACAAAGAAAAGAACGAGGGCGTCTCTAATCGCGCGCTTCGTTTCAGACCGCACGGCTTCCAAGTAAGTACGTGAGTGGGCAAGTACTATGGGGCAGGCTGAGAGATGTCAACACTACTATTCAATACAGTAGTATTTTGCACGACGCTGGGGACGATGCCGTCTCCTTGTGAGCGCACCATGAGCCAAGTCTTGGGACAGAATACCAGTGGCTGTGCTCGAAGCGGAATCGAGGTAAGGGAAGGCGGGTATCTGGAATAAAGTCTGGCCGCACACTAATGTGTTGAAATCGGCCGTAGAATCGTTCGAAGGAAGGAAATCGTGTTCTAGTGAAAATGCTTCGGGCTGGGAATACGCAGAAACCCTGAACATGCGTGCTTACAGGAGTGCTAGGAAGACCACGAAGGGACACTCCATGGTTGCGACCCTCAGATTCACAGTGGGAACGAGGTTGACGACAACGTCAGTGGGCGGTGGCTTGCTTCTTGCTGCAGGCCGTCCATTCATCCATCCTCGAAGGCAGCACAACCACAGCCAGGGTTCGCACATTTCACTTGTTTGCCGAGCTGCTTGATTGAGCGTTGAGACGCGCTGCAGTGCCAGTGGCTGTCCTCACTCGCAGGAAACAGGGAAAAGTTGATGTCCACAACGACTCGTGTCCTGCGAAAAATTTCTCCCCACGAGGATTACCACTTCTCTCATTCGTCTCACGCTCTCCACCCTTTGGACGACGATGCAGAGTGCAGAGTCATGACTTGTCCATCAAGGTCACGAGCATCGTTTGTTCTCTGACAGGGAAGCGGAAGGCGACGCTGGAAATGAATATGAAATATAGTAAAAATAAAATGCTCTGAATCATTTTGCTTACCGAGGCCGCAAGACCTTCTTCTTCCGATCGCTGGCTGCTCCAAACAGATGCCTGCACTTCCTGTCACAATATCATGACGAGATGCTGCATGGGCATGCTCTGCTCCCTGCATCAATTGGGTGCGGGCAAGAGTTCTGACTTTCCTGGCCCGGTCGAGAACCTCAAAATTTCAGGGAGCAGAACTCTATTCGGCGAGTTTTCTTTTCTTTCTGTGTGAAGCAGTGAGGGGTTGGGATGTTGGGAAGATGAGATGAGTTGTCAGCCGAGCTCAGCGAAGGAGACCAGAGACTACTCGGAGGAGAAGGACATCGATGGTGATCTAAACCGCTTTGGGATCGGTAACCATAACAATAGAGCGGAATCCGAGTTTCCGGAGAATTGAAAGAAGATTATTCCAAGACGGCTTTGACCGCCTCGAGATACTCTCGATGCACCTATCCACCCGAATGACTTGACATCAAAGGCGTGGCGGCTGCCTGCTCGCCACATGTCCAAACGACATGTGAACTCGTACCATTGTACACTTGTCTAAAGTACAGCAGTATTACCATTCCCAGCCTGGATGACATCGCTGAACCCACGACGTCGGTGGCATTTTAGCCAATGCTTGTTCCTCCGCGATGCCGCGAGCTTGGAGTCGACTACTGCAAGACCAGATTTCTTCTTCGCGCTCAGAAGCCTTCTAGAACGAGCTACGAAAGCTTCCATCTGCGTGTGGCGGGCACGTTTCCACTGATTGGTGCGAGTATTCAGAGTTGCTTCGGACCCTTTTGCCTCTTTGGTCAGCTGAACTTGCTTCTGCCGCTCCAAGCAGAATGATAATTGCTTTGGAGGATGCCGAGAACAGCAGCGTTATGGCCTGTGGCTGGGAGAATCCAATCCGAAGAAGTCTTTGGGCCGCGTCCTCTGCAACAATTCGTCCCAGCCCCCACTGCTGTACCATGGATCCTCAGATTGCTCACCTCTTCCAGATGTGAAGGATCAGGCGGTAAAAGACTGTTTGTTCTGTCCCTTCCGCAACAGCCGACCAGCCACTCACATTTGTGATATGCGAGATTGATAGTTTCCTCGGGGGTCAGCACAATGCGATGAGCTGATCATTTCTGTCGCGAGATACACTCGAATAGGCCTCTTGACCGCCCATCTCTCTCGGCACATATGCATCTTCGGGAAGGCCAAGGGCATTTACGAGAAACGAGGAAAACGGGAGATGTCGTGCACAAGGGTCTCTCTGCTCGAAAGCGGTCCTTCTGATTTTCTGTTGCTTTTTCGACGGCAGCACGGGTTCGCACAAGCAAGAGTGGGAGAATCTGGAAGACAGCTACCGCAGTGTTGCGCGCAAACAATCGAAGAACAGATTCATCCTTTCACGAGATGTCGTTGAAGTTGTCTTCGCTTCGATACAAAGTAAATTGCTCTAGCTGTTGCTCCTCCATCTTTCGTTAAAGTTAGGTCGATGGCTAAGACGACATATCGTAGTAGTGAGATCTTGGAGATGGTGGGAGCGAAACACTAAAATCGACGCTCCCGCAGCATCGCAGTAGCACCCGAAGAAACGGTATGGGAACATTAGCAGGCCTGTTAAGTGACATGCTCCGGGCCTCTAAGGCCGTGGCCAAGTTTTTCACTAAGAAGAATCCCATCTTCAGCTGCTGGAAATGCCATGTGCTGTGCGACGAGAAAACAGCGCCAAAGCAGGGGATCAAGGTTGGGTCTTTTTTAGAGGCGATCCGAATTGGAGCCACAGGATGCACGACGATACGTTGCTTTTGCTGCCAAGTCACATACATACGGCGAATAAGCACGAGTCATAACAAGCACATTCGCAGGAGAGGAGAAGAGTATGGAACAGAATAGTTTTACAGATCAGCGATCTCTATGTTCATGTAGCAGGAGGTCTTCTCCTCGTCCCCGATCCTGGCCCAGAGCACTCAGAAGAAGTCTACGTACTCCCCACAAGGAGCAATTAAAAATCCACAGCACCCCTGAAGCCAGGAAGGAAACGAGGTGATGCTCGCTTGGTCAAGACGCCAATCATTCAGCCCCCAGAGCAGCACATGTAAGATTGGCCTCTTTGCCCCAGATTTCTGAGACGCAAATTTTGAGAGAAATCTCCTCTTGATCTCCACAGGGGTTACGATAGAGACGGGCCGAGGACTCGACGCCACCAGATCGTACGTAAAAACCTCGCAAGAAATGGATGGATTTGGCAGTGGTCAGTGGCCAGCAGCACACACGGCAATCTCCAATCATCAAAACTGACAATCTCTGGTATCGTCGCTTCCGAGAATGGCAAATTCAATATCAAACGAACTCAGCCCCCCTTGATCATTTGACGTCGTCCACAATCCACTATCACATTACACGTGCGGCGTGAAGACGATGATTACTGAACAATAACTCTGCGGAGGTATCTACGTACCTGCTACTTCTACGCCCAAAATTCTTATTCGCCAGGCTAAGTTCTCAATGTTAGTTTCAAGCCAGCATGGCAGCACCTGGGAACAGCTACCCTAAGAGGGCAAGCCGTGGCCGCTTTTTTTGACGCCCACGCCTCTGAGCCGAGATAATCCGTCTCCCTTCGCAGTGTGACATCGCTGGCAGAGCACAAAGCTAAGATTTAAAGTTTAGAATCGACAGGGTATCCTTATATTCTTGTCCTGCATCCCTGAGTGGTTTGGCTTGGTGTGGTGATGGAAAAAGACCGGGCTAGCCGTGCCGACGTTGCTAGGAAGCCTTTGTGAGATGCAGCGAGCAAGGTTGCAGCACAAATTTACTCTCCCCACAGTATTACGACTCTGTTCCAGTCTATCCATCAATCAGACAATCAGACCGTCAATGGTCAGCCAGTCTCACTGCCCATTCCCATCTATACATATACACCTGGAGATGGACGGCCCAAAACAAGGGACCCAAACGAGATCAAACTTAGATAGGACGATAGATACGACATGCAAGATATGCTATCTCTGTTCACACCACATCCATGCTGGCCAGCTGCAGCCCACCACACGAACTGGATTCTTCCCAGCTTCAGGGAACTGCGTTGAAAGATCTTGGTTGCACACGCTTCCGCCAAAAACCCTATCGTAATGAACTCAGCAGCTCAGCCAGACCAGAAACACTAGGGGAGCAGATCTCCCATCCATCCCTCCCCCACTACTCCCAAGATACCAATGCCCATCGCGAGTCCGGTCGACGACGAGCCCGCGGAGATATTCTGACACTGATGCGCGACATCCTCGACCGGCTCATCTCTCGCTCTTTTTTAGATCAGGAACCGCAATAGATGCCGAGGCCATTACGAGCCATCAACCCCTCTTTCCACTTTCCACGGATGGGGGACCCAGCCATCCCGCTCGCTGGCTGCTTGGCTGTTTAGCTGCTGGGTGACGGAACGTCGCTATTGATTGATGCGATTTGGGAATTCCAAAGACTCCCCTTGGATCGCTGGGGGGCACAATCTCAATCACCGTCCCAAATCCATTGCATTGCGGTATTATTGCAGTATTATTGCTGCTACTGCGCAACATCATTCATCGCTTCATACCATGATTCTCAGCTCGACGGGACCCTATCCCGCTCTTCGTGTCTTTTCTTGAAACCGCAAGCTCCTCTTCTGGGGAAGATCTGCAGCCACCCCAAAGGTGGAAACAGTCGAGAAAGAGATGTGATGTGTGTGTGCTAGGTTGCACAAAATCTCTGCTGAAGCTTTTCACATCCTGGCTCTGGAAGCACGCACCGCACGCAATTTTGATCACCACCCACCCAGCATGAACCAAGTCCGTGCTCCAATACCACCCAATCGGCACCGAAACTTACAACTACTTGATCCAATCTATAGTCTATCGAGCGGACTGTGGCGTTCGGAGACAAGTGGACGACGACTTTTCTAAAACTGGAGGTTACTTTACCCCTCAGAAGAACGACTCAGGTGCAGCATCCGCAGAGCATCCGCATTATTTCCACCCTGTGGCCATTGCCGTGTAGCACCGAACTGTTTTGGAAGACTCGACTCGAGGCTCAGACTCGTCAGATTCTTTCCAGTGATGACCTGATTTGATCCTCAACATGCTTCTTCAAGGATTTCCATTCTCCACTTGCAACACGGTCTAAAGGAAGCAGGGTTTGAGCTCCATACGTGCGTCTGAACATACTTTCTCGGATCTCACTCTCCGACCATGAAGAAAGCCCTGCAATTGAACTCAAAAACGGGGCTGTACAGTAAGTAACAAGACCTACGAGCTGGAAGGTCCAAGAGCGATGTTTTCTGAGGATGAAGTGGAGCGACGACATCTAGCACGGCCACTGCAGATGCAGGAACACGGAACACGGAACATGATACTACTACTACTACCATCCTCCCACCTAACACGAGGCCGCACGTGTGAAGAATGCCTAGTGGTGTCTTTCTGTTGTAGTGAGCACAAAGCTATGGCGATGTCTCTAAGTTGAGTGACAGACAACCTCAACGTGTTTCTACCAGGCACAAGGCGAGATGTCGGATGAAAAGTAGTGTTGACTCAGGAAGGCGCCTTCCTTCACGTAGGTAGTGAAAGATGGACGTGTTACCTACAATGTGTGCTGTACTCCATAAATGTATCGTGACGTACCACACATTTTGCTTTGTCCTCTTCCTGCTTGCATGCATTGCCATTCTTCGGGTGGTCTGGATTGATTCGAGCTCGAGTCTAATCAGCCCCTGAGAAATCAAAAATCCTGAATACGGGAATTCCACGAGCATCTAGAAGTCTAGATCTTGATAACATCATGTATATGTACCTCCCAAATTTCTTTTGCAAAGTATAAACTTTCTCTATCACGTACATTCAAAAGCATAATTGCTCGCGTTCTACCTTGACTGTGGCGTGCATCCACTCTAGCGTTTCGCTTCAAGTTCAGCTCAGAAAACTCAGAAACTCTTCAATAAAAATAAAAAAGAGTTTGTGAACCCTTGGTCGGTGATCTCCAAAACTCTATGCTATGCTCAAGGGTCGGCGTCGACACATCATCATCAAAGGTTCAAACTTCTCTTCCCAGCACCCCGGGGAAGTTGTCCCACGTCTCACAGCTGGACAAGGTGTCACACACCAACCGCATGGAAGCTGCTGCCGTCGGGACTTTCATCGCGCCATCCATTATTGTGACGTTTGTCCTGAGAATTGGATTACAACTTTTGCCTGCCTGCTATTCATACATCTCTACCTATCAAAACCTCGCGCAGAAATATTCCCAAGTAGGAAAGAAGGAAGTTCCTCATCCTGATCTACGTACAATGCAGACCTCCCTCGAGCTAAAGTTTCATTTTCTCCCGATTAAAGTTTCCCTAGTTTCCTATCCTATCCTCCTGCCTCGCTTACAACCCCCCTCCCCCCATCCATTACAGTAACAACCAAGATCGTTAAGAAATCATCCCATCTCAATACCAGATCCAGGGACGGGACCTAGGCTTGCGAGATTTCATCGAAAAAAAGCTCGGTACCAGATTTCTTTTCCTGCCCTCTCCTCTTGCGTGCTTCATTTGCGAGCTGCGTCATCTGCGAGTTTCTGGTATATTGCGCGCCTTGACCAGGCATGCTATCCGTCTATCCGACCCGTGTTGTGTTGTTGTATTGTCTGTTTTGGGCAATTTTCCCTCCTTCTCTCCTTTCTTCTTTAATCTTGGATGTGTGTGAGGGAGATCTTGGTAGGTACGTGAAAGGTACAGTAGACTGGAAGGAAAGTTTAGATAGGATAGGGTAGGGAGGTTGGGGTTTTGGCTTTGTTCCGAGTGGGTGGTTTGGTGTAGATTAAGTTGAATTCTTTGTTGGCCGAGAGCTACCGATGCAGGAAGGGTCTTTGGCTCCAGTAAGTGTATACTGGGTAGTTTTGGAGCTCGGTTACACTATCTCCGACTTAAGTTTCTGGTTTGGAGATTCATCTCGGTTGGGCGAAGGTGGTAGTAAGTATCAGGGAAGCAATACCGAAGCGTAGCTCGGCCTAAGCATCGTGTTCTTTTTTGTATCGTGTATTTCTCATGACAGACCCCTCAGGTGGATGAGAACATCAAGAGGATACTATCGATTTGGTTCTCGTCATCCGAAGGTAGCTCGAAATAGCGAACTGGAAGATCAAGTATGATCCTTTTTCTTTGGGTTTTCTCTCTTTCTCTACAAATGATTCAAATCGAAGCATACATGCGGATTTCTCGTTGCACGTCGCAACTCATGATTTCTACCTTTTTCATGATCAGACGTCCCCTGGTGAAGCCAAATGCCAACTTTGTTGCACATCGCATAATTGTGCTACCGAACTTGATAGCTTGGAATTAGAACAAGTGTCTTTGAAGGCGTCAATCTGGGGTATTGCAGAACACAATCCGGAAAGTCTGAACGGATTCTGAGTTCTCCCACTCATGGCGATGGGGGTTGAGCTTGGCATAACTGTCTCTCGGAGAAGTAAGCCATGCTGCTTTTCTATACTTCACTTCAAAAAGTTCATTTCCTTCATTGATCCCAGACGATGGTTCTGGTCATCTTGCTTCATACCAATGATCTGCTCTGATTAGCGAAATCCCTTAATGTCTGACTTGACATTTGCACATGGAACACTTAATATTGTCTGTATAGCTTTGAGAGCTTAAAGTCAGCCACCGTACTGGTCCTTAATAGTCTGTCAATGTCAAGTCTTGTAGACTGTTAACACTTATATGTAAAGCTGAGGTATAGACCATTTAGCGTCAACTCACAACTACCCGCCCCTTCCCTCGAAGCACTTTCCGCTACCGAAGAAACGATCTGGCAACCACGAACCCCACGGTCCATTTGCCACCTCGAATAAGAATTTATCGACTGAATTCTAGTCTACCTTAAGGCTTACGGAAGTAAAAATTGGGACTGCGATGTGGTTTGGTGCCCTATGTTGAGAGGTGTTGTTGGATTCGGTGGGAAAAAATTATGTTTGTTTCCTTGGTCTCGGATGTCCTTGTCGAGTTGGAGGATTTGAGCTTGGGAGGTCTGGGTTCGGGTCAGCTGTATTGCTCTTGCTTAAGGTAGATCTGTCTTTTGTTGATTGCTTAACATTGATGCTGACAGCGATGTTTATATAGTTAAGACGGTTCCCTGTCTTCGGCTTGGGTGTTCAGATCTGGTTCGGCTGCATGGCAGGTCACGAGCGGGGATGTCGCAGTAGGGTCTCAATTACAAGGTGAACTGAGGGTTAACGAGTCAATTATTTACGGAGAAGGAAGGCCACAGATCTCCACTGTCCAAGAACACGAGAAGTATATTCGGGCCAACATGAACCGGCTTATGACACCCGTGTCCGAATCACAAGATCCGCAGTTCTTCTCCAGCAGCCAAGATCTTCTGGAAATGAGGGTTGAGGATCTCATTTCCCGTGACAGAATCGATGTTTGTTACAATCGCGAGACGACAGCCAGGCGGAGACGGATCGAATGGCCTTCGGAAAACGAAGATTTCTTCAAGACCTTCGAAAAGATTTCTATCACACCCTCGCCTATTGGTGATGCTCAGAGGGAAGAAGCTTTGAAACTTTTGCATGACGAGGTCTCAAAGTGCAATGAAGAAAATGGCATCGACGTACACATCTGGGAGAGATACCCGGCGAAGAACGATAAACACATTCGGCAGTTGCTTATGAGTCTATACTATCGTGCCCGAATACAGTCAACCCTCTTGGATATATTTGTGGTCCTCGTCCAGCGATCATTCATCACGTTAGACAACCTTCGCACACCAATCGAATTGAATACCACCAGCGAGGCTTGCTGCGAAGTCAATCGACTATTGTCGACATTCCGAGCTATCGAGAGGGAGAGAAACCTTGACCTTGGCCCCACAGATAAGTTACCTTACGCGATCTGGGATTTTGAGTTCGTCTACGAGGCAGTGGACTGGCTGTCAGCGATGATTGTTCGCGGCTGCACAGACATCCAAAGTCTATTTGGAACCATCGAGATTTCAGGGTATCTTGGAAAGGTTGATGAAAAAGCTTGGGAAAGAATGAAAAAAGCTGTAGGAAAAATATCTTTCGTTTGCAACAAATCCGAACGTGCAGCTACTAGCCTCGGCCTGAGCAACTTCGGCTTTTGGCTGCCACACGGACTCGGGGATGTATCCGAGGAAAGCATTCTTCAGTCTGTGGCTGATTGCTTTTGCCGGTTCGATCGCATCGAGCGTGTCTTCAAGCGCTTTTTCAACATTCCCGACGATGAACTTGTCACGGCTGAGAAACAGGCTCAATATCTCGATAAACACAGAGAAAGATGTTCACCAGCGCTTAGAAAGTATCTGGAGAATGAGTTCTTATACAGAAAAGCCTCGGGACGACAAGGTTGAGAACAATGTTTGAGGAAAGGACTCCAATTCTACAAAGACAGGAATAGCAAGATAATTGGAAAGCCGAAGACTAAGTAAAAGCTTCTGTACCAACACTATTCAGCCTAACATTCTATAAATACACTTGTGGAGTGACTTTGGTGAACAAAAATTGAAGATCTCAAATGCATTTTATTGAGCGACAAGCCAATTCTGTCTGTCTGCTAAACCCATAAAACACACATTCTATGTTTCTTCTCGTCCCATTGCTTATTGCCTTTGCACCCATAATGTTGTATCCTATGCCACGAATCTACTTCCTTGCCTTCCTTGCCTTCCCTTCCCTTCCCATCCCTCCATATTTTCTGCCCTTTCAAGAATAAACAACCCAAAGAACTCCCTCCCACCTCACACACAACGCAACGCGCCAAGCCAAGCAAGGTATTACTCCATTCCTGCTGCTCCGCCCAATATGGATGTTGTAAGGAGTGAAAAGACAACAAAACAACATGAAACAAAACGCACACTGAACACGCCTGCAAAAAAAGTCGACCGGAAAACAAACAAAACAAGGACGCCCAATCCTTCTGTCTTTCCACTCCCGATTTCAAAAGATGCATGCATGCAAAAGCCCCCAAAATAAATAAGTTTGTCCCATATCCTCAAGTTCCACGTACCAGATACTCGTAGCGACATATTCATAGCAATCAATCAATATCCATACTAAAGCAAGCAAGAAGCTCGTTCGAGAAAAAATAAGAATAAAAAGAACCGTTCCATACAGAAAACAGTAACCGTTTGTTTCAAGGGAGTAAGACATGTGGACCCGAAAAGAGATCCCCCCATAGAACACAAAAAATGTAAATAGAGAGAATAGTTGTGCTTCGCAGACAGACCAGAAGAGAAACAAGAAGCTGGCCATTAGGGTTAAATAAATCTTCACTTTTGAGAGCCCGTTTCCTGTTGTGCATCCCTAGCCAAAACCCGAAAAAGACCGACCGAGCCGACGCGCCTGCCAATGATAATGATGATAATGTTTTGATTCTTTGTGCGTGTAAGGAGATTGTTGCTGGATGTGGAGAAGGTGTCTAAATGCCGTTGATGACGACTTCGGGGCAGGGCTTGCCGTCGATTTCGAGGGGTTTGCTGTTATCTGGTGCGTCGTCTATGGTGCTCACATTTGTGCTGGGAAGGCTGCTGCTCTGAGGACTGTTCTGGCCATTGGTAAGCATCGGGGTTGGTGCACTGGAACTGATCTCGATCGGCATCGTGTGGTTGCTTGGCATGACGGATGAAGGAGTAATATTATATGCAGGAGTGCCGTTGAAGATCAGCTTTTCGATAGCTGCGATCTGCTTGCCGTAATTATACTTCTTGAGCATTAGAAGTTGGGGTTTCATCTCCTCGACAAATGCATCTCGCTCTGATCCCTTGAGTTGGCCGAGAAGTTTTTCTGGATGAAAGTCAGCTTTGGACGGAAGGAAGATCAGATGGAAGCAAGACTGGTGAAACTTACGGATGACATAATTGCCATACTGATCTTTCATCATCAGTTGCAGAGGACTCGTGCTGTCACTGTGTAGAGCTGTCAACTGCGCCACAATAGCACGTCTCTGCTCGTCGGTGCCGAATTGAATGCTTTTCTCAACCACATTTGACGCAAATTTATGCTTTGAAAGTGTCAAGAGCTGGCCCGTGATGATTTTGATGATCTTGGCTCGGTCTTCTGGCTTTCCATGTTGGATGACGTGCTGGGTAACGTAGTTGCCATATTGATCAGTGATGAGCATGGATGCGCATTGGTGAAGCTCTTCGAGAACGGCGGCTTGGTCGTGGGGTTTGCAGTACTCTAAGATTCGTTGAATGACTCTGCATCCATATGGATGAGTTGCCAGAACGTGAACTTGACCTCTGAAAGCTTCGATGACGAATTGGATGTGCTCAGTTGGAACGCGCTCGATAGCCTTCTGCACCACATGATTCCCATTCTGGTCCTTGACACACTTAAGCACGTCGGCTTGGAGCTCTTCGACGAGTTCCGCTTGCTGATCAGCTAAGACATGTTCCAAGGCCTAAAAATAAGTTAGCAGATGCCATACAGATATGCTCTCGCCACTGACCTTTTGCACCACACGGCATCCATACATTTGCATGGACAATTCCATCACATGATTCTTCATCTGCTCAGCTAGTACTCGCTTCTGGACCTGATTGCCATGCTCGAATAGTTTCTGAATGACATAATTGCCAAAGACATCAGTCATTAGCTGAAGAGCATTTGGCTGGATCTCGCGGAACAATTGCTCTTTCTCATCGCTGTTGGCAGTCTCAAGCTTTTGCTGGATGAATCGCGAACCATGCTGATCTCCGCTGAACTCAACTACATGATTATATATATCTTTGAGCTCATAACGCTTGTTGGATTTTGAATTTGAGCGAAACTCTTCCAGCAAGACGCTCCTCACTCCAACGCCAACATCTTGGTCCTTGGCCGGTCGAGTTGGGATTGTTTGAGCAGGGGGATACGAAGTCATGGGCATGGGATAGCCATAGGGGACGGTTCCTGGTCTGAAAGTTCCGGGTGGAGGATAGTCATAAGGATGCGAGGGGTATTGTCCTTGGAAAGGACTTGCATACATATAAGCCTGAGCTTGTTGCTGCGCGAAATGGATGTTTTGCAGTCTCCGGTCCAGCTCGTTCTGTCCTTGAGGAGCTCTTGGTCCTCTCGAACTTGGTCGATAGATCTGGTCTGACCCAGATGGTGGTGTTCCGGCAGCAGAGTAGTACTTCGGACTATTAAGACCTCGACGATATTCGCTACCTCCTGGTGAGACCGAGCCCCTTTCTGTGAAACGGGTTGGCTTGTTGAAATAGGCTTGTTCGGCAAAAGGCTGGCTCGAATAGGTCTCGAAGTTGTTGAACGCCTTTTGCCCATCACCCCACATTCCCGAGCTGCTAGTGAACGGATAGTTCTGCTGGGCAAAACCTGGATGATTCGGAGAGTACGATGAGCCGGAATTGTTGTTTACCTGAGGCGAGCTGGTATTTTCCGTTTCGCGGCCGAGACCAATCCCCGCAAACCTCTCGCTCAAATCGGTTTCGTTTTGAGACATTTCATACCTTGAGCCGTTGGTCTGTGATTGAAACGAGGTGGATGGTCCTGAGAATGAAGGTCTTTGGGAATGGATAGAGCTGTTTGGAGTGTGATTCCCAATAGATCCAAATGGCTGACCGTTCGTGAATGCCATGTTTCCACCATTGAAACCTGATTCAGATGCTCTCGATGGTGGCATACTTCCATCCCTGGAGGTACCGCTAATTCCGAGATATCTAGAGGGAATGTCGATGTCATAGTTATCTGCATTAGACATGTATTGAGCAGAGTTCTCCTTGTCATCGTTGTATGCAAATGAAGGCTTCCGAGAGAATTTGAAACTGCCTGAGGAAGGGTCTAAACCGCTCTTTGTCCTCCCATAACTACTGGCAGGGCCGATCGCTGGACGCGGTTGTTGGTAAGGGTGATTTTGTATCTCTAAGAGCGTCTGCGGTGTGACGTTGGGGATGCTGTTTCGTGTATGTGATGGAGAGGTGCTTCCACTGTGAGACTGTAATGTAGGGGATGTGGTATCGGGAGGATTCCATGGACCATTTGCGCGTGCAACCCATGGATCTGCTTCTGAACCAGACTCTGCCAGCGCTCGTGAACCGCTGGGCCCATCAGGGAAATCGTCGTTGCCTGCTACTACTCGGATGTCAGTGTCTGACCAAGCACCATTCACATGTGCCAACGTACCCCGAGACCGCGATGCATCTCTCTTTGAATTAGAAAATCCGCTGCCAATCGTACTGCTACTCCATATATTACTTGATGGCTGCCATGAACCACCATTGCCGAACGTTTGGCCAAGTGTGGAGGATTGTGAAGAGTCGCTGTTATGTCTGCCAGTAGCAGCACCAAACTCTGGGAATCGAGTCGACCGTGCCTATTGTAACCTGTCAGCACCGCGAAATTCCCCCTTGATGTCAGAGTATGCTACTCACTGCACTCGTCATGGCGCCTGATGGCCGATTTGTGGTGGCAGAAGACATGGAGCCGTCCGCGTAGGTTTCTCGGTCCGTATGTGAAGGGTCTCAGTTGAAGGAGGGGCTGTGTTTCTGGATGTACCGGTATATGCGGCGATGGAGAGTTGTACGCAAAGAATATTCTCCTCTACTTTATTTGACAGGTTGTAGATCGCTATGGTACTACGGCGGATGGCAGATGTCAGCATGTATGTGGTAAGGCTGATCGGCCAGCCTGGGATGTTGGAAGGAGCTGAAAGTTCTTCTGATTCTCACTCACCAGAGTAGGGGATGCTCGAGTATGTAATGGACGACTATGCTGAAGGGCTCATTTACAAAGAAGGTATCGAGGAGGAAAGGCACAGTTCAAGAAGTGTCGAGCATCGAGGGAGGGATGTGGAGGGAGGAGAGAGTAGTTGACGGGCTGGAGGTAGGGCAAGAAAAGGTCGCGCGACACAACCCCCTTCGTTTGTCATATGCAACGCGCGCTTTTGCTGAAGTGTAGGCACCCGCACACTGAAGTAGCCAGATCAGAAGAAGTCACTGCTGGCGGTGGTGATTTGGGGGTTCCTTTGAGGGACGGGGTGTCTTTGGATGATCGAGTCGCTCTACCACATCTGGGTGAGGAGGTGAGTCGTCGAAATTGGCTGGGACGCAAGGGAGGTGGGAGGAGGAGACCAGGAACGCAACTTTTTGCGGGTCGGGGGAATCCAGATCTGGAGCAGCAGAATTCCTCCAGAAACGAGCGAAGGGACAGTAACACAGAGGTGGACAGAGTAGAGACAGCAGATCCTAGGAAGCGTGCGAGGTGGAGTTGGAGTGGTGGTGGTCGTGGTGGTCGTGGTAGCCGTAGGTCATGAAATCATCTGCATCGTCTTGACTGTATGGGGGAAGAAGGCTGTGATACAAGAAGTCGTAGTTAAGCAGAGTTAAGTTCAGTTTCCGTGGTGGCTTGAATTGCTCTGGGCCATTTTCTCTCTCAGGACTGGTGAGGGAGGACTGGGGGAGGGCAAACTAAACCAGAGCGAGAGGTTTGACAGGGGCTCCGGCTGGGGATGGTGCAACACTCTAAACGGACGCCGAAGGGGAGGTTCAAGCCTACTGGAGGTCGAACACGACGCCAAAGCGTTCTGACAAGTGTAGTAGTGCGAGTAGTGGCAGGAGTAAAGACCATTCCGTGCAGGAACAAGGACAATAATTAATAATAGAGACAGAGGAGAGCTAGATCATTGTGTGCAGGTACCTACCTACTACCTCTTTCTATACCAAGCAATATAGTGATGAGAGAAACAGCCGATGTGAACTGGCCGATATGATCATGACCGCGCGCAGAGTCCAACAGTTGTGGCCACCGTCCTCAGTTTCTTAGATAGTAAAAGCCAAGTAAGTCATCACCTGTTCCTGAAAATAGCTTGACGCCGTAAGAGGGGTGAAAGCGACCCCAAGTCTCACTGACTGACTGACTAAACTCTCGACAACCTTCTCCTTTCGCTCTCCCTGAGACGTCTGGTCGCATGCAATTGCAGTACGCTACGGGCTGATAGATGCGCTGCTACGCTGGAGCCGGTACTTGCTACTGGCACGGACTGGACTGTAGTAGACTGGCTGGCTCCTCTAAATAAAAGTCGCCTCCTTGCCCCTTTTTTCACTAAGCCCTATGAAGTTGACAGGGCCGTTCACTAACATTCACGATTCACCACCATATTTCCTCTCCTCTCCTCTCCCTTCTCTGTTCCCCATTTCTATGGTACCCCCATTTTGTTGGAATGCCAACTAATTATCATCAATCTACTCCTTTGCGCGCCAGGAATCCAATTTACCCACAATACCAATCCCAATGCCTCACGCCGGACGGCAGGTTCCAGAATCCAGCGCCGCACTCAGCAAATAGGAAGCCCGCGCGGAACTGCAGTGCGCCTCGACCGGGGCAAAATGCTGCTGCTCATCGTGCTCGGTGTCTCTGCCAGGTGCTAGGCTCCTTGATCTTGATTGCTCGCACCGGCTTGCATCGACATCTGCCTCGAAACAGAACATTTATTGGGGATTATTCGCCTCCCTGTCAAGGGTCCTGTTCTTGCCTGCAGCTTGCAACACAGTAAAGTGTTTCAGGTCGGGCACGAAAGACCGTCCTGACGCCATCTCTCTCCACACTCAGATCGCCCGCAACCGTATCAAGATTGACTCAGCGAGAGCCTAGCCCAGCCGGCTCTCTACTTCAATATATTGTTGACATGTCCAATGCAGCCACGGACACTCTTCTTCTCTCCTCCCCAGTGACCACCGCCCGAGCAGCAGCTCCTGGACTTACAACACAGAAGGAGGTCCTGTCGCCATGAGAACAAATTCCCGTCCCAGATTTATCGGAAAAGGGATCAAAATGTCAATCACCCAGAGACGCTAATGCTTCTCGAGGGTCATCGTTGACGGGAAGCAGCATTTGCATGAGACACCATTTGCTAGGCCTGGTGCTGCATATACTCTGATCCGCGGAGCGATCAATAACGCATCACGCATTTATCTTGTGGCGCTCACATCGACAGGGCTACCGACGCACTGATGATTGTGCTCTTCAACAACCTCGCCCGGCTTCAAAGCGTGACAGCAAGAAGCCTCTCGTCGCCTCACTTCACCGAACATGAGATGAGGGTGAAGACTGGTTAGCAGAATAGAGCAAGCAATTGAATGGCCTGTGGCTCGCCTTCGTGCATATTTCGACACAGATAGCCCCATGAAGTAGTCGCCCAAGGTCGCCGGCCCACGCTTTTCCACATGTGTGCTACTTTGTTGGATCTTGGTGCTCCCAAGCATGAAATCTTTGCTGGCCCCGGCGCCTCTTCCGCGACACAAAATTTACGGCTGCCGTGCTGGTCGATGCCGGGCCTGGATCGGATCGGTGCTTGTCCTCTTCTGCACAACCGTTGCTGTCTGAAGCTGCTCCCGAATTCGCTTGTCCGGAGAAGAAGCAATGTCTGTCAAGGTTCAGATTTTTGTCCTCCCGCTAACAGAAGGCATGGAAGCCTCAAGATGTGAGAAGTGATAGAGATCCAAGCCGATGAAGGATTGGCAGCAAATCGGTTCTTCGCGGGTACTTTCCGAAAGCTGCCACCACACCGCTGTTTGACAAAAGCATCGTCCAGGTCCCTGTTGTCAATGAAAGGCACGAAAATCACTCGTTGGAGATAGCCTCAGCGGTGGCCTAGTCGAGTTACACAACTTAGGTATTCGGCGTGATTCCGGGCACGTGAAGCTCAGATGATTCCAAGATTTTCTTCATTGCACGAGATTTCAGCCACCAAAGGCTCGAGCGTATTGTCCGTCGAGCCGGCGTGCTTTAGCTGCAAGAAATTCTGATATATGATAAGCCGGATAGCCTGATTTGAGAACGCCATAGAGTCCATGTCTCTGAAGGTATCTTAGACCTCTTTTCAAGGGTAACTCTATTCGCAAAAAAGCAGTCTTCACAACGAACAACGCCCGTGAGTGACTCACGGTACCTGGACTAGAGGCTTCCGGGCTTGTAAAGGCTAGATGCATGAAATTGAAGGTGTGAGATGACAATGGCTTTATGATAATGGAGATCTTGTTGCACGAGATCAGATGAACACCCTTCTAGAATCTGGAAACAACACTTATGATGCCCGTCCTTCTGTCATACGGATGGGTCGAAGAACCTGTCAGAAATACAGATAGGCAAAGAATGATTCCACTCAATGAGGCATGGGAAAAGAGGTAAGTATATTGACGTTCCACGTGATGACAACTGTGCCATCATTTGCAGAGTACTTGAACCACGTTTCATCCCATCATCGACACGTCTGAAGCCTCTAGACGTCTTGATATCTTGACTGCCCCAATGTCCGACTGCACGGATGAACTTCTGCAGTACTTCGTCCAAAATTCCATACAAATGATGTCGAAGTCATGCTCAGCTATCCCAATTCGTGGGCACGAAGAAGGATCCGAAGCAGTAAAATACTTCGAGAAGAGCGCCACCCCAGACGTCTTGTTTCCAAACCCCAGATCTGCGACAAGATGACCATCAACATTCATGCGCAGCACCGGGCAGAGCTTAATTTCAGACGAATCCCTCCGGGACGTCGTCGCAGGTTGAATAAGGCTTTTGGTACCGAGTCCTATTTGAGTCGTGTGTTCCCCATTGCGTAGAGAAAGTGGTTTTGCGTTGTGGGAAACCGCAAACTGTACTCTGTTAAGCTTAAATCGGTTTACTTCCCGCTTTTTTGTTCAAGATTTGAAACGTTTTGTAACTTTGTTGTTGTTGACGTCGATGCTGCTGGCCAAACCAAACTTTTCACGATGTGATGGTCAAGACCGGCTTTGAACATTGAAATCTCGGTCGATAAGAACCCACCGTCTCTTCCCACCCTAACCGCGCAGATAGGAGAGATCATCGATTGGATATTTTTATCCACCAGGGTTGCACAACCTGCCGACTGCGGTACGGAGGTACTTCTGCTCGAAAAGCGCTGGCTCAACGCTCACCAGTGCCGCCGCGCAGGCCAAACCTGTCACTGCCACAGCGCTTGTGCAGGCTATCAGAGAATTCATCCAGTCTCCACTGCAGTTCACAGTTCACCTGGCAGCAGCAGACAGACCTCATTTCCGGGCAGCTCGTCGCCATCCTCTGTTGGGGATAACGGCAACGGCTGTGGCTCCACTCGACCAGGTCCCTTCGAGATTTGGTTGGCTGGATTTGCTGCAGGTACGTGCTTTTCGCAGCGGTAATTTACAGAAAGCTCCAATTGTTCTCCACCAGCGCTTAGCGAGTTGGTTCTAGCCAATTTGCCCGATTGATTGCACTGTGCCTTGAAAGGATCAGTCAGGATCCAAGGGAGAAACCTCTCGACCTCACCTCACCTCTCGTCTCTCGTCGTCCTTCCTTACTTTCGTCCAACCGACAAAGTTCAACCTCACCACCTCCTCCTCCTCCCTTCTCTCCTTCCTTCGGGATATCCACGCTCATTCCAGGTATCGGCTTCACTCTTTCAGCCCGATTGCCAATCCATTCTTTCGCAGAATTTACCCCAGAGAAATACCCGATCCCAACCTTCCGCTCACGAAGTCGTGTCATTGCTTTTGGCTCCCTGCGTAAGTCCCAATACATCACTTGCACATATTTCTACACCGTGAATCTGCGACATCCCAACCTCGCCAGCATATGCGACAATACCATTGACAGCACAATGGCTAACCATTATATGCTGTGCAGCTTGCATATCATTGTCCCCGGCCACATTGAAGAGGCCCGCTTGACGACAACATACTACCCACCAATCATCCGACCATCAACGAGACCGTCAACACGTCCACGATTTCCCTTCATCAAACAATACTTTCGATATGCAGTCCATCTCTTCCATCATGGCTAGAGGCAGTGCCCTTCTCCGCGTCCGTGACGACTCGTCCTCAAATAGCAACAGCACCATGATCGATCTCCTCATCGCCCTTCTTGTTCTTGTCTTTGTTGCTCTTGCCCTGGTGGGAGCACTATTCATGGTCCGCAAGATCCGTCGCAATCGCGCTATTGCCCGTCAACAGCTTCCAATGCACAACGAGCCTGGCAGCAGACCAATCTCACATCACCGCCGTCTGACCATCACAGCAACTCCTTACAAGGGTGCTCGCGGCTCCAGCATCTATGTCTACGACGAGAAGTCCTCCATGATGAACAGTCCATCATCTCCCCCACTCTCCCCAGAGAACGTCCCCGAGATCCGCATCACCTTCCCTGACGAGCAAGACGAGTCTGGACGAAGAAAGAGTGGCCGCGTAGTCGTTGTCCGAGTTGGCGAGACCGGCGTTGGACTCGAGCCTCTTCAAGAAGAGCAACTTCCCGCCTACGAAAAGGAAAGCAGCGAGCGGTTCCACAGCATCGACATGGAGCGAATTGGAGGATTGAAGGAGAAGTCCAGCTGGTCATAGATCTCCTTCTACACCCACCACCAACAACGACGATACAAAAAACTAACCCGCCATCTTCGATCTTCCCACATGAGAGTGGCTGGTTTCTGCACATACTACACGCAACGGGTTGTACATGACACTTGACATAAACTACATTCTGGCTCAGGCTCTCTTCATCATTCTCACTATCATCACACACCACGTTCCGCTGTCTCGATCTCCCGCACGGCATTTCACTTCTCCAGCGCCTCTTTTTTTCCGTACGAAACGAAACATGCATCGCTTGCTTGCTTGCTTGCCAGTTACTCACGAACGAGGATTGATTTGGGACTTTCACTCACATTCTTTTTATTTTTTGTTCGGGGGAAAACGGGGGTTACATAAACGAAGGAGAGGTGTGAGAGCGAACGATCAGTACATTACGAACCAACCGCCAATTAGGACCAGAGACAAGAGGGGGAGTTTGATTTGAGTCGGAAATCCCCGCAAGGTATGGACGGCGAAAAGTTTGCTCTTATTCTTCTTCTACTGCGACTGCAAACTGTACTTAATGTATTCTAACGTAATTTGAAGCCTCTTGTGCATCTATGAATGTCATGACTACCACCAGTCTTTCCTTCACTCTGTGTGCTTGTGATTTGTGATTTGACTATTGTTGGGTTTGGTGGATCCCCACAGTGGCATGAGAATTGTCGATTTACTTCTGGACAATACAGGGATGCAGATCTATGATATTGATAATCCTAGAAAAAGAATCTGTAAGGTCTGGAGCTCACGAGGAGCATCATCGCAGCAGAGACAGCACGTATAATATGCATCCTGAGCTGAAGAATAGAAAGGTCGTACTCGATCATACCCATACATGCTTTGACCAAATCACCAAGGGACGCCATCAGAAAACGAACCTTTCACATCACAATCATGAGGGCAAATTCTTCACATCACTTATCACTTAGAGGAAACAAGATTCATTATGGCTCAATGAATTGATCTATACTATCAACTAACTAGCCCTCTATCGCATGCACGCAGGTCGCAGAAAGCCCAACCTCCGTCGGAAAGCCACAGACTGACCCCCAAACGCATGGAAAAAAGATGCAACACAAGAACGCAAGTTATGACAGCCATCTATGAAGGTGAGCAGTTGAGGCGACGAGCCGTTGCGAAACAGCCGTCACCTCTTGATGTCTAAAATACCATGACCCATGTTCCACAAAAACAAGCAATTTTGTTGTAGGAAAGGTAGCAAGATTACACGGAGGAAGCATGCAGGAGATGGAAGCGATGAGGCAAATCAAAACAATCTACCCTCTCCCCCATACCTCTTGAAAAATAAAGAACCCTCAACGCCTTAACAACCTTTATGAAAATGCTGTCTCGTCATCGTCGCGGAGCCTACGATTATCGAAGTGGTGCATGGGAATCTATGTTCGAGTTTGTGATGAGGCGATATCGAGTCGTTTCACTCGAGAGTGATCGAATCTCTTACCAACGTCTGTTGCCACCGAGAGGTGCAGAGTTGGAAGAGGTGAAACCTCCTACCAGCGACCTTGTTAGTTCCATCAGCAGATGGAACAGGGGGTTAAGGGAGCAAACTTGACTTACCACCACGTCCACGGCCTCCACCGAATCCGCCACCTCGTCCGTAGCGGCCACCACCTCCACCGCCGCCGCCGTAACGGGTCATCTCAGCAAGTCTAGGATCGATCTGTTGCTTCGCCTCGGTTAAGACAGAGACAAGATCACGAGCCTGCTTAGAGTCTAATTCCTTCGTCAGCAAATTGCGAACTCTCAGTAGATCAGAAAATACTTACTGTCAGTAGTAAAGAACGTAATGGCAGTACCCTTGGCACCAGCACGACCAGTACGACCAATACGATGAATATAATCTTCCGAATTGTTCGGGTAATCATAGTTCAACACATGGGTAATGTTGCGAACATCTTCATTTAAGGGTTAGCAAGAACAAGAAAAGTGTATAGCAACGATCCAGGGCGGCTAGTGATGAAGCTGCATATATATGCATCCAATACTCTCTCGGCATCTGACATGTACTGTCTGTTGCGAGTTAATGCCAGGGCAGGTGATCCACACATCCAGGTCCTCTTGTTTAGGGGTCTTGGAGACAACTTGATTAGATCAAGGGATGCCAATTCCACACCTCGTACTGGAAAAAGTACTTTGAGTTTGGAATCACTAAAGCGGCACAGAACATGCTGCACTGCAGATCCAAGACACCGTGTGAGAGAGAACCAAAAGACACGAAAGAACCCGGGCAAATTAACGCAATCTAGAAAGCGCCGTAGCGTCGAGAGTAAAGCACTACTGTGTAGGCGACTGGGCGTTGTTGTGTAGGGGATGGGGGTTTTAATCATACCAATACCACGGGAAGCCACATCAGTGGCAACCATGATGGGACTCTTTCCTGTCTTGAACTCGTTCAAGACCCAATCACGCTCATTCTGTTGCTTGTCTCCGTGGATAGCTAAGGATTCGTTAGTTGATATTTTATGGCCGTGGAGACATGTAAACTTACAAAGCGCAGGCCATCCATCTTGTCTGAGGAACCGGGTGATATCGTCAGCAACACGCTTGGTACCTGTGAAAATCAGGATCTTGTTGTCCTTATCTTCCATGATCTTCTCAAGATGCTTTGTCATCTTATCTCTCTTCTCGAACTCAGAAACAACTTCAACAATTTGGGTGATTCTATGGTTAGCAGAAAGCTCCATGGAACCAATGTTGACTTGAATGAAGTCGTTTAGGTAGTCGGAGGCAAGAGCACGAACTTCCTTGGGCCAAGTAGCGGACCACATGCAAGTTTGTCGGTCTGGTCGAATTTGGCCAAGGATCTTACGGATTTGAGGTTCGAAACCCATGTCCAACATACGATCAGCTTCGTCAAGAACAAGGTAAGTAACACGACGAAGGTTGGTCTTTCCTGACTCAAGCATATCGATAAGACGACCTGGGGTAGCAATGCAAACCTCGACTCCCTTAGCAAGATCCCGAATCTGACCTCCCTTAGGAACACCACCATAAACACAGGTGTTGCGGATACGGGAAGACTTGCCAAATTTGGTGATTTCCTGCTGAATTTGGACTGCAAGCTCGCGGGTTGGGGCAAGAACCAAGACGATAGGTCCGTCTCCTGGGGCAAGAAGTGGTTGAGCGTTGATGTGGACGATGGCCGGGAGACAGTAGGTCAGGGTCTTTCCAGATCCAGTTTCAGCAATACCGACGACATCACGTCCAGAGAGAGCCATGGGCCAACCTTGGGATTGAATAGCAGTTGGGGCTGGGAAACCTTGAGCCTTGACTTCGCTCATGACGTATGTTGGGAAGCCAGCCTCATCGAAGGTCTCGACTGGTCGTGGAACATCTCGGCCTTGGACAGCAATCATATGTTGATTTCTAAACTTGATGACATCGGATTCCGAGCGGTTGGTGACTAGTGGGTCCTCCTTGTAGAATGATTTCTCGAACTTAGGAAGGTTGTTCAGGTCTGATGAAACGTTAGCTTCGCTGATATCGAGAATATCTCCAAATTATCTTACCCCAGTTTTGCTTCTGTAAACCAGCACCAAGGTTAGACATGCGGTCACCACCTTGTCCACCGCCTCCATATCCACCTCCTCCTCCATAGCCTCCACCTCCTGAGTAGCCGTTGACATTACCTCCACCACCACCGCCGCCGTAGCCATTTGATGAGCCACCGTAGCCGCCACCACTATAAATAAACGTAGTCAGTAAATGTTCTCAAAAGGATGTGTGCAGTAATAGATGGATGACGCGATCTTGGCGATGGAGACGTGTTGCGCTCGAAGGTGAGCAGCAGCCTCGTCCATTCGCGCAAGAAGCAGAATACGCTGAACTTCACAACAATATCTAGACCGTAGGTTGTCATACCCATTGGAATAGCCACTGGAGTAGTTATTGCGGCTGTAAGAATCGCGTCCATTATCGTACCCAGAAGAACCTCCTCGACCGCCTCCGTATCCGCCACCGCCGTACGACATTTTCGATACTTTTAAGGGTGAAGAGAGTGGAAAGGTGATATGTTATCACAGAGTCGCAGTCGTTTGGAAAAGCTTGCGCAGTATGATCTCGATCTGATGCGAGAACGATGAGCTGTCGATGTGGTTGATGAGATTATTTGAGGAAGGAAAGTGGAAGGACGTCGGAAAGGAAGTATGCGATTGCACTTTCTTTTCAAACTTTTTTTTGCGTGCTAGCGTTGGTGCCTAGCCTTCCAGGCGTGAATAGCCGATTCGGCAACCACGCTAGGCTCTGTTGGGAAGACTAGCGCGTATTCGCCTCGAAACACTACAAAGAACAAGAAGACGTGATCCAAATTTTATTTTGTTATGAAATCGGGCGGAAACCCAGCCGTCCAAAGTTCCGAGTCTCCGATTTTGTTGCGGGAGATACATGGATTTCAAGTACATTCCCACAGCCAAAATTGTCGCATCCTCCAGACAACTCTATCACTCTCATTTTCCAAGTACGCTATTGTACTTTTACGAGCTCAAGATCAAATTTAATGCGATACGCATCCTGGTATCAATACATTATGGCCATTGTCCATACAATCTATTTCGTGATGTTATCGTCCTCTTCCTGCTCCCATGGTCCAGAATCCTGTCTCGAGCTTTCTTTTGGTCAGACTAAATGTATGTTCTCCGGAAAAGGTAACACTCACATTCGTTGCATTAATGAATATTTGAATTAGTTCTTCAATCCTAGCCGGCGACTGTAGCACAGCATTTCTTTCTAGTAGATCTAGTCATATCAGCATCGTGGTGCTGAGCCATACGTGCAGCAATCTTACCTCTACCGACTTTCACTGCTTCTGTATAGTCATCTGCAACATAATTCTCAATCCACTTCCAATATATGTTCCCTTCGCGCTTAGTTCTGGAGTCAGCATAGAGTCGTCTTGCGATCTCTCCATAACCAATCAAGCAAGGTGCCAATGCTACTTGCAGCGCAAACCAGTCTTGAGACTGTCCAATGTCGAGTACATATCTGCTCGACGTTAGTCCAGTTCCAAACTACGATAACTGTGACGCGAACCTAGTGTATGCAGTACAAGCTGGAGTGTCACATTAGCGGGTATCCTTACTGGTCCTTCCAGCTTACCTTGATGTTCTTTTGTGGCTACGATCTCTTCTCTTGTGATACCGAAGCCCTTGCAATAATCGATGTGTAGAGCCATCTCTTGGTAGATGTGTGCCACAATCTTGGCGCCCTGATACTGCCATCAGTTGATTCTCGAAAGTTGTAGCATAATCGTGCCTACTGCTGCAATATCTTCAATGGTCTTCGCTTTGTACGCTACCAAAGCATTCGCACGAGCAAATTGAATCTAACTCGTCAGAAAGAAAACATTATGGAGAGGCACATGTGCGCACCAGGAAGAGATAATCCTGAATAAGATAGTACTTGAATGACTCAATGGGAAGTGTCCCATCGGCAAGTCCGCCAACGAATTCATGCTCGGTATGTTCTTTCCAAGACTTTTGAACGTCCGAGCGTTCCAGAACGTATTCAATGAATCGGCCACTGGAAGGAAAATATCAGCTGCACATCTCAAGCAGTATTGCGAACTCACGGAGGAAATGGTAAAGTATAGGTTGAATGGAAATGATTGATAGGTCCATTCCCTTGACCGAGATCAGTTGATGTTTTTATGCCTGCTTCCACATATCTACAAGCACGCCTTACTGCTTCCGTCATCTTGAGGCCATTTGCCAGGTTTGATGCGATGGCAGCTAGATTCGTTAGATGATGATTAATTCTTGTAGGAGCTGCACTTACAGGCCAATGAGCAGCCTGTGCCATGAGTATTCTTTGACTTCAGGTATGCAGTCTCTATCTTTGTCACCTTCCCATTGCCATAGAGTATATCGACCATGAGCATTTTCTCCTCCTCCGTCTTTGCTACAGTCCGGTCGCTCTTGAATGGGAGATGGCCACCCTTCAAGAGCACATATCGAGGGCCAAGACTTTGCACAGCTTTTGCTAAGCTTATCAAATCTTCGACGTCATGGGGATCACTGGCAGGTATGCCAGCATCGGAAAGGAGAAGCTTCGCTTCAGGCACATTGGGGGTGAGTATTGTTGTGTGAGGTAGAAGGTCCTCTCGAAGTTCACGGACAGCATTCTGAGGAAGTAGTTGAGAGCCACTTGTAGAGACCATTACCTACGGCTGTCAGACATTGTCTAGATGCACTAAGAAAATATCATACAGGATCAATGACCGTTGTAGTCACATGGTGATCTTTAAGAGCTTTTGCCACAATTTTGATCGTTTCTGCCGAAGCCAGCATACCTTAACAAGTCAGCTCCTTGAAACCTGACACCGAAATCTGTCTTTGGAGAAGTCAAAAGTAGTAACAATGTATTACCAGTTTTCACAACATCAACACCAATATCGCTAATGCACGCATCGATCAACTTTCGCACAAACTCTGGAGGAGTATTATGAATGTCGACGACACCAAGCGTGTTCTGGGCAGTCAACGCCGTAGTGGCTGTCATGGCATAGCATCCGTGAGCTGAGATCACTTTTTGATCGGCTTCCAGCCCTCTGAAAATTCGTCAGCTGGTTATCGATCTGGGGAACGCAGAACTGCTTATTATGGAGCTTCAAACAGCTCCATACGACTTACGCTCCACCAGAACTATCAGAGCCAGCTATGACCAGAACACGCCCTTTAGCCATTATTGTGGCTTCACAGATCTGAACTGATACTTTCTTCGCCGATAGTGGAGCTAAGAATTCACATAATTTGGTGGTTATGTAAGCAAGCAACATGTGGAGACAGGCCAGTTCCGCAACCGCAACACACATCGAGTTATCTAAGCTCTCAACGACAACCCCAACGTATATTCAATCATGGTCTTCTGAACTTTTGAAAACCAGACACTTTCTAAGCCACTGCCTATAAGTGTCGAAGTCCGCTGAGTAGCAATGTTCTCGTTGCAATCGAATTTTTTCATATCATGTCATCATCTACACATGTTATCAATCAGAAGCACTGTCAAATCTAGTTGAGCTTTATGATGCTTGAAACGAGACGTTTTGGGTATGGGACAAGGAGAATTTATTCTCGTCCAGATATGTACCGGAGCTTTTTTTTCAGTTGCCATAAACCTCACCAATTTCCTTCACAATTCGATCAAGATTCATTTGCTACGTTGCGGAGCCTTACTCAAAGAGCGTTCGAGATAGCGGTATACACGGCCTTTGGTGAGTAGCTCGCATCGAACAGTAATGGGTTGTTGCTGGCTCTCCAAGAGTCTGGGTCACGAACACCCACACAGTAATTCCCACGCACTTAGCAACATTCAAACAAGCATTCGTGACCTATCATGCTTGTCAGCTATTATTGTCCCTCGAACTTTACGTCATTGAATGCTTACAGCAACATAGTAGCTTGCCGCTACGCCAACAATATCCAGCTCCGGGACAGCAACTATTGAAGTGCACCAGAAGCAGCAAGCGCAGCCCCAGAAGTACCACTGCTTTGTCTGGCGTTCAAGTGGGACTGTGAACTAATTCTGTCAATTGGAATTCCGGCAGCAATCCATTTCTTAACATGAGCGACCATTCCTGTGGTGACCTTGGCGTAAGTTGCAGAGTCCAGATTATAATCATTGATGTAAAGCTTGGCATTGGGATCTGCCGCCTTGTCTGCGTTGAACGCGATTGATACAAAGTTTTCACCTAACACTGTAGACCGTACGGATGTACGCAAGGATCTATCCTGAGGGAAAGCATCAGCCATGACTTTCTGGGGACAAGAAGTGAAAAGGGGCCTAAGGAAGATAGCTCTTATACCTCGTTCTGTGATGAAAAGAGTGACCGAGTTAGCAAGATTATCAAGCAATCGGCAAGTCACAATGACGGGCCTCGAGAACGTACTAACATTTCACTTACGACACTGCAATGTAAAGTTACCTTTTGAACTCTAATTATGAGAAGGAAATGTCCTTGACAGTATCTAGTACGGAGACTCGGGCTCCTATCACCGTAGGGACCACACTGCGGCGAGAACAGTAATCACAAGGCCGCATTGATCTCACCATCATGTGAACGTGACAACAACATTGTCAAAAAGACTCGTCATTGTAATCTAATTGCCACTTGGACAGAACTACACGCAGAGGGCTCTGCCGCTTTTGTTTTCCCAGCCCTGGAACGAATTGGATATCTTCCGATGCGTCGTACGCTCGCATGCGCCTCTTTTCCAATTATCCACTTGACTCTCTTCTCATAATCGTTCATCGAAACGCTCTCCCTCCTTCATCGCATGTAGGAAATCAGAACGGCTTGTGCTTCTGGTTCAAGCCTAGTATTTGCGTAGCCCCCAATTGCTCCATCACGTCGCGCATCCGCAGACTTGAGATACGATGCAACCCATGACTTGACATCCGTTACTTCTGGCCACTCGTCTCTGGCAATCTTCTTGCATGTGTTCAACGGAGTGAAGCCAACCCCAAAACCAATATCATCCACATCGACTTCAGCACCAATATCGTCGCTAGAAACTGGTACTGGTGGATTCTCGAGGAGTTTCAGTAAAGCGTCGCAAGTCTTACCCCAGCCTTTCGCATATTTATTAGCGAAAGCTTGAGAGTCTGTCAATGTCTTCGTAAGCGAAAAGACAGCCAGCTTACGATCAAGAGGCCGTGCCAATTGCTGGGTCGTCGGTAGAATAATAGTGAGATAAATTGGGACATAAACTCCATCTTGGACTGTATCGGAATTCTGGATGAAGAAATCGGTACCAAGACCTGACTGATCGCGGGAAGATATCAGATGATAAAATCGAACGAAACGATGCTTGAACTTCTCCGGCGGGTTGCTATTGAGGCGTGTGAAGATGATGGTCAAAATAGTTGGGAAGTATTGCTGAATCGCAGATCTAAGTTCGAAAGTTAGTATAGATGCTTCATCAAGATTTCATGAGTGAAACTCACACTTCACAAGAGGTGATGACAGCTTCCAGAACATCGAATGCGTATAGTTCTGTTCTCGATTTTCCAGCCATCAGCTTTTGGAAGATGCCTAGGATTGGCTCAACTTGTTCGTTTGCTACAATGTCTGCTGCGCTTCGAGGTATGAGGGACGACAACAGACGAGCAAGTGCTGGGATATTACCCCTTGACTCCCACAAAGTGGGCATCAACACTGGCGCGATCAAAGCTTTGTAGTACTCGGATAATGGCCCTTGTGGACGAGCTTCCAAGAGAGCAGCAAATAATTGGAAGACATATGGCATGAATTCTGTTTTGAATCAGTGGAGACTTCTAGAAATCAAGAGAATATCTCACCTTGTACGTCTCTATGTAGAATTCCAGCAAAAGGTGGGTAAAGATGGTTCTCAAGCTTCTCTGGTTGAGATGGAGCTGCATATCTCACGAGTGCGCCCATGGCCTCGAAATGGTAGTAGTAGAAACGGGGGTTGCTTGGATTCTGCCCGATGATGTCGGTGATCTTGATAAGATGGCGAAGCACGCTATCAGTGATTGGGAGCACTCCGTCCTTTATCACAATGAGGACTCTCATCACACATTTCATCAAGAACTCATTTTCTTGGACCTTTTCTGGAGCCGAGTCCTTCTCTATGAGCAGGAATAAGTGCTCCAGAAGATCCTTCGAGAATGGGGTGATTTCGTCCTTGCCAAATATATGCTGGCCTGCATCATTCGTAAGGAAAAGAACCCTCTCCACTGCGATCGATGCGTAGGTGTAGACAACATAATTCGAAGATGCCAGGTTCTTCACCAATGGCGGAAATGCAGCACTCCATTGAGCCTTGGTCAACTGGCTACGGAAGGTGTATAGAAATTTGATGGCATCCACCTTCAGAATAGGTTCAACCCCCGTATCGGCAATGAGATCGTTGGCAATGTTGTTTTGAAAAAAGTCAACAATGTCCACCAAGGAATTTGTGGTTTTTACGCCATGAGTGGTGGTAATCACTCCTTTGGCAGCAATTGCAGAAAACAAGTAAACCGCAGTATCCTTGGATTTCCAGTCGCTAGTTGGATCCTTGTTGAACGCAGCAAGATAGTGAGTGATGTATCTCCCCACAACATTAGTGACCAGTGTCTCAAATTTCTCCAACAGCTGCCGCAAGAAATCTGTTGCTGCTCTTCTCCGTGTGTCGGCATCAGAACCTTCCAGATCCCTCCGGATGTATTCGATTGGTTCGTCCTCGAATTGCTCGATATCCGACTCTCGCAGGCTGACGTTCGGTAAAATGACCTTCTCTACGACCTGTCCCAGCACTTCTTCGTTGTTGAAGTTTTGCGCATGGTTGTTGATGCTAGCTACTGCAGTCAAGAAGTGCAAAGCCTTGCTCACAAGTATGTCGAACTTGGTTTCCGGTCCAATGGTGGTTAACAAGCTCCACGTGCTTGTGATGAAGGGCTTGCAAAGTTCTCCGAAAGCATCTTCGTACTTTTGCATATACAAAGTCATAGCCTCACATATTCCAGCTTTGACAAATTCTAAAGGACCTGATTCAGTATCGTCATCAGTAGCCAACAGTGGATTGTCGTAGGTAAGATATTTGTGTAGTAGTTTTGTGACCGAGGCAAGATTCTCCTCGAAGATTGGAGGCAGATCCTGGCAGGAGAGATCGTAGAACAATTTTACCGATAAGTTCAGTACGTCCACGTGTTGCTTCAGTACATCCTTATTATTCGTGTTGGCGTCAATCTGCTGATCGGTACTCTGTATCAATTAAATTAGCATGGGATCGTCCACATTGGTCGCGGAGACCTCACAATGAGTAGTCGAACAAACGGCTCTCCAAATCTCTCCAGTACGTGGTTGATCTCTGTATACAAGCCATCCGACGCAAAAAGAGGTCTCCATCTCCTAAATATGGAGTGTGCAACTTCCAATACACCGATGTTGACCTTTGCGTTGTCGAGAGTCAGGCGCGAAACGAGATCCTAGAAGCCAAGATTAGTATATGTATGTCACTTATTTCACCAGCCAACAAGCCATGTAAAGCTTACATCCACGAGTGTATCCCAACGAGTCCAGAAATCAGAGTCTGCGATGATACTGATTGATTCTCCCAACTGAGCTTGTAGACTGGCCGGAACCGAGATCATCAACCCAATCAACTCCTTCTTGATAGTTATCACCTCATTTTCGGGAAGCTTGTATGCACCTTCTTCATCCTGGATGACTTTAGTCAGAGCGTTGGTATGGAGCTTGGGTGCAGCTATCGACTTACGACCCAGTTGAACTTGATGAAATTCTTGAAGAACAGCGCTCCAGAGAGTCGGGTATTTAGAGGCAGTGAGTCCGTCGCAACGATGTTCAGCAACAACAAAGAGAAGCCCGGGAACTTCTCTTGAGCCTTCAGCCCCAGCTCAGCTGCAAAGGGTTAGCTAGTTCTCCAGCCTAGATTGTACTGGAATGATAATCCAAAGGAGGAACGGACCTTGCTTGTGTTGCTGAGGGTCTAGAGTAGCTTGGAGAAGCTGTGCAACGGTCTGCAAGTCTGCAGCCATGTCGTTGAAGGTGATCTGACGATATTGTGGATGGAAACGAACGTCGTTAAGGAAGTCAATATCAATGTTTTGTTTGTTTGGCTAGTCTGAAATTTAAGGCTATGCAGCCTTGTCCCCACAGTGGAGCCGGATTTAAGTATATCCGATTGGCGGACTCTGCTGCTGATTTTTAGATGAACAAGGGTCGTTAAAGGTCTCCACATGACCTAGGCTAAGTCTAATCCGCAACTGTCCTTCTCCAAATGTTTGCATTTGTGAATGATCTATGTATGAACATTGCATGCCGACTATTTTCGTCCATCCTACCTTGATCCGCCGACGAGCGCACGATCCGTAGCAGTATTTGCATTCATGGAACTGAGGGACTTCGCTGTAAATTAAGGTGCATCGCCCAGCATTTCCACCTCGACCTTATCTCTCGCCCACGACGGTTATGTTACGAGCTGCGAAACGGCAGCCAGCTTGTTCTTGCATATACTCATGCTTGTATTCGGTTAGTAGTATGTTTGCAGGAGAGGTCCTACTTTCCTTATCTGTCGTCGTTGGCGTTGGTAAAAATCATCTTCCGAGTTGGCTGTAACCACAACAGATTCACTACATCCTTTCATGGCTGGCATAACTTCACTTCCACTTCCACTTCCTTCGTCTAATATTCTCTCTCGCTAACCCTTTCTCTTTCTCTTTCGCTTCGCGCTCGAGATGGACACAGACGAGATCACTGACTACTTGCTGCATAGGGAGAGTAGGCTTCAAAGTTTCTCCCAATCTACGCCTCGAGCTTCTATGTCTCCATCCGCTGGAGACGTAATTCAGACCCCTGACTCGAAAGCTTCCGGTGGATTTGCGAGTGTATTCAAGAATTTGACGGGCAATCGATCTTCGAAGAGCCCCAATCCCCAGTCGCCGGCCTCCATCGCTCAGCAACCAAACGGAAACAACGCTTCACAGCCAGCTATACAAGGAGGACCACCGAATTACGAACAATTGTATGCACAGCTGAAGGCTGATAACCCACTACCCGAACGAATAGCAGCGGCAGAGTCTCTGCGCCATGCTGTACAGGATTATCCTTTGAGTGGTGTAAGTATGATCAGCTTCATGTGAGAATTTTGGCTGATTAGTATGGCAGGTCACTAGTGTATTCAAACAAGGAAAGGATCTCATTGAGGCAACGAATACACCTGAAGCTCGAATCGCCGGCTTCGAGCTCCTTACTGCTTGCGTTCAGCAGTCCACATCCACCGATCCGGAACGCTTGGCTTACTTCCGAGTTCTCACAGGGGCAGTGAACTCCGATGATTTTCACCTGCAACTCGCGTCCCTGGTAGCTCTGGCTAAAAATGGAAAAGACTTGTCAGGATTTTCATATGAGACACTTCCGCTTTTGATTTTGTGGCTACGACAGACGTATGCAATAACGACAGCGGCCCGAAAATTAGCTGGGCGTCAAAATCGGTCTTCAAAAGGGAAAGCACCTCTAGGAGAAGAAACAAATCTAGCATTATTGTTTGCCTTCATTGTGGATGTTATCAAATTCAGCTTCAGCGCATCTAGCGTGGAAACAACAAGCAAGTTGATTGACGTAGTCCTCTACATCTGCGTCCATACTCCGCTATCAGGCGATCTGAAGGCTTGCATCAACGTCATCGACGCAATCGTAACCTACGGCGATATCCCGAGCTCAAAGCTGTTGGACTGTGTCAAGGTCCTCTGTTCAATACATTGCCTAGTGGAAGAGGTTCAACCGGAAGCATGGCGCTCAATTAGCAATCTTTGCCAGTCTCACAACGGCCAAATAACTGTCAGAATTCTGCTAGACATTCTCCGAAACCCGCCACTAGATGGCGCTAAAGGCAAACAATCCATTCGTGAGATTCGGGGAGCGTTATCGGTCTTGGAAAAGCTCTTTGCCAAGAACGGTGAAGATGGGTATCCGCTCGTACCGTTCACCTTCCTCATGCTAGCTCTCGAGAAGGTAGTGGCTGTCGAGCACACAAAGGTTGAGAACGATGTGTTGCGCTTAGTCTTATCTCTCTTCAATTCCGAAACGGAAGCAGTCAATAATACTGTTATGGAAGAAGATTGGTCTACGATGTTCAGAGTGGTCGTTCAATGTTCTCGGCGATCACTTGGGACAGCGGATGGGCATGTAATCGCAGATCGTTCTCGACTTATAAGCCCTCTGGCCAAGGATGAGACACCCGAGCAATCTCTCACAACCAGCTTATCCCAATCTCTCTACAGTCTTATTCTGAAAATCGAAAGCTTGCTAGTTATGCATATGGGCGCAAACTTCTTCCAACGAGAAGATTGCATCGAATTCTTCGTCGCAGTCCATAAATTTCTCCCCGAGTCGTGTTCCAAGCTAGTCATCGATCACTACATGGCCTCCCGCTACTGCTATCCGACAGATCTTCAGTGGAAGGAACACACAAAGATAATACTCAGTGCTTTCTTTATTGACCGGTCCCAGCCGACCCACATACGACTACACGCGTTGAAGGCTGTGACAGATGTATTCGAAGTCATTGAGATGATGGATGAGCATGAAGATCCAGACACCGTTCAGATTTTTGTTACATCTATTCTCAACGATGTTGGTGACGAGAAAGATATTTCAATCTTGCAAGAAGTGGTGGCGTTCGCAGTAACTGTAGCAGAGAATGCAGATGAAACTCTCTTCAATTATGTTGTTGACGCAATACGGGGAAGCATTGTCAGCGACAGACTCCAATCGCCATTAGGGTCACCACCAGGGTCTAGACAAGGCTTGATGAGCACGACTAGGCCAACGTCAGCATTGAATCCCAATACTATAACACAGACCCCTTCAAACGTGGTCACTCGAGGCCTAGTCCAAATATTCATGAGGACAATGGATATTTCTGCTTCGAAAGCATTCAGGATCTTCTCTGAATTGCTGTGGATTGCCAAGTCACACGATTGTGAGACAGATGCACGCATATCTGCTCTCAAGATGCTCTTTCGAATACGAGCAGATTGGGCAGACGGAATATTTCTGACGCCTTTTACAGAGTCTGATGGGCTCGCTGCGTCTCTCTATCGCACACCTGCGTCTTTGGCAAGGAAACAAGCCACTGACGAGGCAGCTCAGCAGCACCGTATGTCTCGTGTGGAAGATTCTGGATCTGCTCGCATCTCACGCAGCACATCTTTTGGACAAGGGCATCCCCAAGCTCGCCAACCATTTCGATCTGGCAGCGGTGTGACGAGAACTTTACAAAAGAACCATCAGATGTGGATGACACCCGATGCAGACGCACTGCCTGAACCCGCATCTGGCGAGATCAGTTCGATCATAGTCTCATTTCTTGAACCGGAGGACGGCACTAAGGCCGATCCTGATACTTTTCAGGCTATCAATGGACAGGGGGAAGATACTGAGCTTGCATCCGAGACCAAGCATCCAACCACACCATCTCAAAGTCGTCAAAACGCTCTCAACATCGGGTTGTATCTAGAGACAATCACTGCCCTTATCGCACACGGTTGTGATTGGGAAGTATACAGCTACATCCTTGTTCATCTGCCTTCTCAATTGACGAATCAGGCACTATTCAAGGGAGCCATCACGCAGATTAAGTCTCTGAGAGAAGTCATCTGTGAGCACATCAAAAGCAATGGCTTCCAGGAACCTCCACTGTCCTCGGGCCTTCGGAAAGCCGATGTAGCCATCTGCCTTGTCCAGAACATGAACATGGTAATGAGCTATCACAGGCACTTCAATAAAGTCGAACAGGACGAGATCGTTCGTACCTTCTTACAGGGTGTTGGGGAACGTACCTCGAAGTCCTGCATTCATTCTCTGTCAATATGTTGTCACGAACTTCCTGGATCAACAAGCAAGGCATTAGTGCATATACTTCAGAAGATGTCCCAGATCATTACTCAGAGCCACGTGGCTGTCCACATTCTCGAGTTTCTGGCTTGTCTTGCGAGGTTACCTGCGCTCTATGTCAATTTTCGAGAAGAAGAATATCGGATCGTATTTGCGATATGTTTCCGCTACTTGCAGTATGTTCGTGATCAACAAGAGAAAGAGATATCCAACCGCAACAGCACCCCTCCGGTGAGGACCTCTGGAGTCTCCTTGAGCAGTTCTCGAGGAGTCGCCGACAGCAGCCCTGCCGAAAGCAACTTTCAGCCGAACGCCTCTGATGATTTACCACAATACGTGTACGCTCTGGCGTATCACGTTATCATATTCTGGTTTCTCTCTCTGAAGCTTCCTGACCGTGCTGGTCAAGTTAGCTGGATCACAAAGAATCTCGTCTCAACCGATAGCAATGGAAAAGAGAAGATCGACGAACAAGCACAAGTGACTCTGGACTTCATGCAAAGGGTGGCGTATGCCGATGTTGATGAGTCGGATCCTGATCCTGCATTTACCAAGGAGAATTTCGGCGAGATCAAAAAGAAAAGATGGATCATTGGGAATAGTCTCATCACTGTCGAACAAGCAACTCGAGGAGACTGGGCACAGATCACGAAACGTCAGCCTTCGGGAACCTCTTGCTATATCATTCAAGAGAAATTTAGCAGGCCGCCAGCTCACCAGGAACAAATTCAGAATGATGTGATGAAGGATGGGCGCCATTCCGAAGAGAATGTCAAACTACCAAGTCACCTTCTTCTTCAATTGACAGCATCTATTCCTCAAGTAGGGGATGTCACGCGACCACTTCCTTTACCTGATGATGACTTCATGGATCGAGCTATCAAGAACTTCAATCGTAGCTTCACCGTGGACGGACACAAAGTTGGGGTGATCTATCTCGGGGAAAATCAGACAAATGAAATCGAGATCCTTGCCAACATCCAAGGTAGTAGCGACTACACAGAGTTCTTAACGGGTCTGGGAACACTCACGAAATTACAAGGGGCAAAGTTCAACACTCAAGGTTTGGACCGTCAGTTCAACTCAGATGGCGAGTACACATTTTGTTGGCGCGACAGAGTTACGGAGATTATATTCCATGTGACAACGCAAATGCCAACAAATCTGGATCAAGACCCTCAGTGCATTAGCAAGAAAAGACACATTGGTAACGACTTTGTTAACATCATCTTCAACAACTCCGGACTGCCATTTCGATTCGATACTTTCCCCTCAGAGTTCAATTATGTGAACATTGTTGTCACACCCGAGTCGAGAGCATCGTTCGTCGCTACTCGTATCAGATCGAAAACACAAGCAGACAATGCCTTCTATAAAGTCCAGGTCATGAGCAAACCAGGATTCCCCGAGATCTCGCCCGCAGCTGAGACTAAAATAATGAGTCTAGCAGCTTTGCCTGGTTTCATACGCCTGTTGGCTCTGAATGCATCCGTCTTCTCCCTTGTCTGGGCAAACAGGGAAGGGGGACAGCACGTGTCATCGTGGCGAAACAGACTTCAGGAAATCAATCGCATTCGGGACAGATACAGTTCTAAGTCGCCCGGGTCAACACCAGCATCTCCGCCTGGTACCTCAAATGGTGTTGGGAACGTCAGAGACAGCCTGAGCAGCCTACGACGGTCATCAGTGGCCAATTTCTTGACTAACGCGGCTGAGCCGGTTTCTCAGCGTTCATCGGTTCTGTCTACAGCTGAAACTGAGGTTGGGCCAGGCACAGGGGAGGAAAGTCTTGTGGAAAGTCTTGATTTCTCAAGATGGGCGTAAATTGGTTGGGCGTAACTGGGGATGGGAAATACCACAAAAGTTTTGCAATCTTTTTCTTCTTTTCATCACAGGCGCTTTCTGCATAGTTAGGACTGCATCATGAGGCGCATATGATATGTGGACAGTGGGCTGTATATTAGGCGCAATCATGGAAAGCAATCACAAGTTTCCAGTCAGATTCTTCAGGGAGGAAGCAATGAACCGTCTTCGGATGACTTGTCATCTTTTATTTCGGATAGACCCATGAAAACCTGCTTCCACTCTTTTAATATTCTTTGCTCTCATGGCATGGAGCAACTAAACTACATTTAGTCGCGTGCGGCTGAAAAAGCAACTTCAAGCGATCCGAACAAATATAGTACAAGTAGTTGGCTTTAGGGTCGGAAAATATACCGGCTGTTATAATCCGATCGACGATCGCAAGCGCTGCGAGTCGCATTAGTGTCGTAGTGTCGGCTTCTTCACTGTATGCCATCAGGTACCTGGCAGACGGACGCTATGTTCCCAAAAGCTGCGCCAGAAATTTCCATGCGAGTGCTGCTTCGTCGTCCTGCCTGCTCCCGGTCATCCATCGGACACAAGCCAGCTGCCCCAGACTGCTGGGTAAGATGAATCGCAATCGCTCAGAGCGAGCCGCGCCTAAACCCCCTCCTGCATTTAGCTTTGTCACCATCACCAACCCAAATGAATCGAAGACGCGGTCTAGAAAGAGAGCCGTGCGCTCACATGTGGCATACTATCAACACCACAAAGATGACGATAGAGATGCCCCTTCAACTCGCCGTTCCTCCAGCAAGAGAGTGGTGGTGACGACCGAAGAGTATCCTAGCACGCCCACATTCTCATCAGAGTCGTCTTCGGACTCCATCAACTTCCATGTCTTGCAGTCAGGTGGTCTCACGGGGTCCGAGTTAGATGTCCTGGGGTCTACTTACGGGTCTTCACCTGCCACTCCAACCTTCAGTGGTACGAGAGTCGACCCGTTTGAGTCTTATCCGGTACCTTGGAAACCACACTATGGCCCGATCTTAGATTTCTGTAAGTTTGGCCTATGTTTCGACTCAAAAATTGACTGAACAACTAATACCCTGTAGACCTTACGCACGTTCTCATAGACACACCAGGTTTAGCTCGGAAAGGAGAAGTGTTCCTTTTGAGAACTGCTTGGTTCCCATTCATTATGAATCATCCAACAACGTTCTATGCTGCACTGGCTTTTGCTGCCTCGATTTATTACAAGCGGTCGCCGGCGACTCCAAACCTGCTTGACCTTCATCAAAAGGCGATATTAGGAATCAACGACGCTTTATCGAAAATGGAACATAAACCGGATGACTTTACCATAGGTGCCGTCTTCTGCATGTCTCTCCTAGAATCCATGTATGGCGACGCATCCTCTTACCGTGTGCACATGAAGGGCTTGCAGAGGATGGTGGAGATGCGTGGGGGACTTGGCCACCTGGGACTAGACGGACTGTTGGAAAGGATGATTGTATGGCTTGACTTTAACCATGCAAAGGTGCATAAAACGTCCTTGTTCTTTGGAGAGAGCGTGGATGTATCGAAGAGGCCGTCACCATTCTACCACCCGAAGGACTCGGCGGTTGTTGATACTGGCAGTACGAAGATTCTTCGTTGAGGTCCAGGATCATGAAAAGGCCTCCAAAACCTGACATGCATGCTTTGGCATGGATTGCTTCCACAATGGCTGGAATCAAATAATCGCCGCTCAACCGTGATCTCAGACCAAATCACCTTGAGTTGAAATGGGCCGAGAACTTCTGAAAGGCAAGAAACAAGGCATGCTATCTAGCTGTCTAGCCGTGAAGCCAAAGAAGAAGAGACAGCAGGAACGTCATCAGCAACGAGTCTAGGACTCGTGCATATATGACCCTCCCACATTGCCCGGATGCTAGTGGAGCTCCATCCAATCGCCTGGCGCATCATTGTATGTACCAAGCTTAGTTAGCCTAATAACTATCCTGAGAAGAGTAAATGCAATTGTTCAAACACACAAAGTCCTTTGAGATTCCTTATTTAGTGATGGATATAGTTATTGTGATACATGCGAATGGTTCTTTGTGGATGATAATTGCCGCATGGGTTTTTTTTTTCTTGTTGTCCATATGACGGGTATACAAAAGACAAATCCCAACAATACACTAAGATGGTACTTCACTACAGGACAAGGACGTATCGAATAGGAGATCCATTAAGTGTGCTATACTAGTATAGAAAAATTATCGAGCCCGCTAAATCTCAACTACGTCGACTTCTCCAGAGCGCGATCCCATGCCGCAACAGTCTCCTCCCAAACGGTCTTATCAACATGATCTAGCCTATAGCCTGGGAGGACAGGGGATTCTGGGGCGCTCTCGTCATCTGAAGTCAGTCTGTAAACGCCATTTCCCTGACCATCCTTGACGACAGAGGCCGTTGCAACAGGTATCCCTTGCACTTCCACACCAACGAACTCTGTCTTGGGCTTTGCAGGAGGATATCTTGCACTGGTGACAAGAAACAAGCCTCGCTCTCCTGCTTCATCTTCCGAAGTCGAGAAAAGATTAAGGATTGGTAGCACGAGAAAACTCGCCAACGCTGCCGGGTAGTAAAAAATCCCAGGCGCGGTGCTTAGAAGTCTTGCTATTACGCCTGTATTCACAAATCCTGGATATTTGTGAAGGAAAGAGATGGATGGATATGATTTGGCCAGTTCCTCGAAAGCAAGGGTTGTTTGAGTTGTTCCGTTCTTGGCTGCCTTAATGAATGAGAAGTCGTTCCGGACTTCAAGATCGTTGATGTCGATTTCGGACTCCTGACCGCCTGCGAGAATGGAAACCACTCGAGGATTTGGACTCTCTAGAAGAAGTGGGATCAAGTTGTAGGCAAATCGGAGGCGGGTGTAGTACCGCAAGGCGTGTGGAATATCCATTCCCTCGACGCTCTCTAACGACCGAGTTAGTACAGTGTAGCGAATATAGGGAGGGGTAAGACAAACCTTTTCTGCTGTCGAATGATAGATATCCAGGCGACGTAAATAATATATCGACCTTCTTCTCGTTGGCCTTGATCTGATCACAGGCCAGATCAACGTTCTTCATCAACGAGATTTCCGTTTCGATGAATTCAAATTTGCTTTGGGGATTCGATGCCTGAAGCTCATCCAAAAGTGGATGTGCCGCCTTCTTAGATCTCCCAAGAATATACACCTTGGGAGCTTGAGCATATTTGGCAAATTGTTTCAATGTGCCTTTGCCAATTCCACTGGTGGCTCCAACGAAGACCGCAACCAAGCCTGAAGCATGACCAGAAAGCTTGAAGGCCAGGTTGGACTCTCGTACGCTCTTGATATTGACCATTCTGGCTATTCGCAGCTCGGACTCAAAATAGGATATTGTGAAATGTGTGAGTTTTGATTGGTCAATGGACGTGTTCAAATTGTGAGTATGATATATGTGCAGGTACGGGTATGGTAGGCGGATGGTTAGATGAAAATGATGAAGAAGATTGTGGACGTGAAGAACTCCACTTACTTATATATAACTCTAGATTGAATGTAGAGGTGTTAGCCAGCAGTTAGCCAAAACAGCATGATTGTCACCTGTCGCATTCAACCTCAGAAATTGGAGGAATCCGAGAAGCCAAAGGCGCGAAGCGAGCGCGCGAAGACCGAATGCTTGGCGATCTCACAGGGTCAGAAATAAGCAGCTGACTTCAGCACAGTGCGGAAGTCTGACGAACTCAAGCTCCTGTCAAACATTTTACTAATAATTGACTTGAGATTTTTTATATGCAAAGGTTGGGAAGTTTCTCGAGAGATGTTCCTGAAAGTTTGAAGACTTTCACTTCGTAGGCGGTAGAGAAATACCGGGAGATTGTGATATTCTCGTGTGACAGAACCGGCCCCCGTATTTTCTGTCCCTGGGAGCGATTACAAATGTACAAGCCACTTTCTGCCACGCAAACTCTACAAACTTGGTGAGGCGCATAAATGATGAGGCTTGAGGACTTTCAAAAAGTCCGACCCAGGCAGAATCTTTGTAAGAAACAATTAATGATTTCGATTTTGGACTATGAACTTCGACTTTGTTTTCGAGATGACTAGGTATTGCGCCTCCATTAGATATGACGCACATGCGCTAGCCCGTTTGGTGTATTCTTAAACGCCGATGGCCGATGGACCGCCATAAACTTTTGCTTGTATTATCCCTGCATCTAGATACCAACTTGACTTGTGATACTGTGTTTTAGTATTTACAGTCAATAGCCATGGCAGCCCGGTGTGTAGCAAGAAGCTGTCCGCGGCTGTCAACCTCAACTTCTCCGTCTGCTGCACAAGCCTTCATGCAGCTTGCCCCGCGCAGACATCTATACAACGCCCCTCCGGTCCTCGATTTCCTCATTCCAAATGTTCTCTTAGCAGCACTTCACCATGGCTGGGCTACGAAGACTGTATCCAAGGGCCGTCCTCCACAGAACCGTGCCTTCACATCCTCTACAAGACACCAACAAACGACTGCTATCTTCAATCCACGCAAAGATGATGATGGCAACGACATGAACATAGAGATTACGCCTAGAGCTGCGAATGTAAGTACTGTCTGGCTTGCATATGGTTAAACATGACTGACTCGAGTTAGCGCCTGAAAGAGATTATGAACAAAGATTCCAATAGCAATCTAGCACTGCGGATTACGGTCGAAAGTGGTGGATGTCACGGCTTTCAATACCTCATGTCTCTTACCACATTACCTTCCCCACTTCAACTCAGCAATTCGGTAGAAGAAGAAGCAACTCTAGCTTTGAATACGTCCTCAAGCGACCCAAATGCCATGCCATCAGGCTCGCCAGGACCTGATACTCGAAGCAAACATACCAAGGACGAGAAGGACGCGAAGCTTGGCGAAGATGATATCGTGTTTGAGGCCGATGGTGCTATGGTTGTGATGGACCAGCCTAGTCTGGAGTTGCTGAAGGATAGCAAGGTAGATTTCACCATGGAGCTGATCGGAAGTCAGTTTAAGATTGTGGATAATCCCTTGGCTACTAGCAGTTGTGGATGTGGAACAAGCTTCGATATTAAGATATGAGTCGGGGCTGTTCTGGATATTGCTTCGAGATATGGACTTTGGATGGGGGATGATTAATTGGAGTGGAGTGGTTGCCTCGTTGGTACCTGCTTGAGAAGCCAGGTGGGTAGCCGTCGATGCCCAACCCTTCTTGCTACTTTTTGGGAGACGAGAAAGTGAAGAATTAAGATCCATGCCTAGGTAGCATGAGCGAATGAAAAATGGAATCATCCCGCACTCTCAGACGGCAATCATTGGTGCACGAACTACTTCACACGAGTGTAGCCTAACAGATCAGGAACCATCAGCCTCCAGCTGCCCACTTTTCACTCATTCGATACTGCAAGAGGATGTGAAGCCAGCTGAAATTATGCAGGCATTAGACACAAAGTGGAAACGCTTCAGGATAAAGTTGCTCTGCCGCCAAGATAGGATGTGTCGCTGCCAGACGCTGTTTCGTTACTCGACCAAGCTGGTACGCGTCCAGGATCTCAAAATAAGCTTCCCTACAGCCAGAGCCGAATAGATCAAGCCCGTGAGTCACCTTCCGACTCGTGGACGGGAGCAGTTTCTTCCTAACAGGGAGAAATCTGTGGCGGCGCGACAGGCATTGACGCTTCGAAAATAGCTCTTTCGCGGAGACATAGTCAAGTCGGTTGTTGTTAACAAACCCGAAATGTTCATCCAGAACTGGCATGGTGAGAGAGCAAGCCTGACACAAAAGGCCTTGGTCGAATGCCATCGTCAAGAAGATTTTCAAAACTTGGTTGCTCGTACGAATCTCGCAAGCGAAAACTCTGGCAAAACAAAGGGATGCTGGAAATATCAAAACAGCGACGAATGAGCAAGAACCTGGAGGCTTTTATGCCAGCTCTCGAGCTAAGCATGTCAAGAAGGGCCAGGCAGATTGGCCCAAGGAGGTATCTCTGGTACTCATCGCAGCTTGCGTCAGAGCGGAAGTGTGGACGCAGATTTTACATGAACACTCAAAAAGGAGTGTCTGTTGACCTAGGTCAACGAGCTGAAGGGAAGCGATCGTAACTTGGCAAAGGAAGCTGGTCTCAAGCTTATGCTTGGCAAATGGCGGAAGAAGCATCCTCTAGGAAACTTACGAATTGGTCAATACGACGATAGCCTTGTCAACAAATAGGAGCAGGACCAGCCGGTGTGCTATCATCGGAGTATCGGCTTTGAGGCACTATTTTCAAAGGCTGTCTCACTATCAAACAGTGGATTGCAGGCGCTTATTGCAGTATACAAGCTTAGTAGAGTCTAGGTGATGAAGTTGAGTTGCAATGTACCGCATGCGCAAAGGGAGACAATCTCACAACAAGTTGCCGTGGCATGAATAATTATCAACCTCCTCATAGTTAGCAACCGAAGTTAAATAAAATGCACCAGAAGACAAGGCACTTTGAATGCTGCTTGACCTTCACTGCGGTAAGTTCGGGCAATGAGACAGACCATGGTAGTTCAAAAGTATCACGCTTAGCGTACTCATACTGGGGGAAAGGCTAGCGAGCTAACTCCCTTATATTTTAAAATAAGCAGTTCCTCACTCATAAGCTCACATGGCGTGTTGGTTAGGCAGCCACTCAGGACAATTGTGATGCTAAGAGTTGGAATAGTTAAAATCGCCTGGCCCGCATACGATCGATCGAACGAACGCGACTTTAAAAACTGCATACGACACCGAGCAAGTTTTCTACGACCTCCCCCAAATCGACGGGCGAGGTCTGAGTTTTTGCTTCTTTCTTTTATGATTTTTAGGTGAGGAGATCCTGGTAGCATTTTTTTCGTCATTTTTTCAAGGGAGGAACTTGAGGTTTGGTTTGTTTACATCTCGCTTAATGTGGAGTCCAAGAGTTCAAGATCAATAATCGTACCGTAGCATGCACCGTGTACTCATGTGCTCTTCTTGGTGGTACATGTGGTTTAATTGACATTTTGTCCTTCAAGTTGCTGATCCGATCTTGTGTCATCCTTCACAAAATACTGAGTCGTATGTGATGCTTGGCAGAAAAAACTTTGTTATTTGAGATATGGCTCGCAGAGAATCGGAAAGTCTAGCTAAGACCGGGACATTGATGAAACGGGCAGTATGAATAGTATAGCTGAGTTTGATGAAGCTGCTTTATGTGGCTTAAGAGAGATGAGTTTCTGGGACGGAGTAACCTTGTCGACTGGCCCCTTTTCCGTAAGCGAGTACTCAATACAATCGCCAATATTCAACTTGAAAACTGTTTTTTTTTTAAGTTTTTATATAAGGTATTCAGGGTATGCTACGAAAGCACGAGTCTACATTGTAAAAGCTAAATTCTACAGTATTAGTCGCCTCTAACATCTGATATAAAATTACCGTGCTAGCGCTGCAGATTTCGAATAAAAGGAATTTCTCTCAACTTCAATCCTCCTCAATCCATCCCCAAACATTTTCCCCGCAGTCCATCTTGATTACTTTCACTTTAGACCTCTGCTCAAAGCGATGCTAGCACCGCAGCTTTGCCGGATCTTGAACATAAAAGACTTCCCTACCACCATCCTCTTCTTGATTTGTCTTCCCGTCACCTGGAACTCGAGCGCGGATATGAACTTGCAAACACTGGCTCATATTCAAGATAGCTGAATCATAAATTCTATTGCATGCCATATCAAGAGGCAATGATTGTCCCTGCTTTGACTACAACTTTTGGACTTCAAAAGCCGATTCGTTCGCCGGGACATTCGAGGTCATTTCGTACTTCACAATCTATAAGCCGAAACGTAAGGAAAGACATTGCAAAGTCGTTTACGTAGATATTGATCCTATGCCGTTTTATAGCTTACATTTGACAGCGCTTTTCCAATAATTCTCCAATGTATTCTCAATGTAACGATCTCGACGATTCCACGCCTCGGTCTGCAGACCTCTGTTTCATCAACCTAAGAGAATGTCGTCGATAACAGCATGAACCCATGGTTAGTGACTGTATCAGGTCGTTAGTTATCATCGACTTGTTCAGCACCGTGAAACTTGAACAGGGGAGAATCGACTTCTCCGTCCATAAGACCACCATTCTCCCCAAATCCATTGAAGTCCAGACCGTGCTCGTCAATGACTTCAATCCGCAACTTCCTGTAAGCCTTAGTGACTTGGCACTTCACATTATCGGAGATAGCGCCACGCAATAGCCGAAATGCTTAAATCTTCCACAACTCTATCATATGCTGCTTTTGTGACTCCTGACAGACTTCGAGCTTGACGCAGGCTCTGTAACAACAGGGTCTTCGACCGCAGACTTTTGAGAGCCTTTGACTATCTGCGAGTTTTCAGCGTGGGGGTTAGATATAACCCAGTTCTCATCCACATCAGATGGATCGGGATCTTCAGCGCTGGCTTCCCGGTCAGCATTATCTTCCTAGTGTTGATGATAGGCAGGAAGATTGGATACCAGGTCTTCAAATCGCTTATCTGTCGCCTGCTTCCTGGGTTGTTTATTGGACTCTTCTATAGCCATAGCCATAAGGATCTCTTCGGCATTTTCGTCACTCTCCTCCCCACCTAAATAAGTCAGTACATCGGAATGGCAAAGGGATATCAGAGTATCTTACGCTTGGGTTGATTTGTCTGCTTGTAAGCAGTCCGCTTCATCTTGCTGGTCAGAATGTCAGGCACGATCACCCGAGATTGTGTAGCATCATTCTCAGGTTCACCTTTCTCGTCAGCGTCGTTGGAATGATACAACCACGGTCCATTCTGGCGGGCCTTGTCCCACATCGGTATGCTTCTCGCGCTTATGCCACGGAGGAGAGGCACAACGATTGTCGAGCATGCTGTATTGGCAACCCAGATGCATCATGGATTTATTTTGCGCATCAATTCTCGGGTCGGGGTCGGTCAAGCAATGGCCCTCTCCTGCGAGTAAAAGGACTATGTCCTTGAAGATGTGATGCACCGTATATTGGTCGAAAGTGTCGAGAAGTATCAAGATATGTATCCTCTGCTTATTCTTCTTGACGCTCCTATCGACTTTCCCAAGAATCTGAACCAAGATGTAGAAGCAGATGGGAGTTTCGAAGATCCAAACGTATGAGGCGGCTCACGAATTCACGCCACGTTCCGATTAACTGTCTTATTGTTCCAGCTATAATGGGACTTGGCTTGTTTATTAAATTCGCTGAAGAATCTGGTCTCTCAAAAAATCGTATTGTCCCTGGATCCTGTGGCAGTGAATGGCCTAGACGAAATATAGAAGCTTCGAGAAGTCCTCGATAGTGACCTTGAACGTGCTCTCGGAAGTTTAGATTTTCTCAGTAGGTCGCCTTCCTATCCGCAAGCTCGAAAAGGAGATGCCCTCATCACTCGCAGGTGACGGTCATTGTCTGACTGATCCAGACCCAGACCCAGAAGTGAGTATCGATGCGCATAATGTATTGCATGGAAGCTAGCACGGGGTACTCTAGGCACATGGACGCCAAGAAACCTGGAAGCAAGTGTAAGCAATTCTGGCTTCGCCTATGCTGCTATCAACTCCAGCATAGGCTAAGAGAGAGAAACAAAAAAATCCATGAATTTGATGTACCGGACTCGGACATCATGCTTCTGCTGACTAACAACACGTTGGAGTCCGTTGGAATAAAATTCTGGAGTGCCGCTCAGCAACTGTAGGTGGCATGCTAGTGTGGCTGTTCTGAACAGGGAAACCAGAGCACTCTCTACCGAATCTCCTAAGACTATGGGAGGTTCAAAGAATTGAACAAAGTAATTGAAAGGGCGGATATATATAACGAGTAAAAAGGTTCACAGAGAACACACACAGATACGTAATGGAAAGAATTTGCGTTTCATATGTCATTCATTTTTGATGCTTTTGCGCCATTTCATGCTGAATAGCTAAGCAACAAACAAGGAAGTAAACCCCAGCTAGACCTAGATGCTTATCAAATCGGAATTTAGTTCATCTAAATATATTGTGTGAGCGTTGGACAAATTAGGATTCAGACATCTGAGAACATACCGAGCGGATCAAAGAGTTGATCTTGTCCTCACGATTGCCCAAATCACCACCTTCCACGAAATGTCTGAATTTCCTGCTGCTGTGGAGGAGTTAGCAACGATGCAGGTGTTGTGAGGACATGTAGACTTACCGGAAGCCACCGGTAGGGTTGGAGAGCTTGAAGGGCCACAAGAAGTTGGCAGCCTGCTTGAAATTTGGGCCGACGGTGAAGATCTCGTGGATCAAATCCTCCATACAGACGATACCGTACTTGCCAAGGGACTCCTCGATGATGGCGTTGTCGGTAAGAGCAATGCGTTGCTTGTTGACCTTTCCATATCCACGCTTGTAGATCAGCTCACGGACAGTCTTGAGGTTGGGGTATCCATAAGCAATCCATGGCTCGACGACCTTGAGCATCTCGAGGGTAGCCTTAGTCATGCGGACAAAGACACCATTGTTGATCTGGAGGAGACGGAGGAGTTGGAGGATCTTGCGGGGCTTTGGTGCGATCTTGTTGATACTGGATACAATTAGAAGAATTCCACATTGATTCTAGAAATGACATACCCCTTGATACGGACAACGAAGACCAACTTATCCTCAGCAGGGATGTGGAAAGAACCCTCTTGCTTGGCAAGACGTTGGAGACGAATCTTCTCACGCTCCTGGTCGCGGTACTCCTTAACGTACTTCTCGGCACGCTTGAAGATAACACCACGCTTCTCCTTTTGTGCCTTCAGAGAATGTCAGTTATGTTGTCCAATTTCTTGAACAAGTACACAGCCTGGCATTGTATGTGACAATTCAGACCCGAAAGATGGTTAATTTAGCGACAGCATCGACACCTTTGGTATCTAGTCGCAAAAATGGTGTTATGCATCATTAAAGTCCTCCAATGCCAGTATGTGTATTCGATGAAAACTGACGAACCTTCTTCTTCTTCTCGAGCTCGGCGGTGCGAGCCTCTCTTTCCTTCTCCTGGCTCTTGCGCTTCTTCAAGAGAGTCTCCGGGACGAGGATTTGATCGGCAGTTGGGACAGAGCTGTGTCAGGTTAGTCTTGTGCCACGCATACATAATGTATGAAGAGCGCCGAAAGGGAATTGCAGCTGTAGCGCGGCATTCTCGCAGATGGCTAACTCGAAGTATGATTTTAATCAGTGAGATGTTTCAATGGCACGCTGTCCCTTCAATCCTTTTGTAAAGACATCTTGGTAGCTGTGCCAATCGAATCTGAATCTCATCCGACAAGACCCTAGACATATGTCTAGGATTGATACACGCAATCATCTTTCGTGCCAAGTGCTTCAAGCACAGGAAGTACCAGATTAAGTTGCGGTAATGAATTTGAAAGAGAAGATCTGAATCTTCAACCTCAAGACCCCGCAGAACGTCTCTCGTGATGCAAATTGCAGTATCTGGACCGACGAGGGAGTGCCGCAGGAAGGATCGAGCTGGCCGCCATTGTATCGGTCACTCTGAAGCTGACTATCGATACGTTGGAGCTCAGCGAGGAGACACCGACTAATCTGAACCCAACGCTTTCGATCAGCTCTTCGAGGGTAAAGGGAATCTCACGTCTTTGCGACTTGCGCAGTGGTAGCGCTACCGGTTTTCTTGGGGGCAGGCATCGTGGCGGTTGTCGATGGTTGTCGATGGTTGTCGTCGAGGGATTGGGAACTTTTTCGAATTCAGAAAATCAATGTGCTGCTGTCGAAGCGAGACTAAGCCCAGAAAAGCCTAGCTCGATATCTTGAACTTTTCTATCACGTGCCTACCACAATCAAAAGAGGATTTTCAATCTCGAATCTCGAGCTCAATATTTACAATAATGACGACAATCTATGCAATAGGGTCCAATGGCTCTGGTCAGCTTGGGATTGGACATAAAGAAGATGTCTCGGTTCCCAAACAAGTTCTCTTCGCCAATGATCCCGACCAACCCATCACTCAAGTAAAAGCAGGAGGCAATCATACTCTTTTATTATCCTCTGGTACATTGTATTGTTCTGGGGATAAGACTACCGGGGCTTGTGGAATCGTTTCTGGGACATCAGAGAACGATATTCGATTCTACCAGTTGCGCCTTACTTCCGAAGACTCGACACTCAACACGACTCCAACCGTTTTCTGTGCTGCTACCTGGGAAGTCACTGTCGTTGTTCAAAAGGACGAACACGGACGTAACACTCAGCTTTATACCCTTGGGATTGGCAACAAAGGAGAACTCGGCCAAGGAGAGTTTTTATTCCGCTCCGCCAAAGCCTCGCTTATCAACAATTTCCCCCCTGACAATCTCGAAGTAGTCGATTTAGCTGCTGCTGTAAGCCATGTAGTTGTGGTCCTGAGCAATGGGGATGTCTACGGATGGGGAAGCGGTAGAAAGGGTCAACTAGGCCAACCTGAAGGTATCGTCCACAGCCCGAGGAAGATCTCGCAGTTGGATTTCAAAGTCGTCAAAGCAGTATGCGGAAGAGAGTTCACATATCTGCTTGGTGAGCCTACAAGTGGACGATACACAATTCTCGGATCTGACAAGGCTGGCGTGAAGTCTTCGGCCCCAGAAGATGTGCGTCAGTGGAAGGATGTGGGAGCAAGTTGGGGCAGTGTTTTTGTCCTCAAACAGGATGGCACACTCCTATCATGGGGCAGAGACGATCATGGGCAACTCGCCCCAGCTGGACTTCCACCACTATCGCACATTGCGATTGGTAGTGAACATGGCCTTGGACTTACCAAAGATGGAGAAGTTCTTGTCTGGGGTTGGGGAGAACATGGGAACTGCGGGCCAGATACAACAGATGGGGATGTACAAGGGAGATGGAATGTCATTGCATCCTCCAAATATCTACCAGCAGAGAGCAAGATCTCTAGTATTGGAGCTGGTTGTGCTACTAGCTGGATTTGTCTTACTACCTAACATGCCCCGGCCGGTTGATCAGCAAGCAACGAACAATGCAACTGTCGTAGGTTGGGCAAGCAATCAGGAAAAGGCTTCTCAATTCGCGCTAATCGTCAGGGAGTAATGGAGAGCTACGGGACCATCTCAGCAACGCTCATGAGACTTGGTCAGTCATCAAACATTCCCCGGACCTATCACTTATTAGTCACTTATGACAGGAGAAGCGTGGATGAACCTACTTCCGAGAGCCTTTGAGTAGGTGCAAGCCGCTGAGTGGGGATCAGATTGTAATCTCCGGATTCTTGTGCGGGCGGTCTTCTTCGATCATTGGAATCTTGATCTTGTTGCGCAGATCCTTGATGGCGGCGAGCAGAATTCATAGTCACAGCATCCTTCGAAAGGTTATCATGCGCTCTCCAAAAGTTTATGCTCCTTACCTTTTCTCCACCAGTGTCCCAAAGGAGCATTTCCTCTTCTTCTTCTCCATCGAAATTCGCCGGGTCCCATCTTCGGTCGTCGTCGCCTTCGAGAAAGAGACTTTGGGACTGAACACTGGGTTGTGGAGGTGGCGGAGAAGGTCTTGATATCCTTGACCTCGTAGTTTCTCGGTTGAGACTGGGAGCCGCATTCATTGGTGGAGGTGGCATTGATGTTGCTGTCCTCTTCGGACTTGAGGTGGCTTCAAGAGGCTGTTTTGAAGCTGGACGCTTTGATCCTGTTCTGGAAGCATTTGCTGGCGTGGCCGAACCGCCTCTAGATTCCCCAATAGTCATGAGAATGAATTCACTCATGATACCCTCATCGCTGTATGAAAGCTGCATCGGGCTTGATGGACGTGAATACAATGCTTTGACTAACACGTTCAAAATGCCTGCGTGTGCAACCATTGACTTAAAGTCTTTAACACTGATTACAATGTGGAGTTTTTCTTCCACCGCGAACTCCCCGAATTCTAAAGTGTCCACAGCAATAGTGGTATGCAGTGGTTGCTTCAAGATTTCTAAAATGCCGTTAGCGCCACACAGCGTTTGAAGGCGTCCTCGACTTACCGTTTCCAGACATGATTTTCTCCGTGTAGCTGGTAAAGCTGACACGTGCATCTTCCGAATAAATGTCCAGTTGTTCCGTACCTGGTCCAAAATGCTCCACGAATTCTTTGAGAGTCCTGGACGAGATTGACCAGCAATTATTTGCACTTTCCCTAACGAAGAGAGCATGCATAGGTGCAACTGACTCAAAGGTTAAGCGAAACGTTTTTAGGACACCTTCATAGTCAGTAAGAAATACCGTCTTGCGATGAATGACAGAACATACCATGCCGACAGACCATCTTGATAACAAATCTGCTCTTGGATTTGCCCTCTCCATCTTCAACAGAAACATCACACCTCTCGACCGCAGTGTCTTTTTCTCGAGTCGGGTCGACCACCCTCCCCTTAAAAACAGATAGAAGTGCCTTGGTAATTTCAGAATGGAGCGCGAAAATATTACAACGCACAAAACGTACCTTGTTATAGATCTTGCAGGTGAACTTCTCCTTCGATTGATTGCTGGATCGGACAGGCCTGTAGAGATATTTGGAGAAGAACTTGTTCCCAATCAAGGTGAAGGAGCAATATGCAGATTTAGACGAATTCAGAGCTGTCAAAACAAGCTGGAGAAGTCAGGTAACAGAATTGAATTATTGGGAGCCACAGACCTTGTCATGGGAGGCTTCAATAGATACAGCTTCACTAAACTTGCCTAGGCAAACGAGAGAATCGTAGAGCTTGCCGATGGCTTCAGGGCTCAAGGTAAAGGTTAAGATAGCCATGATACGCGGGAAACTTTCAGTCCTTGTGATAGATTACCGCCGGTACATTTTCATGGATAATCACTCTTCTGGAAAGTTATTGCTCGTGATGCTGGAAATTTCCTCCGTATATTTTGATCTCAAAGTCTTGTTTGTATGTCGTACATTTAATTTCGTGATCTCGAGATGAGGCAGCCGAAGTCGCGTCGACCAATCCTCAATGACGCGCATCTCCAAAAATTGCCCCGCGTCAACCTAAAATACACTTCTAGTCAACAACAGCATCAGGCAGCGCATTTCATATTTGTAGATTGCCCATCGAGCTGGTCAGGATCACACGATACGATTCTAAATTTGCAAACACCATTTCCCTTTCGTCGCAATGCTGGAACTTCCCACAGACTTTTACCATATGGTGTGCGAGGAGCTCGCGAATAGACAAGAATTCGGAACTCTGTTCAACTGCGCTTTAAGCGGCAAGATTCTTGTTGGCCCTGCTCTATTATGGCTGTACAGGTAAACATCACGATTACTATACAAGATACAGACTAAAATTTATGCCAGAATTCACAATCAATGGGCTGTAAAAAGCAGCGAAGGCAACGACAACGATCTCACTCAAAATGATACCTTTCAAGGGCGGTTGGATGCGCAGAAGAGGACGTTTCTCAATTGGGCACTTCAATGGAAGTCTATCACTCGGTCAAGTCTTGGGAATACCGCATACCCATACTGCCTATGGATCAGGTCCCTCGACCTCCGAAATCTATCATATCTGCTGGAAGATAATATGTTCCGCGAAGCTCAAGAGTCCTTTTTCGCAGAAGATATGGCTGGCTTCCTCAAGGCGCCAGAAACTCCCATGAAGTTAAAGGTTCGAGGAGCCAAAGCAAAGAAGCGTCTCGATATCCAAAGTGTACTCGAACTTATTGGAGAATCAATAACAAGCTTCATCAGCGAGGCCGCTAGCCAGAACAGAGCCACGGTAGCTGTTGAGGATCTTTCGGGAGATATTCGTGCCACTGTTCTACCAAAGTGGGTTAGCCGTATGTCCAAACTAAAGAGCATGACTTTGTGGGATGGAGGTGCCTTGAATGCAGATGTGGCCGAAGCGATTACGAAAAGCTGTCATAACTTCGACGACTTGACATTTTACCTGTGTCTGGCGGATACGGACAATGATCTAGCAGCTTTCTTCCGCGGTCTACGACAAAACTCCCTGCGTTCTTTTGCCGCCATAAGTGCTGCATCGGTCGGCCCTCAAAGCCTGCTGTCCCTGAATCACCATGCCCAGTCCTTGAAGAGACTAAAGCTCGATGGTCTAAAACTGGATGCAATCAAGAATTTATCCTACCTCCAGGGCTGCGACAGACTTGAAAGTCTTGAAATCTCAGACGCCGACGGAACAATCAACTTAGAAGCAACAGAGAATGATGTATATCTCGAAGTGGTTGCCTGGTTAAGTAAATGCACCAGTCTTCGCGAGCTCCTTGTCAGAAACTTTGTCAGTGGCCCAGTGATTCTTACGGAAGTCTGCCTGTCAAACAACATCCGACTTCAAAAGCTGCAAGTTGTTGGCTATCCCATGGTCGGTAATCGCGACTTTCACAAAGCATTATCACATCAGAGTAACCTCGAATCCTTGGAGCTTCGAGCGGATCCAGAAGGCGCCTTTCGTGATGACATTGAAGATTTGATAACCTCTATCTCTCGCTTGAGCAAGCTCAAGTATCTCAATCTTCTATCCACCTCCGACTATTTCCGCACACAGGAGATTCTGGCTTTGGTACCTCAACTGCAAAATTTGGAAGAGTTATGGTTTGGTGGTTACGATGTTACAGATGATATTTGGCACAGTATGGCAAACTTGCACCATCTACGTGCTCTCAACATCCACGCTGTGACGTCCTTCACCTCCAGCGGTATCCTTGCATATATCTCAACTTTGCAAGATACGAATCAAGGCATGTTACTTTCTGTGATGGCACAGAGTCCAGAGCATGGTCTTACGGAAGTCGAGGAGGTCACAATCAGATTGGGTATTGCTGCCAGAATAGATGGCAGATTCGAGTACACTTTGTACAGAGAAATCGATTCAGATGCTGAGTCATTCTCGGACTAAAACGCCGAAGTTGATATCAGGTGCTTTGTAGGATAGATTGCAGATTGATGAGCGACGAGTTCACGGCCGGATATACTGCTTTGTTTAGGATAGGAAAATGAGTTCATTATTGTAGGATAGGTCACATGTCGGGATGAGAGGGCATTCTTGACTTATACTCAAAGTTGAATCAATGTGGAGTAAATACATGACATCAAGCATTGTTACTTCAACCTGTGACCTTCTGCACAAAAGCCTCAATGTGACTAGCAACCTGCTCAGGTGCTTCTACTGGTAGCAAGTGACCCGACCCCTTAATCAGAACCATTTCAGCACCATTGATGTTTGCTAGAACTTTCTCCTCCAGTCTTTGAATCGGTTCAACTTTGTCTAGCTCCCCACCGATGACCAGAACCGGCACAGTAATCTTCCTAGCCACCGTCGCAATGTCTTCAGCCATTGCGTACGCAGGCCATGCTTTAGTAGCAAGTTCAGTTCCCTTCAACATGTCCTCTACCAAAGCCGAAACCATCTCGTCTGAGATCTGGGCGGATGAAAGCACGTTCCTCACCACAAATTCCGCCGACTCATGGCTAGAGTACGCACTGATTTGCTGCTGCTTCATGTCTGGCGGTAGACTAAATGGTGTTGGCGGAGCTGGTCCAAGTAACACGACTGCTTTCAATCCCGAAAGTTGATTCCGTCCAGCGATGTGCTGCGAGACTTTTCCGCCCATACTATGGCCGACGAGAACAAAATCTTCGACATCGAGTTTGGGAATCAGGGTTTCAATGTCTATGGCGAGTTGGGCTATTGAGTATGCCTCCGACTTCTGTGGTCCGATAGAAGATCCCCAGCCGGGAAAGTCGACCGCTATGCAGTGAAAGTGTGGAGAAAGATAGGTGATTGTGTTGGTGAATGTGCGTGATGAACCGCCCCAGAAATGGAGAAAGATGAGTGTTGGTCGAGTTGAGACTTTCTTGCCAGACGCAACGACATTGATGCTTGTATCTGGACTTATCTCGTACAGAGACATGGTGGGTTGTTTGGAGATTGCTTTGAAGAGAGGAGTATATTTCGAATAGATGATATTGTATGATGGTTTCGGAAGACCTTGAGCTTCAACACTGCAACCAAGAGCTAGCTCTCTCTATATATACAGATCAAGCCGAGCGCCACCTGCTATTGAGGCAATACACGCATTTGCACTTGCAGTGTACTTTGTTACGTTTCCTCTCACGATTCACGAGCTGGCAAAGACGACAAAACACAAATACTTCCTTGCTTCTACCAATAAGGGCTTCTCAAACGGCATGCTCGGACCAAGACCATAGCAGCGGGAGCAGAACAAGTCTTTGACTCATAAAACGGGCTGTTAGATGCTGTTATGCCGCGACAGAAATCCGAATATCCATCGACATCCGATACCCCTGTCCAGTCACGTGTACCCGCATCAGCGTCATGATCTCCAGCCCCAAAAATTCTTTGGAGCTCAACACGCTCAAAACAGATACACCAGAGCTCAATCAACGCCTTTCCACACACTCCAGACACACTCAAGTAAAATGGATTCTCCAAGCTCGTCTCTCGACCAGAATCTAGATCTGTCGAAGCTTTCGCCAAAGGACAAGCAGGAGTTGCAGCAATTCGTTGTGAATGAGAGCCAGAAGGCGAGAATACAGCAAAGTCAGTATAAATCTGTCTTCAATGTTGCTCAGTGGTTTCTGCATATTCACCCTTCTGCGCCGCCCTACTATCAAGTAATGTTCTCCAAGCTTTGCTGACATTGGAAATTTATAGCTGTCCATTCTCTGACGGACGTTTGCTGGCGAAAATGCGTTACGGGCACGATTCGAAGTGGAAAGTTGGAGAAGAACGAGGAGGCATGTGCACAGAACTGCGTGGACCGTTTTCTTGATGCAAACCTACTTGTGATTAAGCACTTGGATTCGATGAGAAACTCGCAGTAGGGGAATAGGATACGGAGGGAAAATACCAGGAAGCTTCGGCAAGGATTGGACATGGAGACATGGACGGAAGCATTGTATGACTAGGGCATCACAGGATTGAAGGAACATTGTGTGTCGATATGGGCGGTCAAAGATGGACTTCACTCTTACGACGAGCATAGACACCTCGACAGACACGAGGTATAATGAAAGTCTGTTCAATAGCACAAAGACAATTGAGGTGGGATTCAAAGCACTTTTGCGTGCGAATCGATTGGTATGTATCTCGTTGACGCCGGCTTAATGCAAGTTGCAACCGCTAGAATCGTAACCACGATATCTACTGATGACCGATGAAACCCATAACCGCATCGTAATCCTTCCCTCCAGTCCAATCAAAGTCAGAACCACAAATTTAGACGATGGCGAGCCTGGTGGCAGCAATATCGAGAGCATCGACGTCAGCGGTGAGGCGAGCGAAGGCCTTCTTTGATCCATCAGGTCTATCATTTCACGTTAGCAATGTGCTCCGAGGCGAATGAAGAATTGAACGTACCGGACAAGGGTGTTGATCTTGATGGTGTCGATGTCGTAAAGCTTCTTAAGAGCCTCCTTGATTTGTCTCTTGTTGGCCTTGATGTCAACAATGAAGACAAGGGTGTTGTTCTCCTCAATCTTCTTCATGGCACTCTCGGTGTTGAGAGGGTGGATAATGACCTTGTGCTCATCGAGACGAGGAGTGTGAGGGATCGACTTGCGTGGGTACTTTGGTGTACGGGAGAGTTGAAGGGTCTTCGGTCGGTGGAAGGTAGTCGACAGACGGACCTTACGGACCTTGTGGGAGTGACCCTGTCACAGTGTTAGCATTGACAATCAGAGTACCAGATCATGAGAACTTACGCCCTTCAACGCAGCCTTAGCAGCAGCGCTGGCTTGCTTGTTGCCTTTGCCTTTGCTGGCAGCACCTGTATAACTTACGCATCAGCAATCGCTCTTGAAGAACTCGCAATATCTGCTACTGCTGTGCGCATCCTCCCCTCTTTCAACTCGTTGCTTCACCATTTCGGAGTGCGAAAAGTTCGAAGCAAGATCGCGAAGGGTCGAAAGAATAATGGCGTAGCATTCAATGATTCAGAAAGGAGACTATACCTTTCTTTGTGTCCTTGGGAGGCATCGTGAAGGCAGTTGTCGTCCTAGTCGTAATGGCGGAATGGCTTGTAGAAAGTTCGTCGTGAGAAATTCAAATTTTGGACTTGTGTGCGAACGGCGAGAGGTTCTTCCGCGACACGTGATAGTAAAGTGGGTCAATTCAAATTCACCCAAAATGCTCAAGCTCGACCTTCAACTTCAGTTTCATACATGTAATTTGCAACATGTCTTCAAGCTTTCGAAGATGGCCACAGCCAAAAAGAAAGCAAAGCTGAAGTCACTCTCCCATGGACGTCCTCCTACCGCCAAGCCCGTACGAACCATTTCTAGGACGAAAACCAGGACTCTAATCCGGACGCACCATACCCTCGAAAAACAAAGAGCAAAAGCTTTAGCTGATGGTGATGATGCGAAAGCTGCACTTCTTTTGAAGAGAATTGATGAGCAAGGGGGCATTGAAGGTTACCAACGAGCGAGTCTCATAGGCCAAAACAATGAGAGAGGTGGTGACAGCTCGAAGTTGTTGATGGACTGGCTTGAGCCTGTGGTATCAGTCTTGAAAGAACGCGTGAAGGATGGCCGACCGATTCGAATGCTGGAGGTTGGAGCTTTGAGTGTCACCAACGCTTGCTCAAAGAGCCGTTTATTTGACGTGGAAAGAATCGACCTGAATAGTCAAGCTGAAGGGATCACACAGGAGGATTTCATGGAAAGACCCCTTCCACGAGATGTGGACGAGCAATTTGACATAATCAGTTTGTCCTTGGTCCTCAACTACGTACCCGACCCTCTAGGTAGAGGCAAGATGCTCCTTCGGACCTTGGAATTCTTGAGAAGTCGACAAACGTCCCAAGATTTACAGAACTGGTTCCCAAGCCTCTTTCTTGTTCTTCCGGCATCGTGTGTCACCAACTCAAGATACATGGATGAGACTAAGTTGGAGTCCATCATGTCCAGTCTTGGGTATGCACAGACTAAGAAGAAACTATCGAATAAACTGGTCTACTACCTGTGGAGGCTGGATGCGGGCAAGGTCAAGCAGAGCACAGTCTTCAAGAAGGAGGAACTTCGTGCCGGAAAGGCAAGGAATAATTTTTCAATTGTTCTTAAATGAAGATTCAAGACTGGTAACTAGTGTCGAGACTTCACACCACTAAGGTGTGGTTGGCGTCCAGGAAAACAGATGAAGCAGAACGGATGTATGTAAGGTACCCGATCAAGTGCTGAGAGGGTAATTTGTCTGTTTACAGAGGGTGACTTGGTTGGCCAAGCTCTAAGGATGAACACTGCCTTCATCCATTGATGATGGTTCAGAAGGCATGTGACATGCTATTGTGGAATCTGTGACCTTGTTCCAGAACATGATCTTTTAGCAGTGAGAGAATACTCGATTTGTTCGGTTTTCTAGCCCCATCTTTTTATTTGTCTTAGGACGGATAGCCAATTTGAGAATTTCACGGAGTATATATCAATAATAGGTGGAGAATTGGTTGGTGGTGGACGGCTGACATCGGTTCACTTACACCATCACCAGGATGCGCCCCACCTTGAAATTTCAGTGTCGATCCAGTCCAGGCTACGGAGCTGTCATTTGAGGTGACGGCAAACTTCAAGATTTCGGAAAGAGCGTGCACAATGCAGTTGCAATGGAAATACAAAGTAGTACAGGTCTATTTCCGCATGCGAAATTTAAACATCGGATGATCCGAACCCCTCAGCATGCTGTGCATGAGTCGGCTTCCGTCTTCCAGCGATTGACGGCAAGGGTTTTCGTGGCTGAAAAAAGGTCATTGACCAATAGATAGCGCGCACTCCAGAAACATACTTTCTTGATAAGAGACCTTCCCCCATGGTGCATAATCCGCCATAATCTTGTCACAAGGTCTTTTCAAGCTTTTCTTCTTGTCCCTCGTTTTTCCCATCATGGAGAACTTCTCTTAATAAATACATTTACTTGTACATTTTTAAAACAACAGCGTTCCTGTTAATTACATCATCAAGGCCGCCATCATGAGTCGGATACCAAAGACGTGGGACGAGTATCAATATGGGACGTCGGGGTCTCACAGAGGTTCTGTGAGCTCTGCTGGTGGTCGAAGTATAAGATTCGATGAGCAAACAGTTGGGTCTCCTTCAGCTTCTTCGGCACTTTTGGATGCACCAGGAGAACGATCGGAAAGCGACCAACACGGAGAGTTGCGAAGACGGAGGTAGCTTCACATTACTTTTGTGGCATGATATAATGCTAATACTTGGTGCAGATCTTCTATCGGTCTTCATCTGAATTCTATCGCACAAATTGGAGGTGTCAATAGTATCGAAAACTTTGCCAGAAGCTGGACTCGAGCTGCAGCTTTTGACCTCCTCACCCCGCATCGACCTTCCTTCATACTCCAAGACGATCAAGATCGAGACGAAGAAGGAACTATTCAATATGGCAGATCAGAGTATGGACACATGCCCAGAACGTCTTTGCTCAGAGCACATCTCGAGGCGAACGACAGTCCTGAAGTTGCGGTGGATGACGACTCGGAGCTAGATCCCAACACTCCTCGGCCATTAGACCACAGAGAGTCAGAAGGCCGACGTTTAGGTGCTGAATTTGGAAGCATGCAGGGCAGTGTTAGAGGCAGCAACATTGGTAGTGTCAGAGCACAGTCCATTTTTGCCATTGCTCCTCACCTAGCAACGCCTTTAGCAGGAAGCTATGATGGAACAGGTTCTTACGGGACGCTACGATCCTCATTGAATGAATCATCGATGGTTCATGCTGGGCAGTTATGGAGACAGCAACAAGCAAACCGAGCCGAAGGAGACCGGGAACCTCTGCTTGTGAAAGAAGTTGAGCAAGGTGGGAAAGTTGTTCTCGTTGTGGCTGGGCAGTCTACGCTTCCACAGACTGTGTTCAACTCTACCAACGTTCTGATTGGAGTTGGACTTCTCAGTCTTCCCATGGGTCTCAAGTACTCTGGCTGGATTTGTGGCATGGTTTTCCTGCTTCTCTCAGCTATTGTCACAGCCTACACTGCAAAACTGCTAGCGAAATGTATGGATTGTGACGCTGGGCTCATTACCTTTGCTGATCTGGCCTACGTTTCTTATGGCCAGAAAGCTCGCATTGCCACCAGTGTCCTTTTCACATTGGAGCTCTTGGCAGCATGTGTTGCTTTGGTGGTTCTCTTCGCCGATACGTTGGATTTGTTAATACCTGGAGTTGGTGTAATTCAGTGGAAGATTTTGTGTGGCATTTTGTTGATACCCCTGAATTTTGCGCCTTTGCGACTGCTCAGCTTTAGCAGTGTCATTGGGATATTCTCATGTTTTAGCAGTAAGTCAAGTTCCAATTGTTTTTCCATGGTGGAATATCTGATTTGAACTCGAGGTCTGTTCCTCCGACAGACTTCGAGGTCAAAGACATTACATCTTGTCTTTGTGATAATGGTGGACCCAACTGACTTACGAATAGTTGTTCTTATTGTTTTCGTGGACGGGTTCATCAAGCCTCATACGCCGGGTTCCTTACGTGAGCCAGCAGAGACCTACCTCTTTCCAAACAACTGGCTCACCCTGCCTCTCTCTTTTGGGCTCCTGATGTCACCATGGGGCGGTCACTCAGTGTTCCCTAATATCTACCGAGACATGAGACATCCGTATAAGTTTAAGAAAGCGGTCAAGATTACTTTTACGTTTACTGTAAGTTCAGGCTCATATAATTCGTCATTGATACGTCTGACAGTCTGGTAGTATCTCCTCGACTGCGCTACTGCTGTGGCGGGCATCTTAATGTTCGGTGAAGGGGTAATGAATGAGATCACTGCAAACATTATCGACACTTCCAGCTATCCACGAGCTCTTTCCATCCTGATGAGTATCTTTATCGCCATCATCCCTCTCACCAAGGTTCCCCTCAATGCCCGCCCTATAGTCTCCACGATTGAGGTATTCTCCGGTCTCGACCCAGTCTCTATCTCTGACTCTCCAGCACTTACTGGTCTGCCTAGCTATACCAGAGGCATCTTGAAAGTAGCGATCAGGGTTATTGTTGTTATCGTGTTTGTCATTATTAGCATCGTTTTCCCGGCGTTTGATAGCATTATGGCGTTTATGGGGAGCACACTCTGTTTTACCATTTGTGTTATACTGCCATTGATGTTCTATTTGAAGATCTTTGGAAAGGAGGTCAGCGTCAGAGAGCGAATTTTCTGCTACTTTTTGATTGCTATTTCTTCGGTGTTGGCTATTGTAGGGACTGTCTGGGCTTTCTTACCGAAAAGTATGATTGGTGCGGAGTAAGCATTTGGAGGTTGTGGATAATAGCTTCAGACCGAAATTGGTTGGGATCATGTTTTGGCTGGTTGTACTTGTTGCATTGGAGCGAAGCTTGCATTGGGTTGCATGTCTGTATATTGAGTTGCATAGCGATTTTGTGCTTGGTAATGAGACTTTGCAGTGAAATCTCCATCAGTGCAATTCCTCCCCTTGCGTTTCTCCTTGGTGGCGTATCGACCTTAACACCGCTCTTCTACTCGCTGTATGGAGGTCATTGTCGGATACGTTAAAGACAGTTGAAGTTTCCTACAAGTTAATTATATATCTAGTACTCGGCTACTTCTGTCCACTTTCCCACGGTGTCCAGGTCCCCAAATGCCGAAGCAACTATCTTCACAACAGCCCTTTTAGGGCCCGATGTTATCATCAAGATGCACCAAAGATATGTCGATGTCCGAACCGATGTTTGACTACTAAGTGCGGTCTCAGAACAGACATTGCCGGTAAGTCGGTGCCTAGCTCTGGCTTTGGCTTTGGCTCAAGCTCGATCTAGTATGGCATGAAAGTGATTCACTGCCCAGTCTTTCACTTTCGGAATGGCATGATGTCTGTTCTCGGGGCGACTCAATTACTCGTTTTGCTCGACTTTACTTATCAATTTTATCTCGCATAGTAGAACTTGATTGTCCTCTGCCTCGTCAAACTATTCGAGCATGGCATGAACTTGAACTTGAAAGAATCAGTGCAGAGTGGGAGAGAAAGAATAATGAAAGAGTCTGTCCTAGATAGAGTTTTTATGGTCGCTATTATGTCGGGTTTCAAACCAGACCCTCAGACTCTGTCAGTTCCTCAGGAACTTCTGTACTTATGAGTGATGCGAAGTTGGAACTAGTTCACTAGCATTTGGACATGAATCGAAGTAAAATTATTAGAATGCATAACTCTAAACCGAACATTCAGCTTTTCTTAGTATTTTGTCAAGTTCCGGATTTCGAGTCTTAGGTTTTCCGAGTCCATGAACGAGCATATTTTCGACTATAGTTGTAGACTCAGAAAAGTCGATACAGCAATGGAAGCAACAAAGAGCATTCCTTCCCCGCCCCCCAAGATTACGATTCTCAAAATACTTACCTAAATACAAAAATCGGGTTCAATGTCCGACGCTTCGCTAATATCAAAACAATAGTTGAATGTGTGGAATTCCATCAGACAACGAAACGCCTCCAGAGTCAACAGCAAGATTCTTCGACAAATCTCCCCACATTCTATTTTCAGAACCTAGTCTGAGCTGTTTCGAACAAGCGAAAGCATGAAGAGACGGACAGACAAGACAGGAGTATGAAAAAAGACAACAATGGGCCATCACTCAAGCAATGAGAATCGGAGCTTGGTTGGTTTCGATAATTCAGCCGTACTCAAGTTTACCCGTCAGTGTCCCTCGCTATCAACTGTACGTAAAGCCTCTCAATCTGTGTCCTCTACTCTTGACATGGAGAACAATATATTCATGATCACTTATTTTGTTGGAAGTTCATTGTTCCGCTGAACTTCAAACCACGGTCGAGACGTTTACTATGGATCTTGAATGTTTCTGATCAGATATAGAAACAGTATGGATGGACAGGTATAATTTGCTCCGCAGAGACACTTGCTAAATTTTCAGGTGGTAATATCCAAGACGGCAAGTTGAGTATAAACCCACTGCTTCAGGCCATGACTCTTACTATCTACATCCCTTCTCAAATCAGCTCTCCTTCTCCGAAAACTAGTAATCCTAACATTGAGCTACTTTCCATGAACAACAAGTTCGGGCACCTTCTTCTTGATAAAGGCTATACCGCAGCTCCAGAGTTTCCTTCTCTTCGACCCTCTCCCCATCCACGTCTGCTCGAACTCAACTTCGGCATTGCCGAATATAAAATCATATTCCAAAACAAAAGGAAGTAAATTTCCGCTTCCACGATAGTATGGATCGAAGCGTCAGAACTTAACACCAAACAAATTCACGGTCTCCATCCTCAAAGCTTCTCGAAACCAGACACTGGCCACTTCATTGTAGAAGCTGAGTCATGTATGGGTGAAACTTGCCTTTGCTTTGTCAAGAACGATGCTTAGGGAATACACTTGAAAAGGCATTGGACGAAAGTGTTCCCGAGTATCTGAAATTCGCGTGGCTTAATCTCTTGAAAGACGAGGACGGACATTGAGCAGGGTGGATTTCCTAATGGATTTCGTACATTTGGTTGAATTGTCCAACGATAGCTAGAGTATTAAAGTCAAAGTTAAAGTCGGGCAAGAAGCTGAATATCTAGGAAATTGAATTGTGTGAAATAGCTGTAAAGAGCGAGACGAATATTCGGTGAAGTAAGATGCAGAATTTGAAAGAGGGAGGAGATGGATATTTAAAGTCGGAGACAATGTAGCATTGAAATGTCGAGAAAATAGATTTGCAAGAGGGCTTCGAAAGTTGGTTGTGAGTTTGATAACTCGGATAGAGGACTTTTGATATGTTGAAGCACTTGGCCGGAGAAGACTTCCTGATATAAGAACTTGTTTACGTATATATGAAAGAAAGACCTCGAACAAAGATAAAACTCAAGAAAACTCAAGAAAGAAGGGACACCGAAGTATGGTGCACTTTTCTCTTTTTGCAGGAGTTTTATTTCTCGGATTAGACAGCCAGCTCACAGCTAGAAAAGCTACGCTTAGTCCTTGGAAATAACGCTGGAAAGCTACTGAAGCTCTTCAGGCCTAGAGGGGTAAGACCATAAGAGTAAACCTCCATCAAACACCATTGATCCTAATCTGATCAAAACTCCCAATCAAAACCTGCCCCCTCTTCTCCTCCTCACTCAATGCAGCGTTCCCCTCCCTAACAACCACAAAACTCTGCATCCCCGCCTGCCTCGCAGCACCCACCTCCTCAACCCTATCACTCAAAAACAACCACCTCCCCACCTCCACCCCCCTCGTCCCAGCAATTGTCAAATAACTCTCCCTCTGCATCTTCATCCCCGCATTCACCGTATCAAACCACCCCTCTATCAAACCTCTCAAATCGCCATCCCCCGTGTACTGAAACAGCAATTTCTGCGCCGCCACCGACCCCGACGAGTAAATCACGATTGGGGTTCCTTTTTCGTGCCACTTCTGGAAAGACGGATACACGTCAGGAAACAGCGGGCATCTGATCTTGCCGGACTCGTAGCCCCGGATCCAAAGGTAGCCTTGGAGGTTCTTCAGGTAGGCGATCTTGACGTCCCGCGCGACGAGGTCGTGCACGTGTGCGCGGAAGGCGGAGGGCGAGGTGCGGTGTTCAGGGGGGAAGGCGTCTCGGTAGGGGAGGAAGGTTGGGGAGGTCCATTGGGTGGCTAGGATCTCGTCGAGGGCTTGGAGGGCGTAGGGAAACTGGTGATGGGATGGTTAGTTTGTGATCGTGATCGTGATCTGTGAAGTTGCGATTGAGCAATGATGGAGAGCGGTTGCTTTTGCGGGGTAATGGCGTGTGCAGGGACAGGGACTTGAGAGTGGAGAGACAGAAATGGGACCAGAAGAAGCAAAGAATAGAGTCTCGTGGTGGTCAACGAATGAAGATGTGGAAATTGCTCTTGCCGCGAAGCAAGAGAGAAGGAATCAGATGTGCATTCCCAGCGCAAGGTATTGGTCCCCCGCAATGTCTGTCTCGTGTCGTGATGCATTGTCCATTCAGAAAGCACGACGGAGAAATCCCTATCCTGGGCCGCAGAAGAAGCAACCAACGGCACGGTTCTGTGGCTGGCGGTTGCCAATCTCGTGCCACTCAGTCCTTTCCCCCAATGTCTATGATGGGAAACATGCAGCAAAGACATCACCAACACACACTGTGCCTCTCTCCCACGCGGAATCCTCGAAATGGTTGCCCGAGTGGCTGGAGGTGGCAAGTCGAATGGCTAAAAGAGCGCTGATTATCGATTTGGCAACACTTGTGTATCTTCAGGCGATCCATCACAAACAGAGACAGTATTTTCTTCTTGCTGTTTGTGACTGCAGACATACTGTACATCGGCATGTGCAGAACTCAACGGCACTGACAAACGGTTGGAGAAGGGTAAGGCTCGGATGGTTCCGAATACCACTCTAGACCACTTGACCTCGAGGCTGCGATTCTTTGGCGGGAAAGAATGGACGTAGCACGCATTTGCAGGATCTCATGACAAAGTCTCTTCCACTCGGCTGCTGAGACGTAGTTCTAAGGGATATGCAGTGAAATGAATCTAGTTGCTTGCTTGCTTGCTTACCAGGACATCTTTGACGAAGGAGATCGGACAAACAGTTCCTTCTGCATGAACCAACAACAGAAGTCAGCACGATGTCCTTCCACGTGACCGCACATAGATCCCGTCCTCATTGCTCTTGGGCTCTTGGAGAACTACCTAGCCTTCCTCTGAAGGGTAAGGCAAGGCAAGGCAAGGGAAGATGAATGATCCAGGATGAAACCTACCGATATCCAGTAGGACGACCTCGACGTCTAGAGATGGTGTCTCCATCCTCACCTCGAATCCTTTCGGCGCGTTAATCCAGGCACGACAACAGAAAAAAAAAATTCTTCCCAAATATTGATTTTCAGAGTGCCCTCGGTCCCCAGATGGCGGTGAAGCGAAGAAATTTTCTCGCGTCTTTCAGATTTGGCCAGTCGCAAAGATCAACTTTCGGTTAGCGGGATCTCGACCAGTCAAAGGGTTCACGACTCGGTCCTTGCGTGCAGTGCAGTGCAGTGCAGTGCAGCAGCGTTGCAGTAGGTAGGTAGTAGGTAGGTAAGCTGCAGGAGGGCTTTCGCTCGCTTCCGTGGTGTCTTGCTATTTGCCTGCAGCAGGCAGATGCCTCTTTTTGTTGGTGGTGGAGATGCTTAAGCTGGGTTGGGCTTAAGCTGGGTTGGGCTTAAGCTGGGCTGGTGGTTGTCTCTCTCTCGCCTTCTAACGTGTTTAAACGTGCTGCATGTTTCTCGATCTGCGTCTGCTCAGTGGTTGAAGAAAGATTAAGCTCCGGCAAAATTCACGTCGGATCTCGCAACCGATACGCCTGGACCCTCACTCAAACACTTTACTGTACCACTTTCGACCTCACAACTTCACCGGTCTATTTTTTAAGATTGTGATGGCGGTGAGTCGGACATTTTCAACCAACATTTCTCAGGATATGTAGCGGAATCTGGGTCTCGGGATCCACCCCAGGACCACTTTCTCATCTCATGCAGTGTGAGATTCGCCTTGCTTGCATTGGTAAGTATCTGCATGAGGCATGAAAAAGAACAGCGAGGCTGCGGCCCCACTGCGGGAGTCCAGGACAGGAGAGAGAGACACGTTGATCTTGATTTTTATTATTTTGTTTCTCTCGACGCGATATCCACGGTACGGGACTTATCGGTGGACCAGGCCTGGCCACAGCGATTGTACCGACGGAGTATAGCTTCCGGAACTGCAGTTGGCCTGCAGCCAGCGAGGCGTGTGGAGAACGGCAGAGTTAATCTTCGCATCGCCTCTGTCTGCCCGTTTGCTGAGCTACTGTACTGTACTGTACTGCTTGCCGCATGTGGTGGTGGCAAACAAATACTCCTGGAACCGTATTGAAGCGTCTGTATGGTGTTGTGGCAGACGTCTAGATGGAGAGATGCTTCAGGACACGCATTTCTAGTTTGGGCTCTCGCCGGCTCCTTCGCTGTTCTGCTTCTGCTTCGTGTTGATTCGGAGATCTGCATCTTATCGATATGTACTCCATTATCGATACAACTTACAAGTACCAACCACCATCACGCCTCGGGTGCAGTAGTTTCAAGAGCAGAGTTTTCACCCTCACCGCTTCACACGTCTCTTCAGTGAGTGAGCTTCACGATACTTTTCGGCGGGTTTTCTCCTATCGTCAGCTCTAACCTCCCTCCCCCAGAACGTCGTTTCTTGAAACTGACAGCTGGTTTGTGTGGGGTGAGGGAGGCCGTGTCACTGTATCAGAGACGCCCGATTTAACTCTATTGTGGGGTTAGAGATGATGCGAACTCTCGCTCGCCAAAGGCTGCCAGCGGGAAGCACAAGCACGAAGCACCTGTGCGCAAGAGACGACGTGAGATGTGGGTGAGAAGTGTAATTCTGTGTGTGTGTGTCTGGTTACGTGGAGACGATGATGCTGAAGTCCGTGTTGCACGATCCGTCTTGGTGGCCTCCTATCCTCGTATGCTGGAACGTCAAGCGTTGGCACGTTTGGAAGGTTACTTTTGGAACTTCTTTCTACAACCTCCAGAGTTCTGTGAAGTGATGCACGGTACACGTAGAGTCGAAGCAAATGGTCAACAGTGTAATAACTTGAGACGCCACCGCTCACCAACTGAGGTGTCACCAACGGGAGCTTGCATTGGGTTCCGTGGTGGGGAGGACATGTACCTTTCCTCCAACCTCGGAATGGTGGTGCCATGGGTGCGTCGAGACGCCGGTACAACCTTCAATGTTGGTAACAAACTTGTGTATCTTAATGGACGGCAGACTCTCACCGCGGAAACTCTGATGCTATCGTGGTGGATGCTTGCAACCATTGTTGATATTTGTCCTCGGCGGGTTTTCTCCCAAGCGGTCAGCAATAGCCATTGCAATTATGCAACATCTTCGATGACCGGGAGAAGTGGGGTGTGGTCGTCAACAACCAGTTTCAGGGCTGAAGCTGTTCGTGAAGCTCGAGTGGAATGACTTCTACGAATATCGAGCTGCCGTCCCTCACCGCTTCCGGGGTCCATAATTAGATAGATGGTGGTGGTGATCGACAGCCGCCGAATATGAAGCTCTGAGCTTATCAGGACGATCCAGGGTAAATGGGATAGGAATGGGGAGCTCGACGCGTGAGGGACGTCGAACCGCGATTATCATACGAAGCTGAAGCAAGACTACCGCTGCTCTTCTGCAGAACATAGCAAGAGTTAGATTACATGATGAGAGAAACGAACGAGGGTTCGTGTTTCTGGCGGTGCCAAGCGAGTCAGACGTTTGGAGAGCTGGAAAGCCAATTACCACTGCAACCAGTGAGACGCGATGCTGCAACGCCAGATAGATGAGAAGGTGTAGGGCGTCTAAAGATGATTCGTCGTGAAGGATCACCAGGAACAATTAGGCATTTCCCACGACGTTTCTCGAGGCCAGACCTGAGGCCACTAATCAAATCATAATCCTAATCCTCATCCTGATGATGCAGCCACGGAGAAACTTCTGGAGGAATCCCAAGGAACGCAGTTGCATCAAGAGGGCTGGGCCGGAGAATCCGCATCGAGATCTGAAAGAACGCTCCTATTGCGGAGGCGGCGGGTATGGGTATCACAGAATCAATCAAATTGACGAGAGCGTTTGAGAAGAAGACTGGGGGATCTGCGGTAGGACAGATAGGATGTTTCATCAAGGCAAGAATCAGTCGTCATGAAGTCAATTAAAATGCATTCTTCGATGGGAGCATCGGAGTCGACCGAGGACCCCACGAGCGTGGCGGCAGGAGCATACACTGTACCGACCTCTTGATTTCAGGAGCATTATGAGCTGATTATTGCGATACCTGAGGTGACATTTGCGCTCTCTCCAAGGGATGAGCTCACGAATGAGGCATTTCGAGGGTTGGTGCTGGGAGTCGAAGCTTGGGAGCTTCATGAAGCTTCGAATCCCTTGCGTTGTGTAGCAGATGATCACTCGGCATTCAAGAATGTCGACAGATCGTTGCTCGTTGACCAACGTGCTTCGTACGGTAGCTAGAAGGAAGTGGTTCGAAGCTGCATTGGGACGATTCAGAGCTCCAAGCCCTGGTCATCACACGACCCCGCTGAGACTGATTTGGAGCATGAAAGGTGTGCTTGAGGCCACGAATGCCAGGGCGGTCGCCATCGCTCAGCACCATGGCGCCCTGTCATTGAGCGGCAGAACTCTGGGGGAGCAGGATTCGATCGTCTTCATTGTTCCAGCGGATTCTGCGGGAGTGGAAGGCATAAGAGAACGAAAGGGCTGAGTCGAGGGCTGACTGGATAGTGAATGATGTGGAGGAGCCGATGGAAGGGAACTACAGAGAATGAACGACGTGAATGGAAGGGAAGACGCTGTGACTTCTGCGATGTGGTGTTCCCGTGGCCTCGTGGTGCCCTCGCAAGATTGCGAATTGCCAGATCAAGTTGGGATGATGCTCTCTCATCTCTTGGGGAGCGGTCATCGGAGCATTGGGAAAACGAAGGAGAAGGTTCTGGTCTGGTTCTGGTCTTGGTTGAAGCGAGAGATCATACGGCAACCCGTGTCCGCCGTTCAGAGGTGCAGTGCACTACACTCACTCGATAGTCGTCCTCGTAGTACAGTACATAGGTAGTAAAACCAACCAAGTCAGGAAGGATTAGCTTTAGCGTAGCGTAAAGCCAGCCAGCGTCTTGTACGAGAGAGAGAGAGCATTCCAGAGCGCGACGGGGCCAAGTTTGGAGGTGGCCAGCATGGAGGTTGCATGCAAGCATGCATACTTGCATTTCTTAACTCACCAGCATGTACAGTATTCTCCACAGAGCATAGCATGCCATTGCCAGCCCAAGCCTGCCAACGCCATTCAGAACCCGCCAGCGAGAGTGCCAAGGCCAATCACGACTGCCCTGGCTGGAAGCGGTCAAGCGCATGATGCACGTTTGAATGCAGAACACAGGAGAAGACACGACGCTTTTCCCACTTGGTCGCATGTGCATGAGAGGGAAAGTTAGCTGACGGCCAGCCAGCCCAGCGAGTTGGCCAATGGTGGCAAACTGGACACCGACACCGCACCACAGAAACCCGTCGAATTTCCGAAAAGCAGCGCTGCCTTCGCGCTCGGCAACGCCCACTGGTTTCACATCACCAGCCCGTGAGTGGCTACAGGTGACGCCTTTGCAACCCACACCCGCTTTATCCGGTGTTGAGGTTGAGACAACTTGGCCTGCTACTCGCCGCTTTCTATTCAGACCAGGGATCCTTTGACAGAGCGGTCAAGGACGAACTTGGATTTGGATTTGGATTTGGTGTGGGTGGGGCCTAGCGCTTGCCTTGCCCTGCCTTGCCTTGTCTTGCTTTCCTCTCCAAAAAAGGCTCCGACTTTCTCAGGCATCCAAGCGTGATACCAGGCACTCGCTGCTCTCATTGTTGCTTCGCTCATTCATCAACACTGCTCTCCCCATCCTTCAAAGCTTCACGATCCATTCCCCCCCCCGACTGGTTACAATCAACGTCGTTCGCAGCTCACCTTCGCCCTTCCTCCTCTCCTCCTCCTCTTCTCTTCTTCCGCCTTCACACCCTCTACCTAATTACTTACCTCACGCTTCGCCATTCGCCTCACTCCTTCGAACTCGACGTCGACGTTGCCGTTGCCCCGTTGCCTCCCGAGTCTGCGTCATCCAGCCAGTTGCTCACAGCAACACATCAACATTCCACCCAAATTCATCGTCGCTTTGCAGATTTGAAAGCCCAGTGTTCTTGATAGATCGAGCTACATAGACGATAACATCGATTGCCAGTTCGCTGACCATCGACTCCCACCCTTATCAACCTCACCTTCTTGTCCGATCGGTCCGCAATCATCCTCTCCCTCATCCAACGGAAAGGCAGACGGAGAGCAAGCTCTTCGACTACCTATTCCTTTCAGCAAACAGTAGCAGCACATGATTTCAACAACAGGATCAGAGATTGTCTTACGATAGACTTCCTCTCCAATCCGATCTGACAGCCTGGCTTCCATACGGCAGGCTGAGCTCCCACCATCAGCATACAGGAGCTACTAAACCACTCTCGGTGAATTTGCAGTTCACTATTCCGACGTCACTTCCACTCGATTCACTCCAATTGCCATCAGCTCATCGAGTGCATTGATTCTTCAGTCGATCCGTTTCCATTATCGACAACACACTTCACTCCAACCCCACCCAGCAGGACGTTTACTCGTACCGCTCCCTGAGGTCTATCACCAACCTCAGACATTCGTTCACGCCTGATTTCGATTTCCATGTTAGCATAACGACTTCATACCTTTCCTTTACGGACTTTTCGTCCTTCTGATTACGACCCAAACACACAATTCCCTTTGTTAGCGATTCGAATACCCATCCATGAGCCTTTGACCTACGATACATCCCGGAGTTTTCACCAGTTCATCATTTCCTCGACGGTTCAGTACATTTATATAGCGTTGCCAGTTTGTTTATCCGCCATCATCAACCGTCCTTCCTCGATCCGCATCCACTCTTCCGGTCTTCAACAATTCGAGCAAAGCTCGCTGTGACACCACCACCTTGTTTTTAGAGAAGACAAAAGCATTTCTCTGTTGTATTGCTTCATCACAGTCTTCAGGGACCAAAAAACATTCCGGTTGTACCACTACTTGAGTCTTTTTCTGCCTTTCAAGCTACTTAATCTTTACTCCTCACTTCAAACTTACTCCATCTTCCAACAACACAACCCAATTTCGACTACACTTTTCGAAATGGAATGCCTCAAGGACCAATTCTACGATGGGGTGGTCCTCGACGGACGCTTCAGAACGGTCTCCCCTCTCAATCATGGGTCATTCGGTATGGTGTTCATGGCCGAAGACTTGACGACAAATGAATATGTTGCCATCAAGTGCTTGACAAAGAAATCAGCCATCACCGACGCGGACTCTTCCTTTGCCGTTGACGAGCGTTCCGAAGAGCTTGCGTGCCATGCTCGTCTCGGAGCCCACGCCAATATTGTCAACCTCATCCACTCCTTCGAGACTGAGGCTCACATCTATATCGTCCTTGAGTTCTGCTCGAGGGGTGATCTATATGAAGCTATCAGAACTGGAACCGGGCCATTGGAAACAGAGCACGTTCGTCGCTTCATGCTCCAACTGGTCGATGCTGTTGCCTACATTCACGGCAAGGGCATGTACCACCGCGACATCAAGCCGGAGAACATCTTCTTGACCCAAGCTGGCGAAATGAAGCTTGGTGACTTTGGCTTGGCTACCTCTGAGAAATGGACTTACGAGACCACTGTTGGCAGCGATAGGTACATGTCTCCTGAACAATACGACTCTGCTGGAGCCGGTTACGCACCAGAACAAGCCGATATCTGGGCCATTGGCATTTGCTTGTTGAACATCCTCTTTTCGCGAAACCCGTTCACCACACCCACCGAGTCTGATCCACTCTTCCTTGACTTTTCCCGAGACAAGCAATCTCTCTTTGATGTCTTCCCGACAATGTCCCAAGACACCTACGAAGTCATTGCCCAATGCATGAGCTTGGATCCCCGCAAGCGATCTCTCAAGGCTGCCCGTGAAGCACTTGAGCGGGTCGTTAGCTTCACTACGTTTGATGAGTCCTTGGACGACTTCTGCTCTGCTGAAAGACGCGGTATTGCCAGTGCCAACCGCGAACCACTTCGGACCCCTTCAATCCAAAGCCCGCAGATGGACAACGGCTCTTTCCCATGGGCCAAGGCCTTGCATGCCAGCCCACCTCAACAATTCCGCCAGCTGTCTGCCATCCCCGACGACGAGAGCTACCAATCCGAGGATCTCTTCCCGAGCTCCGAAGAAAGCAACAAGGATTGGTTCTCCGTTGGACAGCAGACACCATCCCTCGCATCCATGTTGGACTCATCCCTTGGTGCTTCGATGAAGTCACTCGCTATCCGACGTCCGTTCAAGGCGGGACCACCAAAGGCTAGCCTCACACCAATCTCGGGTTCGCTGCCAATCACTATGTCGAAGCCCAAGCCTTTGCCCTCCTTGTCATCTGTCTTCGGCAAGAAGAACGAGGTGTCAAAGAGTTGGAGCGACTTGTGGGATGAGGACATCGAAGAGGAAGAAGAAGAAGCGGAGAAGCAATTAAAGGCACGACAGATGCAGAATGCCAGGACCTGGAGTCACGAGAGCAAGAATGAGAATGAAGATGATACGATACGAGGACCACTTGAGCTGAAGAGCTCATCTTTTGTAAATATTCCGAAATTGCAACAACCGGAGGCTGGCCGGGCCACAGCCGATATCGATGCGGATCTTGTTGCGGATGGTTTCTTTTTCCATGATACTCCCTCAAAGGAGTTGGAGGCGGTTGTTTCTCAATTTTCTCCTCGGTACTCACCACCACCCAAGCGAACTACTTTCGACAAGTGGTCCGCGTTGGGAGAACGCCGACGAGCATACACTGGCACGTCTGAATCTGAGAAGTCTCCCGAATTGTGGAAGGCACGTCGCAACGTTGGTTTAGGCTTCACGGGGTTTGGAGCTGGGGTTTGGGATAATAAGGCGAATACTGTTATTAAGGAGAATGGTGCAAAGGATAGGGGCAAGGAATGCCCTTGGGCCAGTCATCGGGTTCGTGATCACCATGGGCATCAACGCCACATGGTGGAACACAGTGACCTTGAGTGGGTGGGCGGATGGAGAGACGCCCACATGTAGTTTTGGCAAACTTCTCGACTTTCACACTGGATTGGACATCGTTATCTTCCTTGTTCTGAAATATTATTACTTCAGGGGCAAGGGTCTTCACGGTGGGCACGATTAGGATCGGTAGGAAGAGATTTTATGCTTGGACTCGCTTTTCTGTGTATTAGATATCTTCGGACTTTGAAATACCAGACAATTACCCACTCTACCAAAGTTCCCCTCGCCGTGACTTTGTCTATAACTTGCCTCGCACTTCAAAGTGAAATAATTACTTACTCTCCGACCAGACATTGAAAATATTGCCTTGTCTCTTTACTAGTTCCTACATCAATTGACCTTCCCCACATCGAAATCCCCAACAAGAACAGAATTCGCCTTCGTATAATTCATGGCATTGTCCTACATATTGCTCACCTTTGCCAATATGCACCTGTGTGTTGTGATTTCTGTTTATCACCTCGCTAACCACCTGGCCACCCCTGAACCTTCTCGTGAATCTCCATCCAAATCCAGCCGTCTCGAAAGCGGGGTAAACACAACCAACCCCCTTTTCCATAGCAACAAAGTACTACCGTACGCTCTTTATCCACTAATTACCTAGTAGCTACAGAAAACGCGGGTTGCAGAAATGGCTATCACGCACGAGGAGTTTGGATATGCGACTGGGGCGCTGCAGGCGGCGAAGGCGTTTGCGGCTGAGATTCGGGGGAAGATTGGTAGGTTTGTTTGGTTTTCTGTTTGTTGTTGTTCTGTGTTCTTTTGGTGTTTTGATATTGGGCATGAGTACAATGTGAGATTGTGGCGTTGAGTGGTGCGCGAGTGATAGTGATTGGACTTGTCATATGAGATGGGCTAATTTTTGGTGGCGTGGGGTGCGGTTGTGTTGTCACTTTTGCGGGTTACATGTCATGTGCGATTGTGGAACATTGGTGTTATGTTCAATGTCTGGCTCATTCGTTTTCCCTTGGATCGAGGACAGATTTTGAATCAGATCATTGTCAACATCATTTCTTCCAAGATGTCAGACTTGGCTACAAAGAGCATTTCAAACACCTTGTGGTAGTCAATGTTCGAGATGGCCAAATCTAGATTTGAGTCAGTAGCACAAATTTCCCTTCGGTGTACTGTAATCACTTGAGACTTTGAGTCCACGATGTTACTGTGTTTGGTATCTGCGACAAGCACATGCCGAAGGACTCGCTGACGTTCGAACTACAGTCGTCATCACAGGCGTGTCCCCGAACAGCATAGGTTCAGCTCTGGCTCTTGCAGTTGGCTCTCAGGGACCAAAGCAGTTGATTCTCGCTTCTCGAACTTTGGCAAACATCCAAAAGGTTGCGGCGGAAATTCATTCTGTGTACCCAGACGTCAACATTGATGAAGTGGTTCTTGATCTGTCGAACTTTCAAAGTATCCGACAAGCAGCCCAGAGAGTAAAGGCAATCGTAGGGGCAGGAGCAGCCGTCGATGTTCTGTTCAGTACGTCAAAATATGCCTCTGTTTCAAAAGAAATCGAATGAGTCTAGCTCTTGAAAGGGAAACCCAGACTGATCTGCTCACAGACAATGCTGGTATCAACGTAAGCAGGAAATCTCTGACGGAAACGGGTGTGGAACTCCAATTTGCAACGAACCATATTGGACCATTCCTCTTCACAAATTTACTGCTTCCTTCCATGCTCCAAGCAAAGGGCAGAAAACGAAGGGTCGTCAACACTGCGAGCGAAGCCCACGTCATCTCCCCAGTGAGGTTCAGTGACATCAACCAGGAACCCGGCAAGGTAGTCCCTAAGGATGAACAACCAAGAAGGGGACTACCTGAAGGTATGCTGAAGAATGATGGCACATATGAATCTAGCATCGCCTATGGACAAAGCAAGACAGCAAATGTGTTGTTTAGTGTTGGTTTGAATGCCAGATACGCTTCGCAAGGGTTGAAGAGCTTTGCTGTTTCTCCTGGGAGTAAGTCTTATCGTCCGTCAGGGAGATGTGTTTGCTAATGGGACAGATATCATGACCAACTTGGTAAGAGCCATGACCGAAGAGGCTCTTCAGGGATTCTTTGCAGGAATTGGCGACAAATGGAAGAATCTAGATCAGGGAGCATCGACGTTGGTCGTAGCTGGATTCGATCCGGGATTGGATGGTAAGTAGAATAAACGTGCCGTACCCTCGAGTAAGATATTATGCTGATGTCCATACACAGAAGAAGCCGGAGTGTACGTTGAAGATTGCCAAATGAAGAGACCAGCGGGATGGGCATCAGATAGTGCAAAGGCTGAGAGGCTTTGGAAATTGAGTGAAGGGCTGGTGGGTGAGGGGTTCGGCCATGGGAAAACTAGTCGCCTTTGAACTATCTTGTACTTCGAGCCGTGTGGCGCCAGGACGAAACGACGATATGTATCGAGGCCTACCGTCGCGGGAGCATTATTTGAAGCCTGATAGAAAACTTCCACTCAACTCTATTGAGCTCGTGTGATTCCCAAAACTACACGTGATATCGTAAAGTCATTAGTGATTCTCATTCTGGGCAAAGTCTTCAGGAGCAAAGGGGGCTAAAAACCCATTACCTTGGCTCGAGGCAAGTTCTAATCCCCTCTCCTCTAATGCATATCCCAGTGTGGTTACTTCTCCGCGAGTCAGGGCATGGCACGGACGGTGATGAGCCCGCATCTATCCGACTTTCGAGAGATCGTGGCAGATCTTCAGGATTTCAACGTCGCATAGGCCTCCGATGATGAAGGAGAAAGCCCTCGATGATGTTGGCGCGAGCTCGAAGTTGTCGAGGCCTTTTATTTACATCCTTTCCGATGCAGTTCTTGCAAATCGAGACTCTGAGAGGCGGGTCGGGAGCATTCGATACAAGTAACACGGACCGAAGACTAGTGGTAGTTTGTCTGATGGCTGAAAAGCCACGTCCGACTGAGTCTTGATGGCGACGAATGGCGAAATAATCTACGTGAATAGATGACTGAGATTCGAACGATTTCAGCTGTCAAAGTTGACAAGTGTTGATCTCGCCGGGTAGAACCGTTCTCTCAAATGTTGTTGTGGAGGATGTGCTTGTCTGCTCTTTCCTCGCTTCGTCCCGAATGAAAATTTACTTCGAGCCGTTGACATCTTCTTTCCTTCTTTGCAGTCAGATTCTTCACCGAAAGCCTGTAGCTTGTCTCCCCGCAGTCTCATCGTTTCACACGATGATCTTCAACCTTGAAAGGGAGAATCTCCGAAGTCTCCCACTGACTGTGGCGTTTGGCCTATTACAGATTGAGTTGGGTTCCTGCTTTTTCCCTCGTGCTTGTCCGCATTTTTAGCTCACCTCGGTATCCACACTTCTAAGCCTCGCTGTCTTTAGTCCATTGTTTTCCATGTGGGTGTCTGAATAGGTTCCTCTTGTGGCGTAACATAGTGCTCATTTAGCACTGCCAACACGAGGGAGATGCCCCTCTTGGAACGGAGCCGTCAGATCTAGAGACGGAAAGAACACCTGCTACTGGTCCGGAGATTGCAAATGACCCTAGAAATGTGAGATCAGAAACGCAGGAGACTGTGATCGTTGCAGTTCACCGTCACAGAACTCGGATTTGACCCAGGAAAGGGGATCAGTGCTCCCAATCTAACAAAACAGCCGCATCCAGCCCCAGGAACCGACCAGAGGAATGACAGGGAAGAAACCGTCTTTATTATCCACAATGCATTTCTTTATTTCTGATGAATGATCATCGTCCACGGTCTTCCATATTTCTTTAAAGTCTCGTACTGTCGACTCTAGCCAGCGATGGCTGCTGAAGATCGAGGACCAGAGGTGGCTGCCGTTGCCATCCTATTCCTCAGTCTAGCATGGATCTTCGTCAGTCTGCGGTGCTATGTGAGAGCAGTCATGATGAAGAGCTTCGGCATGGATGATTGGCTTGCTGTTGCTTCTTTGGTAAGCACGCTTTTCTGTCTCAAAAAACCAACTTTTCAGATGCTCCGGTGAGTTGATAAACGAATAGTTTGCTGACTTTTGTTACAGATACTTTTCACCTTGTATTGTACTTTCGTTCTAAAGGGTGTTCAGTACGGGTAAGAGTGAGCCCCAATCGCGTTTGTCAAACAGCACTCGTACTGACATGCAAATGAAGAACAGGTCAGCATCTCGTCAATCTTCCTCCGGGGAATATCCCAATAGCCCTGAAGGTACGTTTGCATACTCTTCATGCTTAAAATGAATAACTAACGAAAAACCTAGTGGTGGTGGTGCTGTGAACTTGCCTATGTTTCATCAACTGCAGTTTTCAAGGCCAGCATATGCATTTTTCTCGCCCGAATTTGCGTGACGCGGACTCAAATAATGACAATATGGACTGTTGGAGTTGTTGTCATCGTTTACAGCATCATGTATTTCTTCGTTATAGTCTTTCAATGCTCGCCTGTCACCTATTTCTGGACACAATATCTCGGCGCAAAAGGACACTGCGTTAATCCATCGGTTATCACCGGTACATCTTATGCTCACTCGGCTGTCTCGTGCTGGGCAGACTGGACCCTTGGGATCCTTCCTGTATTTCTGGTCTGGAACCTTTCCATGAATCCTAGAACCAAGATTTCAGTGGCTTTGATCCTAGCACTTGGTGCATTGTAAGCTTCTCACGACCTCAAGACACTTCTTCTGTTGCTAACCGTATGTAGTGGGTCGACCGCAACAATTGTTCGAATTCCATACCTCAAGCAACTTGCTCAAAGCGACTTCCTCTATTCGACAACGGATGTGGCGATTTGGTCCACTGTGGAACCAGGCATAGGTATCACAGCAAGTGTAATGGCTACTCTCCGACCACTCTTCCGCACCTTCTTCTCTCGCTCGAAGCTTTTCGGGTCGTTAACTCACACTGGAGACAAAAGCTCTACATGGCCACTGTCGAGGAAACACAACCGTCAAGGTTATTTCAAAAGTGGTAGCGGCAATAAGATCGGGCAAGAAGAACTTGGGCTAAGGAACGATATTGCAGACGGTGTCGGTGTCACGACGACAATCAAAAGCACAAGCAATGGAGATTTGGAGGGCACCTATGCAAGACAAGGGAACAAGTTGGAATTAAGCACAAGCCAGAGATGGCTGAATTGGTTGGAAGGTGAAACTCCTTCGAAGGACGACAGTAGTGAAGAATTCCTGCCAGTGCAGAAACCGGCTAGCAGCGATTGGGCTGTGCGGAAAACGACGAAGGTGATAACGAGTCAGGAAACAAGGGATACCAAGACGGGCAGATAACATAGTGTCGGCATCGTAGAAAATCCCTTGTAGTACATAACGAAGCTATGAGTTTGACTGTCGCTTCGCAGGATCTCATCGTTGGATAGGTAATGTCATTGTTGGGCCAACTTTGATACAAATCATCGCTAAATAGGAGATCGTAATATTCGATCATTATTGTACATTGAGGAGGATGTGAGTGTCTAAGCTGGACTCGGTCCTGCAAAGAAGAACAATGTCTGCTTATGATCTGGTATTTAGTACATTCAAGAGTCCACAGCCTGACCCAAGGCTCGATGAGTTTTGGATGCACAGTAGCATCAGACCAGACACCGAAGATAGCATGAGCTACAAATGTGCTTTTCAGGTAGAACAATACTTTGCATCTGCCATGCAGTATCTGGTTCAGAAAGAAGGGCGGAGTAAGTGGGGTTTCTGCAACTTGTAACTCGGATCGAAGCTCTGAATCGGTGAGAGGTGTTGAGGTTGGCATTTATCCACGACCATTAGAAGGAAAGACATCTGATTGGAGCAGATACACGAACGACCGAATTTATCTCATCTTCGGATACTTAGAACAAGCCCTCGTTCCGTACCGATACGTGAACCGTAGGCTGTGTGGGACGGCCACGATGCCGGTCGGTAGCACGGCGCTAAGCCCCCCCCTCAATGAAAATCGGCTGGCAATGCTTTGTTCTATGTAGCACGTTCTTGGAAGCGTCCTTGCCAGCGCATGTACGAGAACCTTTTCTGGACCTAGACTTTGGCGACACTCATGTTACCTAGGTATGTGCCTTTTGAGCGCATGAAGTGGCTTCGTCCGCTGCAGCCACATTTGGCGTACTGTGTCTACCTGGACCGACACATTGAGGGTTCCGGGTCATTGCGGATCTGTAACCTAAGGTAAAGACAGTCCATCTTATCTTGCCGATATAGGCGCCGTGCTAAAAACGTGCTGCAATGCAATCAACGTGGCAGTGGCAGAGTGCGGGGAACCGGCGTGGAGGTAACCTATCGCGTAGCGTGCTCGAGTAACACGAGGGTATTGCCAGAATGCAAGTGGACCACTTATAAATTAAAATGGCATAAATATGTCGTGCAGGAGGCAGCGCTTGGACTCGGGTAACTTTGGTTTGCTTAGATCGTTACCAGGGAATGTTTTGATACGTTGCCAGTCAGGAGCTGGTGAAGAGATTTTCCAAAACTCAGACGCTCTTCCACACGTCTCTATATCGGGCCCACTCTTTAAAGCCTATTTTGGTGAATTCAAGCGCGAAATTCTTGTGGTTAGAATAGACATACCTAGGTTCGTGAAGAATTGAGAGTGATCAGTCACTCCATCTAAAAACAGCCTCTTCATACCCTGCGTTCGCAGAGTCTCCACACAGGTGTTTATAAGACCACTCATTATGATGTGCCTCTTGTCGGCTGTTCCGCTATCAGCACTAAAACCCTCCTCTGCATTCAGACAAGGACGGCGAGATTTTCGTAATGTAAGATGAAAACAAAATTATGCTCGCAAAACCTAGATCTATGTCGAAAGAAACTATGACAGTGCTATCCAAAAATGCGCCAAATTGTATGGAAAGCCAACAAAATAAATAATAGCAAGACATCACTCACGGAACATAGACACGCATGTTACTCCTCCAACATCGTTTCCAATCCGACATGGCCACTAAATAATAGATTCTTTAGCTAGAGCATTCCTTCCTTGACTGTTGGGGAGACGATATTTCCAAGGCAAGAAGTAAAGCTATGCTCACAGGAATATTGTTGGACATCTGACTGCCACCTGGACTGTAAGTCAAGGCTGTCCCAACGATATCTTGCTCTTCGACTGCAACAACGATATCTTTAACGTTTGGACCATTAATGAGTGTCCAATATTGGTCAAACCATCCTAATCTGTCGTCAAGTGCGGATGTTCTTTCAACCAAGTCGATGACCTTTGTCATGTCATCTTGCGTGCAAACTCGATACTCTGTGGTGGAGGAGGAGCCGGGACGGTAGTGCCAGTCTTTGAATTCGAGAAGAAAATCGTGCACGACTTGTCCCTGGCCCGGAGCACCTTTATCAAATTGCCACCCTCTGCGACGGAACCACTCATCACTCGATTGGTCATCGGATGGTGGCCCATAAAGAAGTCGAGGAAAAGTGCTCCCAAGCTGTAAACGTATAATACCTCGTGTTCTTTTGAGCGAGTTGATTGCGTGATTATGAAGACTCAGGCCAATGCCTCGAAAGCGTGTTTGGGGGTGGACAACAAGTATAGCCAAAGATGCTACAAGCTTCTCTCCTTCTCGATCCACGTATGAGAGATATGTTGCGCAGAACCCCAGTGTTTCTCCAGTGGATGGATTTCTAACGACATAATGCTTTGAATATCCCGGCTTGCGCAGCACGTTTGCAAGCGTTTGCTGGTCAAGAGCGAACCGTTCTCCGAGGCATGCTAACCATAAAGTCGCAACACTAGCAATGTCCCGTTGCTCGACAAAGTCTTCCACTGGCCAGACCTTTGGTTGCACGGTGGATTCGTTCGACGAGTCTGGCAGACTATGCGCAGTCGGCAGAGATCGCTCTGCAAATATCAACTCCGCTGTAGCTTCTAGGGCGGGTCGTGAATACCCAGCTGTATCGATCACAGTTGGGAAGGGAAGTGCTTGTTTGGTATCTAGTGGACTGCAGCATACCACAACGACGGGCTTGTCACCACGGATAGCCAAGACTATATCGACCAATTCGAGTTGTAGAGGCTGCTCAGCCAGGCAAAGAATGATAGCATGGCCCCTTTTAATGAATCCGAGATGGGTCGATGTGATTCCATGCCTGGCACTTGCAGTCAGCAACTACACAACTTGCCTTGCGTCTCGAAGCCTCCCAACACAAACCTCTTGGTGTATGGAACATGGCGGATTTTTGCATGTCTCCTCGATAGATAACGTCCTAGGGGTTCGAAAGGATCACTTGAGTCTGTAGGCTCTTGAGAAACAGGGAATACCACAGGTGTTAGAAGAATTATCACGTCCTGGGGTTGTAGGCGACGAATGTCAGAAAGCCATTCTGGAGCATCCCGTAATACCTTTGCAAGGGCAGTAGCTGCAGCTAAGGTTCGGGAAGCAATTTGTTGGGATCGTTCTAGCTGCAGGTTTGAATCGATATCCCTTCTCACAGTAAGTAAATCATCATATGACAAGTTGCGGAGCCATAGACCTACATTCCATCCTCGTCTTCGTCCACGTTCGAAGGCAGCTTTGACATTATCCAGAGGTTCCAGCGACGGTATAGTCAACATACTAAATTCTTGGAGAATTGATATCTGGACGAGCTAAGAAAGAAGAAGTAGAACGTGTGGGACTTTGTTGTTGTTGCATATGTATGAGGACCCAAAGAAAGTGCGAACGGAGCCTGGTTCCCGACAATACGGTCTCGATCCGCCCACTTACGGGAACTGCTGCGGTTCTCTAAGGATCTGGGAAGATTCACAGATGTTTGATGGGGAATTTTCGTTTACGCCACCTGCCACCTCTGCACGCATCAGCATGCGCTTGATGCCCTCCTCTAGCAGCAATCTGGATACAGGTGCTTCCCTCGACGAACCACTGCAAGTCGGAAGCAGTCCTTGTCGAATCGTGTTTCGGGTCGGGAGACTCTAGCTGTGCCCTATCTGCTCTGTATATGGCCTAAAGTTGGCAACAACCGGCGGTAGCAATTGAGAAAAACTTAAATCGGTGTAACCACGACCATGATCAATTCCACCATCCTTTCGCATCCATGCACAGCAGTTGCTCGGTCTGTCTTGCAGGCCAGGGGGTTCAGGTCACAGCATGCGCCCCAGACTAGCCAATACTTTGGGGTTGTGTGGCCTATGGAGAGAGCAGTGATAACCGTGGCCACAGAAATTCGCGAGACATTCGCGCACCGCAGCCAGCTCGACCAGGATAGCGAATATTCAACCACCGCCATCATATAAAAATCACCGGGCTCCAGGCCTTGAGAGGTAGTAGGTGATAAGAGCAAAAAGCAAAGCCACGCGGGGAAGAGGCCTGAAGCGTCTCGACTCGACCGAACTATGGAGAGTATCTGACAAGCATGAATTAATCGTGCTTTACACGTACTGTATGCAGGGTGGACTCCTGCTGTGTCTGTGTTGCCCTGGCTGTAGGTAGCAGTTGTACGTCCGGAACACAGGGGAAAGGACCTGGTGGACAGCCTCCGCGCAAATTGAGTAGATGGATAATGGCTGGGTGCTCAGCCTGTGCCCTACCCTACGTACAATCCCACAGGGCTGGGGCATAGCGCCGGATCATCCACTTTTGCGATGCCAGCGCATTCACTCATAGAAGGAAAGCAAGCGTTGGGGAGATCGGGACCCCCTCGAAAGGTCTAGAATGGCAAAGGCTCAAACAGATCTGGCATCTGAAAGAAGCTCTGATTCCAAACATGGCATGCCAAAGGAGGTAAAGAAAACCGACACCAACAGAGAGGCAGACCCACGCTCTTGATGGCTTGCTACTGAGGACCAGGCGGTAGGAGAAGTACAGTATTGATGTGTCTTGGTTGGCGCCACACCTGGGGGGAGGGGGTCAGATCGACCAACCCACCCGCATTTTGTTGCATCTTCTTCTGCAACTCCAACTGTGCATCATTCAGTAAAGGCTTTGCTGACTCTCGGCTGGTCATATCATTACCGCCTTTCCACGGCCACTCAGTCAGGCATGGCCTGGACTCCACAACCGACGTGCCAACCGAGTCTCTAGATGCTAACCCCCATGACAACAGGAGACAGAAAAGTCTCGTCGTTGGATCGCGACATGCAGAGTTGAGAGCCGGCGGTCTGCTAGGGCGGTCTGGGCGAGCTGTCAAGCGTCAATTCGGAATCGTACGATAGAATGCGGCCTCTTTGGACGGAAGAAGTAGAGTCCGCATTATCGTGCAGGGCATCACGGTTGAGGAGGAGGCTACATCTGACTGAATGAGCACTAGGGAACGAAGGAACGCCTTGCGGAGGGGGATGACTGCTCCATGGATGGATGAACAAACAAACCATGTAAATAAACAAATAACAAATCTGGATTGATAGCAGCGGCCATGTTCTGCAGGTCGGTGAGACGCGACGCAGATGCAGATGTTCGTATCTTCTCCTTCCGGGAATTCGAGGAAAGGAAAGATTTTGGTTGTTGCTCAAACGAGCAAGCCACTCCACTGGGAGGTAGGTAGTCTATGTAGCTATGGCTGCGTGACTTCGCGAGGTTGACGTTACACAAACATTATTGATTGATCATTTGATCTCCCCGCCACAACACCATCATCATTGGTAGGCACCATCGAACATTGGATTCTCGCATGGGAAAGTCTGCATCTCCGTAGTTTCGCTGGCAAGACGCGTGGACGACATGGAAGATCTGCTTCTGGACCTGGAGAGTGGTGAGCACGCGCCCCGACGCGCCTCCTCGTGAAATAGTCACTGACCAGCACCATTTAGCTTCGAAGAGACCTGCTAAACAACGGGCAATCAAGATCTCTGGCCTGATAGACAGAGTCTGCTCGAAAGCCTACGACGATGGCTTTCTAGTCGAAGAACTCCATCGGGTTGTGGACACCATCACGCTCGCCAACGAGTTGGACCAAGGTAGTCTGAGCAACTTAATCCGCAATCTCTATCCTGTCAGTAAGGTACCAGACTCTGTAGTCATTAAAGTCGTCAGCAGTCTGGGTAATGGGCGGTTCAAGCCATCCTACAATACTCAAGCTGGCTTATTGAAATGGTTGGTCATGGTATACGATGTCTTAGAGAACCCAAGAATGTTGTCGCAACTTTATAGTATCATCTTCAATTTGCTAGATACTGCTGCCATCAGGTATGCTCCTGCAAGAAGACGCTCAGAAGTCTCTGCTAATGTTGCTTCCAGACCTCAACTCTGTCACGTGCTCTCCTTGATTACTCGACGAAAGCATGTTCGACCTTTCAGGATACAGCTCCTGTAGGCGGTCCACTAAGTATGCTATGATCCTTGCTGACTGTTGACAGAATGGAATTGGTAAGGCGAGCAGGGAATGAGCCACCTCTGATCGGACTCATGAGAGTATTCAAAGACTACTATCCTGATGTTATCGTTGGAGATGCTACTGCAGGGCGGGCGTCTGTTTTCACTGTGGGTAGCTTCCTGCTTGTTGACCATCTTGTTGAAGCTCACTTCACATATAGCATCCGAACCCAGAATGGCGGGCCAGGCTCAGTGAGGTTCAAGATTTGCATCTCCAGAGAACACAAGATGCCTTGCCAATCGAGCAAAGAACCTTTAGAATTGCAAATAAGGGTACGAATGCTTTGAAGCGTAAGAGGGGCTCAGTCATACCATATGTGTACACGTCCCATGCCCAAGAGGTTGGCAGCTCCCTCCATTCTGCCATAGTACAATCTAATGGGACCAATAGTTTTCGACGACCTTGGAAGAAATAGAAGACGTTCACGAATTCGTACAGAAGTTTGAGAAGATTGACCCACCAAATCAACTAGTCGCCGTAATAAGTGATCCGCTGCTTCAGAAGTTCCTACATCTCAGATCTTCTGAGGTGGATTCGAGTCGGATTGATAGCTGGTTACTCGCGTTCTTTGAGGACCAGCTCCAAAACTCGGGTACTGAAAAAGACGGTATTCTTGAGATGCTTGACGCAATCTTGAAATATGCTAGGTACACAAAGGTATGGCTTGACTTATGCTCTTAGATAGACTTCTCACTGAATGTTGTCAGAACCTGCCCCCTGCTTGCTTGTCATACTTGCAATCGATGATCTCTTTTTGGAATGGCAACACGGGTGCCGATACTATTCTCGGCCTTCTGACATATGTCCCGTTGGCGGATTTTGAAGGTAAGTTCCAAGTGTGCACATTTACGAGCTTCAATTAAAAACATCTAGATCTATACGCTTCAACGTTCAGGCTATTGGAGGGCGCTATCCTTTGTGATGGAACCACCGAATCCAAACTGAGACTTCTTCGATTTTATGGCAGTCTGTTGGATCAATGGATCACAACACTTCTTTCGCAACCCAAGCCGATTGCTGCAGCGGGCCAAGCCATCAAATTACTCATGGAGCACGTCAGTGACCTCTCTCTAACTATTATCCAGTCATCTATAGATACTGGTGCTTTATGCACGGTCCTGGAGTTCTACGAACGTGCAGCCGCCAGTACAATGCACTCGAATCTGAAATCGGTCGTCCGAATCAGCTTACCTCCTGCTGAACTCATTTACACACTTCATTTCACGAACTCTTTAGCCATTCAAAGTAAATTGTGTGCTCTTTTGGCTATCTACAAGAAGGCTTTCGAGTTTGCTATGGCCCCTAAAAATGCTATGAAGCAGGAATCATATTCAAGCGTCTACGTCAACGGATTCAATGGGTTTCTCATGGATCTTTGCAATTGTCTGTGGCGATCTAAGGCGTTCAATTATGCTGATCCAAATGCTCGAGGTTGCTTGCTAGACCCGACCGTTAATGTGGTTTTGAGCAAATACATCTCCACTCTTGATGGATCATTGTCTTTACTGACTCTGTTCACCTTCTCATACTCTCCCCTGCTTTGTCTTCTAGCAATTTCTCATATCAGGGAATTAGAAGATGCATCAGTCGATGAGATTGAGCGTCGGCATGCTGGACCTGTCAGTCAGATGTCACTCAAGCAATTGGAAAACCAGGGTGGTATGAAGTTGTCATGGCAGGATTACAGACTGGGCTTCCTACACTATTTAGAAAGAAGAGGGGTGCTAGGTATTTCGGAGTTGATGTACAACACTATGAAACACTTGATGCCTAGCAAGGAAGTCAGGTCGTAAATGTAAAAAATCCGAAGAAACATTAGCAATATGAGCTGTTAGTGCAAACAAAATATCGAAAGAGTTCATCTGTCTTCAGACTTGCATTACTAATTAGGTCCATGCCCTGCCTATAGAGCTATAGAGTCATGCCGCAACGTCTATGGTACTTTGCCTCGCCACCCAGACTCCTGAACTCCCAAAATTACTCCAGAGTATTCCTACACTTGCCTTACTGAACCATTGTCAAGCCATAGGACTGATCTTTACAGTACACAGTCGCCCACTCACACGCCGATTTTCGCACTACAGCTCTTTGGCAGCATCTAAGATAGTTGTGCCACTCGTAGCAATAACGGTTTCCTTGACTTCCTCGACAAGAATTGTTCTCGTAGTGCTCTCAACAACAGATTGGACTGCTGCCTTTGCGTTCTCATCCCCATTGTAATAGAACCACGCGCGATTGGTGAGGAAGGCGATGTGTTGGGGGAGGTAGAGTGTCATGGCGATAATGATCATGCTGAAGAAGAGGAAAAGGAATGAGTCTGTAGCAAAGATATGTTAGCATTAATCCTTCCCGTTTGATCCGGTGGTCAGGGGATGGGCACACGACCAGAGACAACATGGTGGGGCCAATTGGGCACATTGTCAACTTACTGAATATGAACTTTTCGGTCGGAGTCAACATGTATAGAGAAAATGTGACCTGCAATGGTCAGCAAGAGAGGTAGACGCTGCGGGAAAAAATCTCACTTCATATTGGTATCTCTTCCGCTGCAGCCACCTAAAGGTCGAGGCGAACATGGTCATTGGCTCAGGTCCTCCTTAGTCGACAGCAAATCTGCTCGACAGCTGTGTTGAGGATTTCAAGAATTGATGTGTACGAAAAAGCGAGTGACAGGCGATTGTGAGCTGATTGTGTCGTGAATCACGAATACCCAGGAGTCAATGGGGACGAACATTAAATTGTCAACGCGACATGAGCAACAGGGGTCGGCTGTCAGTTTATCGGCCAGCGGCCTTTCCTAGCCTCCGACATCCTCGGACACGAAACTTTCGACCTGAAAAATGTCCAAGATCTTAAACATCACTCCCATCAGGATGTACCATGCTACGAGGCACTCTTTCACATGCCGGTAAAGGGCTGCACATCAATTATGTCTCAACCTGTCTGATCCCGAAACGCTGCATCGCTGCCTCCTCTCCGGTATGGGTAAAGAAAATGCCAGATCGACCGGGGCCTGTCAACGAGGATGAATTCACGGAAGCATTCTTGAAAGGAAGTGGGCCTGGAGGACAGAAGATTGTATGTTATCCTACGTCAGTATAAAGCCTTGAAGTTGACACTGTTCGCGCAGAATAAAACTTCTTCCGCGGTGCAGTTGAAGCACATCCCCACCGGCATTGTTCTCAAGGTACAAGCTACACGCTCTCGAACGCAGAATCGCAAAATTGCAAGGCAGATGCTCGCAGACAGAATCGAAGAGTTAGAGAAGGGCAAGGAAAGTCGGACCGCGGTTGTGGGCGAAACGAAGAAGAAGAGGAAGTCAAGTGCTGTTAAGAAAAGTAAGAGGAAGTACCGACTTTTGGAGGAAGCCAAAGCAGAGAAAGGTGTTGGTGATGCTGGCGCCGAAGACACAAGTCAGTCATAATGAAAATCAATAGAGATTTGATTGCCTTCCACCACAAATGCATTGCCGATGTTGAGCCTATGTCACGTAATCGAGAAGAAAACTAACAAGGTCTGTCTATCACAGGTCTTTGTTTCGTGTCTTCTATTAAGTCTAAATAAAGAGCGCAAATATACATCATTCAACCATTAACCGCAGTAGAAAGGCAAATCCCCACGCTCCAATTACACCCCACGCAATCGTCGTATCCACATTCCGGCAACGAGATAGTATCAAGATCCACACCAATCCAAAGCCTCCTGCCATTATGAAAGCCTACAACGCTACTCACGTGTCTGTTTAGAAGTTGATTATATGAACTTCATCCTCCTGGCCACAACCAGAGAAATGATGACGAAGGCAACGAGGGAGCCCAATATTCCAAAGAATGGGGCAAGACTGTCAGCACTTCGCCATGGGACCTCGACGTTCATCCCAAACATACCACAGACCAGATTCAGCGGAACAAGGATTGATGCTATCAAAGTAATTTTGCTCAAAACCTTGTTTGCATGATTGCCCTGGGTGATATTGTCGATTGACAGTTGTGCGAGATAGTTGCTGTGCGAACGGGAGAGCATCTTCTCGAAGTGAGCCAAGCTTGTCATCATCGTAACGACATGATCTTGAATATCGCCTAGGTAGAGTCCGATGTCCATATGAGGCGTGACTTTGTAGTTCGCGTTGCAGCGTTTGGTGAAACCTTTCAGCACATCCGCTTTTCCACCCAGAAGTTTCATGAGACCCATGACGTTCTTGCGAACCATGCCAATCTTGCGCAAGAACGTGTGCATATCATCATTCCGTGCAATAAAAACCTGATCTTCAATGACGTCGGTCTCGTGCTCAATTTTGTTGATGATTGGCGCAAAGCAATCAACAATGTTATCACTGTAGGTATCAGTAGGAATCCCGCAATTTCTGCTCAATAACTTACATCAGGGCGTAACAGATCCAGTCAGCGCTCAGAGCAACGTAATCCTTGAGCATTGTAATTCGTCGGCGAACGTTAGCAGCATGAGGATTTGGCGAGAAGCTAAAGCTTAATGTGCCTTCACGGAATACGACGACGTAAATGTTGAATGGCTCGTATTGTTGACCCTCATCTATCTCTTGGACATGGAACGAGCGGAAGCAAGCGAAGTAGTATGACGGGAAAAGCTCGATCTTCTCGCGAGTCTCTTGGGTGCATATATCTTCGATGGTCAAGGGATGGACTCCAAAGGCTTTGCAGATCGCACGAATCTCCTCATCGGTAGGATTGTTCATGTTCAGCCACCAGACACCATCCACATCTTCTCCAGGAGGCAGAGTGAACAGACTGCGGACATCTTCGCCTGGAAGGACAAGGTCACCAAATTCAGCAGCATGAATTGTAGACTCGCCCATTGAGGAGAAGAATTCAAAGCGGTTTTCGATGCGCTGAGCGATTCCCAGGAATTCGTTTGAGCTCTCTGGCTGGCTCAGCTTCTCCTGAATATCATAGGCTTGACTTGATGGCACACTAACAATATCGCCACCATAGGTCACGATAGTTGGCGTATCATGCTCCCTTTGTGGCCGAAGATCAGGGAAGATGCGAGCCTGGGGCTGACCTTTTGGCGGGGTCCTCTCTCGGCTTTCTTCATCAGCGATGAAGTCTTCCAGGACGTCAAAGTCGATCTGAAGAGTATCTTTATTTCCCGAGGGGTGCAGAGGGAAGCACACGTCTTCTTCGGCAGTCTTGTTGGACCCAGCGAAGCTTTTGGCATCATTATCATTGGTATATCGTCTGCTTCGCAGGCTCCGCTTGCTCCGTCGACTCGCTGTGGAAGGGATGCGGTGGAGTTCGCAATCTTCATGGCGACGAGCATCTGCAAAGGCTTTGACAGAGTTAGGCTCAGACGTTGAAAGACCTCGCTCTCTGCGCCGGGCATCTGCAAAGGCTTTGACAGAGTTTGGTGGCGATACAGATCTAGGATCCAAAGTGGCCGCGGTTCCACGGCGGATTCGGTCTTCAGGCGCAACCCGGCCGGGGTGCGGAGAGGTTGCTTCTCCGTCTTCATCCTCAATTGCGTGCTCGAAGTCTCTAGTAATGGTTGGCAGTAGCCCTTGATTGACAAGGTTAAGATCTGGGCTGAGGGTACGGAAGGCACTATGCATGGTGTCGACGGTTCCACGACGGGATCGAGAGCGTTGCACAGATGCGGATTGGTGTCTATGGTCATCAAGTTCCGGAACCGGAGTACTGTATCCAGTGTCTAGGGAGACATCCTCGTGTTCGGACATGATGCTGGCAGTCTATGGGTGTCTATTGTGGGAAGTTGGTCTAGGCTCTGGTAGCAGTCAGAACTGGCAGCTCAGCTCACTTTCCAATAGCACTTACAAGATAATCTATGTGAAATAGCCTTCTAGTCTAAGGCGGGTCGCAACGAGCGCCCACCGCGTGTTGGCGTCAACTTGATAGTGTTGCGTGCACAGGTTGCCCCTGTGTACAGTCCTATGATTGTCAAAAGTCGTCTCCGTCACAGCTACCCCAACATGAAGTCTCGGTGATTTGTTTTGTTGCAATGTTTATGATGTGATCGAACGTAGACCAATTATGGAGGCTTCTTGTCACCTCCGCAGTAGGCCCAGGTCTTTGGACCGAGGAGCGGACGGATGAAGGAAAACTTTTGAAGTACGAGTCCCGCCAATTTGGTGGTTTTCTTATTGCGGTGCCGCCGAGGCGATTGGTCCGAGGAGAGACAGAGCGCCCTGGTTTTGATAAGCTCGCTGGATCTGCAACAGTGGCAGATTTGTTGAGACGAAGTAGTTGTTCGTATCTGCGTGTTAGAAGATCGAAATAGTAGGACGATGTTGCGAAGCTGGCGCAAGTATTGCGGGCGGGTATTGTCGAGGAGGATGACGTTGGTAGGTGGTGCAGAACGTTCACCACACACAAGGGCGGGAACTTGCTATTGTAAGGCTGATGTGCAGCAGATTAATCAGTTCAACCGATTGAAGTTTTCGAAAGCAGTGGGTACGGATTGGTATGTTTGGAGTCGAAACCGAAGTTCGTTGTCGTGGTTGAAGAAGGAATCAGAGGCAAGTCGGAAGAACTTTTGCGGCTTAAGAAAGCACCCTAGCGCTAGTAAGTTTTTCGCAGGGATGCATTCAATGCTTGTAGCATCGCCTGACGAAACTTCGATGACATGTGGAAAGATCTGATAGAGAGGGACGAAACGAGAATGCAAGACGACAATCAAATATATACCATACTCCCAATAAGCCACAGCAGCTTCCACTACTTGTAAGACCTCAACGAAAAATAAAAGGAGACATGGTCACGTGAGACAAAACTTGACTGTGATCGGAGCTCGGACCATCAGAACCCTGCATGCAAGGCGTTCAGGCCAGACTTCGTGATTTCTAGAAGACAGAATTCTAGCAATCGATTCACATCCTCATAACAAAATACCATGGCAGACCAGATATTGGAGCAGGCCCGTGAGCTATTTGAAGGTCAAATTGTTCGTGATTCCTTTCTTTCGTGTGGTGGCAATAATTAATCACAAGTTGATAGGACTTTGAAGGCCAAAAGCTAGCAGAGTTCCTGGCAACGGCGTTACTTGCAACTGTTGGCGTGAGTATATTGCTTGATACAAAGTCCCCATCGGAAGCTGACTGAGACTTACAGGCAATCTCTTTCATTGTCGGATACTTTCGCCAAGACATCAAAGGTGCATTGCTCATAGGCTTGGGTGGAACAGTCCTTACCTTTCTTGCCGTCGTCCCGCCATGGCCAATCTTCAACAAACATCCTGTTAAGTGGTTGCCAGTAGGAGGTCAGAACTTGGACACTTCAGAGCTTATTATTGATGGCTAGTCATTGGAATAAGCGGGGTTCAACTCATAATGGATGGCCACGGTCTTGGGGAGTACACAGGCGTTCGAGGATATACCAAAACAATGGACGTTGATATTTTTTTCATTCATGACTGGTCTGCAAAGACCGGTAGCATATGGGGCTCTCCCAGAAACGCCGTCTTGGAAGCTACCCGTGTACGCCTTTATGCATAAAAAGCCACTGCAAAAGCCTCTAGGCTCCATTCGCTGTTCCTGACCACAAGTCTTGCCAAAGCGACCGCCGTCATAACCGTATCCGTAGTATCATTTCTTCGTATTATCGTGTGGGGGGATCTAACGACCATACTTTTGGAATTCCCAATCTCTATTGTCGAGCGGGCATACCTGACGAGTCTTCAACCAACGGGAAATGCAGTGGAAGTGGAAAGCGTGCTAGACACTCGAGTTAGAGAGACACATACTATTCAATCTACATGTAAACTTACGTTGCAGATTCCCCAGGCCACAGTGCACTCTTCACTAGTAGCAGAAGCTTGGTTGGCTTGACATTCAATGCCTGAGAGTATTAGTGATGGTGACCTCCCAGATACATAGCAACATACAAAGATCCATGATATGGTTTCTGCAGATAGCACAGTTATCAACGACGATATCCCAGGCCCACAAAGCTACAGCATTCCACTATTTCGTTGTCAGTGCATGAAGGTATAGTTTCGAGCAGGTATCCACGAACCTTCTTAACCTCGAATCTCTTCTTGCCATCTGCGCCACCTTCTCCGCCCGCCTTGACCTTTCCAAGAACTTTCTTAGCGGGTGCAGAAGATCCCGAGGGAGCATCAGTCATATCGATATCCGCCATGGTTTCTGGGTGATTCAAGGATGTGAAGATGAAATGGGGTTGGAGGAGTATAGATCGCGGAGGGTGGGTACGTGGCTTTGGAAAGAAGAAAGGTCGTGAGTTCGCGTGGAATTTGGTAGAGTCTAGAAGGAGGTTTGCCCAGGTAAGCAAAGCTTGAACGAGGAAAAAGATTTGTGTAGTGCGCGCAACAGCCTTGGAGGGGAGATGAGGTACCTAGAAGCTAGTGAACAAATGAATGGAACTTGCCGAGGCGGCGGCCTTCGGTCATACTCCATCAACAACATTGCACTGCCTTGCTATGCATCCTCCTTTGACATACTCGCCAGACCCGACACAAAACAATGAATAGACTACTTTCATCTATTGACCTCGTACCATCCACGAACACGACCGAGCGAGATTCCGACACCCTACAACCATCTTCAAGCGACCGCCCGCCACCATAGCCTGGCCCCTCGATCGAGTCAAGAGCCTTCTCCTACGCGCTTCACACCGTCGCAACCTTTCGCTATTGATTCATCTTTTTTCTGTTCAGATCGTACACTGCTTCTGAGGCTGCTTATTTACAAGCCAACGAAGACTATGTCTGCGGACACTCCCACCAGAGGACACCGACATACCCGCAGTGCTGCGATACCTGGTATAGCAGCCTCGTCGCAAAATCCAAGAAATCCTCATCACCTCAATCAGCATGCACATGCACGCAACTCCCAGTCCGACATGAACAACAATGGTTCAGATCAAGTACTACAACCTGCCACTCCTCCCCGAACTCCTCGAAGAGACAATCAAGTTTCGTCTCAGAACCCGTCGAACTCTGCAGCTTCTGGGACGGGCTCGAAGCAAAAGTCAAGGAACAAAAACCGCCCAAAGAATGTGATGACATCTCCAGTCACCACAAGGAACGATCGCAACACCCCACCATTCGCAGGTGTACAGTCCGCTGGAATTCCCTCCTCTGCAAAACCCATGAATACGCCTTCAGTCGCTGCTTATGCAGGGCCAACTTTTCACGCTTCACCTGCTCCATCCGCTTTGCCAATACCAAGTTTCTACTCAAAGTCGGTCCCGGAGTCTCCGGCCGCCAAAGGACTCAAGTCCCTCAAGGGTGGCCCTCTCGCTACCCCGCCACATGCTCTCCCATCAGCGCAGCAGTCTCGGCGGGAGGAATCTCCTTTAGACCTGTTCTTCAAAGCTGATAGGGAAGAGAAGGCAAGAGCGCACAGTGCAAATCAGGCAACGGCTGCAGCTGGACCTTTCCAACCTCCGATCGGTCCATCACGCGCAAGCCAGACCCCACCAGCCACTTCAAGCTTGGTCCAACCCCGGCAAGGGAGCTCCAACAGACAATCTACTGGTGGAATCTTTGCAATGGAGTTAGACGGCGAAAGAGAGGCAGGAACGCCTTACGGACCGGCGTTCTCCACGCCTTACTCAGAAAGGATCAATGCTGCGCGCAACAATCAGCAAACTAGGTCCGTGGATCGAGAGTCTCCCATCACAAAGAATTCTTTAGACAAGTCCGAGGCTCTAAAAGCTTATCTCTTCTCCGGTGCTTCGATCCTACTTACAACGAAGGAAGAAGACCCCAATCTCACCTCGGTGGATTCTTTAGCTCTTAACAGTTATCAATCACCTCCTGGCTCACTCAATGGACCTAGGAGTGCGGGGCTACCACAGCAGACATACTACAACGGATATCAACAAAGCTTCGATTCGAAGCATTCAACAAATACCTCTCGATTGCCCGGTCGGTCATCTGGATTACGCCAAGAAGTGACTCCAACAAAGACGCCTACTAGCACCTTTGATCGCACTGGCGCTTGTTCAAACTCCCCAACCCCGGCACGCGGATATGGCAACGCGCCACTGTCCGGCGCGCCTCAAGTACACAGTAATATTCCTCAAAATCAAGAGGCACCTCCTTTATTTAACGTTGCATCTGGATCTCGGAACTCGGATCTGCAGGGGATCGAAGATAGTCTTCGCAAGATTTTGAAGTTAGACTCAGCTGGGAGTTCTGGCGTGTCAATTGCTCCTACTGCTCAACAAGCGACGGTGTCTGTTCCGAAATACGGCGGCGGCAGGCCCCAGCCCATGAATGGAATGCATAACGGCGTCACGCGCTCTTAACGCAACTTTGTAATGAATTATGGTTGGTCGGCGTTCAGGTCCAATTTTGTGATTTCTGAATTTCCGACTTACGCTTATTGATACCAATCAATGTCCATGTGGTACTGCTGGCACTTCACAGACAGTACAGGCTGTTTCGAACCGATCGATGCGGCCTGGCTACACTTCATACTTTTTTTGTTCTGTCCTTCGACAAATACTGCACGTTCTGCAACACTTTTTCTTATGTCACTTGATTGAGGTGCCGCTTGGAGATATGAGCGGCAACGAGGGATGGTAGGGGAGTTGGGAGTGTGTTGGGTATGAGGTGAAGACTTGAGCTATGGAGGTTGGTTAGGGGTCTGGGAAAGTGGAGAGTTGGCGGACTTATACACCAAGGGTGCTTCAATAGATTATCATCTGTCACGCCTCACTCAGAACCTCTATTATTTCAGGCCTCCGTAAGAATTGCTTTAACAACTATCGAATTTTTGTTGTGAATGAACAGCACCAGGCCTTCTAGGTTACATAATCACAGTTACATCTTGTATTCTAGCATCCCCAAATCGCTACTGATGCTCGCTTCCCCTTTCTTCATCCAAGCAATTCGCTAAATATCTCCCGAGCGAGAATCGGGGACTGTCAAAAAAACAAGTCGAAAGAAGCCCAAAGGAAAATGGAGAGTTCAAGGTATATAGAAAGAAGATGTAGGAACCAATGACAAAACGTTCGCAGCCTTGACTGACAATCCTTGTGATGGTTAATCCTCGAGGTCCGTCAGCCGGAGCTACCAAAAAGTCCAAAAAGGTACCATAGGACCAAAAGACAAAACATTCACAGGCCCCCAACTGAAAGCTCCAGTAACACCCTCATAAACAGGCAGTACCTAGGTAAATACTGGCTAAGTAGCGGGGGGCCTTATCAGGATCAGTCAGCTCGAAGCTGCTTAGTACAAGGGCGAGCCATTGTTTATCCTTAGTAGAGTTGCTTTCGTAGGCGTCCTAAACAGGTCCGTTGTATCCCTCTAATTATTAACTCTACTAATTCTATCCACCATTTTGCTTATTTAAAATTATACGACCCTTTTCTTTGCGTAGCGAGGCTGATCTGATTGGTTGCAGCTAAAGAATATAAACAGCCCAGACTTAACGCTCTGCATTAGCGCCAAATTAACGCCACGGGCGCGGCTAAAAAGTCTTCGTATCAACTAGGTATGTATGTAGCGTGTCAACGTCTCCATACTGCACGAAGCCTCGATGCCAGTGTGCCTTCAGAATGCAACAATGAAGAGAGTTTTCCGCCGCAACGGTCAGATTGCTCCTCCTTCACTGGCTCACTCGCGACGTCTCCATCAGCAGCGGAGAGGCTTCGCAGATGTCGTTCATGATACCAAGTAAGAAGGTTTTGCGTTCTGTGCTTGCTTTAATTTGCTTTCTAACTGCTCAACTAGACCTTATGATGTTGTCGTGATAGGCGGTGGTCATGCTGGCTCGGAGGCTTGTGCTGGTGCCGCCCGAGCGGGTGCAAGAACTGCCCTCGTTACCCCAAAGCTCGACAATATAGGAGTTTGTTCCTGCAATCCAAGCTTTGGTGGTATCGGGAAAGGAACAATGCTAAGGGAGATTGATGCTTTGGATGGTGTAGCAGGCCGTATCATTGACAAGGCGGGCGTGCAATTCAGAGTCTTGAACCGCAGGAAAGGTCCAGCTGTTTGGGTAAGCAATTGTCTGGTCGACTCTTTTCTGGAAATTCGCAAGCTAATCAAATCAGGGACCTCGTGCACAAATCGACCGCCAACTCTACAAAAAACACATGAGAGAAGAATTGTCATCGTACCCTAATCTCTCAATAGTTCCTGGAAGTGCTGCAGATATCATTGTTGTCCATGAGGATGGATATAAGGCAGGTGGGAGGAAAATAACAGGCGTCCGCCTCGAATCTGGAGAAATAATACCCACGAATCGCGTGGTTATCACAACAGGTACTTTTCTGGGTGGAGAGATACACATCGGTCTTGAGTGTCATCCTGCTGGACGGATGGGCGAAGCTGCGACTTTTGGACTCAGCAAGTCCTTGAGAGATGCAGGCTTTCAACTTGGTAGATTGAAGACTGGCACCCCCCCGCGCCTCGCCAGAGACACAATTGACTTCGGCGTTCTTGAAGCTCAACAGGGCGATGACCCACCCACACCCTTCAGTTACCTCAATAACACGGTTGCAGTCCAAGAGCAGATGCTTTGTTATGCAACGTATACGAACGAAGGCACTCATGATGTTGTCAGAGCCAACTTGGACAAATCAATACATATTCGAGAAAGTGTCAAAGGTCCAAGGTATTGCCCGTCGCTGGAGTCAAAAGTCATACGGTTTGCCGACAAACAAAAGCATATCGTCTGGTTAGAGCCTGAAGGCTTCAACAGCGACGTAATCTATCCCAATGGGCTCTCAATGACGATACCCGCTGAAGCACAGGAGCAACTCTTGAGGACGATTAAAGGATTGGAGAATGTCACAATGCTCCAGGCCGGATATGGAGTGGAGTATGACTATGTTGATCCGCGGAGCCTGAAGTCTACCTTGGAAACTAAGGCGATCGGAGGACTTTATCTGGCTGGGCAGATAAATGGCACTACAGGCTATGAAGAAGCTGCTGCCCAGGGTATCATTGCGGGAGTTAATGCAGGGTTGGCAGCACAATCGAAACCTCCCATTATGTTATCTAGAAGCGATGGCTACATAGGGATCATGATTGATGATCTAATCACCAAAGGAGTATCGGAGCCATATCGCATGTTCACCTCAAGGAGCGAATATCGAATGAGTGCGAGGGCAGACAATGCGGACCTTCGACTTACCACAAAGGGACGAGAAGCTGGCATTGTTGGTGATACCAGGTGGTCAAGCTTTCTTGATGAGGTGGCACAGATGGATGCTCTCAAGGCTTCCCTACTCGCCAAAGTGGCTAGTCCTCCGACCTGGATCAAAGATGGTTTCAGGGTTGGCAACGACTCAACAAGGAGGAGCGCTTTTGATGTTCTCCGCCTAGCTGATGTTACTGTTACCGATTTAGCACCTTTGGTGCCAGAAGTCATGACACATTCTACTCGCATTCGGGATAGAGTGGGAATAGAGGCCGTGTATGCACCATATGTGCAGCAGCAGGCCGCAGCTATGAAGGTTTTCCAAAAGGACGAAAGCTTGAAGCTACCACTTGATCTAAACTATGACCAGATTCACGGGCTCTCGATGCATGAAAAGGCGATACTGAACGAAACAAGGCCTGAATCTGTGGGGCAGGCAAGAAGAATCGAGGGTATGACACCTTCCGGAACTTTGAGGTTGTTAGCATATGTTCAAACCCGGCATCGCACTGCTGCAAGGGCTGCGGTATTCGACGAGGTTGCAGCACGGAAAAAGGTGTATATGGTCAGCTGATTCGAAAGCTGATCTTTTTGCTGGCATAGAGGACTATGTATACTACGGCGTTAATATGTACAACAGCATATGAAGTAGTCTACGGACGGACGGTGATGATTATACCCGGACTATGCGGATTCGGACGATTGATACTCTTGAATGAAAGGCTTCTTCGCTAGCAAATACAAGCCATGCGGAGTAAGTTCCCTTACTATCTACAGTTCAATTTGTGTTGTGTTGTGTTTTACAAGTGGCATATAGTCCAGCGTAGCACCAAACATTAATCAATTTCGTTTTTCCTTCCTTCTCTTCTGTTCAGATGAGTATCTCATGCCGTGAGAGATCAATACTAGTTGTTGAAAGTGTCAGTGTATGGAATAAATAGCATCGGTGAAAGCTGGGCATCGTCGTTATACTGGGCTTTCTCGATCTGGCTAGAGTCGAGGTTGAATGGAGAGGAATAAAGAGGCTTACAGTATTTACTGAAAAAATCCTCTGCGAAATCATCAAATTTTACATAGTTGGCCCCAAGTATGTAGGCCGCGGAAATACCTAAGCAGATGTGTGTCAGTGAAGTTGTTCCTCTCAATTAGCAAAAGAGTTTTCCCAGGAAATCAACTCCCGGGCCATGTAGGGCTGGATAGAGTATGACGAAAGAGGAAAGGCACTTCTCACCACTGACGCACGCCAATTCGTGCATGTTCTATATGGTGTCAGTCTTATCTATCACACTTTGTATGCTTGCTTACCACTAAGGTCCAAGATCCAGCAAATAGAGTATGATTATTCCCATTGATGAACATCATCCCTTTTAAGGATCGTCAGCTAGCATCCATCCATCTGGGAGGAAGGAGGCTTACCAGGAACAACCCTCACATAATGCTGCCATCGATGGCCAAGCTGGTGCCACCATTTTCTCTCTATCACCTTATTTTCGTCAATCTCGTTGATGGTCCATAGATCTTGGTTTCGCTTGTCAAGAAAGATGCTTTGGAATACATGACGATCATGTGGAATCGGAGCTGTCTCGGCATCATGGTCCATGCGAAATTGGTGTTGGTAGTTGGTACAATCGAACGACATTTCGATCTTTTTCGGATCTTGAGCATATGATTTCGTGTAATACATCGGCCTGTAACCGCTTGGCTCGTCGTCTGATCCTCGTTGTTCACCCTTGGCAAAGGCAATCTGGTCTGCCTGGGCTTTTGAGCTTGGCTCGGCGCACAGAGAAGGGTCGAACTTGGTCTCATAGTGCTTTTGGAAATACCGGCTATCGGAATGTGTGATCGTAATGTCGTCGTAGAACTTAGCACCCCCCAGGACGAACTTTTCTTTCGAACTTGCTATTCGGCCCAAAATCTTGAGTGCGTCGTCGGCCAAGACTGAGTTACACCAGCGTCAGTTATTTTTTTTCCCCAGATAGAATGCTAGGAATCAAGGGAAGGATTTTCAAACTTCGCATGTAGAATAAGATAGAAATCACTGACCACACATAACCAATTCATCAAAAGTTTCAGTCTTCGATGAAGGGCCTGTATGCGTAACCCTCCTATCCTTTGCATCGGGGTCAAACGGACGTATCTGAAGTACAACGCCTTTATCAGAACGTTGCAAGATTTCTGTTACGTCTGTCTGGAGACGAATATCCACACCCTTTGATTCGAGATCCTTTCTCCAATCCTCATAGAAATCATGGAGCTTGGGGAACGTAACCATGGTTGGCAGATTCGGAAGAAGCGTTGATTCATCATAGTCCCACACTACCGATGAATTAGCACTGTAAGAAGCCGACATTATGAAAGCCTCTATGCTTGGAGCTGTCTCAAGAACTTGCGAGCGGAGTACGGCCGTTGGGCGTCATGTCTCTTCATCATCTGTCCTTGAAGCGCTCCCAGCTCCAGGGCTCTCATACACAAAATGAGACAACAGTTCATCGTGGCAAGGACTTACACTTCATATTCTGGTCATCGAATAGTCGTTCCAAAATAGCGCAGGCTACATTGGCTGTCTGATTACCGGTCCCCAAGAAGAGAGCGATCAACGGATACACCATCTTGTCCCCAAAGTCTTTGCTGAAAAAGAACATTCGAAGCATAATGCGGATTGGGACTAACCCTAGTACTGGCATGGTCCATTTGATAAGTTTGAGAACTTTCCCAAACTTCTTAATGTCGCCAGAGAATTGATTGACCAATTTACTCGGAAAGCAATTAGTCCAAAATCCGTCTGGGCCTTTGCCAAACGACACCTGCAACTTCACTTCTTGAGGCTCATGGCCGTACTTCTTGAAGAAATTGAAAGTATGCTTGAAGATCTTCAGATTTGTTAGCAATATCAATAGTATCGGGTAAGAGGGATTGTACAGGTGAGCCTCCTTGAACACCATCGTTCATCCAGTCGGTCCCGTACTTGGATTTATCGAGCGAAATGGACGTTGCTTGACCTCCCGTCACAGCCATTCGTTCAATGATTGTAACTTGGAAGTCATTTGGGTGCTGGGCAAGAGTTGCCGCGCAGGACTATTATCTCTGTCAAATCATTGTCCATCGTTGAATGGAGCAAATTCGAGCTCATACCATCCCCGCTGCACCTGCTCCAACGATCACAACATTCTTCTTCTTTCGATTGGCCATAGTAATTGAAGGTATATGGACATCTACGCGTGATAATATTCAAGCTGGATAAATTGCATTTGAAAATAAGTAGACGTTGAACATGAAATGGAGTAGAAGTAGAAGTTGAAATCTTAAAAGGTTGTAAAATAGTGGTGAACGTCATTGACTCTGAAAGGTCGCGAATGACAAGAACAGGCAAGACACAGCCGTGCGCTACCGCCTCTACGGCCAAATGAAGTGCTAGAGTATTGGACTTATAACAGATCTAGACTCCAGCTCATCCCATTTGATCTGCCACATTTCCATGACATGCGTTCAAATACATATTCTTGATGTCTTGAGGTTCGAGGTTCTTTCGCCCGGAAATTTTGGGGCATGCGGACACCTAGCCGAAGCCCGTCCTGTACGGAAGTGCAGAACCTAAGCGGGATCTCGCTAGACCTCAACCTCATGTCGTGTTTGTTTTTCATTATTTGCTTTCAACCTTGCATTCGGCACTGCAGCTGATATCTTTTGTTGTTACCAAGAACGACTAACACAGACCAGTCCTTGCTTCGACCTGTACCCACACTCTCACCGTACCAGAATAGCCCCTCTTGTGAGCTACACCATTGTCAAGTTGCGACGCAAGACACAAGAAAACGCGCGGTCACGTGTGAGACTCGCAGCAACACCGTTTTGGTCCTCAGTACACGTTGGATACCTGGATGCTGGAAATCGTATCCTGAAATCTTCTCCAAGGTGGCAATAACTTCAGGGCAGACTCATTCAACTACTCAACATCATGTCGGACAGTGAGAGCGATGAGGACTTGAAACGAGCTATAGCTTTGTCTTTACAAGAGAGCCATCCGTTGCCGAACAAGAGTGAACAGGCCGTCATTGATCTCATCTCTGAAGATGAGGACGATGATTTAGACGCCCCTGTAAAGACGAAGCTCACCTCCTCTCTTCCTATCGCCAACGTGCCCAAACACAAAGCAGTGGGTCCAAGTACTCTCGGTTTGGATGCAATCGACGATGCTGGAGCAAGCAAATTGAACAAAGAATCTTCCACCATGGAATCTTCAGTGCGTCTGGAGCATTCGACGGAGAAGGTTGACCCTCGTCATCAAGCCTTTGGGATCCTCGGGTTGAATAGGAAGCAAATGGAAGAAGAAAGACTCGCAAGACTCAGCGCCTTGAAGGGCCTAGATGCTAACGACAAGGTCACCGACGAATCGAGGAAGAGAAAAGCAGAGACATCATCACAGGAACACTTCGAGGGCCGAAACGTAAAAACCAAAGTCTCTCCTCCTGGTGAAGCCTTTATGAGCAATGTCGTCAACACTGGACTGGCCCATCGAATAGCCACCGCATCGGGTTCCAACCAATACAGTACCGCCGGAACCTCCAGTGGTATTCAATATCCAGACGGTATCGTCAAGAAAACATGGGCAAAAGGTTTTCCGCGAACTGGAGATGACATCACAATCGAAGAAGTCCTTCAGAAAGATGATCTCGAGCTTGCGGTATTAAGTGCTTTCCAAATCGATACAGACTGGATCATTGGGAAACTGGGCAAGAAGACAAAGGCGGTTTGGGTACTACAAGCGAAATCAGACGCTGAGGCAAGGATAAGCCATCAACTGTGATGAATAGCACGAGCTGATACATTTCAGAAAGCAAATTGGCGTGACAATGCACCCAGAGAGTATCGCTTCTGCTTCCCTTCTGTAAGTCAATCTACGAAAGGCCTGACAGCCTGAATAACCTCCTACTCATGCCATCTCACACCTCCCCGCGAGTAGTTGCCTCTTCTCTGAGGCACACCACAACCAACAAGTTTTGCTTCTTTTCCCACCCAGAATGGTTGGCAAAATGTCCTCTCGACGGCAGTCGAATGTAGCCATAGGTTTCAAGTTGAGCCAAGTTGGCAAGACACATCTACCGAGACATGTTGAAAATGGTCAGTATAACGAAGATGCTAACGTGGTCTAGATGGATGGCATCGTGAATTGCATGCACTCCAAGCTGCAGTTACTATCTCACGGATCATACCTGAGAATTGTCATCCCTAGTGCCAATCTGGTATGTCCTTCATTTCCTGTAAAATGCCTTCATATTACCGGACAGGATACGAGGTGTCTGGGGGCGTATGCTTGCCTTACCTCGAATATCCTTCCCCGTTCTGTTCCTCTCTACCAGGTTTATACGTGGACATTGCTCACACCATATTCCCCGTTTCTAGGTTCCTTATGGTGAGTTGGAATTGAAGCCCTTCGGGTGCATTCGGGTGCCTTCGGCATCTTCTTGAGCACAGAAATACTAACTTTCATGGTCTAGATTGGGGTGAGAGCGGAGTAATGGAAAATGTGGGTTCTTGCTGGCATGGCGACGAATCTAGGCTGACGATGCAGGTCTGCTTCCTGATCGATCTCCCGAAACTGCCGTCCGGACAAACAGCAGAACTAAATACCCAATTTGGCATTGAGTTATCTTACTTTCTGACGGCCCTTGGCCTGGACCAGAAGATCGTGGACAGCCTCAGAAAGTTTGATTTCTCACGGACTGCGGAAATTGCCTTTGTCCATTCCATGTAAGTTCTTGGAACTAATGCCATCTTCCCCGGGCAGATTTTTGACATCAACCTAGCGGAGGCTCCCACGATACTGCATGGCAACGCACAGGATATTGCGGACTTGGAACAGCTGTCCAAAAGCTCGGCTTAGCTACCGACAAGCCCTTAGAAATCGACTTTCTCGTATGAAACAAAGCCCTACTTAAGAGTTTAATGCTGACCCTGACTCAGGCAGCATCTATTGGAAGTCTGAGCGAAGAATTCATTAGGTGCATGTATCTGGCTTGCCAAGGTATGTTCAAGAGCTCATACTTTGTTTCCCTCGTCTTGCAGCAGCGAAGAGCCCTGCTTGCTTTTGACGCTGGCGCGTCAGTCTGTGTATGGGTAATTCCCGATCCTGGACCTTGAATTGACAGGTGCCAAGCACAGTATAATGAGTCTATGCATGTGGGGCGATTGGATGTTTGATCTTTGTGCTGACATGGTTGGCTCGAGCAGGGGATGATGGTCTCACTGAATATCAGCTGCGAACCGGCAAGTCAACAAGGGTTAAGGGCCAAGCTGAGACGAAGCGTAAACCTTCGGATGATATCTTGAGCCGGTGCCGAGTTTACTTCCCACTCGAGGAAACCGTATACAGATCGAAGGGTGGGGCTGGAGTAAGTCTACCATTTCTTTAAGAGGACTTCGCAATATATTGTGGTGCATTTTGTAGGACCGAGGCTAACCAGTTTAGTCTGGAGGCACGATATGTTTCCATGAGAAATTCTACAACTCGGGAAACTTCCCGACGGCGATCATGCGCGATTCTGTAAGCAAGAGGCAGGGTCTGTTGATGCATTCCAAGATGATATTCATCAGGGGGTCAACCATCGCTCTGGCTTATGTTGGAAGCGCAAATCTCTCGGAGGCTGCTTGGTGAGTCCATTCATCTGCCGAGTTTCAAGTGCGCCTTGCTCTATACTTCGAAGATTGACTTCGTACTCGTCCCGGGCCGCACTGCATGGTCAATTGGTCTTGGGGAAGTTTGCTGCCCCAGACTCGGATGCAGGGACTTGCATTGAACATGCCGACTCACCTCGCCGAGCTGACCGATGTCAACTTGCAGCTGGGGACCAAGTTCATGACTACATATCGTGCGGTAACTTGTACCGAGCGCAAGGCGATGCTTCTTACTGGCTTCTATGCCAAGAGAAGGTGTATCATGCTGTGGTATCGTAGTGGTGTTGATGCCTGCCTCTTCTTTCCCACAACTGCATGAGCGGGAACTTTCACTGACACCAAGAAAGGGGAAAGCTAGTCAAAGACAAGAAAACGAAAGAGCCAAAGCTCAACTGTAGGAATTGGGAATGCGGGGTTCTGCTCCCCGTTCGGGGTTCAACGTCAGCGAGGAACCCTTCGGATCATGAGAATACTCGGATTCCGCTTGGCATGGAAGTCTTTGATGGTGTTGTCCCAGTTCCCATGAAGACCCCAGGAGACGCGTATGGGGAGCGCAAGCCTTGGTACTTTGCTCAGCATTAGTCCTTCTGGCAGTAGAAAAGTTCATTTCCGATCCGAGGTCGTCATGAGAGAGGCGCAGGGCACTTGCCAAGAGTCCAAGACTGCTATCTTATGTACAATGGGGCGGCATTTCTCTGGTGACATTCCAACGACATCGCCTCAGATGAAAGGTCCCTCCATAGTCTCAACTACAGTATGACTCGTGGCCAGGACTTGTGGAGAGCTCCTGTGGGGGTTCTTGGCAGGCTGTCAGAATTGTATACTAGATAGAACACGAATGAGAAGAAATTGACATTGTAAAAACATGGCCCTTGTGCAATGGTTGGGTTGGGCATATTTGGGCATCTCGTGATGATAGGAGAGCAACATAAGTGATTTTCGATTGAGCGTCGATCACGTGCCAAGATTGAAAAGCAGGCCTGGCAAGAGAATGGGCTTCGATGTCCAATTCTCTTCAACTCGACCATATCGCTGCAAGATCATCAGACAGCACGTCCGGTTTGCCGGTCCACCATTACAGAAATTTTTTCCTCTCTCATAGTTGTATAACGAACCACTTACTGAATCAATTCATATCAACCCTATTATTCATAGGACAGAAACGTCAAAGCACACCAATCATGGCATGGATAAAGGAGTTCGCCGAAGGTCCCGCACGCCAGCCCTGCAAAACAACGTTCTTACCTCCCCTTGCAACCACATGCTTACCTACAGCACAAGTACCTGGAGTGTCCGGCTCCCACGCACGTCACCAGGACCCCGGCGATCCGCAACGCCTGCGCCTCTGAATTTCAACATCGAATCTGGTGCAGCACACATCGAAACACTTGCACGAGATGCCATGCGTCGTTGAGATGCTCGCATCGACGGGCAATGGGCTACCGATCACACATTCAAGACATGTCCAGTGTCATCATCTTCGAATATGGAAGTGAAAGAGACCATGCTATAGAGAGAGGGTGTTCCAGGCTAGCTGTGTTGTTGTAGTGCGACAAATGTAGTTAAGTACTTCACGCTACGATTTGTAGCAGTAGCACTAGAGCCCCATGAGACGCACCGTGGTTTGATGAATCATGTGATAGTGTCTAGAGCTCTTCGTACATTCCATTAGCTTGTGTTTATTCGCAACGGCTATCTGAGCTGGAGATGTGAGAGGAGGAAGATATTTCGCATTCGGTTTTGTGCGATTCCAGGCATCTCCTGGTTATGTGTGTCCTCAACACGGGTCTTTTTAGATTGAACCGTCCAGCGGAGGGGTTCAGATGTTACGCACGTCCTGGGGACGGTTGCTGATCCTAAGCTCTAGATTCAAGCAGCCCGCATCTTCATACTGCGGGCCCAGATTTCGACAGACCGCAGGACCTGATCCAGCCGACCCGTTCCACCATCTCACAATCTCATCTCTCCCCCTCTGGACCATTCGGAACGGCTCCCTGCCCGCAACGCGAACAATTCGACTGAGATGAACACATTGTCTATTCAATAGTTCGCAAGACCATCACCGGAGGCGTAGATAGTCTCGTCCGTGACCCTTGATGCGAAGATTTGCATTGCATAGGAGCGCACTCCCCCAACGAGAAAGACGATAGATGTCTTCCACGAATGAGCTTCCGTCTTCGAGACTTCGTACCTTCGTCGCGCGCAGTCACTTTGTGGTGTGGTCGCATCTGTTGGTGACCCTAGAACCCTGCGGGATGAACCCTGAAGATCGTGGGCAGCCCAGTCCTTGGGGCTTTCTTAGGCTCGGTATCTATGAATCGCTGTGCATCTACCGCTCCCGGTGGGCCGGCCGGGCTGGGGCATCGTCCAACGGTCGCAGGCATGTCGGTACCCTCGCTCGGGCAGTGATGATTCTGCGGAGGCACCTTCCAGACTGATGGAAGGAAAATCCCCTTGGCGCTTCGGATGCTGCAAATACAGCCTCATGAGGGCTGACTGATAAGAACAGGTCCCTGATCCTCTCGCATGTGAGGTCTGTGCTGATGAATCTGACTGCAGGTACCGTACAACGTTTGTTTGACCTGCAATCAACCAGGAAGGTTTCCTATGCAAAACGTTGACCCTGGAGGAAGATCCGCCAATCTTTGAGTAAACACCTGGTGACGCGAGTTATAGGAGAAGAACCCGGCAAACATCCAGTGCTCGATACCTATTGTCCGGTGAAGTGAGAGGAGAATCGCCGACTAGCTAAGCTGTGCTGTGCTGTGCTGTGCTGTGCTGTGCTGTGCTGTGCTTTGCTTCAACGCAGTCTTCGGCTCCACTTGTTACTTGCCCATGATCCGATGCAAGGCGACGTCAAGGCTTGTCTCCCCTACAGCTACAGCCTTGCGCATTCTGAAGTTGGCCATGGCGTAGCTAAAAACGCGCACATTTGAGCTTCCTTTCTGGAACACGAGAGCACATCCCAGACTTCATGCCACTGGGTCCTGAGACATCGCGCGCTCTCTCGAGAAACACCAGCGATGGCAAAAGTCGAGGAGGAAAGGCTGCCAGGACGTGAAGATAGAGTTAGCGTTGAGAGAGAGTATAATATGGTAAACATCCGTAGAGCAAAGTTAGTTTCTCACTAAGAAAGTTCCATGGGCAGAAAGAGGTTTGGATTGAAGCATAAAAAAAACGCTGAGAGTTCTGCCCCGGCACGAATGGATCAGTACCTGGCGTGCTGGAGTGTTGCCCCACAACCGTTATTCGTTGATCTCGTTGCAGTTGCAGGCAGTCGAGGGGAAGGTCGGCGACGAGATGCCCTTGATGGACCAGCCAACCCAAGTGGAGAGTGGAGCACGCGCTGCGGTACAGCACCGGTAACTCAAGGCGCCTGACGGATGTTGGTACTGTACTGTGTTGCTGCTGCGGCAGAGCTGCGTGTCTCACAAACCTTCTTTCGGAGAATAAACCAGGGCTGTGAAAGGAACAGTTTCGGGGGTTCGAGACGAATCAGGGACATGCCCACAGTGTGGGGATGCCGAATTGAGTTTTTGGCTTTTTCCAAGATTGTGCAAGATTGGGTTCACGGCGAATTCATGCCTACAGTAAGTACAGTAACTGATGAGAGGCTGCCAGCCAGCCAGCACCTCCCGGATCACCACATGGAATGGAAGCTGGCGATATGATGACCCTGCCGCCGCCGAGTTCTGGTGAGAACGCGAGTACGACAGCACAAACGTACCCACCGTCGCCGCAGACATCCAGGAAGCAGGCAGAGCGAGAGACCTACGGGAGGAGGTAGACAGAGAATGCACTGGCCGGTGGAGACTTCAGCCCACGTTCTACTGTACGCACCGCCGAGTCATCGTCCGCGCGGGAGCGGACTCGATGAACGGGGTGGGTGAGGAGGAGGAATTGATGGGCGATGAGATCGACGATAATTAGAGATACAGTAGGATCGATCCAATGTGAGGATGTAATAAGGGTCAGCACTGTAATCTCAACTACCTAGGTCATTGATTAGGGGTTCTTGCATGAGTTGTTGCTTGTTCGATACATACATACATACGAGAACCGAATCGAATGGGAAGCCATGACGATGGCGATGATGCTGATCGAAATCAGGGTACTGCCCTGCTCTGGCCGGCCTTTCCTAGACGTTGATGTCAGAGTGGTCTGTCTCTGCTGTGGCTGAAGAGCTTCTTCCTGTCGAGATCCCCGCCACGCCCGGGGGTAGACATGTAATTTACAGTACTGTACAATAGTAGCGAGTCTGCATGTGCTCGTGCTCGACTGCGAGTACGAATACGTTTGTCCAAGGGTAAATCAGTCCCCCCCTGTTATTCACTTCTAGCACTTTCGACCCCACAATTATACCACATCTTAGCTTCTCATTGACCCAATACCCTAGTTGAGGCTGGCTTGAAAACCCTCAGGGGGGGACTTTATTTACCCTTGGACAAACGTAACTACAGTATCGACAGTCAGCAAAGGAAGGGAAGGGCTTTGATTTGCTTGGAATTTGATGTGTTCCCGCCCTGGACCCAGACCCTGACCCTGACCCTGCTCTATCCTGCCCCAGCTCATCCACGCGTACGTATCCCCTCGCTCGCTCGTCGTCAAGGGCCTCAAGCTCCTCAAGGTCGTCCGTCAAGCATCGCTCCACCACGGGGACTCACGGCTCTTACCCATCTCGGCAACCGGGGTCGTGAGAAAAGAGAGACGGAGAAATCCATCCAATTCATCTCGCCAGCTGCATTATTGTGGCCAAGGACGGGCTCGACTCGACTCGACTCGACCTTCAGAGCAGAACACAGCAGCAGCCCCGGACCAGGGCCACGGTCTCACGGTCATTGATCTTGTTTGAGATACAGTACATGGGACAGGACGACACAGAACATACTTCAGTACACCGTCACAGAGAGTTCATCACCGGCTTCACGACTGCTGGGAAGAGCACTCACTGTTCTCTCGTGATCCGGTCCAGCTTCCGAGACTCGATGAAAAGATTACAGTACAGTAGAGCTCACAAAATATCTCCTCATCATCAGCCACAATTGACAGACAGAGAGAGACACAGAGACAATGATAGCGCCCGCAATTCACCCATCCGATTCCCATTGCTATTCATGGGGAGACCCGCCACAACACCTATTCAGGTCCGGGCCCGCAGTCCCGCCCAGTCGTTGGTCAATATTGATCTTCGCCAATAAGCTGGGGGGTGAAGTGAAGTGAAGTGAAGTGAAGTGAGGTTCTCCTCAACTCGACCTCGCACGCTCTCCACTCTTGCTACTGCTCTTGTAGCGTTAATTGTTCTGTGTACGCCGGCCACCCGTCAACACAGGCGTCCAGTCGAGTACGGATATCTTCCCCATCCAGCCAGCCTGTGCGTTGCGTTCATACTGTAGGATGCGGAACGAACAAGATGATGATGATGATGATGCTGCTGCTGACGACGATATCCGACATGAGTTTTGGTGGTGGTGATGATGATGCTATTGTTGTTTTGCCACGCCGCTTCATCTGGTCTTCGTACAGTACAGTACAGTCTCTCTCCTCATTCCTCCTGCTAAAACTTTTCCACACTGTTCCTGGTCGTCCACTATTCTCTTTTGTTGAACTCCCTCCCTCCCATGCTCGAAGGTCTTTCCCTGGCTCTGGCCCGCCGAGTCTGCCTCGATTGCTGCTACCCAGCGGGTCTTTCTTGTCGTTGGGCGTGTTCTACTTACTGTTTCCAGTCGCAGCAGCAGTCCCCGTCCCTACCTATGTCTCGCTGTTCCAGAGAGGCGACGCCTATCAAACGGGTCCTGCACTTTACAGGCTGCGCCAAGACAGCGCTGGAGATGGGCTAGCACAGGCTAAGGATAGGAGGCTTCACACTAAATCTACAGGCGCGCCTCCTCCTGTCCCCACCCCCCTCTCCTGTTGTGACTACTCGAGCTACTGTACAATATTCTGGCTATGCCCTGTCTTCACTACAGTATTATTCTCCTACTGTCTGTACCGTGCCCTACCGAACCCACCCCCCCCTACCTAGCCTTCGTTCCCTTAGCCCTCCCTGGGAGTCTTCTCCCTTCTCCTAGACCTGGACCCTCTCGGTCATTGGGGTCCTCGTCGATGCATGTTCCATGCTCATGCTGCCTACCCCTGCCCTTCCTCGCATCACACTTGCAGTTCCTCCCCGTTCTTCCATCTTGCTGCTGCTGCTGCTTGAGCTGGTCCTGCTTGCCGGCTCGCTTTCTCTCCATGCATCCATCTGTGCTCATCCACTCACAGCGTCTTCTTGCTCTCTTGGTTCCCCAGTTCCATCTCCCATTCCCATCCGCCGCCCACTACCATCTTCTGTGCGCCACCAAACATCGTGCCCGCATTGGGCCTGCTGGGATCCTGGTTCCCTTGAGGAGCAGATCCATGGACGTCCTCACTCCCAACCTGGTCGGCTCTCCTCTCCTCTCATCTGCTAGCTCACGGTAGTCGCCGCTGGTGACTGTTGCTCGAGGACAGGCCAAAGGTGATGCTGCTGCCCTGCTACTGTTCGCGATCTCTGTCTCTCTCTCGCCCTCTGCCTCATCCACTCCCAGACAAGGCCAACTCTGCTTGCCTGCTCCCCTTGATGGCCACCCCCGCAACCCTAGCTGACTACTCAATATCAATCGCAGTCTTGTACACACGCCCCAAAGAAATACTGGGGTTGCTAGACCTCGAAAGCCACCCCGGTGCGCCGTCCATCTTCGACTTCGTTGAGACCCTTTCTCCTCGTCCTGCTTTCACCTGTCACATCTCCTCATTGTCCTCCTTCCCTTCTATTTGCAAACGAGGAGGTCTCGAAAACCTTCGTTCCGGTCGTCCTCGGACTTAATCTGGTCTGCTCGTGGACTCTTGGAACTTACATCGGCTTCACGCACCCATATCCTCGTCGTCATTCCCACTTCATCCGGCAATCATTGATACTGGGGTTCCTGCCCAAAGTAAGGCTTCAAGTCGAGTACATCTGATCCTGCCAAGAAAGATCGGTTGGGGAGGACAAAAGGGCAAGCACGCTCACCTCGATATCCTTGCGCTGCCCGGAACTCTGACCACGCACCTTCCGCATTGCTTTCGAACTACCGATATACCACCTATGCCCATCGACGTCTGCACGGTCGAAACAACCTTCGGCCCATCCCTTCTTTCTCGGACTCCCACGTTGGTCAGCGAACGAAAACGCGAGGCATAAGGCATAAACATCCCCACCGCCGCGTCAAATTCGCATTCAGCCTCCCCTCCCTCCCGTTCTGTCGAAGCCGTGTCATAGGGCAATCCAAACCTCCTCCCTCTCTTGGACATCCCACAGTCTCGTCAACCGAAGGTTTGATAAAGTCCTTGCTCTCCGCGCCCCAGCTGCTCAACTGAAGCATTTCCTTTCCACTTCAGGGATCTCCTCCGGCCTTACCTCATGATAGCCTTTCCAAACTCCACTTCAATAACAACGACAACAAACATAACACGGACAACCGCAGGAACTCCACGATGGCCTCCGCTTCACCACTCTCTCCAACCTTCTATGGCCATATTGCCTCCACACAGGATGCTCTTCTCCTCTTCGAAGCATGTCTCAGCGGAGCTCTCAATCACGTCGCCCGGCGCCCCCATGACCGAGAGCGGGTGAGCTTGATCAAGAGCGGAAATGTCTTCATCTACGAAGAGCACTCTTCTGGAATCAAGCGCTGGACGGACGGTGTGCCGTGGAGCCCAAGTCGGATACTGGGCAATTTCCTCGTCTACCGGGAGCTCGAGCGTCCTTTTCCCCCAGGAGAGAAGAAAAGAGCGATGAAGCGCAGCAAAAGATCTCCAGGAATCAGTAAACCGGATTCCTTTGGGCCTCCAGGAAATGGGATCAGCAATGGCTACAATCCAGTCCCTGCAGCTGCGTCCTCCTTCGAAACATCAAGCACAAACTCCCTGAGCAAAGAAACCGAGCGGTCACTAATCGGGTCACTCGTGGATTCGTATGGATTCAAAGAAGAAGGCCTTGTCAAGAAGACCGTCAGCGTTACCGTGGGCGGTGTCTCTCATCATCTCGTTTCCTACTATACAGTTGCAGATGTCATGAACAACAAATTCACCACTCCCTCGAAAGACCCGAGATTCCAACATATCACTCCACGACCGGACCTGATCACCAAGCAGAATTTCCGGACCCCGATTGATGAAGTGGATTCAATGGACCGCATGGATGATCGATCCGTCTACGCTTCCTACCCTTATGCTCGCAATGGCTACGAAATGACGAATCAGAGCATCTCCCACCGTCCCATGTCTCTCCCTACCCCGCCCATTGGATTTACACCCACTTCCAGTGTCTACAGTGGCTATGGAATAACCCCCCATTCAGCACCCTACGACACCATGGGGCAATCATCTTCGAGCGGTGCATACAGCGGCCAATTTGCGCCATCCCCCGGAATATATCCAGCCCCGAAAACTGAAAACTACGACCTTGGTGGTTATAGACAACAGAGGTACAATTCGGTCATCGGCATTGGTTCCGAGGCATCTCGAACCCATATACCCCCAGTTACCACCAACTTCACCCGCAGACCATCAAATTATGAACAAGGCAGCTCGATAGACTCGGGCATATCCGGGATATCCTCAGCCTCAAGCGATTCGAAACTCACTACCGACTCAGGATACTCCTCTCAAGGTTTCTACGGTGGTGGACTGAGGGACAATACTAATTCGCAAAACTATACCACACATCGCTCGTTACCTACTCCTACACAGCAGACTGGATATGAGCGACCTTCGGCACAGTCCTACTCAGCAGTGGCGGACAGTCCAACGAACATGAAGGAAAATATGTGGTCAATGGGCAACGCGAGCGCTGGTCACGGACATTACATTGCTCCACAGCAACAATGGGCTAGCGCTGGTACATCATGATCAGATATGCATATGTCTCACCCTCCTGAGATAACGAATCTCCTTTATGTTTTACACTTGGTCATGGCTTCGGGGCGGGATCAAACCAGGATTGATGTTTGCGTTGGCGCATTTGGGGTTAAAGGACCGATATTGGGCGCTAGAAGGCGGAAGACCGGCATACCCTCGTTTGGCAGGCAAGCAATACTTATCACGCAATGCCCCCAGTGGAGACTGCTACACTGTATCACTCTTCGAGCATGTGTATGTATTTACTGTAATCACTTTGTGTATTGCTAAAAGAATATCGAGGCGTTGATTGTGAGTAGGAACGAGCCTTGAGATACTGGCGCGGCAAAGGAGGGGACTTTTGACAAAACTAAGTAAATAGCCTTTGATTCTAGAATATGAAAAGCGTTACGAGATGCCAAGAAGGCTTCGTTGCAAGAATTTATCAGTTCAAACGTTAAAGTGCCTGCAATCCTGACACGACGAGGTTTGCTGAACAAACGAATGGCAACTGTATTACTTGAACTCGATTCATGCGGTGTCTCGAACTTAATCTTTGTCGCAAAGACGCTTTGCAACAAGAAGGCAATTAAGCATGACTGATAGATAAGATTGCAGCAACCTTCACCTAAAATCTAACTATCGGGAAATGTGTGCAGGAACAGAGAAACAATTATGCTGTTCTGGAACGAGGTGACTCCAATGGCTAACATCGCATGGTTCGAAGAACTTGGACCCTTCATTTTGGGCACACATGGCGCTTCATCAGCGGCCGCATTCCTGTGGGACTCGGGTCTCGAAGCTCAAGTGGTGGCTGATAGATGATAAGAGGATGCAGGGAAACATCTAGCGACCGAGAAGCTTCTTCTTCTGGTGGTCGAAGGGAACGTCGACATCGATTTAAACTTAAGCTTTGATCTCGTTATGCCGTGGGCCGTTCGCTGATCGTGACCATCGAAGGTTTAGAAGCTCGGAACTTTACGAACTTAGAGCCAGTGGATTGGATTTGCGGGAGTCAAGATGGGGTAGCGGTAGCGGTTGGGTGGGATGGTGTTGTTGATCAGGGTCAAGCAAGTGGTCTCTAAAACGTTACGATCCCAAATCGGGGTTTCAGGACCGAAACCTAGTTTTCTCCGCCTTTCGATGCTTTGCGACTGTACCTATTCGAGACAATGCCCCGAGACAGGCGGCGCGGTCCCAGAGGCGGAAGTTTAACAGTGGTTGTCTAACGGAAGTATAAAGCGCAAAGCGCTTGCTTGCATTGGCGGAGGTTCGTCCGGCTTCTGCGCAAGCTTGGACGTTGATGGGCGCACGAGGCTGGGGCGCAAGGATGGACTGCTGAACATGCAACAAACGCGCGGGAGGGGGTGTCGCGGCTATTCGCTTAGGAGTAAGGAGGTCCGAGAGGAAATTTCCCAGAACGAGTTTGTACGACTTACCTACTGTTCGATGCACCTCCCCTCGCATAAACGTTCACGCCCGTCTATCCGTCCACATACGATCAACAACGACGGCGACGTCTCCTTGAAACTCGCTCCCCTTCTTTGGCCGTGATCTCAACGGCAACCTCCAGCATCACCCCGCGTGCTCACTGCGGGCGTCCACCCCCTCGCTGCAAAATGCGATGGCCATGATGTTTCCATTGCAACCTGGACCCTGTGCTCTACGCCTGGCAAGAGCCTGTCGATGGCAGTTGTCTCTTGACTCGCGATTCATGCTGAAGAGGCTTTCATCGTCACATGGGAATCCACCTTGTTCATGGAAGTCGTCATTGTGCACTCTGGCTCAAGCACGAAGTCTAGAGCGGCCTCTGCCAAGGTGTGCATACCCATCACCCCAAATTCTGTGACAAGCCTGATGTTGATATCAGGAGACCTCCAATTGTTGTCTCATTGCGGAAGGGGATTCCCTTCTCGACTTCCATCCGACGACACGATGAGAAAAGGTACGGGCATCGTCTCTTTTTCTTGGTTTCAAAGTTGTTCCGAATTCAAAGCTTGCTCTTCTTCGTTCGTTTCCTCCCAGACACGTGATGAAGAGTGCTGAACTGGTAATCGTAGTAGGGAGAAGACAACGCCCACCAAAAGACCTCTTCTCAAGGCCTTGACCCAGATCACTCCTCACGAGAACATCTACACGGTCCCGAACATTCTCACCTTTTCACGCCTTGTGGCGGCGCCGGTCATCGGCTATCTCGTCCTCCATGATTACCATGCTTGGGCAGTAGGCTTGTTTGCCTACGCTGGAATTACAGATCTTGTCGATGGCTACATAGCTAGGCGATGGAATCTTCAGACCGTTGTTGGAACGGTCATTGATCCCATGGCTGACAAGACGCTGATGACCATCTTGACTGTTTGCCTCGCTATCAAAGGGGCTCTTCCTGGTAACGTCGACCGTTCAATCTATAGCCAATTCCTTCTGATCGGTCTTTAGTCTGGCTTGCAGCTATCATCCTTGGCCGTGATGTTGGTCTGGGAATAGCAGCTATCTATTATCGCTGGATCTCACTCCCTCCTCCAAAGACTTTCGCTCGGTACTGGGACTTCTCGCTCCCATCGGCCGAGGTCCATCCAACTACAATTAGTAAATACAATACAGCCCTACAGCTAGCATTGATTGGGGCAGCTACGGCAATGCCGTTGTTGACGGTGGACGTTAGTGTGGCGATGACAGCCATGCAGTAAGTTGTCTGGTCCCAGAAAACTAACATTCTCCTCGCTCATGATCTCTAGATACTTAGTCGCTACGACGACAGTGTGGAGTGGTGCAAGCTATATATACACGAAGGACGCGGTCAAGATTTTGAATCAGGAGCAACAGCAAGGGAAGGACGAAAATTTGGGAGATCGGAAATGATCATCGTGCCATAGGTAAAACACGGTGTACTGAAAATGGTTGTATGATACATATTTCAGATGTGATATAATGTACAATCTTATCTTATGTAAAGGTTCACCAGGCTGCGACCGAAGCCGCATAGACCTGCCTACAGATGTCTCTGGTAACATTTTTTCATTCGTGCGACCTGTGGTTTCTCATTTGGGTTGGGAATAATCATAAGATTAGAGATTGTCTCTGTCGAAATTGTTTTGTTCTACATGAGTATTGCTCGTCGAGCTTTTTGACGTCTTCTCCCTCCGAAACGACCAAGTTTTCCTTCATTTGGAGGACAGCCTTGCCCAATGCCTATCTCTTCCCGTCCACAGCACTCAAGTGCTATTCAATCTAAATCTTCTTAGCGCGAAGATTTTGTCATGGGCGGGGGAACCAAGACTGGCGATCATTCGTTGAATCTCTCTCGACTATGGTGCTTGCAAACACCAATTCCATCAATATTCAGCGTCTTCCAGTCTCTTTACGTAGCCTACCTGCCGCAGTGGTAGGTTGTGGTTCTGGCCACGAAGAAACAGCATCTTCCATCTCCTCCAGGAATGTAGTGCTATTGTGAACACTGGTCCCTCCAAGGACAACTCTTATACCAGGTGAAGATGCATTCACTTGGGAGACACATTTCGCTTCTTCGAAAGTAACACCTCCAACGATAAACAAGATGATGTCCTGGGGTTTGTCACGAGTGGAACCATCAACAAAAGGATACTGCTGCTCGCGAAGGCGTCCCTTGATGAGGTTTTGTAACGTGAGCTCCAAACGAGGCGAATGCTGGGTGTACACATTCTCGACACCTTTAAGGCCTTTGAATCGATCTCGAGCTCCAGCGAAGATACCGGCCGATTCAAAGATATCTGAGATCCCACCAGCAGTCTGAGCTTGCTGCAAAGACGAATGATATATCAAGAGTTTCGCTACAAGATCAATGCGTCGTTGTGGAACATTTCCAGCAGCGCCTAGTAAGTCAACCAGAACAGGTAGAGCATTCGAAGGATGCCTTTCGTAACGCAGAGAGTAAAGAGCAACAAGTCGAAGCTTGCAATCCGGTGTGACATTGGGGGATTGAATGAGCTTTTGCACATTCTGTATACCACATTAGTACAACAGTAGAGTCTGGTGAAGAAGCCTTACCTTCAGGTCACCGGCATGATTATCGTTACATGCCAGACTTTGTTCTACCTCGCTGACTTCAAGCAGGTTCTCTGAGCCTACTTTCCTGCTCAACTCTCCAACGAGCGTGACATGCTTACTAACATTTCCAGAGAGTTTGCGAAACTCGGGGTACTCCTCGATGAACCGTTTCATGTCTGCTATTGACTCGATGTTGGAACTGTTCTTTGTCTTTGACTGATATTGCTCCACGTAATCTTTGATGTTTCCTCCAAGATCACCAAAGTTCAAGTACATGTTCTTCTTGAAAAATGGGTCTTGATCTTGAGACAGGACCACTTCTTTCAGCTCTGGTCGAATGTCTGGAACATCACTCAAATCAACTCGACCATTGTGGATGCCGAGAAGTTCGTGTACCAGAGCCTGATATGTCCACTGCGTCAAGAGGGGAGTAATAGGGTCATCCCTTCGATCTAGTATCAAAAGTATTGGAGGAGTGTCCACCTTTCGGAAGTCGAACAACTGGTCCTCTTGTGTGACCTGATATCGGACCTCCTTCGCCAGTTTCTGAGCTAACAAGCTATTCTTTTCATATCGGATCAAGGGTTTCTTCTTGAGAGACAGTAGAACTGCTATGAGACCCTCAGCTGTCCTCTGCAGAGCATCAGCGTTCCACGTATTTGGATTCGAACTCCATATTCGCTGTTTCGGGAAACCCAAGTCGAAAGTAAAAAGATCTGGATTGACAACGATATAATCTGCAAAATGTTCCTGAACAGCCCTAACCACCTCATGGTCATCTGCCTCCGCCAGTCGCTCCAACGACGACTTCTTGACAACATTGCTGAAGTATATGTTGTACTCGCCGTACTTTGGTTGTCTGAATTCATCGATGAGGTATTGTATTGAGTCCGGTGAGGGTCGCACGAAACAAAGGCACCTCAAATGCCGCATCTTCTCTCGATTCTGATTGTCAAGCCTGTCGATGAGATAGACCTCATGGTTCAGTAGCGCAGATTGTGTGATGGCAGTGGAGACGACAGACATAGTATCACTATCCAGCAACAGAATCTTCATCTTGGCAGATGGTGCTCCCGATACTCCATCCCCGGCGGAGACCATCTTGGAGATATATCCCGAAACCGCCTGTACCACGTCCATCTTGTCTGTTAAGCCTCAAAGGGCAGATCGCGCAAGCGTAGCCTGTCACCGTCTGCTCAAGCTTGTCATTCTCTACAGTTGCATGCGTGAGATCAGCACAGTTGCTGGTCGTGAGATGCTGTCCCGTGTCACTTGGTCGAGGGCGCAATGCTTCCTTGGTATGCTGATTGCTCGATTCAGACCTTGTCGTTGAGTCGGTAGCAAGGAGGCAGCTTCGGTGGCGCGCTGTCGAAAGGCTCTCGTGACGATATCGTGGTCTGCAACAACAAGGACAGAGGCTTGTGATCTTCTGGAATCGAACTTGGTCTCGGTTTACTGTATGTATATCGCTGTAGCTGTCCCTCAGGAGCTCTCCCGAGGCTCTAGCTACCATGTGGGCTGTCAACTTAGGCTACCACACTAGCGTCAATGTCTTGTGAGACACCTGCAGTGTTCCCTGTGCATCCAGGTGACTTTATTTTCTTCAAATACATTTCAACTCCGTTCACCCCGCGAACTGAGGATTTGTTTGTGATATTCACGGCTTGCAGATGGAGACTCGATAGCACATAACGACGACACAGCTTACAACCCGCACTCACCATGTTACCATACATCAACCTTCGTAAGGCCCTGAGAAAGAGATGCTCTTTGTGATGCGGCCGCGTCTGACGTCAAAGCAGCTTTCGAATATGTCGCTGGTATTCTGGGAACTTCAGCGGACGAGCGTATGTTATTTGCACCATGTCGCGTTGAGTCGTATGATATTCGATGCTGGAGCTGATGTCCTGATTATCTAGTCAAGCTCATCACGTCCTTCCTGCTATCTTATCCCCTCGCTGGCCTGCTCAAGCGGGTGCCCGATGAAAAGCCAGCTCTAAAGAACCTCTTTATCATAAGGGAAGTTATTTACGCTTTGTCGAAGAGAATGCGGTCTAATTCTTGGTAGTGTTTCAACCTTCTACCTGGTTGGGCTTTTCGATTTGTGGGATGGCTATCGAACACTGGCGGTGAGCTCTGTCGGAGCATACTGCATTGCACAATATGTTCAAGGGCCTTTTATGCCATGGATCGGATTCTTATTCCTGATGGGACACTTATCCATCAATCAACTAGCGCGACAGTTCCTCAATGATCCTGGGGTAATAGACATTACAGGTGCCCAGATGGTTCTTGTTATGAAGCTTACGGCTTTTTGTTGGAATGTTGCAGATGGGCGTCTGCCAGAAGAAGATTTGTCCGATTTCCAGAAAGAGAGGGCCATGAAGCGGCTTCCGAGTCTACTCGACTTTGCAGGCTACGTTCTTTTCTTCCCTTCTTTGATGGCTGGACCTGCCTTCGATTACGTTGACTATAAACGGTGGATCGAGACCACAATGTTTGAGGTGCCGGCGGGAGTTGATCCTTCCAAGAAGCCACCAACTCGGAAGAAGAGAAAAATCCCTCGAAGTGCAACCCCCGCCCTATGGAAGGCAGCCAGCGGTCTTTTCTGGATCTTGATGTTCCTTCAGCTTTCAGGGTGGTTCTATCCAGATTTATTGACAGGGGACACATACATGACTTATGGATTTACTCGCCGTGTCTGGATCTTGCACATGCTGGGCGTCACTACTCGTACCAAGTATTATGGGGTTTGGGCTTTGACTGAAGGTGCTTGCATTCTTTCAGGACTTGGTTACAAAGGTGTTGATCCCGCCACTGGCAAAGTTTCATGGGATCGACTACGGAATGTAAGCCCCTGGGGAGTGGAGTCTGCGCAAAACTGTCGAGCATATCTGGGAAATTGGAATATAAACACCAACAACTGGCTGCGAAACTATGTCTATCTGCGTGTAACTCCCCGTGGGAAGAAGCCCGGATTTCGCGCCAGCATGGCCACCTTTGTGACCAGTGCTTTCTGGCACGGTTTCTATCCTGGATATTACCTCACGTTTGTTCTCGCCAGTTTTGTCCAGACAGCTGCTAAGAGTACTTTCCCATCCTGTCTCGTATTGATTCATCTCATCTAACATGTTGATAGACTGCCGGCGCTACCTACGCCCTTTTGTCCTTGACCCGAAAACGGCCCAACCCACCTCAGCAAAGATTTATTACGATGTGGCATCCTGGTTCGCCACGCAGTTGATTTTCTCTTTCACGACAGCGCCCTTTGTGTTGTTGACCTTACCAGCTTCCTTCCTCGTCTGGGCTCGAGTCTACTTTTATGCCGTCATTGTCACGACTCTCACCACGGCATTCTTCGCATCACCGGGTAAAGCATTCTTAGTCAAGAAGTTGAACCGACGGGCTGGAACGACGGGCCCCCTGAAGCGGACTCATTCACAGGAAAGCCTGACAAGCAAGGAGCCTGTTCTTGGCCTTCCGTCTGAGCCACAGGAAGATCTTGAAGAATTGGTTTCAGAAGTGAAGGCTGAGATGGAAAGCAGGCAGAGGAAAGGAAGCAAAAGCGTCAAAGCTCCCTATTTCCCTAGTAAAAGCACGAAGACATAACGAGCAACAGCCAGTACCATCTAGATCTCGATAAAGCCTCGTCATTGTCTGGTATTAATCACAAGGAAGCCAGCACCTTGTCATGAGTAATGTAGAACATATTTCAGTCTACCAATGAATTGATTCAATCGTTGATCTAGCGTTTCGCGCTTAATTTTTTTTGCAGTGAATCATAATCTTACATGACTACTATGAATAGGAAACGCTATTGCCTGTTCAAAAGGTGGTCAAGGCCGAGTCGCTCTCTGTTAGCGTCCACAATGATTTATACCATGCAACAGCCCCAAAAAGTAGAATGAGATAATACGCAATGTCCCATACAATGGCAAGTTTATCATCATTGGAATTTTTGGTGGGGTTATCCTCACTCCTCTTTCCTTCGCCTACATCAGGTCCCATCACTGTCTCCGCAGCACTTATTCGTCCCCAGAATCTAGGAAGGCCCCTCCAATTGCAGAATGCATGTACAAGTATCACACTCAATAAGCTTCCACTACGCATATAGATGAATGTGACATAGCCTCCAAAAAGTGTGGTATAGCTGAATTGCAGTAGCGATCGCAGTAATGCAGCAATAATGGATGTATGCGGATGCGTTATTCGGAACTCGTAAAAGTGATGGACGTGGGCAAGTCCGAATACGACAGGCGTCAGGAAGATAATTCTTGCGTTGGAGACTTGGGAGAGGAGAAGGAGAGGCACCGAAGCAGAACGAAAGAGGACCTCTTCGGTCAATGGGCCCTGGAACGGTAAGCCAATTGACATCGAATCATGAAGCTCACTTACTGCAACATAATTCCGCCATCCTATCCAACCGCTGACTGTCTCATTTACACCACGCAGGCGGATCCAGTCACGCCAACCACCTTCTGCAATTCCAGCTTCAAACAAAGGTCCAGCAAAGAGGATGGCAGTGAGTGCCACGGTTTTGACGGTTTCATCCAGCCCAATTGGATAATAACCCATCAGATGTAATGATTGGAAGGGATCTCCATGCTCAACTGACGAGAGTATGACAAAGGTAGTCACTGAACAGATGATGCAAGAGAGCGTCACGGATCGTATGCGACCTCGGATCACTGACGGGGCGTCTCTCGAAAGCTGCGGTGATGGTCGAGTGGTAGATGATATGTAGAAAGGGAGGACATAGATAAGGGTATAAAGAACCTGCTCTGTTAGCTGGCATGCTGTAAGTTGTACCAAGCAAGGCTTACCAAGAGAGCTACAGCTGTTGTAGTACTCACAGGAGGGACCTCGGGATCTGCTCAACAAAATGAGCAGCGGAACGCTATCAGAGCTTTCATGAATCCACCAACCTTTCTCCCCGGTATAATAAGCTTTGAAACGGCTATAGAGGCCGGTGGGGGCCATATTTGAAGCAGGGCGTAGATTCGACACAATAGGCCCCGCAATGCCGTTGGAATCTTGTATCTTCCAGGGCATGCGACGTATTATGGATCACCGAAGAATTCAGTGTCTTTGTCTTCCTTACCTTAGCACGTTGCGTTGAGGTCCCAGACTGAGAAGTCTCGTGGACGTAGACTTAAAGTTGTGTTGTTTCGTTGGGGAATGCTGGTTCTCGCTTCAGCCTCAATATCCAGATTCAGCCACAGCACCTTGTCGACTTGTAAGAGTGGAAAAATAACAAAGGAAGAACTCTTTTTCCGAGCCCAAACCTTTTCTTTCCCACTACCGCATTATCTCTCTTCCTCTACATGACATCGCGCTCACTCCAATTCAATAACATCGCATCGTCTCCTGAAACTTGATGGAAAGCACGGCGGTCATCAACGAGTCTTCGGAGGACGGATGCGCGGCCGAGACAAAGCGACCCTTTTATGAAGTCATCCCACACACGAACGCGACACGTAAATCTTCAAGGTTGGCTTTGCATGCGCGCGTCGCGTCACCCCAGGCCCACAATACAACAAACAGCGGAAATTACACAAATATCTTTTTCATGCACCTTGACGGGACGTGCTGCTCGCTGGGACTCCGCCACTTACTTACTCACTCACTGTTCGCCGCTTCCCCTTGGTCTTCCATTGTTCAGGATGGGATTTATTATTGAGGGGTACGATGAGGCCGGGCCATCTTTGGGTGGCCCTCGCAATCGATAAAGTGATACGGACTTGAGCGCATGGGAGCGACGGAGAGGGTTATCAACTTATCACCAGGGCCGTTCCTATCGCGGCCATCCTCCACCTCCTCTTCCTCCGCCTCTTCACGTTAGATTTGAGTTTCGATCATCTGGATCCTGGCACTCGATCCTGGACTCACACTCAGGAGAACCGCGGGCGCGCTCTCGTACTGTACTTGCTAAGTTCCTAGTCTCGTCAGATTGCCGCCAGCATGCGCGGCGCCGGAAAGCACTGCTGCAGCTGCAACACCTTTTACTCTCACCGCATTGTTTGTTCACCTCTGAATCAGCCCTGGTCCAAATGCTCGCTACCATCCAATCGTTCTGGCCAAAGACGGAAAACTTGCAGGCCGCTGCATGAAACTATACCTGCTTCTGGAAAAACCAGAGGCTGAATTCCTGTCTGGTCATGAGTACAACCCCTATGCAGTCTTGGGTCTTCAATAGGATGGTCGGCATGCGTGGTACTGACTGGACAGGCCACAAAATTGCTTCTATTCCAGAACGTCCCCTCCTCCTCTTCCTGTTCTCTTCTTCCTTTTCTCTCTCACTCTCTCTCTCTCTCTCTCATCATCCGCTTCTCTCTCTTCTCTTTCTTGCGCTCCTTCCTCGATCCTTACCGTTCGTTTCCTTGTTCGTTCCCGCACCGCACCGCACTTTCATCCCCCACCACGAAGCGACGAGCTCATACCACTGTTACGACGAGACGACCATCATTAATTATAATATCACTCTTTGTCTATAGCTATATACTGCATATATCCCACCAATCTATCGAAACAGGACAGCCCCGACTCCAGGCGCCCACCTCAACCTACCCATCCACCTATAAGTTGTGCTTGTCCCTCCATCCCTTATTCAAAGAAGATCCTGCGCATTGAGGTCCAAAATGCTCTCGCTATGAACGGCTTGTGCCGGCTGCAGCATCCAGCATGTCGGACAACTCCCCTCCACGAAAACCTCTGCACGAACGCACCGATTCCCTGAGCAACACTCGAGCAGGCACAGCGGCAGCAGGAATTCGGCTCGTCCCAAATGTACCGCAACTGCTGGGACAAAGAGATGAAATCTATTCACGGACAGGATCTCACCTCCCGACACATCCCAGTCACTTTCTGACCCCGGGCAAAGGCAAGGGTCCTGCATTAGACGACGAGTTTCAACGAACCACCAAAGCGCAAGCAGCATCGTCGTCCAGTGGTTCACCAGTCATAACAACGCATACACCGCATCAGCCTCCTCAATATGGAAACTCTGCGACAGGATCTCCCATCTCGAGGCCGAAACCCCTGCCCAGGAAACGACTGCACATCCACAGTGATAATAAGACCTTCTCCTTGTTACAAGATGACTCTCAATCGGTCCAAGATGATTCGAAGTCGTTGTCCTCCAAGCATAGGTCCTCTGATTCGCTTCTCTCGGACCCAAGCAATGCGGGCAGCCGGCGTAATTCCATAGGTTCATGCGTACCAGGTCCTCACTCACCTGTCGTGCCTACCACTCCAGCACCGCAAAATAAGCAACCAATATCTGCTGATCCTATAAGCAACTCGCCTTGGAATTATCAGCTCGTCGGCGGACTTCGAAAAGTTCCAAAGACTCCAGATCTCAAGCAGAAGGCAGCAACAACATCTGATAGCCCACTTCCACCTCTACCAGAAACATCGGACGGACCACCAGCTTTGTCGCACGATCTCTCCACGAAACCCAGCTTTCAGTCTACGGAGACGACCAATTCGGAGCATACCAACTACAAAGTTTACGCTGGATCGGAATCAAGCTCTGAACCCATCTTCCACCCCCCTTCTATCGACGACAATTATCAGGTTATTGGTAGTCCGTCACCAACGTCATCCATTATATACAGGCCGCAGACAGCTGCATCAGAGGACGAAAACGAGAACTACCAGTTGCACGGAGACCCGTCACCCTCGACGTCATTCGTCAACCTCCCGCCACCAGGCAGATACTCTCAGGAATCCCTCGTCGTTCCTCCGTTGAGGCCGCGAGCTCGCAGATCAAACGAGAATCTTGGATATTATAAATCAAGGTCAAGGGAGTCGTTACGGACGGGATCACTGACGTCCATTTCGACAGTTCTAAGTCAACAAGAGGCTCTGCGTGCAATAGTGGGCTCCGGTTCTTTGATACAGTTGCCGATTCTGAAACAGAAACCAGAAGGTCCAAGTTCATGGGAAAATCCTCTACGCTTACACCCAGCGCGGTCACACATGAACGAGCATCCGCATCAATGGAGCTCACAGCTTTCAACTGTGCTCTCGGTATCGGACGGTGGAACCGATCGAGGTTCAAGGTCATGGTCGGACGGACGCATCAGCAGCGGGTTTCCAAGCAGTACCTCACGTCACAGTCGGCAGATGCTGTCTATAAGTTCTTCCATGGCTCAAGAAGAAACTATCTCTCGAAGCGAATCGATCGAGCCCCCAACACCAGCTTTCGTCCAGAATGGTCAGCGTCATCATAGCAGTTCTTCAATTGGTATTGTTTCCAATCAAGACGAGTTTGGTGATGGCATAACAGACATGCAAGATTTGAACTTGAGAACACGACCTTCCAGGAGTCGACTTTCGGGTTTCTTCAGTATATCAGATAATGGTCGCACGAATACTATGCGCTCAACGACTAGTTCCAGAGCTAACAGCTTACTCGGGAACTCTATACCCACCTGGGCAAAATTGTATTATGGTAGTGGCGAGAGACGATATCTAGGTGCTCCGGGCAGCTCTACTGAAGGGACAGACAGTCGAAGTAACTCATTTAGGACCGGTTCGCCGAACACAGATCATTTTCCTTTGAGTATATATAGTCCCCGAAGGCGACCTCGAGAGGTCAATCCTCGGGATATAAATCGCTCGGCGCGAGGGTCGTTGGAAATATCTCCTGCGCCTCAATTGGGAAGTGATGGACGGTTAATCCACGATCCTCATGCCGGGCGGTTCAGGACATGGAGCATGTCCAGTATCTGGTCGCCACATTTGCGCCTCGATAGGCGCGCAACTCGCCGCAGCGTGTGGGAACCGCCATCCATAAATTGGTCGACAGAAGGTGGTATGTTTGGACGGCGGAATATACAAATAGTAATGTTTATTGCGGGATTTGTCTTCCCCTTCGGTATGTTATTTGCCCCCTTTCCACCATATTACTTGTTAGGATGTGCAACTAACACAAACGAATAGCTTGGATGATTGCAGCACTTTTGCCTTTGCCACCAAGTCCCATGCGAGACATGCGTGAACGAGATAATAGCACGAGCAACTTGGATAGCTCCAATGATGTTCCTAATGATTACGCCCGTCAGTTTGGACCAATGGATGAGGTCAGGTACGAGAGTGCAAAGTGGTGGCGTGGGCTCAATCGATGGATGTCGATCTTGGGGTTGTTGGTTATCGTAGCAGTGGTATGTCTCCTTGAAGTGTTTGAAATGCTTCGCTCACTGACTGAACAGGTTGTCCTCGTCATCATTAGTATCAGAGAGGGTTGGTAAATTCTCTACCAGCTCAACTTCATGATTGTCTACGAATACACGAATCAACGAGCCTCCGTCGCCGAACTATTATCACTAGCGCTAGATCTTTCCAAGCCACAGCTCTCTTGGGTTTTGGCATCTGTATATTATATGTTTCGATGGTTTGATGGGATATTGGCGATTAGCCGGCCGCATTATACCCTTCATGGAATGGATTTCAAAAGATAGAGAGACGTTTGTTCAAAGTACCTGGACCAGATAGTTTGATAATTAATCAGTATTACCGAGCACCCTTTTATACTGCTATGGATGCACGCAAATTTATGTTTAATTCGCAATAGCTCGTATTTCGTTTTAATGGCCTTGGGAAGTCGTATGATGCTTCTTTGGGTTCTGGAACCCTTGTTGTCGCATATACATCTCATGTTAAATTGAATCACATTTCCATTCTCGGATTCCACTTTTGGAAACGGCGTTCGATCCCTAAACTATCCAATGATCATTCCCAAGTAGCATCTTGTTTTGTTTTTTTATTTCGGTGAAGCCATTGTCCGCAATAAAGTATATGCAATGCTCCAAAAGATGAGCACACAGAAAGCGGGGTTTTTCGTCTGATGTTGAGTCGGACCAACAGCGGAAGAACAGACGCGGCCTTTAGCCGGTCCTTACTAGCCAGAACATCTGGATCAGATCTGTACTTCAGTCCTTCCAACTCCAGCTGACTTCCTGAATCTAGTCCGGTTTGAGCATCGGCTACTTTGCAGGGCAATATGTCTTCGGATTCGCAGGTGTACGATAAGATTGTTCATGTTGATGCATCCCGCGCCATAAAGGACATCGGTTATGCTCGATCCGTGACCGCTCAAGCACCTGCATTCGTGGTCTACAATGATGCTTTCCTCGACCTTCTTGGCGGTTCGCCGCAAATCAAGCTCGTTGAGACTCGCGATTACGAATTTGCCCATGAAGCTGGAGTTTTCAGTCCTTTGACCAATTCTGTCTTCTTCACAAGCAACTACCAATCTTCTGATCCAGTCGAAATTCACAGCGTCGACTGTTCAACTCTAGCCATCACCAAAGTCGCCTGGCCGGAAGTTCATCATGGCAATGGGGCATGCCAGTATCAATCGAAAGTCTTGTATTGTTCACAGGGTAGCCGCTCCGTGCCATCGAGCCTTGTTCTCGTCGATCCCTTGACCAACGCTTCTGTAAGTCTCGGGTTTTCTTGAGAATGTCGCTCGCTTGCTGGAATATTGCCAACATCGACGAATCAAGCATTTACGAAGTTTGTTCGTGATACTCTTTCTGGACTCGTTCAGATTCTGGCATTGTTGGAATCGTCTCATCTTCCCACACATTACACAGAAGAGGTGAACTAACAGGGTTTCATGTTAGGAAACTCTGATCAACAACTTTTATGGCAGAGAATTTTCATCCAGTACGTCAGAATCTACCCTTGTTTTGTATTCTTTCCAGGAGCCGAGGTCTCTGAGAACATCCTTGGAAGCTGCCTATCAAAGAAGATATGTTTCAACTCCTCGAGCGAGCTCTTCCGTTCCTAGATCTTAGTCAGAAGTACATGCTGATTTGTCTACAGTTAATGATGTTGTCGTGAATCACAAAACGGGAGATATTTGGTTCACAGATCCAACGTACGGCTTCGAACAAGCGTTCCGGCCCAGTCCCACAATGCCTGTGCAGCTATATCGATTTTCTCCTGCCAAGCATCAGGTCTGGATGGTAGCAGATAGCTTCACGCAATGCAATGGCTTATGTTTCAGCGAAGACTACAAGCGAATGTATGTCACAGATACGGGTGCTATCCAAGCCCATGCAGGTCCCGGGGATGGACACCAATTCTCTTGTAAGTGTCGAACGCCTGAGCCACTTTGCTGCCTCTGTGATAATCCTTCCGGTCCTTCGAGATCGGAGCTCCCCATACATGCACACCATTCTTTCTGGGATGTATACTTACTCCAAGATTTCGCTGCACAGGTAATCCACGGCTCCCAGCCACTATCTACGTCTACGATGTAATCCACGGCCAGAGGCTACAGAATCGTAGAGTATTTGCTTATTGCAATAATGGTGTGCCGGATGGGATCAAGTGTGACCAGTACGGGAATGTATATTCCGGCTGCGGTGATGGGGTACAGTAAGCAACAAAAACCCTTTCTTGATCCGTACCGCCTGTTTTGTATTACGGACTTAATGAACGTTTCGTGTTCACTAAGTCTTCTTAAATTATAGAAAACAAGTACTAACTTAGTGGAATTAGTGTTTGGGATACTGAGGGGACATTGATTGGGAAAATCAATGTGGGTGGTACTACGGCGAATTTTTGTTTTACAGACAGTGGTCTTTGGTTATTCGCGGAGAAGAAGTTGTTTTTCTGTCGATTTGGTACTAAGGGAGCTTTGGTCGATATCGAGTGTTCGCGTTAATAAATTGCAGTATACAAAAGGTCTCTAAAACTCGTGCCGACTGAGATGCCATAAAAATAGTAAAGTTGTAAAATGTTAGGGACATATAGCTGCATATATCGCAATGATTACCTGGGTGTCCAGCGTAATTAGTATCACTACCACTACCACCAGTAGAACCGATCGTATCATAGGCACCTTACCTTACTTCCCACCTTGTTTATAGCAGGATATGTGTATCTCAATTCTAGTGACCGCACGAAAATCCTTGGGGATCTACGCGGACAGAGAGATTCAACTGCGTGTGACGTGCGACGTGTCATGCTAGGAGGAATATGAAGATTACGAGTCCAAGGCCCAAGCCTTGGGGAGCTAGAATAGCACACAAAAGGTAATCATCTTTCTAAAGCCATACTGTAGGAGCAAGCTGATAATCGCTAAACTAGGAGTAACGAAGCCTAAGCTCAGTACCTGCTTGGTCTGGCAGTAGCCTCGAAACTCTTTGGAAAGAGGAAGACTTTTGGTCATCCATCACACCTCGTGGGCTTGATTGCAGCGCACAGGGCTGGGGCTTGGAACGCTGGAGCGCCTTGCGCTGGACCCAGTTCAATGTGAGCCGCAGTTCCATGAATGGGTTCCGTGTCATCTGCTAGGAAAGTGATGCCAAAGTATTTCTTGAGTATCTCAAGTCTACTTTCCTCACTCTTCAACGTAATCTCGGTCTCTTTCTTGCCATGTCGCCGCCACTTCAGGATGTCGTGATTTAGTGACAGAGAGCCGTGTATCTCTCCCTCTAGCGACTCTTCACTGGCTGAACCCGGCCCGTTTCCCTCATTGGTCTCTCTGTCCGTGGTGAACCTCACACAGAGAATCTTATGCGCAAAGATCGTCTGCGGATTGAGCATCGGCTCAAAGTTCATGCTCTGTAGCGTTTTAATTTATTCGTTGCTCTGCCCAGAGTAGAGTACAGTACTTACTTCGACGTCCTCGGGTGTAAACTCTTGGTCCGTAAAGCAATACACAGGCACCATCTCTAGATCCTGGTCGTAGCGGTGCCTGAAGACCCACATCTTCTGTGACTTGTCTAGATGCTGTCCTATGCTTTCGTAGTCAAGACGCATCTGGGCCGGCGAAATCTGTGGAATATGGCTGCCTTAGACTTCCCTTCGTTGACAGCCAAGTAGAGCTGATAATTTCGGACCGACCTGCGCTATAACCTCCCCATCTTGCAAGGGCATGGCGCAATGCGGCCCATTGGGACCCATCCCGCCATCTAGAAGACACTTGGAGGTTCCAATGGTTACAATATTGACGACGTGCGTCCACCCCCCATAAGTTTTAGTGTCGGGATGAAAGATGCGAGAGCCAGCCATGTATACGCTGAAACCTAGATTATATAGGATAAGATGGAATAGGTAGTTCACTTCTATGCAATAGCCCCCTACACCTTCGTGATGCACAATCTTCTTGAAGAGGTAAGATGGCCGAACGTTGATGACCTGGTGTTACGAGTAGTGCATCGTGAGGTTCTCCCACGGTATTTTGCAGAGATGGTGCTTTTGGAGGAGTTGGAGAAATATGAGTTTGTCATCGTCCAAAAGGGTTGAGACGTCGTACACTCGTTTGGACTGTGGCATGCATATACGGTCGAAATACATGTCCATTTGCTCTCGAGTAAATGTATGCCGCGCCATGATCGATGGAATGGGGCGTGTGTGCGGGATGAAAGAAAGATGCTGGGAGCGATGTATAGCACTCAGCTCAGATGATCGGAAAATCGTCCGAACAGTGATCTCTTATGGGTGAACAAATATTACGAGCCGCATGGCCCCTCCCCCAGTGGTGCATGCGTGAAGCGGCAGCATACTAAGATGAATGGGGTATGGTTGCCGCCAGAAGCAAAGACATTTGCGCTCTGTAGCGTCTTAGGTTGCCAATGTACGGAGACCTTCTCTATGAATGCTTGCCGGATAATCGGGTTTGGCTGAACCTTGTTTGCAGTTTCCCCACCTTTGTAAGGTTGCCTGACTGAGCAACTTCGCGAGTCTTTGGCCTCAGGAACCATCTTTTACGTGCAGATGGTTATGTAAAAGGGGGGACATATCATGAACTCTGACATTTCTCAGAGCTGTCGGACAGTGTGTGGTTTTTACCGTCTGTCAGAGCATCTTTCTCAACGATGGCCCCAATGCGTCGCCATCCATTTTCCCGCAAGCTCTGACATATAGCCGAATTCAACCTGATCGCCTTTGCTCTGGATCCACAGAAGAAATTGTCCTCTAGGAATTGCATGCTGGAACCTAGTGGCGTCTAGTTACAAAGAGCATGATAAATACCGTCGAGCTTATATCCACACCCTCTTTAGGAAGCACCTCCATCTCCTCGATCATGAACTCAAACCTATCTCTCCACATTCTTCTAACAAAGGTTGAATTGACAAAAAATTCCGCACTTGGTATAAGAGGAAATTATTGACGAAGTATCCTCCATGTAAAAGTGACTGGAATTGTAATAGTGTCACCGTCTGCACTTTGATGTGAGATGCCGGGAACTATTCACTCTTTGACCTTGTTCTCAGGTGTGAAGGACGGGAGCTTGATCTTGCGTCAACCTCTACGTGGTGCAATTAGGAGCCATAGCCCCCAAGCGTTGAATTGTACAAGCAGCCTTTTTCTTCTAGGTAGCCTGATGGCAGAGTGGCGGCATTGGGTGAAAAGAGTTCGAAAAGCAAGCGGCTTTTTTCCTATCAAATTTTCCGAGACTTGAATGAACCGCCTAGGACATCTCTCTCTCGCTCTTCCGTCGATGCAAGGATATCCTCTTGACAGTATCTATGCAACCATATCTCGCCTCCAGTTTTGAAACTCGTCCTCCGTCAGAAAGGTTTCCATACCGTGGTCCGTGATGAACCATGTCACTTTCTTTTCAAAAGGCCGGAGCATGAATAATAGAATTAAAGTAGGAAAATATGTTTGTACATAGATCCCCACCATTGTCAAATTATCGTCTTAGTTGGTAACAGATTTGGATCCCAGAGAATCTTCAATTTAAGTATATGAAGGACATCTTAAAGTTGTCTGCTCACTAAGTGCTATGGTATCGCCGAGAATTGAATGGTCGTATGAACTCTCACCAACTGCCTAATGATAATTATACCACTCAGGCGTAAATTGTTTTGCAGAAGATACGCCAACGATATCTGCTTGCTTTCAATATCAGGATGGAGTAACTTAGAAGTAGATGTAGTTACTAGTACTGCAGCGTTGAGTATTACTAGGAATCTAATTGGAGAGAGTTGAGTTTGAGGAGAGTTTGGAATCCTGGAGTTATAGTGTACCCTCTGATAGATCTAGAGTGTGTGTACTGTGTGGGTGTATGGTCATTACAGCCATTGTGAGAAGGAACACAGTTGGGTGGCCACGGTCCAGCTAATGTGTGAGCGAGTTGTCTCAAAATGAAGAGAAACTGCTATCTGGAAAAGACCCCAACACTACATAAAAGCGTACCTAACCACCTCACATGTATATTTTTTCCAAGACACGGTATCAAATGGCTTTGCCACGAGGTACAAATACCTACGAACAGTGCCGGACCGTAACATTCTCTACGAAATCCTAATGGGAAGGATGCCCATTTCGATCCGAGTCCAAGATCAGACGGAAAAATGCCCAGATGACTTGGAGAGCCGCTAGTGGCGACTTGGCTCTCGCCCTCTCCAAGTTAAAACATTCCTTATCTAGGACTTGCAATTGCTAATTCTGGGTTTTAGATAAAAGGTCGCAACATCGTTTGCTTTTTGGATAACATCTTACTCGGCAGTCTTGCCGATTACGGCTACTGTACGGCGGGGAAAATGTGCCCGAAGACGGCCATGGTCAGTCAACAGTGTCATAGCTCCAATGCCCTCTTTGCTCTTCATATCGATCAATATTTGGATTGAACCAACTCTCTTCACCAAGTCATTATTCTTCGAGCCAACTTCTCAACTAATGCAAAACAGACGGATCCTGCATCTGAGCAAACCTCGTAGGTCACTCAGTGCTACGCACCCTGAACGTGTTCCCCTGAGGTGGTCTTTTGGTCTTCCTTCGCTTCGCACAGACCATCCCATACTCGCTTCTCTGCAGCCCCTTTATTTTGTAAACCCCTCCCTCGCTTACCAACTGTATGTATACAGCACTTCCATGCTTATCGCGAGCACCAAGCAATTTGTGGACACAAGTTCTGTCGACAGCCACTTCTATATCCTAACTGCTTCTTCGCTTTCGCCCAAGATATTAAGTAACCGACTTGTAGCGCTCCTCGCCTGCTATGTGAACAATAATCGTAGCGGAATTAGTTCGCGTATTATTTCTAAACCGTGTTTTTTATCTCGTGCGTATATTAGCTAGAAATCTCGTTTACGCTTTTTTAAAATTATTTTATTTTATCATTTTTCTTAATTTCTAATTTTCAAATCCTTTTAAAATTAAATAATTGATTAATAAATTTCGTAATTTTAATTTTAATTAAAATAAATATTTTTAAGGAAAATTTTGTTTCTTAATTAATATATGCACAAGCCCACCGCTTCGCCCTTGAATTAACAAATCTTGTTCGTCCAAGTTTAACCATAGTTCTCTAAGAAAGAATTCCTAGCCAGACGGCTTTACTATAATAGATTTCGAATTGCTGTATTATTTCCCCACTAGGAATTAAGTCCCCCAGTCTATTTAAAAATCCCGTTTAGCCGCACACACAAATCAGATATATTTGTGGAGTTCGCACTTCTTTCCCATCAAACTCTTCACCCAACTTACATCTTTCAAGGTCAAACAAACATCACACTTTCATCAACATAGCAACTTTGCGTTTAGCTCCTAGAAATCACTGTTTCGGAGGTCTCCAAGCATCATGGAAAACGCCGCACACATCGTCGCCCCTTGTGGAAATCACACGCAAACAATCATACTACTCCATGGTCGCGACAGTATTGCATCGGAATTCGCAGAAGAATTCTTAGAGAGTCAGGCGTCAGATGATCGTACCTTACCAGAAATATTTCCCACAACAAGATGGGTTTTCCCGACTTCCAAGATTCGGAATTCGGCACGCTTTGGAGCTCCAATGTCTCAATGGTTTGATATGTGGTCGGTGGAAAATCACTTGGAAAAGAACGAGATTCAAATTGATGGGTTAAGAGAAAGTGTTAAGGAGATTCTTGACCTTATTCGGACTGAGGCTGTATTGATCTCACCTGACCGAATTATCCTCGGCGGGATTAGTCAAGGATGCGCTACTGCAATACATACTTTGCTGTACGGTGGAATACGGCTCGGCGGGTTCATTGGACTCAGCAGTTGGCTTCCATTCGAGCCAGAAATCACCACAACTATGGCGGACAACATGGCATGGAGTATAGATGGGTACAGCCTGCCTTCTCCCAAGATGCTCAACACACCCACAGATCAAGCAGAAACGACATCAGTCTTTCCGGATTTTAGCTCCACTTTTGTGCTCGAGACCCCGGTCTTCCTGTCACACTCCCGGGACGACGATATTATTCCTATCGCCAATGGAAAGAAGTTATCTACAACATTGGAAAAACTCGAGATGGTGGTTTCGTGGAAACAGTACGAAGATGGAGGACACTGGGTCAATGAACCTCAAGGAGTGGATGACATTGTATCATTCATTCATTCATGTCGTCGAGTCCAACTAGATGAGGAAGTGATATGAATATCACTGCCAGTACTCTCGTCTCCGAACAAGTCGTTCTAAAGCCCACCGTCTCGCTACGAGCCACCCTCGCCTCCTCAACTCCAGGATTATCTCCATTATCCAACTCTAGACATCTTGTTCTCTCGTTGGGCGCACGATTATCAGTGCCGGATCCGCCAAAAGTTCCTAATGCAGCTGCATTCAAAGGCACTGTGCTAGATCTCGGTAATTTCAAAAACAGCTCTGCCTGAAGGGGGGGATTGCGGTTGGATCAGCAACAGGAGGCCATGATAGTACGTTCTGCAATCTCAATCCCACGACAACACTACATCATCGCTAAATCTGAGGGCACAGTTGCCCAAGACATGCCCGACAACGATCTATCTTCAATCACCATGATCCAAAGAAACAAAACTCCAATGTTCCCCATCGAGTGGATAATTGCAGGTCAATCAAGTATGTACTCTTCAAGCCTTGCCATGGATACCAAATCTTACAGACCCTTCTAGGCATCTACAACCTCAACAACTCCCCCGAACTCGCAGACCGCACCGCAGACACACAACCCCTAAAAGTCTCCCGCGAAATCATTCGAAGCTAGAAGAACAGAGGTAAGTATTGGCTTCATCCGGTCATGATGCGCTCACTTCAAGTATCCGAAACAAACAAGCAGGGATAGAAAGTCAACAAAATATGATATAATGTAGAATCTTTACCCGAAGAATGTTTTCTGATGTTGCATGTAAATAACTAATGCTTCTAGAGTATTGATCGTGAAAAAAGGCGAAAATATAAAAACGAGTATAATCTCGAGGCAGTTTTCGCCTTTCGGTTTGCAGCTATAAGGGTTTCTTACTTCCTCATTCAGTGAGTGATACATCCTCCAAGAGCAAAGATGTTCATCAGTAGTAGTGTTGCTCAGAGTGTCGATACAGGCGTTGCGTCTGAGAGTCCACAGGTGATGCCTTGAATTCGCGAATTACACACTCGAGCATTCAAGCAAGCGATCCTGAGCTGCCTGTGTGAAGTGTATCAGCGAATCCAAAACTCCTGCAAGTCCTCTGACATTCCCTTTTGGAACTCAGAGCCTTCGATGATGTGCGGTACATGAGCTAAGCCCACTAGTCTGAAATAGTCGTCGTCAATCCTTCTCAAGGTAACCGGAGCGGTTGCAGTCGAGAGAATGGTGATTAGGTCTCCGACTTGGACTGCGGGAGTATCGTTGTCTGGACGACTGTCTCCGGCAGGTCCCACACCACAATATCCTCGGTGAGTAATGAAGAAATTGCGTCCTTGGCACTTTTTGGAATCGAACAATCTTCCTTCACCTGCGTTGTCGACGTAGGCCTTGCAGAGATCTTCATGATAGCTAGAAGCTTGATCAACAAACTCTCCTATCATGGAGTCCTCAAGGCGATTTCTGATTGAGGGGTCGTCGTTCAACATAGCCTGGATCTCATCTGTTGTGCGATCCCCTCTCTTCGTCTTCAGGCCCGCTAGCCAGGCCGCGAAGGCGATGTGCCTGTCCACTGTAGGAGCCTCTTCATCCAACGCAAAGGCTTGCCACAATACGTCGAGTGGCGAGTCTCGATCTTTGATAATCGCTGATATTTCGATTAAATTTTCATAGCATTTGAGAACCTGTCTTCCAAACTTCTCCACAGAGAAATTGTCGGTAGCGTGTAGAACGAAGTCCAAAACGAAGCCCGAAACTTTCATTGTGGAGTTCGTTATTATGACTCCTCCAGTTTCGTTGAGTTGAAATTCCCGGAGAGGCTCGGGGAGCACCTGCAGAGGATTGTTGTCCATCCACAGAACCCAAGATGGAATGTCTGTTTCATCGATACTACTGATCATAAACGAGCTGTAATGGAGATACGCAAGGGATGGGTGCTCCTTGATCATCATTTCCGTCACCTTTTGGAATATTCGTCCCAAGGGGGTAGAGTAATTCAATTCTTGCAATTCCAATCGAACTTTGATGTCTAATATGCCAAATAAGCCAAATATCCTGTCGCGTGGTTCAGTTGCGTATCGAGCATACGTTGCATGGATACAGTCAACAAGATGTGCTGAATAAGTTTGAACGCTGGCTTGAGATGTCACGTTGTACAGACAGAAGATCCTCCACAGATCGAGTTCTCGGGTGAGCACCCGACAATGACGCAGCAAGAATGCAGCGTCTCGAAATATTTTCCAAGAGATTGAATGGATCCCACTACACACAATTGTGGTGTCAATGGACGCTACAGCAATTTCTTGTAATGTATCTATCAACGATGGCCAGATATCGTCAGCCAGAAGCTGCTTGTAACGGTCTCGCCTGACTGTCGGGTTTGTTGGCTGTAGAGTGATAAGGGATCAAAAGGATGATGAATCGAAGAGTAATGCAATCTCGTTACTAATAGCTTGGTGTTAAGAAACTATATTTGAGTTGAGCACGAAGCTCCTATCTACTTGGAAAACTATCTGCTTATATAGAACCTTCCTGCTCAGGGCCGAGAGGGCCGCAGTCGGTCCTCTCGGTCTTCCCCCGAGGGGGCCGACCTCGTTCCTCTCGGTCCATCACGTGATCGCTGATCCCGTGCACCTGGAACCTTCCTGTTCCGAAGTATCTCCAACAAGCTCGCTTGCTGGGCCTATCGTGTTCCTTGCTTGTTGTCACGGGCTGATACAATGAGTCAAAGTAACAAGCTATGTGTATTACAAAAAGAACTAGTTAAGGAAAGAAGGATTCTCCCCGGAGAAATCCTTTTGTGAGGGCGCCAAGGCCCGAGCGTCTGCTCACGTGACGGCTATGCCCATTTAGGGGCATAGCCACAGAATGGGTTCAACCCATCACAAATTCGATGAAGAACTGAAAGGTAGCTAACTAAGGCTTTATATACATAGGATCAGAGGCTTCGTAGAAGCCTCGGCATAAGCTAATTACCATAAGATTAAAGTCTTAGATCGGAGATTGCAACTCGTAAAGAAAATAAGGAGGCTAGTGCTTAAGCGAGGCGTAGCCGAAGCATTATGGGGTTCAACCCCTAACATATAAAAACTTTTTTTTAATTAAAATTATTATTAAAATAAATAAAATATTATTTTAAAATTATTTCAAAATTATTATTTTTTATTTAAAAATTTAATTATATTATTTTCGCAATATTGAAAAATTATTTGATTAAAAATATTCGAAACAAGTATATTGTCACGATCACGGGACCCATGGGCCATAGGCCCAGTAAGCGGGGGAACCTGACCACGTGATGGAGTCCGAGGGAGTCTGATAGACTCCCCGGGACTCTGTGACAGACCAGATCAGGTTGAGATGCAAGAGGTGATCCATTCTTAGAATACCAAGGTGAAGAGCTGAGGACAGCTCTCAGAAGTGCTTATATACAGGATTCTGCCAGGCGGTGAGTTGTCGCGTGATAGGACTGAAACCAGCACTGTGACAGACTCCTGGACTCCAGGGAAAAGACGGACTCCAGCACACGGAGAAACTATATAACCACTCAACTTCACTCGTTAGATAGGAGCTCGTGCTCAACTTGATTATTATTCTTGACTTCAATACTATTGCCGACTTTACTTCATCTACCATACCAACCCACGTGACCTTACTTCCAGGTAAGGCAGGAACCGTGACATATAATAAATTAAATAATAATAAAAAAATTAATTAAACAACGAAAACGTCGTTTTTCGAAAAAAAAAATTAATATTACGAATTATTTAAATCGTTTATTTAATCGCTACGATAATCGCTATAATAATCGCTACGATAAAAATTAAACCGAGTATGTCACGGGTTGGATGCAATGAGTCAAAGCAAGAACCTGATTGTATTATAAGAAGAATTAACTAAAGAGAGAAGAGTTCTTTCTCGTACGAAGAGCTGTTTTAAAGGGGCTCTCGCTGGTTCGTAGAATGGCCCGCGCGCTTTAGCGTCGCGTCGTCATATGCAGGCCCGCGTAGTCACGTGTAGGCTGCACTACGTAGTAGTGCAGCCAAATATCGGGTTCAACCCGTCACAGAGTATAATAACGTTTTTTAACTTTAAATTTAATAAAGCTTAAAATCTTATATAAAATTTTTTTTTTAAATTTTAAAAAATAATTAAATCGATTTTTCGTTTATATATTAAATTTTTTACTATATTATTATTATTTTTTTAAATTTAATTAATTAATAATTATTATTACGAACTACCTAGATCGCCTGGCTAATCGCTTATTACCTGACCTAATCGCCTGCCTAGTCGCCCGCGACAAAGGTCAGGCCGAGAATAGTAGCGTTCCCTAGCTTTAAGCTTATTGGGGCTTAGCTCCTTATATAACATCCCTTTCCCCTAGTATATATATATTTAGATCTTCTCCTCTTTTATTCCCCTTCTCTTCTTTACTTTTAGATTCTAAGAGATAGCTAAATCGATATATTATAATTACGGGGCTTGTGGGCTATAGGCCCAGCAGGCGAGGGATCGAAATAGATTAGCGGGTCACCTAATAGATTATTAATCCTTATTAAGGGTTAATAAGGCTTATTGATCTAGAGGACAGAGGTTCTATATAACAACGGGCTGTCGCCCACTAGGTAGAAGCCTTATGCTTAACTTGATTTAGTTTTCCTAACTATAATATTATAGCCTTATCTTACTTCATTCACTATACTAACCTACGTGACCTTACTAGGGTAAGGAGAGAGTCGTAATACGATACTTCGTCTACGTACTAAGCTTCCCACCGTGCTATTATAATTATTTATTTTTTAATTTATATTTATTTTAATAATTTTTTTTTATATTTTAAATTTTTTTTAAAGCCGGTCGGCAAATATTTCTAATATTTTTCGATATTCTGCGAATAAAAAAAATAAAATTCTTAGACTACGTTTAAACGAGCAAACGAATAAACATCGTTATTTAACGTTAAACTCCGAGATTTTCTCGGTTAAAATTTTTATCGTTTATAAAAAACGATTTAAACGTTATATTTCTTCGAATATTAATGTTACGACTCTCTCCTTACCCTAGTAAGGTCACGTGGGTTAGTATAGTGAATGAAGTAAGATAAGGCAATAATATTATAGTTAGGAAAACTTAATCAAGTTGAGCACGAAGCTCCTATTTATGGCAGAAGTGCTAGTTATATATACTGCCCTCAGTAGTGGGCTAAGATGGAGCGCAGGAGTTCCTAGGAGCCCCGTCCGCTCCTTAGTGCTCCTCCACGTGACCTAGAGCTCACCGAGATGACTTAGCGAGCTCACGTGCACGTAGTCGTAATACTATCCCCCATTCCTCCTAGCGTAGTCCCGTGCGTATAACTAGTGTAAAGAAAACATCTTACGGTCGCTATGCTTCTTCTTCCCTTTCTATTATAAACAATAAATCCCTAAGGAAACGCCTCGAATAGCTAAAACTTATAAGAAAGATAGAAGACGTTGGCTACGAAATAACACTTTACTTCTGCTATGCGAAAGAAAACCGTCGGTGTATAATAGAGTCTTCTGTCTCTTCTCGGTGTGCCGAGTGCGTTCGTCGCAGACGCTCCTACGATGGGCTCTCCGACGAATAGGAGAAGAACGTTCCTAAAGAGAAGGATTAGGAGTCGATCGAGCGACAAAAGGCTCGCCTAAACAAGCAGGAAGAGGAGGCGATAGCGAAAATCCTCCGCCTCCGAAAACAAAAGAGGTTTCTCCTAAAGAGAGAGAAAGAAATGATGCGTTGTGGTCTGCAATACCTCGACGAACTAGATTCTGTGGAGGAGAAGGAAAGGTTGGAGAAGGAAAAGTGAGAGCGGGCCGCAGCCTCGTCTCCAGCTGCCTGGGAACCTTCCAACATCGATTAGAATGCCCTAGAAGCGTCTCTCCTTTCTGCTCCTAGCAACCCTTCCGCCTTTGTTCCCTCTTAGGAAGGCCTGAATACCGGCGGTGGAAGTCAGTTAGGATCTCAGGGTAGCTAAGATTCGATTTGGGCTCCCAAGTGTTCTCTAACTATAGGTATCCTTACCACTTGATCAAATACTTGATCCTCCCCCTGATATACTTATAATCTAGTATCTGTTCCACCTTATACTCAGCATCTAGGTTAACTAGGTCGATCTCGACTTAAGGAGCCGGTGGCGCTCCTAGTGGCGCGAGCTCGAGAAGTGATATATAGAATGTTAAGTATATCTTTATATTCTTAGGCAACTATAATTTATAATTAACAAGTCCTTTCACTCTTTTGATCTTATATAGCCTAAGCTTCTTATAGTCGAGTTTATCGCTTAGCCTCTTAGTTTTAATGTTTTTTCTGATTAAATATACCCTATCTCCCTCTTTTAGCGTAGGCTCCTAGCTACATCGCTTGTTATAGTAGTGTGTAGTGCGCTTAGAAACAAACTATAACTCAGAGGCTAGCTAGGTGTATAGTTCCTTAATCTTAGAGATACGGATCTTAGCTAGGTTATTATCGATAGCTATAATGCCTAGTTCTTTATATACCACAGGTTTATAACCGAAGTTAGTATAGAAAAGTGTTTCCTTTGTAGTCTCTATAATTGAACTATTGTATGTGAACTAGGCAAGTAGTAGGAGTGCTACCTAGTTGTCCTATTAGTAGTTAACATAGCATCTTAAGTATGCCTCAACTACCTAGTTTATTCTTTCGTTTCCTCCGTTAGTCTATAGATAGAACGTAGTGGTTATTTTCCTCTTAATCCCTAGGGCGGCTATAAGGGCGGTCTAGAATTTAGAAGTAAAGAGCTTGTCTCGATCTGAAAGTATCTCTTTAGGCAAGCTATACTAGCTGACTACTTCCCTAAGGAAAGCGTAGGCAAGCTGCTTAGCTATACTTGCCTCCTAGTAGGGTACTAGTATTATATACTTTGTGAGTCTTTCTATAATAACTAGGATTAAGTCGTACTTAACTCCTAATACTAGATCTTTAAATAGTAGGAGCTTTGTGATAAAATCCCACGATATTAATTTCCAGGGGGTGTCCGGTATAGGGACTATCCCTATTAATCCGTATAGTGCGAGGCGACTTATCTTGTTCCTAGTATAAGTATCGCAATCCTTAATAACTTTCTTAACAAGGGCTTTTATTAATAGACACTAGTATTCTCTTAAGAGTCGGAGGAAGGTCCTTCGCTTTCCTTGATAGCCATAGGCTAGTAATCCGTATTGTTCCCTTACAACTTCTTCTCTAACACTTAAGGGGAAGTAAATTTTCCTATTGTGTGTAAGTAGTCCTCCAGGCGTCTTTTTAAAGTACTAAGAGACGGAACCTACTATCGGGTCCGTAGCATAGGCCTCCCTAATATAGGCCTCTAGTAGAGTCCCGTTTAGGCGTCTTAAAGAGGCTATTTCCCTGATCGCCGGTGCTAGGTCTCCGTTATCGAGGGTATAAAGCAAGGGTTGCTTATCGTACACTTTATTACTCTTATATCCAGGTTTCTTGCTAAGGGCATCTACCCTTAGGTTCTGTGTGCCCGGCACGTGCTTGATCCTCAGATTAAAGCTAGTAAGTTCCTTAGACTATCGTACTAACCTTCGATTATTAAGGACTTTAGTGGTTGTAAAAGCCCGAAGATTTATATAGTTGGTGTAGATAGTAACTAGGAACTTAGCCCCTTAGAGGTATACTCTTTAGTGCCTAAGTGCCTCTACTATTGCCAGAAGCTCTTTCTAGTAAATATTATAGTTCTGTTCTGCGAGTGATATTTTCTTAGAAAAATACGCGACGGGGTATAGCTTCCCGTTGTCTGCCTTCTACAAGTGTACTACTCCTATAGCCGTGTCTAATGCGTTGGTTTCGATAATACTTTCTCGATCTTCCCTATA